CTGGGAGTTTCCCCGTAAACAAAGGTCAATTAGCTCGCCACCACTTCCAGCGATAACGTTGACCTCGTAAATTATGGTTGCTTGCGGTTCACCTCTCCTCACTCCCAAGGCACCTACTGGCATAGAGTAACTCCCTCTGAAGCCCCAATGCCCTCCCATAATTTCTCCGACGCTGATCATTAGTGACGTCAGGCGATAGCTCTTCATCCCGTCGAACGGTGAAAGTCAATGACTGTTGTGAAGCCTGACCACTCCTCCAATGTGCAGGCGCTCTTACTTCACGCCTAGATCACAGTGGACGATTTAAATAAGCACCGAGATGGTGATGGTGAAGGCTTCTAGAAGTCCTGTTTCCGGAAGTCAACCCCTCCCGGAGTGCGTATGCCGTGACATATGCACCATGTTAATATTATCTTTTCTGAGACAAGACCAAGTCGCTTGCTTTCGCCAAAGGAGCCGTCGACGTCGCCGATTAGTGTGGAAAGAAAATGCTGCCTCCGGATGTCAGCGAGCTGTGGTTCAGACAGGAAGTCAACGTTTGGATCTTTCTGCCCCTTTACGCCTCCTAGCGAACATACAGTTGTTTGGGATGTATCTGGGATGGGGGTAGCGACAAAATAGCGTTGACTCTAGAGTAATGCGACGTGGCACTGATGTATCTGGGATGGGGGTACCGACGTGGCATTGACGTTGACTCTAGCGTAGAGTCTGGGTGGACGAGCAATCAGGCTCTGAGCAGGACCACTTTTTCTTAATACAAAAATCAGAACGTTGTGCAAAACATTGGATGTGTCACAATCTACCTCAAAGTCAACCCCCATATGTTTCGAGCTTAAAGGTGCCCTAATTGGCTCCCTCCCTACGTAAATGATATGATGAAGTTTCTCAAAAGTTGACTCCAATGAATTAAAAAATATATTTTCTCACATAAAGGCTATTTAATGATTTTAATAAAAGATAATGAGCATTGATCACGTAAAAAAGCTTATTTATATAAAATTATTAATGATATGGGATATTATATCTAGATGGCCATATTACTGTCTACCTATATATACGTATATGTGAAAAATAATTTGCATTATATTTTTTTGGTATATTAAATACATGTTTGAGGACGAGGCAAGCTGGACCCACCATTCAAACCCACGTGTGTAATACAAGGATTTAGGAGCCCTAGGCCCCACATCGTCGTTCCTACCTGAAAGAGAGAGAACGGCGAGGCTCTGGGATTATTGGGCCACACTGGGGCAAGTCTTACCGAGATTATAACTGGGACAGACCAATTTGGACCTTAATTTAATTGGGCTGGTTTTTAAAAACCTGAGCCCAGAAAATGTCAGCCCTTGCCATCGACTATGCTGAGTTTGACCAAGTTAGTCAACACTTTTTTCATTTATCCGTTGCCATTCCCACAAAAGACAAAATTTGAACGAGTCCAGTTCTCATTTGAAAGTTCCAGGGCAGACCGTGCGGGCTTTAAGTGGGCCAAGATTGGGGGTCCTACCAGGCCCGTCATTGAAACCGCCCGGGCCCGGAGGGGGGAATTAAGTGGGACGTGGGTTGGGGTACGTGGAAGAGAAACATAGAGCCTCGGCAGCGTAGGTCGTTGCGGGGATCCTTGGTGGGCCCGGACGACTGGTTTTAACAGCTTCCAGGAGTGTCGTCTTCTGGAAGCAGGAGAAGGAAAAGGGAAGTCGCGAGCTCTCGATCCGAAGGGGTGAAATCGGTGACCTGTTGGTGAGGAATTCTCTTCTGTTCCCCCTTCCATGGTGAGTTGCTCTTGCGTGAATTTTTCCATACGTTTCCTTCCTATGGTCTTCTCGGTCCTTACGTTCTCCTCCCTCTTTGTGTTTCCTCGAAAATCCTTCAAATTTGGGGATCTTTTTTTTTGGATGTTCTGAGTAAATTGAACATGCGAGTAGAGATTGCTTACGGTAGAGGTCAGATTTGAGCAATTACGAGGTTGGATGCTTTAGTTCTCTGTCGGATCATTTGATCGAATTTCTATTGTCATGGAACATCTGGATGTCTACGTAGACTAATTACAGATCCAAAGTAATTATAGTCAGACGAAATCATAGATTAGTCGAAGGGCAGAACCGCGAGAAGAGTCCAGCGGTGAATTACTGAAGGACAGAGAGAATACTGGATGAATGGTGTGAATCAATTTTTCTTACGGTAGGCCTGGTGGCTGAAATTTTCTCTAACATTTCTGTCACTAAGTGAAGTTTTTAAATTAGTAAGCCGAGCTTGGTAAGTCACGAAGAAGTTACCTATATATTTCAGGCATCCTCGAAGAACGTACAAGTCTAAGGAACATAAATTACTACCGTTAAGCAATAAATCAGTCAATCTTTTTTTGTCTAAACAGCTATTATAAAATTGAGCTTGGGTTATTTGTCCAATGTTAAAACTAGCACTAACCTATTCTGATTAGATCGAGTAGGTTGGTTCTCCGAATAGAGAAGGAAAATGGCAAAAATAGCTGACCTAAGGCCTTATCTCTGATTATTCCTCATCGAAGAGCGAATTATTGATTTATCTTCTCGTGTGGAACAGGGGGATAAAGGATCACGAAACGTCTAACACACTTATTATGCCAAACCAGTAAAACAAAAGTCTGAAAACGATTACTCCTACGGCACTCTGTAGCACCACAGCCAGGGTTGCTTTTGAATTCCATAATATTGCGACGCATAATCTATACATTGTTTATGGGCCACGCCTTTTTTTTGTAAGTTTTTTTTTCTTCTACGTTCTAATATATTTTTTTCCATTGCAGGATTATTGTCCCAAAGTAAAGAACATTGTTCTTTTGGACTCCAAAGGGAAACGCGTGGCTGCCAAGTATTGCACAGATGATTGGCCAACTTTTTCTGCGAAGTTAGCCTTTGAGAAATCTGTATTTACCAGAACTCAGAAGACAAATGCACAGACCGAAGGTGAGATGACATTTCAGACGTGATTCTGCCAGTCTTTACTATATGGAGAAGAAATGTCAAAGTATCTATCATTAGATAGTGCCACCCATTGTCAGAATCAAGAACTTAGCACCACGCCAAAACTCAAATTGAATGCAAGAGCTTTCATCGTCGCTTGTATCCACCCTGGTTTAGTTGTCACGGGGTGAAGTTCTACCCGCGTGACATCAGAACCAAGACAAGTTAGCCACGTTGAACTCGACGCCCGTATTAGATCACTGATCACCAGTCGGTAGCCCTTACCTGGTCTCAAACATGAGATTTCATGACGAGCTCAGTCCAATTCATGGATACTTCCATTCAGTTTTGACATGCTGCCGTGATTTTTCATTTCGCGTCTTTCGATATTTGGGAGAGAGAAGGCCTAATCGAAAACTGGGACTGGATTTTGAGACGTTTACACAGTAGCTGCCAGTCTAAAGCATTTTTCTGCTGTTGTAATTTACGAAAAACTCGCTAGATTTCAGAACGAATAAAATACCCATATTGAAATAATAATCTAATTTCTCGATGTCATTTTGTGGTTTGAAATATCATGCAAACATTTTAGAACGAAAATTAAATAAAATAGCCATATTTTATTTAATTTTCACCAGTCTTTGATCAAGAAAACTGGTGTTGAACTTCCAGACAGCATAAAAAGACGATACAGGGTTCTAATTAAACTAATTTTATTCATTAAAGTTGATTTCAACCCCGACCGCCCTTTTGTAGAATATTATTTGTGTTATTTTGCTCATTCTTCAACTCTCTGTGGTCAATTTTCCTATTACTTCTATCTGAAATCTGGAATAACGACGACCAGCGACCTCTTCGATATGGGCTTTGATAAGTCAGGAATACTCCATCATCCAATGTCCAGAAATTGTTTAGGGTAGCTGATTCTTTTAGATTAGTTGATGTCCGCCCGGATAAATCTCATTTAAATCCTTCGTTATCCATAAGTTGAGCTCTACCTGATGTATGGGACGAGGCTGATATTGTATTATCTATTTTATCGATTATTAAGTTTATTATTTTTTTGATTTTGTGCTGACGGGATGCACCTTCATCGTATCCAGCGGAGGTAGCAATGATCGATGGCTTCGTAGTCATCTATAGGTTCATCCAAGACCTGATTTTTTTTGTTACTGGTGGCGACGACGAGAATGAGCTCATCCTTGAGACAGTGCTTCAGGGATTCACGGATGCAGTTGGACTACTTCTCAGGTCATTTTGCTTGAGACGCCACTCCTCCCCCTCATTTCCTTCCAAATCTCTTAACACGATGTCCTTAATGTGACGATTTTCTAATGTCTTAGAAAATTTATTGATTTCAACGCCGTCCATTGACTTTGTAGGAACAACGTTGATAAGAAGACAGCTGTTGAGAACCTGGATGTCATTCTTCTTTGCCTCGACGAAATTGTCGACGGAGGGTAAGATCATGGTCTCTTATCTTTTACTATTCGATCATTTTTGGTTCTTCACGCGTCGATCCAGATATATGATGTTAGGCTCGTTCATGAATTATTTCTATTTTTTTTAGTATGAGCATCTCTTGCTGCCTTCTCTTCAGTTGTGGGGAAGTATACCTTATTTTATCACTAGAAACTAACGTCAAAGTAGAAACAATGTCTGTCTGTTTTCAGTCAACAGATATGCCTGGAAATTTCTTATCATACATTACATAAATGCATATATATATATATCGAATCTGATTCCTGGATCTGGGATTCTCCCTCTATTCTCAGGCATCTGATTCTCTCTCTCTCTCTCTCTCTTACCGGGCTCTCGACGACGTCTTCGAGATGCTTAGAGAAAGAATCTCTGATTCCATTGAATATGTCTCAAAATGGAAAACTGTCGTACTTGGTTAATAGGCACCAAAAATAGCATACACGAGAGGAAAATCCCTGCTGGTTTTCTGCGATTTTTTTAATAAAAAAACTTATTTTCTATCATTAATTGGAATTAACGTGCTTATAATTTTCATCAGAATCCCAGATATTATATGATCTGTGTGATGGAATTTTCCAGGATTATATTAGAGACTGATGGAAGTGCCATCGCTGAGAAAGTTTCAGGCAATGCCTCGGATGGTGGCTCAATATTATCTGACCAGGTACACCAGAAACTATGGTTCATCTCCTGATTCGGTGAATTCAGCTCAGTATCCTTCTTGCAGACTATAACTCAAGCACTAGCGACGGCGAGGGAACATCTAGCGAGGTCCCTGCTCAAATAATGTGTTCGATGGGGAAGAAGGAAAGCTATCGAAGGTTCGCCGCCTCTTTCCTCCTCCACTTCTCGGGATATTACTGAATTCTGAATCGTTTAGGAAGTCAACTTACTCGAGTTACCCAACTGGAAATAGAAGCGAACCAAGTTACTTAGTATAGAAACTTTCTTTCGGATTAAAAGTATGAGTGTCAGTGGGCAGGGTGAGCTCGAAGATAAGCTGGGCAAAAGGTCTCAAGCTTAACCACTTTATATATAAATAAATAAATGTATAGTATAGAGAGAGAGAGAGAGAGAGAGAGAGAGGATCACATAGCAAACAATTAGACAACCAAATGACTAGGAAAATGGGTTCTAAACTTCTTGGGTAGTTTAATCCTTCTTGGGGAGTCAAATACAAAAAGGTCAACCAAATTCTGGACACAATGTTGAGTTAAGCCTACGTTACGATTGATCATATTATTTCACATTCGTCAAGGTTTTGCTATTTTCAGCCACCATCAATAAATATGCCATTTATTCATGACTACCCTTATATTTTTTTTGTTTGACCCACACCTCGTTAACTGCTTGATTCCCTGGTCGCATTTCATCACCTTCTTGGGTAAACCGTAATATAATGTTTTGGGTTTTGACATGATCGCGAAAGACTATGCATCCTTCATTTACATCCTCACATAATGCCCCATCTCCTCCCTTCAACGGGCTTTTTTGTCATTTCATATATGCTAATATATTATAAAAAGTGTCTTTGAACTATTTCATTTACATCCATTACTTAAATATTAACAATCAGTTGACTTTTTGAGGATGTGTTAATTTACTTGAAGTTCAGAGAGACTTACCGACTAAGATGCTGTTTTGACGGGGACTAAAAGACCCTTTTTATAAAAAAATTAGTGTTATTTACGGCGTATATTCTGAGTCAACATCTGAACCTCGAATAGGATTAGACCCTCTGCAAATGGGAGGAAGCCCAAGCCATGGCTCCCGAGTGGCCGTCTTCTTCTTGGCGAAGTAGAGAGAGAGAGAGAGAGAGAGAGAGAGAGAGAGAGAGAGAGAGAGAGAGAGAGAGAGAGAGAGAGGATATAGGCCTTTAGTCCGACCAATTGACTCCTCTGCTCCGGCGGAAGACGCCGGCGGAAATGGAGAACTGGAAACGAGATCGAGATTATATCTACAAAAATGGCAACAATGTGATTTTGATTGGGTTGCGAACTCAATCGCTAGGGTAAATGGACCTCGCAAACCCTTTATAGACAGTGAGATAGAATTTTGGAGAAAAAAATGTTGTCTTTTAGGGTAAGTTCAGCGAATCGTCGGCTACGTCATCCTCCTCCTCCTCCTCCTCCTCCTCCTGGAGGCTGTCTTCGCTCTCGCAGCAGTTGTTCCCATCCGGGCCCAGCACTCTGAACCTACGCAGCAGCAGATAATACCCGATTCATATCTACCAAGTTGGGGAGAGATCATCCTTCAAAAATAGAGGAAGCCCGAAGCCCGAAGCCCACACCTCTCGAGAATGAACATCCCTTCCTTGTACCTCTGGTTGACTACGTGGGCAGTTTCCTGTAAGAAGGCCGAAGCTAGGATGTCATCCATGCATGGCCGAAGCTTCCAAAAGTGGGAAGAATCTAAGGGGGGGAGGGGGTGTTGAGTCCTTACGTATTTCCATCCCAGGATGGAACCGCATCTCACGCAGAATATGTCGGAGACGGTGTGCATCCCTGTTGTCATCAGCCGTTCTTCCTTCCGCCCGACGTAGACGTTGACGCTGCCGATCATTGAAAAGCCCAAGTCAATGCATTATGCTTGTGCTTTATTTTTCTACTTGATTCCCTTTATTGGCAGATTTATTCGTCTCTTCCTTAGTTTCGTTCATTCACTTAGTTTGGCCCTTGATTTGATCATAATTCAGCAAGATCACTCAAGAAAAAACTGGAGAAAAATCATAAAAAATCAGAAAGTTTGATCAACAGGTAAAAAATCATGCCTCATAAAAGAAATAAAATAAAAAAATAAAAAGAATATTAACGCAAATGATTGAACGGGTATGATCCACAAAACTACAGTTTGATCTATATTAATAATCCCTCATAAAAAAAAAAAACAACAACTTCTGCCAATGTTTTAAGTATCTATGGGTTCTATCGTTTTAGCCACATCAAAATATCTTACACTCCGCGATGTGATATCTACTAAATTTACAACATGACTCCGGAAATGTGGGAAGTCGAACAATGATCCAGACTATGGTTAATAAACATGTGATCATGTTTTTATTTATTAAAGGGGGGGATCCCCACAAACTTTTTATGCCACTGAAGAAAGGGAAATTTCAGCAGCTTTTACTCCCTCAGGGGAAATTCATACGGATTTTCTCGAGCACGCTATTGATTTTGCTAGATTGGCCACGATATTCAATTAAGTTTGATAAGATCGGCAGGAGTAGGTAGGAGCTGAAAAGGACAAGGATCGGATTGAGGCCAACAAAGAGGCTTTAGCTGTTGAAGAACAGGCATCAGGCACTGGGTTTTGAGGAGAGGATGACATCTCCTGACACGTATGATCCCACCAACAATCGAAGGTGCAGCTACTACCCAGATGAGCAGATGAGCAGATGAGCAGTCAAAAGTGGACGAGTTAACGCAGGATTAGCATAAATTCACCCCCTTCATTATTGTAAAAGGCTAGGCTTAAAATTGACTCAGATGAGCAGTTTGATTCACACTAGTCAACAAAATATCCTCGTCAACACCATATATTCCAATGGACTTTGGCATACTTTGACTAAACCAAAAAAGAAAATAACAATAAATATAGCGAAAGTCAGCATTCAAGATGAAAGTAAAAATTAGTTGTAGTAGTAGTAATAATAATAATAATAATAATAATAATAATAATAATAATAATAATAATAATAATAATAATAATAATAATAATAATAATAATAATAATAATAATAATAAAAGAAGATCCAGAAGAGCCATCTAAAATGCACCGGGTTTCAAGATAACTTACACTTTGCTGAAGAGATAGGCTTTCCCGTGGCTGCATTGGAAAAACTGGACACAGAGAAGGAAAGAAGAAATTAAATCATGGTCAGACTGTTAAAAAGTGACATACATAGCATGAACAGCCTCAAAAGTAACATAATCAACATCATAATCTTATACGCTCGTTCTTAATAGTGACAATAGCCGTGCATTAAGATAGATGGTTTCATTTGCAGGCTATGTTAAACTTATCCATCTACAGCTAATGTCAACATCTCACTATAAAAGTAAATGAAGAATAGGATGGCGACATATGCTTAGAGATCATATATACTTTGTGACTCTCGACTTCAAATTTAGGAGCGAATGGAAAAATGTACATTTTATTAATATCACATATACTTAGCAATCACATAGTCTGCTGGTAGTTTTATCTTTTCAGGATGTAGAGTATTCATAGTAACCTTTAGAACTTGAATCCACGGCAAGAACTGATACATGGGAAATACTGGCTACACTGAAATCTTGGTACTCGAAAATATTTTTTTTGCTGGTTCTAAATTTGGCGAGTATTTGTCAAGAAATACTGGGTACTCATCAATTGGCACCAACCCGTATCCACGAGACTCCCTGCGATTCTCATTTGTTTTTCAATACGATTCATATTATTTAACATGATAGACCATTTGACCTAAATTTTAGAAGAAATTGATATCGTCTAAAAACTAATCTATCACGGAACAACATATTAATATCTTCAGAATCAAGAGAAGAGTCATGCATCGAGAAAATAAAACAGGCACACACACACACACACACACACACACACATATATATATATATATATGTTCTATATCAAAAATTGTTCAAGCATGCTGCCAAATGATAGGACATCCGTTGTTCAGTCAATGAAATAATCTGATCACATTCAATGAGGAGGTTATTTTCATAGCTTCTTGGAGCTCATGCATGAAAAATACTAATATTTGGCGAATGATTTGTAAAGTATGATTACTGCATACCATTTTTTCATTTGAAGGTTTGGATCATTGCCTCTTGTATTTACACAAATTACCGAGGAAATAATTTCAGTTTTAGGTCTCAACATCTCTTCCAGCAGTAAAGGACCGAGATTTGTCTCCCCAAAAATTGTCACCAAAATTTCCATAAAAAAGAAAATTTGCAAATTCATTTGCCTATCCAACATTCAATGTGCATAATTTTAGTCAGGTTCATTGATTTTAACCAATGGTCATCAATACATAAGATCAAAGGGAAGTATGAGAATATGGACACACATTAGGTAGATAATGACAGAAAATTCGAGAACCTGAAAGCCATACGTTACCAGTTAATCTATGAAATTCAATATCTAGCTGGTACTATAACCTGAAGATCCCAGAAGGCCTTCAATTGTACAAAAATACCCACACAGTTGGAGATGATCCAGAACCCAGGTATAGACAGCAGCCTGACGGTATACCCGGATAAAAACAGTGTCGAACCGGGATGAGAAATTGCTGATCGTAAGAAAGTTAAAATACACGTGGAGATGATCATATACATCATAATGCAGTTTTCCTTTGGGTCTCTCCTTTGACCCGAAACTCCAACAAATCAAGAACATAGTGAGGTAATTCGCATAAATACAGCAGGATAAACTCGAATTTACACACAGGGAGTAAAAACAAGTGAGATCACTCGTTATTGTCCCGGGATACAACCCTTCCTAATTAATGGAGTTTCTTGAACAAGCTCCCATCATCCACCGAGAACAAAAGAATCTTGACGGCCAATTCAATCAAATTACCTAAGGAATTCACATCACACGATCCGCAACGAGAAGACGAGGACCGACAGGCGCTCAATCGTTGGTCAAACTTGAGAATACCATGAAGCAGGAAGGCCTTACCCTGGAGAAGATGTCTCCGGCGAGGGCGAGCTGGGTCTCGCAGTGCCTGCAGGTGTAGACCTCGCCCTCCAGGGGGACGAGATGAAGCCTCCCCATCCCCTCCGGGCCTCAACCACCTCCCGCCCCCCCTTCCCTTCGCGCCGACGTCCGGTCTCTGTTAAATACACGTACGCGGTACCGTAAATGAATTAATATTTATTCCAGTCAAATCCTTTTCATAATTAATATTTCTTTTCTACTACTGGTCGAGTAATCAATTAATGGGCTCAACAGCCCTGTGAAGATATCATTGGGCCCTATAGGCCCATACATAATTCCGCCCAATTAGGCCCCGCTGACTTCGAGAGCTTCCTCCCCGGCCCATCCGACGATACGCAGACCGGCCCGTATACGCGGTCTGGTGTTCCGAGAACTCACTTAATCGCAGCCTAGATCTCAAAGTGATAGAAAGAGAGAGAGAGAGAGAGAGAGAGAGAGAGAGAGAGAGAGAGAGAGAGTAGAGATGGATCGGATTAGCTCTCTGAAAAACGGTTCCGGCGGAGAAGCGTAACGAATTTGAAATTTTGAAATGCGATCGCTAACCCGCCCCAACGCTTCTCGATGCCCAACGGCTATCACCCACCAATCATGAGTCGATCCAGGTGAGTGCTCGAAGGCAAAGGAAGAAGACGGTGACAGAGGGAGGGATCACTTCCTGCTCCTTTGAAGAGGAACTCTGCGGCTTGGGGGCTCGAGAGTGACGGGCGTATGAGGGCTTCGATCAGGCTACCAGAACCAAGCTAGGGATCTTCAGGGCCCGGGGTCTGCTGCGACAAGGTAGGTTGTAACGCGGAAATGATGCCCCATTTCTTCCTTTTCTGCAGGCACGCTAGGGTTTGGCTTTTTTCGGCTTTTCATGACTAGCTTTCTGATTTTCTCGTTCGGGACGCTGAGTACTTTGTGGTTCACTGAATTTGAAAAGGTCTGGAAAGAGATATCCGTAGTTCTCTGGTCGACGAACATGTACTTCACACCCAATCGGAGACTAGGGTTCTCTCTGCCTCCATCTCCGTCTCCATTCACGACTCCTCGCTCGGAGAGGCGGCCATCTGATTTCAGATGGGCAGACGGGATCTCCACTTCAAACCGAAATGACCGAGACAAAGAGGTGAACGTGCAGGTGATGGTGAGATGCAGGTCAGCCTCATCATTTCTGAACTTTCAATTACCTGATAGTAAATATAATTATGTAATGCAGGAAATATCTAGAATTTCATGTTTGAGTTTTCCTTCTATCTCAATTGAGGTATGAAGCATCAATTCGCTCTCATCATACTTTCTGACAAAATTCCCGCAATGCATTCACTAAATCGGGTCTTCAGAGCACGATTTTTTTTTTGGTGTGGTCATTTCAGCATAGACACTGATCCTAAGTTAAATCACTTATCAGGCCTTTAAGTGATGAAGAGCAAAGGGCGAATGTTCAAAGTGTAATATTCTGCAATGAACAGAGGAAAGAAGTTACTTTTCTGCAAAGCGTAGCTGGAAGGCAACTAGATAAGTCATTTACTTTTGACAAGGTGCGTTGTCTTTAGATTATACTCGGTTTTATTAGCTTGTAAAGTAGTCGTGGGATTTCTCATTCGTATCATAACTATGTTTTTTAATTTCTCTTGGAAATATTCTGTCAGGTATTTGGTCCCAAAGCACAACAAAGGTCGATATATGAACATGCTATCTCGCCGATTGTCAATGACGCTCTTGAAGGGTTCAATTGCACTGTCTTTGCATATGGACAGACAGGGACAGGGAAAACACATACAATGGAAGGAGATATCAGATCCAAGGTACTGAGATTAGTTGTACCTTTGTTCTAAGTCAATGTTTTCCCATTGCCATCATGAGAAATAATAATTTTTGAAATGATGCTCCTTCTGTCGATCTAGAGCGGAGAATTGTCTGCAGATGCAGGCATTATTCCTAGAGCAGTCCGCCAAATCTTTGACACTCTTGATGCACAGAAGGCTGACTATAGTATGAAGGTAACTTTCTTGGAACTTTACAATGAAGAAATATTTGATCTCTTGACTCCAGAAGACTGTTCAAGATCTATGGACGATAAGCAAAGGAGGCCAATCTCTCTTATGGAGGATGGTAAAGGAGGCGCGGTTATAAGGGGTCTTGAAGAGGTAGTTGTCTACAGTGCAAGTGAAATTTACAGTCTGCTAGAGCAAGGTTCAGCCAGAAGAAGAACTGGTGAAACTTTGTTGAACAAGCAGAGCAGGTGATACTCTTTATTTCTCAAGATAGCTTTAAACAGAAAAAAAAAGGATCAAGATGACTGAGCGATTATTCTACTGGTGCAGCCGCTCTCATTCTATTTTTTCGATAACCGTCCATGTCAAAGAAGCGGCAATAGGAAATGAAGAGCTAATAAAATGTGGAAGACTGAATCTTGTAGATTTGGCTGGCTCTGAGAATATTTCTCGATCTGGCGCTCGAGAGGTATGGATTTTTATGCCCAGAAACGCTATGTTTGGCCTTCAAACACTACATAAGAGGCTCTGTCATGCTTTGCTGAATCTCTCTAGATTTTATATGTTGCAATCCAATTGGTGAGAGGTGTACGTGATAATCAAAATGGTCCAAGTTTGCTGGATGATGATGTGTAAAATCCCATGGCTATTCTAGCCATTTTGATATTTTTTGTAATTATATTATACTGACTTGACAGTCTAATGGACAGGGAACGATGGATTAATCGATGGGAAAAAATGTAACCAAATAATGACAAAGGAATGAAGGAATAATCCATAAAGTTAGGTTATGTTAATGATAAAAATAAATGAAAATTTCTGCGGCAGTGGCCATAGTGTTAGACTTAATATTCCTATTTCTGCACCAGTGGAAATAGCCGGAATTCTAGTCAAAGTGATGGACAACAGCATGAAAATTTATTCACGTGTTTATTTACACAATTTTTTTGGTATCCATGGATATATTGGCACAAATCTTTGATAACAGGAGACTTTGATAAGGAAGTTTGACCAAAATCACGCTGACTATTTTCCTACCGTGGCATTATATGGCCTTTTTGGTTTATTAATATCTAGGCAATCTTTATTCAATATAGATCTACGTCCAGCTTAGGGGGCAGCGATCATGTAGTGGATAAATTTGTGCTGTTTGTTTTAGTATCCAGACATAGAATAAAACTGATCTTCTCCTGCTTATTTTTGTGATGCTGATGTCCAGTATAAGTTTTTCTTGTCATGGAGAAAATTAGCCAATCTTTAATTTTCTTTGAGACCGAGTGTTGATGTCCAGTTCAGGTATTGACTATTTCCGAAAAAATTAGAAAATACAGATAGAATGTACAAATTTAGTGGCAACGATCTGGACGTATAATTTCTTGTATCTTGACTGTCATAGTGGAGTATCGTGTGGGTAATTTTTAGATTTCTGTTGAAAAGTTGGGCTAATGCAGTGGCATGAGGATTTTTTCACAAGTCTGTGATAACTACATCAGTCATGCAACCAGTTTATCCCTTCCATTAAATTTGCCATATAAATGCGTGGGTCCGTCAATGCAGCATAGATATCCACCAGATCAGCCGTCACAATTTTTGTCGTATCTAAATTAATGTGATTCATAATGGAGTCATCTCAGAGTCGAGCAAGGGAAGCTGGAGAACTGAACAAGAGCTTGCTCACTCTTGGGCGTGTCATAACTGCACTGGTGGAGCATTCTGGTCATGTGCCTTACAGGTATTACTCTATATTTCTTACACTTTTTTGTTGTCATTTACCATGTGCCACATTAGGATACGTAACCCTCTTTCAACAGGGATAGCAAGCTAACGAGGTTTTTAAGAGATTCTTTGGGCGGTAAAGCTAAAACCTGCATCATATCAACCATATCTCCATCTTCCCATTGTTTGGAAGAAACACTAAATACTCTGGATTATGCATATCGTGCAAAGGGCATCAGAAATAAGCCAGAGGTCTGACTCGATCTATTTTTCGACATTCTACCTCTTTTCCTCGTGTCGTTCTTTGAAATATTTAGTACAATAACGTTGCAGGTAAACCAGAAGCTGTCCAAGTCTGTGCTACTGAAAGACCTTTACTTGGAAATTGAGAGGATGAAACAAGGTTGGTTCACATGTTAGATCATTTGAAATTTGAACTGTCTCAATAAGTTCATGTTCTCATATTGACTTAAGTCTTTGTACCAGATGTGAAAGCTGCAAGAGAGAAGAACGGTGTGTATGTTCCCCATGAAAGATTTCTGCAGGAAGAAGCTGAGAAGAAGGTTTATTTTTATGAATATTCTCTTTAAATAGGATTTTGTGTATCTTGGAACTCAACGACCCATCTCCCCAGTCGTTTATTCACAGTGAAATTACTGCCTCACTACGCAGGCAATGAGAGAGAAAATAGAACGTTTGGACATTGATCTAGATCTTAAGAAAAAGGTAGGTCTTGATTCTTACCATTTTTCTTTTCTGGCACTACTCTGGATCAGCCTGCAAAACTGATGCTTTCTTCGTTTTGGCAGCAAGCGGATTCATTTCAGGAACTATATCACTCAGAGCAAGAAAAAAACCTGGATTTAGATTGTGAAATTAAGAAACATAAGGTGAAATTGGCTTCCAGTATTTTATAAGTTACTGCTTCCCTTGATTGATCTTCGCTATTATGAAACCACCGTCAGGGACTAATGGAGGAATCGAAAAAGGCCTATAGTGATCTTCAAGAAGAATACAGGAAAATGAACCAGCTACTGAAGGAAAAAGAGTATACGATCTCCAAGTTACGATCCTCAGGTGACGAATCGAATATAATGATATCGTATTTACTTTTTAAATTTCAATGAGTGAGCTCATCATACTCAAAACATGCCATAGTCTGTCTCAATAACAATCATTGAACCTGTGATTGTGTTTTCCTTTTTGCATATTTACAGAGAATGCTATACTTGAACAAGCTAGAGAATTGCATTCCAACTTGGAATACACATCAAAGGAAATGGCAACACTTCAATCTGAAATTGGTACATTGAATTGTATTACGTTGATATAATCGCAATTCATTCAGCATCTAATTTTGCTGTTTGAGCGTGGCTTGAAATGATTTGAATCGTGCAGACCATAAGACGACAATTGAAGCAGAAAACAACCAGCTGATCTTAAACTTCAGGTCACAGCTTGATCAGAGGTTAAGTAATTTGCAGAAGACTGTATCTGGATGTGTTTCTAAGCAACATCAACTATTAAGAGATATGGATGAACGTGTTTGCTCGTTCATTGGAAGAAAATGTGAGGTATATGGTCCAATCTCACTCTGGTCGTTTATTCTGTTCCATGCACCTTCTTAGCATTGTCGTGCAGGCAACTCAAGCCTTGGAAGCAAAGGTCGGGAAAATAAAGAATACGTATTCCTCTGGAGTTGCTATTATGAGGGACCTGATTAGAACACTACATGATAGTACCACCTCAAATCTAGAGGAGCTGAAATCTGCAACTATTTCTGAAACACTGGCCGTCGAGAATGTAAGAAAAATACGAACATGGCGCTATTTTATTTTTTTTTCTGGTACTGACATGGAGTGAAACGAATTCTCACTATCTCATTTTTTTTTCTGTTGATAGTTTCTGATAACTGTGGCGTCAGAGGCCGAACAGGTTGCCCATGATATTCAGAAGTCACTTGATGAACAGAAACAGCTACTGGTTTTTTCTACTCAACATCAAGAAGCGGTACCATGAATTATCTTCTAATCACCAATATCAAACGACATTATGGGTCATGAAAGTGGTTTTTAAACTAACCTTTTCCAACATTGAACAGGGATTGCAAAGAACCCTTGCAGCTACCCAAATTATTTCTAAAATAACAAATGATTTCTTCAACGACCTCTCCAATCAAGCCTCCAGATTCGTGATGACTCTAGAGGAAAATCATGCGGAAAAGTCCCATCAATTTGCAAATTTCAGAAAGGCATTTCAGGTCAGGGACAGTTTCGGTACAAGTTATAGCTGTTTATTTGACTGAAAAAAATGAGATAGAAATATACAAGTAAAATTTCTACTTCGTTCCCAGGAAACATCAATTAAAGAGGAGAATGAGGCTCTTGAAAAGATTGCCGGAATACTGTCAACGTTGACATCGACGAAGATAAAAATGGTGGTGGAGTCTACTAATTTCCACCATTATTTTTTAAAACTTCTTAGTTGTGATACTTATAATTACATATTTTCCTCCCATATTAACTCTTTTATCAGGTCTCAGAAGCTATTGGTGACGTGGATGCTACTTGTCTCAATGGGAAAAAGAAGTTGAAGCAAGAGGTGTTTGATCTGCAGAACGTCTCATTGGATGCCAAAAAGGACTGGATCAGGCGTATTGAAAATTTAGAAAGCCAGGTCCAAGAAGACACACTTTTAGCAACTGAAATCAGAACCACTGCGTCAAATGTGGCCACAGATTGGTACGCAATCTTCTTCATCATGTCTTCGATTAACCTGACCTCAACCCAGCACCACAATCCCTACTTATCCTTCTCCTTCTCTCTCCCTTCAGCTCGAAGAAAGTGGCAATGTCTGTGCAACACTGGAAAAATGCTGTATCATCTGTAGACATTCTTCATTCAGATTTCGGTACAGAGATTCAATCTTCCATTGAGTAAGTGTTCACTCTAATTATTATCATGATTATTTATCACTTGTCTCATTTTGGTCTTTGATTTTGGTTTTGCTCATCGCCTCTCCTCTTTTAAAATCAACAGGAGAGGCATCTTCCAAAACCACAATTCTCTTGAAGATTTTATGTCCGGAACATCTTCTGCGGACGCAGAATTTGACCGGGGAATAAGTGATCTGCTCAGTGCTGTTAATAGTAACTATTTTCCTTCAGCCCATTCCCTTAGCTTTGCTCTCAACGTGGCAAACACGAAGGTTAGTTAACATGAGAGTTGCTTCGCAGATTCATTGGTCCTGGACCACGAAGCCAAGAAGGAAATGGATCCCATATCGACCATGTGCTTAGATCAGCTGAGGTCACTGCAAGACTGCCATTCTGAGAACGTGGGTGATATTAGAGACCGCACAGAAAGATGCTTATCCAAGGAGTACCAGGTGTGCATCACTTCTAGTCCATTTAACTCAAGAATCTTTCAACGATGGTTCTTCAGGAAATATTATGAAAAGAATAATTTGTAAATTATGAGTTGCATCATAGCATTGTATCAGTTTTATCACTCAGGTTTCAACAGCAGTTAGTTGATATATATATAGATGGACCCATGAAATAAATTCCTAGGTTTTTGGAGCAAAAGAATGCATCGAGCATCTGAATCTGTTTTATCGTCGATGATGCGAGCTGCCCAGTTAATCACAATGGTTATTTGTCAATCAGATCCAGCAGTTGACACAAACGACAACGGAGAAGCGGTCAATCGCCCTTCCAAGCATAGAATTCATCGAGGCATTGCAAACGGGGTTGGAGATTACCCAGAAAGGAAAAGAGGAAAAACCTTCATTTTTACCACCGGAAACGCCCAGAAATCCCTTCCGGGCAATCAATTGATGAGAGAGAGAGAGAGAGAGGGATGAAATGGTTCGGACATAGGTAAACATCTTGTTCCTCACTGTGTCTTTGCGCCCACCCATCTTCATTCCATCGATTGATGGAATTCCTCCTGTAAAGTATCTAGTGGTTGATGATCCCTCCAGGAAGGGTTATCTGTAGACCTTTTGAGAGAAACCCTCGCTTATTTTAAATTGAAAATGGGATGTTGCACCCTCTCTCTCTCTCTCTCTCTCCCCTATGTAACCTCATATTTACTTAGTCCCGAAGGTGTAAATTGGGCTGTTGCACCCTCCCCCCTCCTCTCTCTCACACTCTCTCTCTTTCTCTCTCCCCTATATTTAACTCTCTATGTTACCTCATATTTTTGCTAAACCCGGAAGGTGAACTTCGGCAAGTCAGATTTGGGGTTGGCTGAAACGGGGGAAGGGACGAGAGAAGGGAGGGGTTGGGCGGCCTGGTCGCTGCCCCCCAAGCTGATGTGTTCGCACAGTTTGCCGAGTGCAGTGCGCCGCGTAGAATCGCATATGCCACTCGGATTCCCCGTCATTCGGCACTCACCGGGGGGCACAGCGAGTTGATCCCCCGGAGGCCGCCTCTGGAGATCCCCGGCGCCATCATTAGACGACGCAGAAAGGTCACAGTTCCTCTGCCTCGCTCTCTCTGTCTGTCTCTTTCTCTTTCTCTTTCTCTTTCTCTTCCTTCAGTGCAGGTTACCAGCAGGCCATTGAGCTTGCCACTTTTCAGTGGCTGCGGAGCCTGGTGGATCGTACCCATCAGCCTCTACGGCAGCCGACACGTGGGGAATAGGGACGAACATGGAGAGATCCCACTGGCTTTCCCACACGTTGGTGGCCTCCAAGTCATGCGCCTCGTCCTTTACTCCTTGCTCTCTCTCTCTTCTTTCCCTCTCTATAAATCCTTCCATCTGTCAATATTTGTACGCAGCAAGCCGATCATCCTGCAGAGTATGTATTAAGAAATATGAACCTCTTCACCCATCAATGTCGGCGCTAAAAATATGGCCTTCCGGTGCGGCGCTTTCCTCATTAGGAAGGGGAAGGTTGACGCTTCACAGGCTGCTCGCATACGACGGAGTTTAATAGCCAATAGTAGAGTGCGTTGAGTGAAAACCCAATGGTCAACGCCTTAATGGTCGCAATATCAAAAGGGTACTGCTAATGTCTTAGTTCGTTTGGGTAATCTCTAAACGTTGACAATGAAAAGCTCGACGGGAACCCAGTAATTCTAAGTCTTCTCTTTCTACAGAAGTTTGACCTTAGGGGGGAGCTTTATGATCTAACCTGAAGTTTGACCTTATGGAAACACAATCTATGTTTTCCTTGAACAGATGGGGCACCTAGGTTGACTGGACCCTCTCGATGTCGTTGACTCTGAGTTAAATCGCCTTGAGATTGACTAAGTGGGACTGCTGGTTAAGCCTTACTCTTCCCGAACTGTCCTCGGGGACAGGAAGTGGCATAGCTACTTGAAGACGTCCCCAGAGACCTCGTGCTATATGAAGAGATTGGAAGCTCGACAGCTGGTTTCACTCCCCGAACATAGCGGCTAGGGAGAGAGAGAGGGAGAGAGGGAGAGAGAGAGAGAGAGAGAGAGAGAGAACTCGTTAAGCAGGTGGCTTCCACAAGGTCTGTCCTGCGTAGTGCTAGGGCAGTTGTGCGAGCCGACGGGAGAAAGAAGAAGACCGCATCGTATCAAACCCCCCTTCCCCTCCCCCCATCCCCTCTCTATAAGTACAAGCCCTCGGCACAGCAGAGATCAGTCTTTCCGCTGGACCTTGAAAAAGCTCGCGACGAGAGAGAGAGAGAGAGTTAGAGAGGAAAATGATGGTGATGGTGGAGGAGACCCGTAAGGGGCCGTGGACGGAGCAGGAGGACCTGCGTCTGGTCTGCTTTGTGGGGCTTCTCGGAGACCGACGGTGGGACGCCATAGCCAAAGTTTCAGGTTCGAGAGTTGAAGGTTCAAATATAAGAGAGAATTCTGAATACCCATGTCGAGAAGGAAGACCAAGTAGGTTTTCCTGGGTTTTGTCGGGACCTCCCGTGGACTTACCCCCTCCCTGGTTCTGTTGCAGGTCTCAGGAGATCAGGGAAGAGCTGCCGGTTGCGTTGGGTCAACTACCTACGCCCCGGCCTCAAGCGCGGCCGTATGACCCCCCAGGAAGAGCGGCTAATCGTTGACCTCCACGCTCGCTGGGGAAACAGGTTAGGATTCTCCATAATTCCTTCTCCTTCTTCTGCCGTCATCACTTAAAGAGAGAGATGAGAGAGCTCCCGCTCTGTGCAGGTGGTCTCGGATAGCGAAGAGACTGCCGGGGAGGACGGATAACGAGATCAAGAACTACTGGAGGACTCGCATGAGGAAGACGGCGCAGGAGAAGGGGGCCGGCACCTCTTCCCCGATACTTTCGTCGTCCTCCTCAGACAGTCCAGGAGAAGAGGACTCGCATGAGCTGCATGGCGGCGGCGGTGGCGCTCCGGTGACCCCGCTGGATCAGACGTGGAACGAGACGGCACCGTTGGGGAGGAGCGAGTCAACGTTCAAGGAACCGTGGTGCTACTCCGGCGACTCTCTTTGGAAGATTGATGACGACGACAGCGACTTCGGCCTGGCTGTTCCCACCGTTGACTTCCCCGCCCCAGCTACTACCATGGAGGGGAACCCTAATCCTATCCGTTTCCCATTGCGGGGATACTCTTCGTAGAGAGTGACAAGATGCTCATTTTGACGAGAAGACCATTACAGCTATTAAGAACAAGGTTAGTTCTTCACGAGACTCTCCTTCCTAACGTGGGTCTAATCTCTAGAACATCTAAGACTCAATAGATCTAGATCAACTTGCTAAGAATAGATCCATCCAATCGGCTAACTGGCATCTTTCTCGATCTAGGACGGTCCATTGCCGTGTACAACTGGTCAACTCACGTCCAAGTGATTGACATAATAACACTAGATTTGAGCAAGCTAATGTTGGAGTCATACGATCCAGTTGACTAAACAACTCTAGAGACGAAGCAATATAGGCAAGTCAGGTTCATATTTAAATTTCACACATTAACTTAAAAAGGGTTTTCATTAGTACTCTATTTAACAGTTATTTGTAATAAAAAAACATTAAATATGAAAAACATTATTAAGATATGCGAAAAAGTAAACTTAGAATAGCAAAAATGAAGGGGTAACTTGCTAATTGTATAATATATATTACTTTAAAAGTATAAAATTCCAGGATTTTTTTTAAAAAAATACACCCCGTCTCGTCCACTTTTTGAAAATGTTTCATTTGAGATATTTATTTAAAAACCGTGAATTTTGAATAGAAGGAAGTTTGTGGAACACGTGCGAAATTATTAGATATTGGGGGTGTTTATGCAAAAGGCCTCCCCATCACTGCCCACGCACGTTATGGATCGCGGATAGCATGACGTGGCGAGCAGCTCGTCCACCCAGCCAGGAACTCCGCACCGGATATGGTGACGAGAAAGAGAGATGGAGAGAGAGAGACGACTGGTCCTGTAAGGGGTAGAGCAGTCATTTGCTTTCACTCATCTCGCCGTCTGCCGGCGCCTCCGATCTCCCCACCGGAGCATGGCGGCGACGTCCTGCTGGGTCTCCGGTATCCCCAACAAGGTCCGCCATTTCTCTCCCTTTTAGTCTCCAGTTCATGTCTGAACCATCACAAGGATTTGACCCAGAAATTCCAATTCCGAGAAGATGGTATCCCTCTTTCAACTTCGCTCCATGTTTTCCAGCTCCTCCCGCCGAATCCCAACCCTAGCCCTCGCTCTTCTGCCGCACTGGTGGCCGTCGTCAAGGGCAACTCGAGGGAGGCGGCTCCTTCTGCGAAGGCTACGGCAGGTCCCTCCTCCTCCTCCTCCTCTTCTTCCTCTTCCCATTATCCGGGATTATACATTTCCTGTGGATGAACGAGGATTCTGCTCTCACCGGCGACGGTGTCTCAGAATCTATCAGGAGAAGGTCGATTCTGCTTGGAGCGGGGGCACTGGCCCATGGCCTTGTTCTTCCGAGCATCGTCTTTGCTGAAGGTAATCCCTCCCCTCTTCCTGCTGCGGCCGGATCACTTCTCCTCGGAAATGGGACTTCAGGAACTGTTCCTGCGAGGGAGATATGATCCTCTTCCAGCGATTCTGCAATGTTCTCAACGACTGCGGTCTTATCTGCGCAGAAGTGCCGGACAGGTACAAAGCCTTCGTCGATCCTATCGATGGGTACTCGTACATCTACCCTTCGGATTGGAGGGTGGGTATTCCTCCATGATTCTTTCTAGAACAAGCCGAGCTCTCGGACGATAAAAATGCTATCTTTTTTGCCACTTAAATTCCCGCATATCTGGGTCGATCAGGACTTCGAATTCACGGGCTGCGACTCAGCATTCAAGGACCGGAATGTCGCCTTGCAACACGTCAGAGTCAGCTTCGTGCCGACAGAAAAGAAGGATGTCAACGATCTGGGTCAGATAGAGGAGGTAATTATTGTCCATGAATCTAACCATACTATTATTACTGGTATAATAGTTACTGGCTCATCATGGTGAGATCTAAGAGGCTTTGTGGGTTCTCTCTGCTGCGCTCCTCATCCCAGGTCGTCCCCAGTTTGGTGAAGACCGTCTATGCCGCGCCGACCCAGACGCCCACCATTCTCGATATGCAGGAGGTCGGTGAAACTTAGATATATAATTCTGCCCAAGTTTCGGCCGCCGTTGACCTCTGACTCTTCGAAGTGTTGACCTAGTTTAGTCAACTTGTATGCTCCTCTTTTTTGTTTTTTTATTGCTGATGATCCTGCCTTACTCGGTACTATTTTCCGTTGGCATGATTTGTGTAGAGAAATATCGATGGAAAGAACTACTGGACCTTCGAGTACGTCCTCCAATCCCCCACCTTTGGGCGCACCGCATTCGCCACCATAGCCATCGGCAATGGTACCCATCTCTCTCTCTCTCTCTCTCTATCGGCAATGGTTCCAAAACCGTTGACCAGCGTTGACGGAGGCTCGATAGAGTTCATGATTCTTGCCCAGATTCTCTGATGCAGATACCGTTGACCAATTTTGTGTAATGATGTCTAAATTCTTGTGAAGGGAGATACTACACGTTGGTGGTGGGAGCAAACGAGAGAAGATGGACCCGGGTCCGGAACCAGCTCAGGGCTGTGGCGGACTCCTTCAGACTAGTGGACATTTAGGCTAGGTTTAGGACTCGTGTCTCCCTTGGCCACGTGTCCGTATTTTGCACCTCTTTGTCTCTAATATCTATTAAAGAAGGCAAAACTTTCGTTTGGACTCTCGGAAGCCCACCCAGCGTCAGCCCGGCCCATCATGGAGCCAACGGCATGTACTAATGGGCCGCATATGGGCCACCAGGAAAGCGCAATTGTGGCGCCGGATGGAACAGCAGGGCTTGGTTAGTTCTATCTTAATGCATTGTACATGGCCCACAGGCTTGAATGTCGTGGGCCCATGATCTAGACCACGGCGGCTTATGGGCTACAGAGAAGCACAAGCTTCCCCGCCCGGGGGGAACATCCGACGGCGCCTGCGTCATTTCGTTCCTACGTCTCTCTCTCTCTACGTAACCCGGCTTACGGCGGCCGTCTCTTCACGGCCGTTCGTCCACGACTCTCCATGTGAGGCCTGCGCGTACGCCGCGAAGAACTCCTTGTTCTCCTTCTCCAGCTCCTTCCATACTGAGACCAAAGAGAACGACCCACATCGACACCCAAAGGAAGAAGAAGAAGGAAGAGAGAGAGAGAGAGAGAGAGAGAGAGAGAGAGAGACCAGTGGAGGTAATGACGGGCTTGATACCGGCGTGCTTAGAGAGGGCCTCCACGCATTCCTCCTGGCTCATGCGGAAGACGAGGCACTGCTCGATCAAATGCTGCACCTAAAAGCCAAGCCAAGGGGAGAGGGGATCAATCAGTCGGGCTGGCGGTGCCGCCACAGAGAAGAAGAAGAAGAAGAAGAAAAAGAGGCGTCTCCGGCGGTCGATTACCGTGTGTAGGTACGAAGCGGCGGCCTCGCCCATCAAGATCAAGGGGGAGCGGGAGAGACAGAAAGCGGGAGAGAACAGGAACCGATCAGGGGAAGGTTTGTCTGGAGGTAGAAAACGAAGAGCAGGAGAGATCAGGAAGGAAAACCAAATATATGGAGTAGATTAAGGGAGAAGGATACTCGGAGTGGACCAGGTTCACGTGGAGTATTGAAGGTCACAGGGTGGGGGGAGGGGAGCCGCCGACCAGGGGAGAGCAACTCCACATTGCAGCGCGTGGCGAGCAGCCCCGACCACGTGGCGAGGGCACCGGCGGAACGCCCTCCACGCGTGCTCCTCGGCCTGGTATGCCTGTCGGTGGTCAACTCTGGGTCGTGGCGTTTGACCAGTTGAGGAGGCCCCTCTTAATCGGGAGAGACGGCGATCGGCTGACCGCCGTCGATGGCGAACTTCGCCGCTCCGCCGGGGGCCTGAGAGAAAGCGAGATACGTGAGAGCAGCGACGAAGAAGAAGATGAAAACCAGAGAAGCGTGCTTGCTCTGCCTGAAATGGCCATTCAGGCATAGATACAGAAGGAAACGGGTACCATGGAAGTGTGCCTGAGGACAGATACTGTGGATATGTGGCTCCCATGTTCGCGTGATAGCAGTAGCCTGACATGAGGGATGCTCTTCCAGCTTTCTCCCAAGGCGGGCTTGGGGAGGCCTCCCTCCCCGCCCACCATGTGATTCGTAACCTTGTTTGATGTCACACGAAGAACACAATCAGTTCCAGTCGCCCTCTCAAAGACAAAAGATTTAAATGAAGACAAGGCAAATAATTAAACGAACCCCTTAAATCCACAATATATATGGGTATGATCGATCTTGCTTACCAGCACACAGAGATTACTCTCATCAGCCAGTCTCTTTAGGGCATATCCAGCAGAGACCATCAATGATCGGCCTGCGATTCAGCATCAGACATGAATGACGAAATTAATTCATCCATGTGAGATGCCAAAGACCATAAAATTTGAGCGAAAATAGTGGGCAATATTCATGCCATGCTTCAGATTTTTTTTAATAAATAATAAATAAATAAACATTGTTCACTGATAATTGATTTCCACCGCTAGAAAAATGTAAAATGCAACAATAAATTTGAATGAAAGGGTAGAGAAACCCCTTCCTAAAGAATCACTGATATTTTCTGTGCTGTTTGTTGGATTTCTGCTGGCATTCAGTAAATTGATTGCTTGAACTACAGCATTTTCATATTCGACTTCAAGAACAGGTGCCGACGACAAAACTTTTCAACACAAACTCGATGAAAACGATTCGCCAAAGAGACATCCAAGGGCTTATGTACCATGTGAATCTCTGCCTCCAAGAATCGGTGTTATAAGTGATGAGATGGAATCAATAACAAGTAAACGCAACCTGGTGGCTTCATCCTTTCCCTGAATCACGATCACAGAAACTAGTTTAAGCCGCATTCCCCAAGCTGAGTTTGCCCAAAAAAAAAAGCGCCCAAAGCCAGTGGTTGCGAAGAGAACCTTACGTCCCAGCGTGATACTTAACCGATTTAGCACATCCTGTAGTTCAAATATATCAAAGACTGACCGGCATAATATGCTACTCATTACTCTACGGCATCTTCTTTCTTGGGCCTGAACCATCCAAAGAAATTTCTGTAAAAGCCGAATTCAAGAGGCACAGAAAAAAAAAAAAAAAAAAAAAAAACTGAGTGAAGCTATTTCGGGTAACCGGAGCTGGCAAACAGCAATACAAAGCAGATGCCTGCAAAGAGAAGGAAACCAAACAAGTTACCAAAATATTCACCAGAACGAGACGATACCTCTTTAGGCAATGAACTGGAGGTTGTGGAAGGATCTAGAAAGGATGAAACCCGCTCTGGTGAAAAGGAATTCCCCGTATCCAAGAACATAATGGTTCCCAGCTTCCTGTCAGCGATGTGTGCAGCAGCACGTAGGCAAAGCTGCAGATCAATGAAGTAAGCTCAAAGACTAAGTCATCACTCTCGTTCATGCATACACAACGCAGTTTACGAGCAAGCATATGCTTCAATGGACTCCATTAATAACGACCATGGATAGGAAAGCAGCGAGCTTTGTCGCAGTTTGCATCGAGCATGTTTATGGGAGTTTCTAACATACATCATATAGAGTAGGAGAGTATACCAATATCGGCGGTTTTCCATTCCTCCTAGTTATGGAAAAAACATCTACGACTGGCATAGGAGTAGTCATACTTGTGTTTTCCCGGATGAAGAGGGCCCAGCTAACTCTACCAGGTGACCCTCCCGCAGTCCACCCTGAAGAAGCGAGTCGACCCTGTAAAAAGCAAATGAGAGCAAAGAGGAGACAAGATCATGACTGAAGCATCGTATTGAGGTTACTAAAGCTCGGAGAATAGTTTTGATCCAGGGCAGCACACCATTGGCACCCTGTGGGAAGGAATCTCTTCTTCATCTGCGCATCCTCCAGCAATTCCAGGCCATTTAACCAAGGCTGGTGTTGGCGATCTATTATAGACAGCACCTGGGCAATACCCTGTTCCACACCAGTTTCCCCGGCTGTTCAGAGTTGAGAAACTGTTTGCGAACGATCCACGGAGCAAAAGTGGGGAAAGAGGGCTAGCATCAGAGCGAATAACCTGCTTCAACTTATCGGAGATCGCCTCGCCCTCGGCGAATGCCGCAAGCGAATAGAGATCATTCACGAGGAAATCCTCCACTGAGCGACGGAAGGAAGGAAGAAGAAAGAAAACGCGAGTGAGTGGATGGAAACCGTCGGAAACGAACGGAAGAAGAAGAGAGCATGGACGCCAGAAAATGGTGCAGCCGCGGGGTTCGTACAGGATCCAACCTGAGAAGATGCCGTGGGAAGAGCAGAACTGGCGGAATTCGGCATCAATGATCGGGAACTCCTGCTCGAGGTTCTTCAGTGGAGGCATCAGTCGGCCGCAGAGCCCAGAGGAGAAGGGGGGTTGGGGGGAGCAGTGTGGCGAGAAAAAAAGTTGTGGCGGGAGCCCAGGGGTCCTGAAACAGCACCAATCGAAAAGTGATGAAGAAGAAAGAATGGATCCAACGTTCAGGGATCGCAGAGAACGAACGTTCTAGATTGTTCCCTCCTATTCCAGTCACTCTCTCAGCTCCTCCCCCCCCTTCCCCCCGATGAGGGCCCCATTCCGTCCTCCTTCCGGCTTGATCAGCCTTGATGCAAATCGGATGGGCACTCGAGGAAGAGCACTCGTATGGTTTCGTCTTTTGAGGCGATTTTCTAGCCGCCACATGGAATTTCCAACAGATCTTCGCGGAATAGTGCGGCACGGATCATCCTATGCACCATACCGATCCTTCTGCTCGGTATTGGAATTATTAAGATGATGAATCTGGTAAGAAGAGAAGATTCAAAACCTGCCGGAAAATGTTTAAGCAAACTGCTCTATAATCTGGAGCAGACGAGTACGGAACGGATCTCGTTGCAGTGTTACATTTCGAACCGGTTGATCTATTCTACTGTAATACATCCCGTGAGATTGAGATACTGATGGATGATACACGCATGAGGACCACGACGACCAAACGTAAGAAGATTCATCAAGAGCTGGTGAACTTGGTCACGGCCTTGGTGCCCTCGGAGACGGCGTGCTTGGCGAGCTCCCCGGGGAGGACGAGGCGAACGGAGGTCTGAATCTCCCGGGAGGTGATGGTGGGCTTCTTGTTGTACCGGGCGAGACGGGAGGCCTCCTGAGCGAGCTTCTCGAAGATGTCGTTGATGAAGCTGTTCATGATCCCCATGGCCTTGCTGGAGATCCCGATGTCGGGGTGGACCTGCTTCAGCACCTTGAAGATGTAGATCTTGTAAGTCTCGCTCCCCTTCTTCATCTTCTTCTTCTTCTTCTTGTCGCCGGAAGCCGCCGAGGCATCCTTGGAGGGGAGCTTCTTCTCCGCCTTGGGCTTCTTCTCCGCCGGAGCCTTCTCCGCTGCCGCTGCCGCTGCCTTCTTCTCCTCCGCTGCGGGCTTCTTCTCCGCCGGCTTCTTCTCCGCCTTGGGCGCCATCAGATTCTTCCCGGGAGATTGGAAAAATGAGGGCGCGCGCTTGAGTAAAAATTTGGCTTCCCTGCATTCGTATATATAGGATCGATGGGGTGGGTCGGTTACGGAAGGGAAAGGGAACGCGCCGGATCGATGACATGGCAAGATTTTATGCCGTCCGATTTCTTTAGACGACTAGGTAACTCACGGTGTCGATGTGGCCACTGACACCGACTGGCGGATTCCTGGGGACGCGACCGGATCTGCCCATCGCGGGACTTTTTAACTCATTTTTTATTATAAATAAGTTTTCTATTTCGCAAAAAAAAGTACACGTCAGCAGCCCACCGCTGCCTTCGCCTCTGGGGGGCGCAGCCAATATGCCTTATAATTCTAAATAATCTTAAGTATACTTAGATATACATATTTTACATTTAATAAAAAAATATTTATTAATAATTAATAGGCATTTATTTATTTACTTACGACGATATTACATTATTTAGTTAACTTCTCGATAAACAGCTCATTTTCAACGATGCAGTTATCAAGATTAATATAGAAAAAATTAAACAAATTAAAATCGATAAATAATTACGCTGGCGTGTGTGGAGTACGTCAAATATATATTTTCTACATATCTTTTAGTGTAATTTCGAAGCGTCAAAAAAAAACTAAAATAATTTTACGAATTTAAAATTTATCCATTTGGGTGAAAATTTAATGCGCCGTTGCCGGGGATCGAACCCGGGTCACCCGCGTGACAGGCGGGAATACTTACCACTATACTACAACGACTTAATTATTATTATTATTAAATTTAACCATTAATTATGTTTTTTTGAACAACCAATGGTCATATGAAATATAAAATAATATGTATAAAAATAAATGAGAGTCAACATATATTGCAATTTTATTTCTAGAAATAAAGAAGAAAAATCTCGAGACAACTAGTAAACATCCACATACATAAAGGGGGATTGTATCAAGCAATATAAAGAAACTATCATAAGTAAGATGCTTAACTTTTACTAGTTCAAAACTTAATACTATCATGTAGTGGATTACAATCATACAAATGTGTAGGGTGGCTATTCTTACATCCTCTCAATAAAAATCAAGAAACAATATATTAAATGGCAAGTAGTGGATGTAGGGGAGTGAGTGAAGATACTAGCTAGTAGAGAGGGATGTTTGATGTCACTATGAAACTCCCAAAGTTTAGGATGGTGAAAGATCCTCTATATGGTTAAATGCTCAGTAGTCCTAAGTTGCAATCATGAAAAGATAAGAGAGAAAGCTACGATAAGAGAGAGGGCTGAATGGAAGAGAAGATTACACAATGACAATGAAGTTGGAACTCTAACTAGGAGTGATGCCTCACGACCAACCCTAGTGGGGCAACAAGCTCCTCACAACCAACTCCTCAAATTAGAGCAAATGAAAACTGAAATTTCATTTCGAGATATTTTGTTCCAAAAAGTAAAACTTATGGCATCATATATGCCTTATAGTTCCAAACATAAGAGGTAAAACAAGTTATTCGTTAGTAATAAAGGAAGTCACCAATGTATGCATGGTTTTGATGATGTTAGGGTCAGCAATTGACTTATGCACTTTCTTCAATTAGACAGTGCGATCTACTTCACCTCTCAAATACACCTTGTTTAGCTCTCTTGTTTGATCCATGAATTCTGAAATGGGCTCCAATCTTGCATCAAGTGGTCAATTCCCTCATTTAGTATCTTACATGCATACACAACCTTGTCTTAGCAGCGTGCAGTATTGACTATAATAGTAAGGATTCAAAATATATTAATCTAAAAAGTTATGCTACTTGAGAAATGATTGATGTCAACATATGATGATCTACTTGATGAATAAGAAAGAAAACCTCAAATTCAACTTAGAGGTTCCTTCATTTAAAGTCACTTTGATGTCAATAATATATTCATTTTCATAGTTTGGTTAAGTCAAATAATCAATGTAAAAATTTATGGAATTCTTTCAAATGCAAAAGTCATATAGACAATAAGGTAATAAATTAATCAAACTCTCTAAAATTTATGCTTATCTCATAAAATAAAATAAAAAAGGAATCAATTTTATGAGTTATACTATTGTGGGCTTCATGTACTTCAAGTAGCTTTCATAGCATCCATGATGAACATGCAAAAAGACTTGAAAAATCAAGTGAAGTTGTGACCATGCTAGTAGCACTAGTAAGCTTATAAACAAAATAATAAAAAACAACTAAAGACCCTTTTTTTTTCATTTCATACACTTAAAGGAGATTGAGAGGTAATACTTGGCCTCCATAAATAAGAAGGGGGGAATACTTGGACTCCATAAATATCCATTTGCACAAACATTCAAAGAGTGCATCAACAATATATCAAATCCTCCCACTTATTCTAAAATTACTTATTAAAGTTACATTGCAAGAGCAATTTTGATACATACTTCTTAAAAATCAAGGAAGTTCATCTTATTATGATGAAAATTATTTTATTTCCATTTATATGTAAATTCGTTCTACATAGTGCTTGTAAAAAATAGTAGAAAAGTAAGTAAATAATTTGGTGTCTTGTGTAGAGTAACATACAAGTGAAATCTATCGTGCTTACATACATATTGATCTTATAAACTTTAATTGTAAATCTCCTAAGGAAAATAGTAAAAAATAAGGGCGCATAATCATTATAAAATAGAAGTGAACAGTAAAAAGATAGAACCATTACAATCTCAACATATTACACATGTAAACATATAATGTATCGGCTTATTGTGTACATAACTAGTAAAAATAATATATTTTAGTTGGAATCTAATTCACCCACTTCTGGGTAGTCAATATAACCTACCTTTGGATGAAGAGGATTAGCTTTATACATCCTCTTAAAATGACTTAAATACTAAATATGGACACTAACTCAACATAAAATAAAATTGAAGGTATCAACATAAAATCAATACATATATTCAAATAGATTACAAGACAATGGTCACTTTTCTTGTCTATGGTTTGTTTTTAAAGATAATAAATAATTCGTAAATTAAAAAAAAACACCATTCTAATATTACTCTTGACAGCATCAACTATCTTGTGGCCACTATGGGCATAAAGAAATATCAAAAGTTATAATAACATAATCCATCCATGTGAAAGAGAATGACTAGAAGTTACTAATTTCATGAATGTGATCAAGAACATGGATAACATTTTCTAGGCTGCCCTCTTCTTTCCTCATTCTATTCTACCACTAACTTAGCATATTTCTTTTGTCATTTTTACCTTATAATATTTATCTTGTATGCTTCACTTTGTCCTTTCAAGAAAAAATTACTATTCACTTTCATAGTAAATATCAATACTTCCTCCTTGGACAAAAATGTTAAAAAACATGCCACAATTTCTATGAAATAGAGTGATGAAAAGGACAAAACTGAGAGGCATGCACCAGCCGGGAATCGAACCCGGGTCTGTACCGTGGCAGGGTACTATTCTACCACTAGACCACTGGTGCGACTATGATGACCATGAAGTTCAACCATTTCAAATAACTTCAAAGTCCACCAGCTGCTCATGCTTCTTGAGAAGTCCCATCTATCATGGAGTATTGTCCCACACTAGTGGGAGGGCACGATGATCTTGCTTCATTTGCAGGATTTCACTACTGGGTCCAGTCAAAGCTGATACTTTTAGGCAGGATCCACTCATTATCTCTGGAAGAATGAATGTGGGTCGTTTGTCACTGATTGAAAATCGCGAAGAGGATTTTCGGACTCAGCGGGAGGGCAAAAAATGATCTAAATTTCCCCCTACCGGATCGAAAGTGAATATGGTGATGCCATCGATTCATCTCGTAGCCTAAAAAAAGTCATTTTATTGAAGAAATAATGGCAATAAATTAGCATTTTAAGTATATATTAACGACCTAATGTGACAACTCCAGCCAGCCAGCCAGCCCAGGAGAGGCCCCTCTCCCAACGACGGAGCTCAGCACGCCCTGGTCCGGTGGGCATCCTCCGGGGGCGGCGGCGGCTTGCCGGTCACCGGCACGTGTCGGCTGTCGTGCCCCGCCTTCTGCTCCAGCTCGGAGCTCGCCCTGGCGTCGCCGCCGGAGCGCTCGTCGAGCCACGTCACGATGTCGGAGAAGACGACGGCGATGTTCTCCGGCGGCTCGCCGGACGTGAGGGCGTGCCACATCTCCGGGTACAGCTTGAAGGTCTTGTCGGCGCTCGCCGCCGTCTCGTACAGCAGCCCGCTGACCGCCGGGTCCGTCACCGAGTCCTCGCCGCCGTGGACGATGATGAACGGCAGCGATACCTTCACGAAGTTGCACCGTTAAAGCCGTCATCAGAGGCGGCTTGTGGGCGTTGACACGCGGAAATATCTCGGACGATCTTTTATAGTTACCTCGTGGAGCTTCTCCTCCATCTGAAGGCTGACCTTGACGAGCTCGTGTCCGGTCCTCAGCCGGGGCCTTCCCTTGTAGCAGTATGGGTTGTTGCGGACCTGCCGACGAGGGAGAAGAAGGGTTGACCGGAATTACAGCCGTGAACAAAGGGGCGGTTAGTGTGAGAAAGAGCTGGAGGATGGGGGAAGAGAGAGAGAGAGAGAGAGAGAATTTTGTGGTTACGTACCTCCATTCTCCTCTCCGGGCATTTAATGGCGGTGTCGATGATGTCCTTGGTGGGGATGATCTTCCACGTAGGGATGACCTTACAGAGCCTGGTTAATATACTAATGACGATCGGGTGGGGCTTCATCTCCTCGGAAATCTGTAAACATCAAGAGAATTACATGAACAGGAGAGAAAGAGAGAGAGAGAGAGAGAGAGAGAGAGAGAGAGAGAGAGAGAGAGAGAGAGGACCTTGCACATTGGGGCTACCAAGATAGCGCCGTTCCAGAACGTCGGCTGCTTCCTGTGCAGGAGAAGGGCAACAGCTCCCCCCATCGACTCTCCGAGAAGGAACCTCTTCTTCGTCCTGTTCTCCGGCCTCTCTGTTCATCATCCGTTCGATCGATCAGAGATGACATAGGCAAAAATTTCATCCTACGGTTTCTTCTTCCTTCTTGTTCTCACCGCAGATGCCGGTGAAGTGTTCGGAGCAGTCGTCAACGACGGCGTCGAAGCTCTCCACATATCCTTGCAGCCCGGAGGACTTCCCATGGCCCTCGTAGTCTATACCATAGACCGCGAAGCCAGCTCTCGTCAGAGGAATTGCGGTTCCTGAAGGCGAATATCAAAACCCTAGCTCGTCAACCGTCTGTAGAACAAGCAAATCTGATATATTATCACGAGATTCTGACGCACCCACCTCTCATCGATATGCTGCATTCCATTGCGTACCCTGCTCCAAATCCATCGTTGAGACGAAGACGATCAGATCAGATACCAGATGGGTCGAAGCAGATCGAGAGAGAGAGAGAGAGAGAGAGAGAGAGAGAGAGAGAGAGAGAGAGAGAGAGAGAGAGAGAGAGAGAGAGAGAGATTACCATGGCAGAGGAAGATCAGGGCTCTTGGGTCTCTGTTCTTGGGGAGCCACCGGCATGTGAAGAGCTTCATCCCTCTGGAGTTCTCCACGTATTCCTGCAACCATCGGAAAACAGTTGAATCGTCGGAAAATTATCCCGGAATTAGCCTTCTCTTTCGCCGACAGGAGTCGGAAGACGAACCTCATCGTAGTGCCATTCGTGGCTATTCTCGGTGGTTTTCTCCTGTCAACGGTGAAGAACAGAGAAGAACACGAAGGTAAATGAGATTAGGAAGAAGAAGAAGAAATCGCGTGAGAGATGAGAGAACAGGGTTTGAATCTACCATGGCGAGATGCTGCAGGTCTCGAAGAACCGGAAGATTGGAGAGGAAAGAACCGGAAATCAGTATGAAAAGGATGGAAGGGCACAGGGCTGCGACCACGGTCAGCGGGAGGGAAGACGCGGAAGAAGATAATTGTGGACGTGGAACGGGGATCGGTCAGCGGACATACACGTCAGCCACCTTTATCACGAGGGCGGTAGTCAGCGGGTATTGAATCAATATGATACTTCTTCGGTTAGTAATATTCAGACCGCATAGCGCAGTGGATTAGCGCGTCTGACTTCGGATCAGAAGGTCGTGGGTTCGACTCCCACTGTGGTCGCATCATTTTTTGGCCAATTTCGGATAGTGGTTTTCTCCCAATCTTTGCAGATAATCTGGGCCTCGACTTTTTAGAACGATATATCGGATTCAACGGCCACAATCTTCGTGTTTCCTCGTTTACCCGCCACCTGTCGGTCCATGCGTGCTACTCCCCTGGTCAAGGCGTTTCCAGGTGTACCTAAAAGCCCACCCACCTCTCCACGGGTTCTCTCTACCAAACCACAACCCTGCCCTTCGTTCACCCTTAAACTACTAAAACTGCCACTCCATCTTTTTGCTATATTTACGGGCCCCAGAATTTGATCTGTATGATCAGAGAGAGAGAAGGAGATAGCAGGATGGTGACAGTGGAGCTCCCCGCCGTGTCGGAGCTGGATATCGAGGGCTTCGTTTTCCCTCCCGTGGTGGCGAAGCCTCCGGGGTCCTCCAAGTCGCTGTTCCTCGGTGGCGCAGGTCGGCTTCCCGCTTGATTTCTGCCCAGATTTCATTCGTCCTGTTTTTGTTTTGTTTTGCTGGTTCCCGGAGACTGATCTATGATCCTGCTCTCGGATCTGTGATTCAGGGGTGAGGAGTCTGGAAATCCAAGGGAGGGTGATAAAATTCACCTCCATCGGGGTGTACGTGGAGGCGGAGGCTGTTCCATCCCTCGCCGTCAAGTGGAACGAGAAGACGGCGGAGGAGCTGGCGGACTCCGTCGACTTCTTCCAAGATATCGTGACCGGTGAGATGAATCTTCAGTGCCGCGGTGTGGATGATCGCCAAAACAGGTCGTCCGATGTGCGTCCTGATGAGGCATTGATGTGATTTTGTCGCGAACTCTTCGGATCGGCTCGCAGGAGCTTTCGAGAAGTTCATCAGGGTGACCATGATCTTGCCGCTGACGGGGCAACAGTACTCGGAGAAGGTGGCGGAGAACTGCGTGGCCTACTGGAAGGCCGTCGGGATCTACACGGACGCAGAGGCCGAAGCCGTGGAGAAGTTAAAGGACACCTTCAAGGATGAGACCTTTCCCCCGGGTTCCTCCATCCTGTTCACGCAGTCCCCTTCTGGATCCCTTACGGTGAGTCCTTTTCCCGCCAAATTGAGCTCACTCGAATCACGGAATCTCCGATCGCGAATCCGGTCGCCGGTGCTGATTCGATCTTCTCGCTTCTCCGATTTTATCTCAGATCGCGTTCTCCAAGGACAGCACCCTCCCGGAATATGGGAAAGCGGTGATCGAGAACCAGGCAATGTCACAGGCGGTCTTGGAGTCGGTTATCGGCCAGCACGGCGTGTCCCCTGCAGCCAAGAAGAGCTTGGCGTCGAGGATCTCGGAGCTCCTGAAGAGTGTTAATGGCGGGGAGAACGGCCACGTTGAGGCGGCGCCACCGTCGCTGAACGGTCACGTTGGGCCAGCGGCACCGCTGCCGGAGAACGGCCACGTCAAGGCGGCGCCCCCCTCGGAGGACGGAACGACGCCGGAGAAGACTAGCCAGTGAGGGAGGGAAGAACGCACGCGTGCGTCGTTAATGGGCCTCGTCGTCCTCTTTTTTGGGATTCCATAGTCCCTAAATGGGCCATCTTAGTAATATTATAAAAATGAGTTATCCTTTTCAAGGCCCAGTTGTCCAAGAAGATCAGACGACCCATCCATTTGAACTTGTTAGGCCCATATTAGCCCATCAAAGCCCAACCCACTGGATCCAACTCAAGGCTACAGGCGCCAACGGGTAGCTCCATAGCTCTCTCTCGCTCGCTCTCCCTCTCTCTATCTCGTCCCTCTCTCCCTCTTCTCCCTCCCCCCTCTCTCTCTCTTTCTCTCTGATGGAAAGGCGATGTTGTGTTAGAGCGAGAGAAAGGGAGAGAGAGAGAGAGAGTGAGTGAGTGAGTAGAGTATGAATTCTTGTGAATCGAGAAGACTTTGGGCATCTAAACCCTATTATCTGCTCCTGGTTTCATCTCGAGCAAGCAAAAAGATCAAAGAACCAGCCGAGGACTTCTCAAGAAGCTGTTACTGCTTTTCAGATGACAGAAAGTCTGCGGTAAGAAAACACGGAGACAGAGACAGAGAGAGGGAGGCATCAGATCAAGAAACTCTCTCTCCACCTAACTGGAAGCCTGGTAGTTACCCAAGTCAACGCTAGCCGTGCAGGCCAGCAACCGGAGGAAGATGGATCGGACGGCGGCCAACGAGACCTCTCTCAGCCTCCTTACCACCCCGCACTTTTCCTTCTCCTTCTTCTTCTTCCTCTTCTTCTCCATACGGCCGACGCAGCAGCAACCAGGGGTCATATTCCCGTTGACTATTATTCCACCCACCTTCTTCTTCATCTTGCCGAGGCACCTCCTGGTCCTCTCGGGGACGCTCTCCTTCCTGGAGAAGGTGTAGCTCCTCAGGTACATCTGCCGGCACGAGTAGCTATCCACCACCCGCGGCTGTTGCCACTGGCGGCGCCGCTTCTCCCCCTCGCCGCCACAGACCCTTCCGACGAACTCCACGTCCGACTCCGGCCATCTGTACAGGTTCACGTACGTTGCCCTCACCGGCGCTCCCCCCTCCATGCAGCCCATCTCTCTCTCTCTCTCTCTATGAAACTCTTCTTCTCTCAGGGTCATCTCAGAGCTGGTCTCTTCCTTCCTTTTATCTTCCTTCGTTAGCCCAAGAGGGAACCAGGCGTTGACTATTCCGCCGCCATGGGAGGCTGCGGGAGCATGATGGCGGCTGCACTCGAACCTCTTTCTTGCTCATGAAAGCTCTCCTCAGGTGGTGGCGGTGATGATGACGGCGGAGGTCTCGAGATCGCTCGCGTGGCGCGCCATCATTGGACCAGCTGGCAATCTTTCTCTGCACTCCAAGTTACGCCCACAGCACGTGAATGATAGAAAGGACAGAGATATGGTGAGAAGAAGGCAAAGAAAACCCTAGATTTGTCAGCATATTTACGCTATTGGACCTAAAGGCCAAGTACATGGAAAGCCCAACAAATATTGGGCTTAAATGGGCCGTCGTCACAGTCCGCATGGCTTGTCAATATGGAGAGCACAAAAATGTATCAAGTAGTCTTTGTCAGTATAATGAATTTAATCATTTTAAAGAATATAAAATATCAAAAAAATCTAATTTTTATTATGCTCCGAATGTGTGCGAGAGACGTTATCAGGTCGGATACGGGGTCAACGCTGCCGTGGTTTTCCTGAGATCCATGCTTTTCGGAGGTCACGAGTCAACTCATTTCAGATTCTGGAAAAGGAACTCGGCGTGGACTTTTTCCCGGGGAGACCCCGCTGATAAAGATCGACATTACTGAGTAACCGAGATATATTTCCCCGGGTTTGACGCGATTCACCCTCTACGTGCACACGGCAGACGACAGCACCTCTGAGACTAAAGAGCAGACGGACCATGCAGCAGTGGGAAAGTCGACAGCAGCTTCCGAAGCTGAGGAACCAACCGGTCAATCCCCTCCAAGCAGAAGAGAGCCGTTCGCGTTCCGAAGCTTCCATCCTCCAAGATTCAGGGAGTCAAAATGATACTCCATTTCCATTTTTGGCTAGCAGCTGAACTCTTGATAGTTATGACCCCTTCGCAGGTCGCGGGCAGAGCCAACAAGCTGGTCAACGGCTCCCTGAAAGAGGAGAAAAGGAAAGATCGAAACTGATGCGACCCTGTGATCATAGCTGATGAGAACGAGGCAAAGAAGTCAACAACCGTATGGTCTGCAGATCCAGGTTGCGGGTTCCTTCCCACTAAATCAGGTACGGATATATATCACCACAACCAACCCTCCTGAATGCACCGAGTCTGTCGCTGCAAAAAGCTGGATATCCACAGGGAGCTATTCAATCCCCACGGACAGCCCATCGGAGTTTCCAAAATGGGCAAAAGCAGGGCCTTCTTCTGCCGGACAAGAATGTCTCAGGCTTGTTATTATCTGTACAACTTCTTCCCTCTCCCGAGCGGATCTGTGGCTTCAAAAGAGGATTAAAACCTCCGCCTCTTCAGCCGGGCATCCCCGAGCCTGCCGCTGTGCCACCCTTGGCCACTGCCACGGTCATAATCACCTTCCTGCTCCTCCACGCCAGCCAGTCTCCGGACGTTCCTTAGTCTGTTTCTCAGATCGCCGCCACCCCTCATGGGGGCAGCTCTCCTGGTGAATTCTTCACCTGATTCATGGTGCAACCTGATGGCCCCTGGAATGAATGATCGGCTGTGCCCGGCGCCATCGTCCCCCCCAGTGAATTGCTGCCGCCTGCCGAAGGGCTGATCGTCGGAGCTTCTCCTCTCCTCTGGGCACAATTCATCTCCCAGTGGCTGGTGGAAATTGCCGGCGTAGTCTGGGTTCATCCTCCGGTTGCTGCCCAATTCAAAGTCAAACCTCGGCATATCCACCATCGGCACATGAAGCCCGGAAAAGTGAGGAGAGATGTGCCTTCTGCTCGGCATATCATCGGGGGACCTGTGGTGCATCAGACTGGGGCGGGTGTCAAACACCTCTGGAGATCTTCGAGGAGGACGCCATGGATGGTGAGAGAAGCCCCTCGAAACCTGGGGAGAGAGGCTCCTTCTCTCCCTTCGTATCAGAGAAGAAGAATCCACCATGCCATCTGCAAAACACCTCGATAAATTGTCTTCTCGAAGAATACTTACTCCTCCTGCTGCTCCTCCACTGCGCCTATCGGGGCCGAGGTCCCTCATCGTCCTGTGAACCACACGGAGGCCAGCCGGCAGGGGGCCTCTCCTGCCAGGGCAGGGTCTTCTTCCTGGCAGGTGGCGGCACAGATTCTTCAATTCGTCGTCATCATCATCATCCTCATCATCATCCATATGCCTTCTCCCTATCCTACCAGGGCTGTCATAGATGTCATCTGTGGAGATGGCAAAACCAGGTTCAACTGCACGCTTGTGGCCGGAGATTAGGCAACTGGTAGGCATACTGAAGTGTTCCGAGGGGCAGCCCCGGTCGGTATCCCAACCGCCACGAGGAGAGCCCAACGGATGACTGATCCTCCCGCGCATCCGCAGGCCGTCTGATCGTGCCTTCTGCATTGCCTGATCTAGGTCTCTGTCCTTTCCGAATCTGGGCATTCGACTGAGGCACTCCTCGTCTCTGAGGTTGGATTCGGAAAAAAAAAAACGAACGTGAGCAATCACATAAGAAGAAGCAGTAGTAAATCAGCCCTGAGAAATCCCGAATGAGATAAATCAGCCGGGAATATTAAAAGATGGATAATGAAAGCAGAATTTCACCTAGAACTCTTCGAGTGCACTTCCTCTCGCCTAAGTGGTTTATTCTCGATCCTCTCCCTTTTGAGCCATGGTGACGACCTACCGTAGGGAGCCTGCGTCCCCCCAGATGATGTAGCGGGCGATGAACATAAACGTACCATGCGGTCCCAAATATTTCTACTGCTCGCATGCTTATCTGCGCCGTCATTTTGCGGTACACCTGCCTTCAGTTGACTTGACTGATCCACAGATTCTTTAACCAGTTGGGCGCCTAAGTCTTCGATGATATCACCGGGACCTTTCATACAGCTCATGTTGTTGATCTTTTTGAGTGCCAGATTTGTTTCAGGGTCCTTTTTACCCAAGCCCTGTGGCATTCTACGAGTAATCTTCATTGCTTTCCTTTTCTTGGGCTCTGCCGCCATCACATGGCCCGCTGATGATTCTTTCACATCCTCCGACACGTTGGAATCTGTAGCATTATTCACAGGGAAAGGATGAGGGCCAGACTCTGTGGTACAATGAACATCCTTTAACTCTTCGGGCTTTTCTGGAGTGCTCTCATTCCCAACCAAGATGGATGGCTTGAAGTCGACGGTTCTCTTTTCGTTGATGGTATATGAAACCCTGGTTGCACCACGCAACAGTGATTCTCTGAACTCACCATCCTCATAGTCGTCGTTATCAGTATGCAACTTGGACACTGCCTCCTTGACCAAAACTGCATCATGAGAATCTAATGGCTCATTTCTAATCTCACTCATTTCAAATTTCTTCACCTCTGGCTTTGACTCCGCATTTATTAGTCCATTTTTAGTGGACTTATCCCACGTAGTCACATCCACTGAAATACATCCTGATGGACCGGTGCAATCATCCGAATGTGACACCTGTTCACAGATCTCTGCCATAGCATTGGAAACTTCTTCCTCCTCGTCCTTGGAGTCGTCCACCACCTCAGCTCCCTTGAGTGGGCCAATCTCATTTTCTTCTGTGGGGGTGGGCTCAGAGGACAATTCTGAAATTTTATTGGCATTCCCTTTTACATCCTCCTGTAAAGCACGGATAGATGGAAAATCGATACTTTGGGACTCATTGGCGTCAGAAACAACATGTCTTGAAGTGTTGTCTGGGGATCTACTGATGCTCGGACCTGGATGATGAGGTGGGTCAGCGTTGAAAGGCATATCTTGGCCTGCATCTATCTCAGTATCATCAGGAACTAAGGCTTTTGCAGCAGACACTGTTTCTGAATCGGTAAAAGTTTCTCTCATGACTTGGGAAGCATCAAAATTGGGAGGCACTGGACTTTCGTGCACATTCTTACAATCTACAACACCACCATCGTTTGCAACAGGAGGCATCACCTCTTTATTCAATGTTCCCAGGCTATCCAAACTGTGTAAACTCCCTTGTGGCAAACTCAAACCGTCAGGGGTAGGAACCTCGAGCTGTTCTAATTTAATGCCAACCGCACATACTGCTCCCGAGGCGCTTAGACTTTCTGCCCTGGCACTTTCTTGCTCAACCACCACCATTAGCTCAGTATCATCAGGAACTGAGGCTTTTGTAGCAGACACTGTCGCTGCATCAACGTTGGGAGGCAATGGACTTTGGTGCATACTCTTACAACCTACAACACCACCATCGTTTGCAACAGGAGGCATCACCTCTTTATTCAATGTTCCCAGGCTACCCAAACTGTGTGAACTCCCTTGTGGCAAACTCAAACCGTCAGGGGTAGGAACCTCGAGCTGTTCTAATTTAATGCCAACCCCACATACTGCCCCCGAGGCGCTTAGACTTTCTGCCTTGGCACTCTCTTGCTCAACCACCACCGTTAGTTCAGTATCATCAGGAACTGAGGCTTTTGCAGCAGGCACTGTTGCTGCATCAACGTTGGGAAGCAATGGACTTTGGTGCATACTCTTACAACCTACAACACCACCACCGTTTGCAACAGGAGGCAGCACCTCTTTATTCAATGTTCTCGGGCTATCAAGACTGTGTGAACTCCCTTGTGGCAAACTCAAACCGTCAGGGGTAGGAACCTCAAGCTGTTCTAATTTAATGGCAACCCCACATACTGTTCCCGAGGCACTTAGACTGGCTGTCTTGGCACTCTCTTGCTCAACCGCCTCAGACACTTCCAACTTTATATCTCTCACACTCGCTGATTCTAAGTTGTCTGCTTTCATAAACTCGGAGTTCTTGTCACCGTCCCCATCAACTGGCTCAGTTTTGCCGGCACTGCCAGCACCACAAGCAGCCAAGTTTGAGCCATGAGTTAATGACGTGAAATCGGTTGATAAACTCAAATCATCTGCTTTACGCGCGGCTAGGATAGCAGGGGAGAAGCTCACACCGACTTTGGAGTATGAGGTAGATCCAGAAGCTGGGTTGAGGTGCAGATTTAGATCGGTATTGACAGCACAGGTTTCACCAGGAAGGTTTAATGTGTTAGAAAGCTTGGAGCTGGAGGCACCTCCGGAAACCCCACAATTCCATGAAATTGCAAGGGCACTGTCAGATTCTTGACAAGTCTTCTCAACAGAGTCCATCTCCGATACGTTGAGATTTCCATTTCCCAAGTCTGGATCTTCATTAGCAACTGGGCCACGGTTCAAAGTTGTATCAACAGTTGATCCCTCCCATGTGTCCATCGTAGTATTCAAATTCCAGTGTGATCTACTCGAGTGCTGTCTAACAAGGCTAGCCCCAAACTTACTGCCTTGTTCGCTTGGAGTGTTAAATTGTCTCTCAGGCAGTGCAAGTTCTAACTCACAGTGACCAGATTCTTGTTGAATTGACGATGCGATTGACTCCCCCAAAGGAGGCTCATTCTGCAAATTCAATGGGAAAGGAAAGCCGCCATTTGCTAAGACACTCTGAAGTGCAGATTTATCATTCGAACTGAGCTTGCTTCCAGAACTTCCACCTCCTAGTTTTAATCCAACTTCATTTTTTTCTGAAATAGGCCCCAGAATAGGTCTCAGTGCAGACATATTTTCAGAAATAACATTTTCTCCCTTCAGGATTTCGTTAATAGTGTTAGTACCTAAAGTGAACTTCAGACCACTAAAACTGTGGGAACTTCCACAATCCTTGGCTAGATTTTCTCTTTCAGTGGAATGTTCGGCCATAAGAGCCAAAGATGAATCCCTTAAATCACTTCCACCCATATCGTGGTGCTGACCAGAAACCTGAGAAAAACATGACTCTTGTATTGGGAATGTTATTTCACTTGATTGCCGTTTTCCATCGTCTGCAGGGAAAGCTGTTGACTGAGACGGAGGTGATGGTGACCGAGTAAAAAGGAATCGTCTTTTCTTGATTGGCACACCCATGGCAAGGTCACTGGTGCTCCATGGAGAAGACTTTACTCCGTGCTGCCAAAGAACAATCAACAATAGGTATTAGTACATATAGTCAGAGTCCCCTTATCCTATAAAATCAGGTTTGATCATAAGAAAAACAAAATATACCTCTTCTTTTTGGGTTGACGACATATCTCCACAGAATGATGATAATTTGGTCACTGGTTCGAGTATATGTGTTCCTTATGGCATACCCAAAACTCAATTACAAAGCTAGAATTTTGTCACTGATCTGCCTTAACCCGTCTGGATTTTGTGCGTTCACACTACCAGAAACGTGGAAATGAGAATAGTGTAACCTGTTCAACGAAAATAAGGAAAATTAACAATCAAAAAGCCAATTTGATGTTATAGTATGTATACATTCCTTTTGATTGGACAAAAGTCTTATTTCTGGATTTCCTTAAAAAGGATAACTATACATTCAAGACCATGGAATTAAGCATAGATCAAAAACATCTTATTTTCTTCAGCAACAAAACTCTAAATCTTGACCAAATAATTAAACTCCACACGAACAAGGAAACAATATAAAGGTAGCACTGACATCAGTGTTACTTGAAAACCTCTACACAATTACGTCTGAAACAGCAAGAAGAAAGAATCTTTTTTTTACAGCATACAATTCGGATTCATAGAACCACCCTTTGAACCCCATGCTGCTCACTCAATCATGTATGGCGTCATTGGAAACTGATTCCATAAAACCATAGAAGTCAAAATTCTTTGTCATCTTCTTCAACCTGCTGCACAATCAGTACGCCCCTAAACTGCAGAATGTCAACAATGCGCTTACCTGAAAAATGTCTCACTGACGAACATTGCTCCCCAAATTATGCAAAACGCTCAGACACATTCAAACACAACAAGACTCTCGTAAGAGCAAGAGCTATGTATTGTCCCAGTCGCTGCAATGTGCCAATCAGTAACATAAAAAACATTTACCCTTGGAAATGTAAAAATACCCAAAAATTTCAAATGAGCCTATTTGAACAAGGATGATAGAGGATCAAGAAATGAATATCCTACCGGATGTAAGCATCAACAGACTGAATACCTTAAAAAATATCTCTTAGATCCCTTTTTCCCTAGTTTTATATTTTTCTATTTTTTCTTCAAAATATTTCCCTTTTCCATTATTAAAAATGCACTCCCTCGAACCCTCAGGCCAGCCATTTGGTTTCAGCAGGCCGAAAAAAAAAAAGAAGAATATGGATCCATTGTTTGGAAAGCTGAACTAATCAGATATCTAAGGGTCGGGGTTTGCGGAGATAACTCTGCAGTCGTCATGATCCAAAGCCAAATACGTCCCAACTGACACCAAAAGCTTCTTCACCATGAAAAACCTTTTAGAAAATTAAGCAATCATACAGTTACAGTCAAAAACCTTCATCTTGAAATGTGAACTTACATTGGTTCTCTTACCCAGTGAAATAAGTAACTCGATATCTAAGGTGTATGCGTCCGTTATGATCAACCCTTCTTATCACTCAGCAAGTGGGCCCGGCATCAACAAAATTATGCACAGAAAGCCCCGAAAGCAGTTCGAAGTCATCCAATAAATGCCAAATATCAGCACTAAGAAATCCAAGTCCCCCTCTTCAAAGGACTGAGGAAACTTTTATCTTGGCAGAAAACCAGGGGTCATTCCTTTAGAGTGAAATTTACAAGTTGATTGAATGACCGATAGGGCAGGTGTAATTTACAGACACTAGAGGGTTGTGTGCTTTGTGTATGCGTGTGTGAGAATTACACAATTCCCTGAGCATGATCTCTTGTTGTCCCCTCGCAGTGGCAATAGACACAAACCATACTATGAACGCAGCATTCAAGTTCCGCATTTTCTGCCAAATGGATTTCATGCAGCTCACAACGGGAGAAACTCCCCGCGGATTGTGCACCTCATCATCATGAAGCATGCCACTGAAATCCCACAGATGGGAATCGACCATCAAAGTTGAGAAATACAACTAAACAAGGATTCATGCTATTCCCCTACATCTGCAGCCAGGTTAATAGTAATGTAAACTTTTTGGGAAAACCATGGTTCCCTGAGACCAAAATATACTATGCTGTCGTCAATTTCTCTGAGATACAAAAATGACTCGGAGTTCAACATGGCAAGAAAAGAATCACCGGTGAAAACCATTACAGGCCATCTTGTTTACTGCAGTTTAGTAATGAACGAGAACATTTCATGTCTACGCATTTCACAGGACATGTTTATTTCACTCCCGGAGGCACAGTGATAAGTCACAACAAGGAACATCATAAAATATCAGATCAAATGAAATTGTTGAACCGGATCAAGAGGCTTTCATAGGGCATAAATATCGGTGGTTTCACCAACAAAGCCATAAGACGAAAAGATGAACAAGACACCCGCACATGGCATCAAAATTCTTCCTCTGGAAACTAGGTCCATAATCTAGCTCACCCAAAAGTGATAAAATAACCATTGAAAAATTGACAAGAATCCGATCATAGTACTAGAAACTTAGAACGGAGGCACAACAAAAGGCGTACGAGATGATCAAATTCGGAGCAAGAACGTCGTAATATTAATTGAGCTGCCTGTCGGAAATAGGAAAATCACCCACAAAACATGCCAAAACTTCCACAAAAGGAAGGAATTCGTAACACGATTTTCGTGATGTAAGGTGGTGGCAAAGAGCGCCCCTGGTCGAGATCCACCGCTTACCGATCTCGAAAAAATTACGATCCACGATTTTCCGTCAGACAAAGAAGACACTAGTAAATCTCGAGGGCACGGAAAAGCATCACACATAAAGCTAAGCCGACAGAGAGGGGATAGGCACTCTCCAAACCATGCCAAACTGCCAACTCTAATCAGAACTAGGAAGGCGAAGAAGCGAGAGCTGTGACCTGATCGAAACACGAGATATCCTCATCCGAAGACGGAAGAGGAAAGGATGCCGTATCCACACCCCCAGGAAAACCTAGGAACAGAGAACCAGAGGTGGACAACAGCCCACCGACCGGCCTGTGATTCCTGTTTTTCATCCCCTACCTGCAAAATAAAGCCCATTGGGATAGTGCCCTTCTGCAGCCCCACGATCACCCCTAGCCGACATGGAAGTGGGTTTTGATGGGCTTCCTACGAAGTGACGTCATATACACGCCATCTCACCGTTCGATCACATCAGACGGTACATCTAGAAGGGACTACCGTCGAAGGCCACCACTCCAACCGCCGGCTGAAGGGCCGATGCTTGATGGATGACATTTAGCTTTTGATTCGTCAGGGAATTCTGCCGTCCGGCCTCTTTTATCTGTATGACACGTGGAATGGCTCTTCAATGCGCGACACGTCTCTGATTCGGCAAACGATAAATAGGAAGTGACACGTAGACAACCCACGTCATATCTAAAGTTCTAATAAACAGAAAAAATCTAGAAACTGGAAACTTGGGAGCGGCCCATATTTGCCATACTCGGCAACCGCCATAATTCCATCTCCAAGAAGCCTATCAATGGGCCTTAAAATATATACTCGGCCAGTACGAAACGGGCCTGGGGTCAATAGTGCTCCGGCCCGGGCCCGAATCTTGTGGAAACAGGCCCGCTTTGCGGTTGGCCCTCCGTTTAACCGCCCTATTAGTTTTAAGTGGGAAGGAATGGAGTGGCGGAGGGAGGTGGCACAGAAGTAGACCAGAGCGTCGCCGCCGCCAGGGGGTCGCTGGTCGAGTCGACGGCGGAGCAATGAGGGCGGCGGGGCATCGTCTCACCGGTCTCCGCTTCCGTCATCTCTCCCCCCGACCTCTGGATTTTCTGTGCTTCATTGGAATGGAATCTCGAGCTGCCATTTCCACGGAGGTCTGTTGTCTGAGATTCCATGATTCATAAGTATCTCTCCGTTTCTTTCGGCCGCAGGGGACGGCCCGGGCCTCTTACTCCCCAGCGCTTCGCGAGTAGTCGTGAGAGCCGAGTCTCCGGTCTCCGCGTCTGCCGTTTCATGTTATTGTCATTGGTGCTGTTCTGATATTTCAGGGGACGTTTCTGCTAAATAGAGATGACCTCGAGTTTTTGCCATGGTTGCGACGGAAGTCTGGTCGAGAAATTTCATCAGTGCTGTCCATTGGATGCTCAACTTATGGGAGGTATTGTAATCATTTTTAACTTCATTAAGCGCTCGTATGTGTCTTATGGGATTAAATGAAAGTGATTTTTAATACAGTATTACACCCTTGTTCATGCACGGTTTTCTGGTTCTGGCTGTATATGTGTGACTGCTTTCCTCGATCATATATGATCATTTTCATTTCCTCATTTTTAATTTATTCCATAAACTTTGGACCAGTTGTGCAGAAATTTATCTATATTACATGTTAAAAATAATAATGATGTTTTCCTGTTCAAATTTCAATTCTGTATCTAATCTTCCATTGCTTTCCCCAGTAAAACTTTCTAGAAGACTCGATGGGTGATATGTATGGTCGAGTCAAATGGCCCATTATCTTAGATAATATGAGCTTATCCAGAAGAGGTTTTTTTTTTTTTTTTTCTCACATGCCCAGCTGCTTTGTTTTTCCTTGTTTGTTGGATTGATAGCTTGTTGATCTACAAGATGACCCTCAAATTGATTTGTTACTTTTTGCTTGGGACCCAGCGGGTGTTCACTTGACACGTTTTTCTTTATGCAGGTCACTATTTTCATCTAGGTACATAGACGCTGGAGAATGCATTTTGAGTGTTCCCTACAGTGTTGTATGTCTACCTTTCTTTCCAAATAACTGTTTTTGTGCCTCGCATATTCAAATACCTTTAAAATAAATATTCTGAAGCTTTTAAGTATTTTTTTCAGCAGATAACACCAGATAACATCCCTTCTTTTCTGAAACCTCTTATTGCCAATGATGTTGGAGACATAGGACGCCTTGCCATTGTCCTTCTGGCTGAAAGGAGAAGAGGTCAGGTACTAAATGATTAGGCTGTGGTTGTCTGCCCATTAATATATTCTTTTGATTGAGGTAATTCGTTTTGTTTAATGATATCTTTGTATGATTCATATTGTGTGGCATTAATAAAGTTTATGTTCACTTGTTGGTTCGTCTCACAACTGCAGGATTCTGAATGGGCACTCTATTTCAGCAGCCTACCATACATTGATGATATGCATTGTTTGGTAAATTTTTATTTTTAAGTTTGCTAAAGTCTCTTTATAATTTTTTTATGATGCACACACTTTTATTCTGGTGACACACAAATCTAACAGAATTTTAATGGTGATCTTTCCATTTGAGGAGTTATAGACCTTTACAGTACTTTATGCTCGTTGAGAGATGCCAGTCACATCAACATTCTCAGTTGTTGCTAGGCCAAACTTCCTCATTCTGACAATGGCAGCCTAAGAATTTTTGTGAAAGACAAAGTTAGGAATGAATGAAAAACTAATTTCAAAAGTCACCATTTACCTTATTAGAGAAGGATAGGAAAGGTTTTTTTACCTGGTTTATTGGTATTCTTCTCACATGATTAAACTTTAAGAATAAAAGAAGAACTTTACACAATTTTCTTATTACCTATCTCTTCTCATAATACTGTTATTTCTGGTTGAGCTTTTTAGATCAGTTAAGGTCTGATATAGGCATAAATTGGTTAGTTGCTGATTGAAGGTCTATTATGAACGTTTGCAGATATTTTGGAGAAATGATGAATTGGAAATGATTCGATCAAGCCTGATATACGAGGAAGCCCTTCATCAGCGTATTTGCATTGAAAATGAATTTTTAGCTGTTAAACCGGTATGTATTTTGGTGTGAAGTATGTTTTTCCTTGTTTAGTGTAACTTTAGCTTCGAATCATACCATCTCTGAATGAAATGTTGGACTGACTTTGTATGTTGCCTTATTCTATGCAGGTAATTTTTTTATATATTTAACATAATGTTAAGAATTGTTGAGAAGAGTCTCAGTAATCTCTTAGCGCCACCTTTGTATCTTGCCTCCAGACCAATAATATCTGTAGATCAGTCTTAGGCTGGGGCAAGTTGAGAGAAATATTTCTCTCCATCATGCACATCCCAACCTAGGCTTTCTGTGGTTCTTCTTCTTCTTCGTCTTCCTCTGATTAAACTTTCTGGGTTTCTTCGACAAAAAATAATAGCAGATCAACTTTCAGTCATTGCACTTGCATAGCCTTTCCTTAGGAATATAATTTCATGATTCCCTCTTCATTGTATGGAATCAATCTCTTCTAGGATGCATTTCTTCTGCTGGGACTTTGTTGTGTTGTTTTCTCTTTGTATATCAGTTCATATCTTTCTTCTTTGTAAGAACCATTGTCTGTTGAAACTTCTGTTGAGAAATATGATTCCATGCTATTGGGTTCTTTTTACGGAGCCATTGCTTTCTTAGATGTGTTTCCTCATGGTGGGGTTTTTAATTTGGGTTGTCTTTATTCTCGATTGCATCTCACTTTCTTCATGGAAGAGCCATCTTTTGCATTTAGTGTGTTTATTCTGGATTTTGATCATCTCACACTCTCCTTGCTGGTGAATGAAGTTAAAATAATGTCAAAACTCTGATCTCTTACGTATAGAGCCTTGTACATTGAATTGGAGCGGCTGTACAGACTCCTGTAAGCTGAATCAGAACTTCTATATTTTTTGATAGGCGGAACGCTGTCAGTGTTTACTCTGGCTGAGTTAAAATAAAATATCTTGGCTTCTCTGCTGTATTAGGATGGGTACCTGAGATGTGATTTTTTATTCATAAATATATCTTAACGAAAGTTTACTTCGCTTGGATTGACAACACTCTGGGTACAAGATTACTTGCCTGCTAGTGAGAAGATAAGATAATGATGGAACTGTTGAATAATGAAAACTGTTGTATTACGATATGATATCGAACTTTCATTTAAATACTTTGTATTTGTTTACCAATTTCCAGCTCCGTCCATTCCTCCCTTCGGTTTCCTTATGTTAGATCGTGAATCTTCCTCAGCTCCTCTCTCTCTTCCTCCCCCCCCCCCAAGTTGTGTGTTTTTGTGCCTGTATCCTCTCCCCCGTTGAATCAGCAGTGACGGTTTTCCTTTTGATAATAAAACTTATATGCTCTGTTTTTTCAGGTGTTAGACCACTTTTCAGAATTTTTTGGAGACATTTCATTGAAGAGTTTCATGCATGCTTATGCATTAGGTGTGGGTCTTCTGCTTCCTCTGTTAATTTTTATTCACTCCAGTGCTTGCTGCAATTTTTTTGTGTTTCATTTCCTTCTGATCTACCTTGGTTCATGCACAGTTCCTGGGAAGGCTTCTGCTGCCGCTGGTTATTTAATTCATGAAACTCATGTAGTTCTAAGCCCCATCATATCTGAAAATTCTCTTTGTTTCTATAGGCTGTTAATGATGTTAAATTGGAACGTGATATAGTCTGGAAGTGGTCTAATTAGATCCTTCAGATTCGCATCTATCTGACCTTTCTGGTGATCCTAGAGCTTTCTACAGCTGAAAATGAGTTGGTGCAATCCCAAAAACGGTCCATGTGAATTGCCTATTTTAACGTGGACCTTCATCAGCTGGAATCAGCTGAAATAAATGCATTTTTCTCCCCTAGTGATTTTGGTTAATCCTTTTCCCCTGAGATATCTAATGCAGTTAAAATTGAGAGCACCCCTTCCACCTGTCAAACTCTTCAACAGTGAAGAGGTTAAAAACAGAAGATGACATGTGCTTTAATTATGAAAAAGTGACCAGTTTTTCGTACCCAGTCTTGATTATTCTGGAAATTGTCTTGTGATTGAAGTTCTATTGGACAAGGAAGCTTATTTTGTTAGGCGACCTCGTAATTTTTTTTCTGTATGTGCGTACAGAACCACAAGAATGAATCTTTGGTACAATTTTATTTTGTTAGATGGGGTAGACCATGAAATTCTCATCATGATCAGAAGTTTGGAGAGTTCTTGTGTATGCATCGGTATGGTTGCTGACGAGTTAAGTCTTCATTCTAAGTCTTCATACTGTAAGACTGATGAGTATCTATCATCATATATATATATTTTTTGGTTGAAGATGACCCATGTTGTTGGATAGAGGGCTCTGATTCTCAAGCATTTTTTTTTTCGTACAAAAGTTTGTGATGCAAACTGCGAGATTTTTAAATTATATTTTATTGTAACTAGATTTTTGAGATTTTCTGGACTTCTAGTTTCCTCATATTCTTCTATGCATAGTTGAGATTTATAACGTGTTTTTTATCAAAAGATCACGCATGACATTCATGATCATGTTGAGTTCAATGTTAGCTGATTCTTTTGTACCCCTAGTGCAATATTTTATTTTATTTTATATCGTTTAGTGTATTTCTTTGTTTCAGTATCATGAAATCCGCTTCATTCCAGTTCTATTGTTTCCATTTTTGTCCCCCAAGTTTCTTGTGAACTATGAATAAATTATTCTTTAAACCTGCAGTTGGATCACGTGCATGGGGAACCTCGAAGGGCTTATCTTTGGTATCGATCTCTTCAAACTAATATCTATTAATAGCATCACTTTGATTGTTTCTATTTTATGTGAACAATACTATAATCTAAACCAGATTCTAGATCCCATTTGCAGATTTTCTAAATCACGATGGGAATTCAGAGAATGTCTTGATGGATGACGAAGATAATGAAACCTCTGTGGTATGTCATGGATTTTATCACTTCCAAAGTTATCTCCAAGGTGCCCTAGAAGTACCATGTGATTATATGTCTGTCTAGTGGAGCGTATTATCGAATTTCTAGTAATGTTACATCATTCATCTGAGTTTATTATTAATTCATATACATATCGCATGAATTATCATTCCTTTATTAACAAGCTACTGTTATGCCTTTTTTTGCTTGTGGATTAAGTCTAGGTAATTTCTGGACGAGATTATGCTGCAGGCGAACAGGTTGGCTATGATCTTCTTTACTTGTACTATTTTTCTCTTATTTATTCTCAACGTCTCAAGTATCTTAGCGTACTATCTTGAATAGTTGCTTTTTCAGTTGTGGATTTCTCTATCTGATAAATGTAGTAGCCGACGACATCAAATTTGTTTTCCCTCGATAGTTTTCATTTTACAGTGGTGGAGAAAAGTTATTCAAACCATATGATTTATTAGTGTATCGAGAAGGGCAACTAATTTCTAACAATCAAATGCTTCTCTTGATTTAGTTTCTTACTTGTTGTTCTTTCTGAGGATCAATCAACTCGCTAAGGAGGAAATAAGTCGTGATCTCCAAATGGCGGGTCTATATGTGGAGAAATGTGTAGATATTCTTAGATTTTTGGTTAGGACTTCTGAGTGAATTATTTTTCCAAGCTCATTCACATTATCCTACGCTGTAAAATAAAAGAAATCTAGACGAGGGTCCCTGAAAACTGAAGGCTAGAGGCTGGTATAATTTATTTAAGTAGATCTTTGTTCCATCTGCGTCACTGGTTGCCACGGAAACAAATCTGATGCTTGGCGTGCAGGAGCGAATGTAGAAGGATGAGATACAGTGCCTCGGATGGATCGTTTCTTTCTCCTGGAAATTGAACTCGTTTGTCTTTGTTTGAGTTTCAATTTGTTTCTTTACGCCTACTTGTCTTCTCTACTTGCCTCGAAGTCTTTGAGATGTGTAATTTCGCCATTTATTTAATTTATTGTGGTGGCTTAGTATAATACCCATTGTGGATAGACATAACAGAGGGTGGTTGACCAATTCGATGGCCTGTCATTTTTGGGCTTATATCATTATCATCAGGGAGCAGTTTTTATCTCTATTGGATTTCTTTGCAGCTGGACCCTTTACTCCTATGATTTTTAAATACCCTTTTGACCTTGGTTTATTGGACTCATTTCTTGTCACAGAGTCCTTATACATTCTTAGTTCATTCAAAACGTTGGAACCCCTTCCTGCGCATAATCTCTTCTCTGTGATTGTGTACCTTTGAGCTTCACTGTTGTTTCTTTAATTGATTTTTATGCCTCTCACGGGAGATTTTCTTCCTCAAATCAACTTTGGTAGCTGTGGGCAATTTAGTTGAACTGTTGCTGCGACCTACGTTGAATTCATTTGTGGATGTTAACAAGATGTTGATTTATTCATCTACTTTGTGCTCTTGCGCGATTATTCCATCAATCCTTCAGAATTGGATGAGGCATCTTGACTCTATCAGTTGTGGTGGCAGTTCGTTTTTCATTGTCTGTGTTTTTTGGAATAAGAATGGTTCTTTTGGTTTTATTATATTTGTGTTCGCGAAAGAAAAAAGTAAGTTTTTTATGTGGTTTCAGGTTCTGATACGATATGGGAAGTTTCCTAATGCCACACTCTTGTTGGATTTTGGCTTTACACTTCCAGAAAACATGTATGACCAGGTATGAAGCTCTTCTGCCACCAATGTTTGCCACAACACCTGGTACTATGACACTAATGTGAAATTTTCATATTGACGAATTATATGCCAGAGAAGTAACATAAAATGAAGCAGTGGAGAGGCTTGGTTCTAGTTCAACCAAAACGTAATAATCTTTTGCTGCTTCTTGCATCTCAAGCAGTTGACATTTTGTTTAGTGGTCTAATAAATCATACTTTATCTGCCTATTGCAAAAAACGAAGTTGTGAAGAGAGTTATGTGCAGTAATGGTTGATATGGAGAAGACATCGAACGATTGATTCATGGACATTTACGGTTTTGGATAAAACCTGGAACCTTTGTGAATTTTCTGGTTCCTACTGGGAAGCATGCTTATTGAAATGAATTTTAAGAAGTCAAGGAAGTATGGATATTTGAAAAGGTCCAATATGCTTTCAGAAGTTTCATATAAGAGTAGAGGCATCTCATTAGGCAACTAAGAAATATACTCAAGAGTTTATTAAGGACTAATCGGCGTCGCCTATCAACATTTCACCCAAGAAAAGCTGTCTGACCGGACTTTGCTTCTCGGTAACAAGAAGTAATCAACGGAGGAATCAGCTTCATCAGAAAGCTCCGAATCATCATCTCCCAATCCAAGCTCCGAAGCAAAAAATAATCAAGGATTGATAGAAAATGTTTGAACCCAGAAAGAAAGATCTCAGAAATGTGTTTAGATTCTAATGCTGATGTTTTGAAAACCGGATTAGTGTGCCACTAAGGCCGTTTTTAGATAAAGAATAGTAGTTTAAAGGAGCATGGATTTTAATCAGTGTGAAATTAAACCTATCCACATTATATAGGGTAGGGTTTGCTGTGGTTTTTAAATTCTAACCCAGATTGGGCTGAGTTCTCCTGAAATTGGAATCTTATCTGATTGCCCAGTCATCAAGGTTTGATCCAGCCAAATAAATTGACCGAAAGAGAAATCCGGGTTCTGGTAGAAACTGGTAAACGTACATTTATAAAGTGAGTCTATCACTATCTTTGTGATGAATGCCATCAATAAAAAATAAAAAAAATCAAAAAGGAAATTTAGGAAAAGTAGCGTGCATTTTTTTGGGGGGACAGTGATAGCGCTATATATGCGCTGACTATTAAGAAGACAGGCAATGTAGTGGCCGCTTGCAAATTCAACGTCAACCTGCGCAATGAGAATTAGCTGATTCCGGTCTTCTTTTTGTAAATTTATCTGCACATGTCTCAGCAATCTCAGTATCTGCATATGAATCCTCTACTTTCCACAGAAAACAGGAAAAACAAAACTGATCACGTTTGCCATAATCATTCTGCTTACATGTTATTGGGTCCATATTTGCTCTGCGAGCTCTGCCAACCATGACAAGGTGACGTGTATGTAGGTCCACATTTCGATGGATGTACCACTGGATGATCCTCTGTATACAACGAAGGTGGAGCTTTTGCAGAAACATTGCATGCCAAGAATAGCAAATGCCAACACTAATAAATCTGCAAGCGGCTCCTTCACAATCAAGTTAGTATATACTATAAACTTCGTATTTTCTCTCTTTTTTCTATCAGAAACCAGAAATACGCCCATTGGTCCTTCATTGAAGATTTGTTACCACATGTGTGATCCTGAGAAACAACTTGAAGCCTTACAATGCGGTCGAATAATAAATGCAGTGGCTCTCAACTCTGTTCTTGTTCACACTGGACTGAACGACAAGGTCTGTAGCATGACTGCTGATCCAGCTATAATATGGAACCCGGGGTTACCAGTGGTTTTACCGATAACTATTTAAAATGTTAACAAATTATCCTGTAGCACCTCACTACACGTACAGAAAGAAAAAAGACAATCTTCCGGATACTTTGCTAATGGACAAGTCTGAAATGTATACTCTTCTGAGAATGTTCCACTTCAGCTATCCTCAGCAACTGATCTGATGATGACCATAGCCTTCGCAGCTGTCTGTAAGGGTCTTGCTGGCGTTGCTAAGCTGCTAGTTGTTTAAATGAGATGAACCCTTCATTTGGTTAATGCTGGTGTTCAATCAGTCTGTTTGGTCATTAAAATTTATAGTTCTCTAGCACCTTCGATCCCATAAGTAGAAACTCTAATTTCCATAGAAGTGAATGGGTGCTCACACAATTTCATGTTCATTAGTTGAAACTCTACATTTTTCATAACGAGAGACTCTAATTTTTCATTTAAAATGTATGAAGCGGTTTCAAATCCATGAAGGTTCATTATGTTCCATCAGCTTCAAGCCCAAGTGGAAATTTTAAGCTTTCATGAAGTTAATACTGTTCTTGCAGCTTTACTCCATAACCAGAAAGTTTCCATGAAAATGTTCCTGCGTTCAAGCAGCTTTGACTCAATAGCCAGAGTTTGTCTGGTGTTCAGACAAATTCAGTCCCCTAAATTCCCTGATTTTTTCAATCTCTTGCAGAGAAGTTAGATCCACTCATGGAACGGGGAAGGGCATCCCACCGTCCCTCCGGGCATTCGCGAGAGTTTTGTCTGCAAAATCGCCAGAAGGTTCTAGTCTCTTCCCCTGTCCTCTGTTCCTGGAGCTCCTCCCATTGCCATCCAGGTTGAATTCTGACTGTGAACGATGGCGTCTTCAGAACTCGAAGAGATGCGCGTTGAAGCTTCTGAGAATGATGGCCGACTTGCTCGACGCCCTTTGAGTAGCAGAAGCAGAGAGATTGAGGCCCATCGCATCTTAATCTCCCAGATTGCGCCCATGATTCAGAGCCATAATGCTTCAATTGAGGTAAATATCATGCTTCAATCTTGAGATCTTGTCCGCTTAAAGCACCAGTTTAGGAAACCAGACTGATCTGGATGCCAGCCAGATAGATATTCGCTTGAAATAGGGGGAAAAAAAAAGAGTCAACGATTCGGAGCTATGATGCATCACTTGTGGTAGATACAGTCAGATAATCACTTGAAATGGAAGAATCAGAGCCCAACATATCTAAACCTCACCCAAAAATATCCATGATCCAAGAATCAAGAATCAATCTGTTTGCCCAAGAATAGCTTCGGCACTATTTTTTATGAGCCTTCCAAGCGCACATCTGATTGGCATCCAGATTAAATAGCTTCCGAATTTCGATCAAGAACTCCGAATCTTATTATCCCAGAATTGTGAGCGGCGTCTCTCTGTTTTATACCCTCTGAAGGTCGGTCTGAGATTACCTCTAAGAACCCTAGATCTGACTGTGCGTACTCACGGAGCTTCAATCTTTTCATCTTTGATTTTTTTCTTCTTTTTTTTTCACGTAGAAAGAGGTCAAGAGCCACTCTTTAGTCTTCTTACCGTTGTTCATTTACTTATTTATTTATTTACAGAGCTTGGATGTGCTGCAGTCGCTCAAGTCCCTGGCCCGTGTTCGTAATGGCTCTCAACGACCTTGCAGAATAGAAATGGCGAGAGATCTCCTCGCTGGCGAGCTCCGAGTGCTGAAGTCCGCGTGCTCTTGGCTGAGCAATTACTGTTCGGGCTAATTGGTGAAATGGCTGCCTGCGTTGGTTCTCTCTCTCTCTCTCTCTCTCTCTCTCTCTCTCTCTTGCCATCTCTCTCTCTATCTGGCCCAAGTTCTTGATAAGACAAGCCAGAGCTTCACAGGATCCGGGTTAGAGCTAGCCCATCTAGACGATCGATCACATAACCTGAAGGAAGGCCACCTCCAAGTGGAGAGATGAGCAGAGAGAGAGAGAGATCAGTCAGAGGCGAAGACACGGGGCTCGAGCTGGTAGGCGTTGGTGAAGAAGACGGGCCAGCAGAGGTAGGTGGAGATGATGCCGCTGATAATGGAGGCCCCGACGAGCATGTTCATGACTACGATCTGCAGCTGGATGGCCTCGAGCGGGGAGGCGCCTCCCATTATCAGCCCCGTCATAGCCCCCGGCAGCGCTATCAGCCCCACCGTCTTCGCGTTGTCCAGCCCCGGCGACAGCGCAATCACCAGCGACCTCCTCACCTGTCTCTGCGTCGCCTGCCTCGGCGTCGCCCCCAGCGCCAGCGCCGTCTCCACCTATTTAACACAGATATATTTATATATATATATCGATAGAGAGAAAGAGCTAGATTGATTGATAGATAGATTGATAGGGAGAGAGAGTGCTAGATTGATTGACAGAGAGAGAGACAGTGCTAGATTGATTGATAGAGAGGGTTAGAGGAACGACTTGGTGAGGGAGGCACAGTCGGGGAGAATGTGATACGCCCGGTTGGGTCGGTGTGATGTATTTCAGGCTTAGGTAGATGGTTATGGCAAGAAGTAAATCCGGGTTCTATGAGCATGAATCTCATATAATTACTACTGTGTTGGACCGTACATATAAGTCAACGATTCCCCGCTGGGCACCATATCTCTGTTATCTAATGCAAGAAACCCAAAAGTCAACTTCATTTCTGGGCTTCATTTTTTTTGAGAAAAGAGCTAAAAGGAAAGGGGTGTGAACTGCGGTTTAGTCAACCCATGGATCGCAGAAAGGGAAGTGAATGGGTGAACGTACCAGGCTCTTCTGGATCTTGAGATCCTCTCGGAGCTTCTTAATGGTGACCCCGGTGACAGTCATCGCGTTGCCGACCATCATGCCGGCGACGGGGATGATATACCGCGGAGTGAAGGGGAAGACCTTCAGCGCGACGAGCAGGAACATGGTGATGGCGGTCCCCATCAGAATGGAGGCGCCGGCAATGATCTTCCCGCGCGGGACGTGTTTCGCCCGTTGACCCGCCGTGTAGCCGGCGACGGAAACCTGCGGAAACGCTCTAGTCAACGCTACGGAGAAAGAGATTAGAGGGGCGCATAAAATCGAGAGATGCGATCTGAGAGCCAGAGTTCACTTCTGCGAACCAGCAGACGCCGAGATCGATCTCCGCGAAGAACGACAGGAGATCGAGCATCGACATCCGATTAAATCAGACAGGATCGCTCCCCGGAAAGTAGACGGAGAACAGGGGATTGGTACCATGAAAAGGTAGGCGAAGAGGATCCAGGCGGCGTTCTTCTGCGTGAAGATGAACTCGAGCACGAAGCCGATGATGGAGAGTTGGAGGAAGGATCGGAAGATGGAGTAGGCCATCTCCCCCTCCAGGCCCAGCCGCTGGACGAACGACAGGACGATCGCCAGAACCACCACCGCCGTGGCGGCAACCGGCTTCAGCATCCCCTTTAGGTAGTCCAGCCAGAACTCGGAGGAAGCCGAGAAGTCCGAGGATTCCATCTCTCTCCCACACTGAAGCCCCTCCCCCCCTTCCCCTCCGGTTCGTTCCCAAGATCAACCCCCAATTCTCTCTCCCTCCCTCTCTCTCTCTCTCTATATATATATATATATGTATATATATCTATCTCTATCTCTCCTCTCTGACTGTCAGTCTCTCTCTTTTTCTCCTTTTCGCTGTCTCTCTCTTTATATATATGTATATATATGTATCTCTCTCTCTCTCTCTCTCTCTCTCTCTCTGTGGCATGCGTGTTTATGCTGGACGAGGGCTGTGAGTGGGGGGGACGACATGATTCCTCCACTAGGCCGGCGTGTCAACGTCTCTCTCTCTCGGAATGGGCTGAGGCCCAACTACATAAAGTTAGATGGATATGGAGGGCCCACTAATCTGATCCCGTGTGGGGCCGATTTAAAAGGCCCATTGTTCACCGTTTTCTCCATAGTGGGACCGAATTATATGGCCATGGGCCTAAATGATTGATAAGAGCGTTAACGGGCCTGGCCCATCACCCTATAACGCGAGGCCCGGAGATTGGTGCATTTACATAACGTTAGGGCTGTGAATGCAGACTCTTCCGCCGACGCTCTTCTCTGGGAAGGAGGAGGAGAGGGAGGAGGGGATTTGTAGTGGCGGGGATGGCGACCACGAAGTTGGGCCTACTCAGGAACTCCCTCAAGTCGATCATCCTCTCGAGCGGCGGGAGCCGGGGTCTCCCCTCCAGGAGCCTCTCCACCACGGTCGCTTCCGGCGATCAGGACGCTTCTTTCTCCGATTCCTTTGTTAATCCTCCGCCAGGTATTGTCCTCTTCCCATCGCCCCCGCATTCTAGGTTTTGGGAGCTTTGAGCGATGTTGGACGCGTGTTCACAGCTTTTGGAAACCTACAGAACCCTGTTCAAAACGACATGAACGAAAATGATCTCATCGGACGGTGTTCGGATGGCTTTATTTTATTTGATCCGTTCGAAAAATGGCCAGATTGAAGTGGGACACCGTCGAGCTGACGAATGTGAGGGTCATGGGTGATTTTTGTACTGTTTTCATCGGCTGAAAAGAATTTTCGCAGCAAGACAGTGCTCTTCTTAGAGCTGTCCTCTCCCCTGCGCTTACCTGATTCATGGAGTGCCTAAAGTACTGGGAGCATACGGGGGTAGCAGTGATATCTGATTCTTGTGGTAACCTACTGGCTGAAGACTAATCTGAACTGTCCGCTACGAAAGACGAATTATCAGCAGCCCATCGAAAGAGCAAGAACGCTTTTGCTGGATGCCTTGATGACTTGGCTGAGGCGACAGAAACCAACAACAGAGGAGAAGTTAGCATCCAATGCTTTTATTTGCTTCCAAACAGTAAGATTTGGATGAAAAAGTTTGAAGAGGTTATGTTCCAAATCTCAAGGTTCAAAGGATAGTACTAAGATGTACTGTGCTTCTTAGATTTTGTTTCCCTTTTCATATCATTCGTACCGAGGTATTATCTAAACCTGACATTTATGGTTCTTTTTGCTAGGCATGGTCTTTGGAAGGTTGACTAATATCGGGAGGAACACGCTGAAGACTGATATCATCCACTACTTTGAAGGCTGTGACCTGAGCGCAGAGGACATTAAAGTCGAATACAACAAGCTTTTCAATCCAACTGGCATGTATGCTCACCTTCTCTCTTTCTCCCTATTCTCTCCTCAAAGGTATTTGCAGTGTTGCTGGATCACTCCCCCGAATGCACTGGAAGGAAAATAGTCATAGAAGATGAAAACTAGCTGATAAAATTCCATGTCCTCATATATCAAGAATTCTGTATGAATTGTGGTGCCTTGCATCTTCAGATTGGTCACCCGTTGACCGAAATTTCCTTTTTTATTGCAGTATTTTTTTAATAAAATCCTAGTGTTCTTAGTGTGCAGTTGAACTGTGAAGTGCAGAGAGATCATTGGCGTGGTTTTCTTCTGCTTCCAGCATTCTAGTTTCCAGTTAAAAATCGTTAATCTGCTCGTGAAGCGACATTTTTTTTTTCCTTGTGCATTTAATCGGTCAATGTCACACATGTTCGAACAGTACAGATACATTTACGGTAAGTATTTTAGTTCAAAGCAGCTGAGAAATCATAAATACCTACGTCAACTACTATCTGACTCTGATAATGACCACATCTGGGCATTCCAAGAACCGTTTTATGTCCTATATTATTTATTTAAATCTGCAAGTCCTTGGCTGGGATTTTGATGTGGAGTAGAGATTAATGGCTGCCTTCAGCTAAGAAGAATGTCTGACTTCTTCTATCTTTTCACCCTTCGGATATTATCCGCTCTCATTGTACCAATGAAGCCGTCATCTTTTCCCCCATAAATTTTATATCCTTCAGAAATTTTATCAGCATGTTTCTTTTTGGAAAAAATCAAATATAATGAACAATTCAGTGGTGAAACCGTGATGTCATCAGTAATTAACACTATACCCAGCTTTGATTCTCATAAAGAACCCATGAATTATATATATCTCTATGTACCTCTCTATGGATATATATAAGTTTATGCCATTGTAATTATTTATTTATTCCCAGCATATTTTTTTTCCTTAGAAATCATCATTATGCCGATAAATCTTCTTTGATACCCTCAATTATAAATTATTTATCTTTAAATATACCTAGTTATGTGTATTTTTTCTTCAATCTGCTCGTTATGATAACTGTTCTTGGGTCTGCTTCTGTTTTGGGATCAGGCTGGTGCAATTCCCTTCTCGCTCTTCCTTTGATACCGCGCTCAGGCTGATCATGAGGAAGGGTCGCCTGTACAATCTAACGAAGGTGAGATCATCTCCACGTGGAATTAACTGTAATTTGTATTTATTTTTTATAGCTAATATCTCTGTGTTCATTCTGATCAGATCGACCGCGGCCTGTGGGACCTTCAGACTTCCTACAGCGGGAAAACTGTGAGCATCCACTTTGTGTTCCTTGGGATAATATGAATTCTTTTCATGGTGATTTTAAAATATTATCTTAATTATAATTATTATAATTATAATCCGGCGGTTGGTATTTAAAATCCTCAGGTTCTGCTGAAAGCCCAGCGGAATGCGATTCAAGAGGACGTGGAGAGGATATTCCGCGGCTGCAACTACGACGGCTCCTCCACGGAGATCTTCCTCAGGTCAACGCCGCTGACTCTACCTCCCTCTGACCCGTGTGGCGTCGCGCTTGCGGCTAGTTGACCGGGTGGTGGCCTTTGGGAGTGCCGCAGGCCCGGCCCGGTGGAGCCCGTCAAGCTGGCGCTCGTCCGCTTCCCCACGCGAGAGGAGGCGATGACGGCGGTCCGCCTGCGCAACCGGAGCTTCTGCCTGAACACGCCCGTGGTGATGCACGTCCTCCAGTGAGCGCCGAAATTATTAGAGTCGTCGCGCGTTGACTTTTTTTCGGTTCGGGTCTCGATTCCCATAGTTAGAAGAGTGCTTGACGGTCCAAAGGATAACACATCTGTAAACTTGTGATGACTTTTTTTAAAATTCAGATTTGAATTTTTGGGTTCGGATCTTGGATTTTGCGTGCAACGGTCGATTCCCATTGTTAGAAGAGAGCTCGACGATCCGAAGGAAAACACATCTGCCAGCTCGCGATGGTTTTTTTATCCATCTTTGACTTTGCTATTTTTGAATTTATTATTTTTCAGAAGGACTACAGTCGTTGACTTCTGTCTTCAGCCCCTCGTGGACTAGAAATGTGTGGCGTCGTTTGTGATTCGGGTCTTGGGTTCTGGTGTCAACGTCGATTACCATACTTTGAAGAGTTCATGACGATCCGAAGGAAAACACAGCTGTCAACTTGTGATGATTTTCTTAGAGAGAGAGAAAGAGAGAGAGTAAGGGCAAGCGAGAGAGAGTTTGGAAGCGGGGCTCCTGACCCTAGAGAGGCGGGACCAGGGTTTTACGGCTTCCCCGTTGGTGGCCACGCAGCGCCGCTCCCCCCGCCGTGGCAGCTACCGCCGACGAGACTCCGGCATCTCTAGGGGTCTCTCGCCGCTCCTCTGAACATTCAGAAAAGGGGGTTTCACCGCCCCCTCCCCCCGGCGGGAGCACCACGCCGGCGATCGATGCCCCCTCCTGGGCCATCCTTCCGCGCCGCCCTTCGAGCCTTCATTCCTACGGCGATGGTACCCCCACTAACCAGAAGGTGAGGACACCCGATGCCCTTCGCGGCTACCAGAGCTCCTCTCTGCTTCCCTTTCTCCCTCCTCTTTTCCTCCCTTCAGCCACCAGAGAGAGAGAGAGAGAGAGAGAGAGAGAGAGAGAGAGAGATTTTGCCCGAATCATTTCCCACTCTGAATCTCTAGAATCCTTGCCGAGAACAGGTGCCCGCGAGATCCTCCAGGTTCTTCCGTCAGCGCAGCCGCGGGGCAGAGCCAGCCGTACAATCCGGTGAAGGTGAGGGCATCTTGTGCTCATTTGATAGATTTCGCTCCCATTCTCGGCGACGATGTGCGATCGACGATGACCAAATCACGGCAGGTTTTCCACTTCCTCTGAGTAAAATTAGGGTTTCTGCTGAAATCTAGGTCTCCGTGTAGGACCCTGATGATTCCCTTTTCTCTTTATAGCATTGACTCCGTACGCGGATACCCATTGTGCAGTCTCAAATCACTCGACTTTTAGTCAAATCTTCCAGAAAGGCCAATTCGTTTTCAGAAAGTCAAAGAACCACTAGTTCTGCCGATTCCTAACAATGTGGGGATTCTCTTCTTTCACATCAGCAGCTCTGTTCTCTCTTCTGCAGATTTCTACTGCTCCCACTGGTCACATGTTCTCTCTCACCGCCTTCCACAGTCATCGACTTATCCACACAATCATACCCAGAAGTCAACGCGAAGAGGAAGGTGAACTCTTCGTTTCCACAGAGGAAGCCTGCCACAACTCTGTAGAGAAGCTCTGCAAATCTGGAAGAACACAAGAAGTCAGCCACTTGTTAAGGGAGCTTCGCTCTCGGCTGATCCCCCTGAGCCTGAAAGCTTACAACGACCTGCTCGCCGCAGCAGCTGAGAAAGACGATTGTGATCTCTCCTTGGAGATATTCAAGGGTTTGCTTCTTTCAAGCTCCCCCCCTGATCCATCTTCCTACACCCACCTGGCAAAGTCTCTGCAAAAGGCAGCTAATCCAAGCCAGATACTCAGATTTGCCCAGGAGGTGTTGGAGATAACGGGTGACAGAGAACCCACAGTTGTGAACAGAATCATCTTCATCTTGGCTAAAATGGGTCAAACCCGCACGGCCCTGATGATCTTTGAGGATATGAAGAGCAGTTCTCGGAAGATGGATTCTGTCACATTCAACACAGCTATAGGTATATTCGGCAAGCAGGGTCAGATTGATAGGATGATATCTGAGTTCATATCAATGAAAGAACTTGGGCATGCTCCTGACTATATCACCTATAATACGCTGGTCAACTCCCTTCGGAGATTTGGCAAGCTGGATCTCTGCTCGTCCTTTCTGAAGGAGATGGTGGATGCAGGGATAGAACCGGATTTACAGACTTATACAGCGATCATCGACAGCTTTGGCCGGGCAGGCCACACCGATGATGCTGTCAGAGTTCTTGGAGAAATGAAGAGGTCCCGGGTGCGCCCATCAATCTATATTTTCCGTGGGTTAGTAGGTAACCTTAGGAAGGCTGGTAAGTTGGAGATGGCCGATGGGCTACTGGAGGAGATGAACTCTTCTAAGCTGCTCGGTCCAGGGGAGATCGAGGAGGGGAAAAGAGGTAGGAGGAGGAAGAGGTGGTCATATAGAGATTGGAAACCGAGGTGAATGGCTTGGAATCGAGATGGATGTTCACTTGATTATATGTGCGCTTAAAAGGGTTTTCAGAGGTTGACCGAACAGAAAAATGTCTACCCATTTGACTTCAAATGGTTTTCTTGAGAAGAGCCCAGAAGCCTATTTGTACGGGCATCTGCCGGAATGGATGCAGGTTACAGGGGAGAATTCGGAGCTATTCTTCTGGTTCTGTAGGACTATTTTATTTCCCGTGAAGAGGGAGCCGACATTGTAGGAAGGGATCGTTGACTAATTATCTGCTGGAGGCAATGGGGTCAACTGGGCTCAATAAGACTGAGGATAGACTTGTGGTCAAATATATGGGAAGCAGGAGAAATGTAGCAGAAAGGAACCTTTCGTTAATCTTGGGGAGGACCACGGCCAGTCTACCTGGAATAACTGAAAAAAAAAGCTCTGTTGATAGCCAATTCCAGCCATTCAGAAATAGCATGGTACCAATGATGCACATCTTACCACAATACTTTCATCTATTTTCCGAGGAAATGTGGGCTTGCAGCCGATTAGCGTCTCTTTCAGTGGCAGCAGGTCGTGCAAAGAGCCTTTTGGTCAAAGAGAGAAGCTGCACTGCTCAGAGAAGAAGAGGAATCCAGTGTGAAGATTGGGGAGGGGGTTCTGTTGATAAATGTGACAGTCTCAGTATAAAATGCAAGAGCCTGACATGAAGTTATTCTAACAAAAAAAATTGACTTTCGAACATGACGGTATCTTCTGGGGACTTTTGAAGAAAATGTGGGCTTCATGTTTCTTCGTGAATTGTGCTGTATAGAGTCAGTCTGTCTAAATATTCCGTAGTAGAGGTTTGACGCCTTTGGCTCCTTGGTGATCCTCGAGCTCACGGGGGGCATCTTGGACCTTTAAAAAGTCAGCGGGGATACTAGATTTTCAAGGAATATGAGTTACCGATTGCCTTTGCAAACCTCTTCGATTGCTCTAAATATTTGGCAGAAATTACCGATTGTTACATTTACACTATTTTTGGAACCTTATGAACTATAGTTATGACATGTGAGATGTATGAATAATGATGCATCATTTATAGCATTTTTTTCCCTTCTTGGCGTTGTGAGTTAGAGCTTCAACTGCTGTTAGTTGTCATTGGAGCACAAAACATAACCCACTTGAAATCCTATATAACTATGAGCTGCAGCCTTACTTCTAGCTCTACGGTGATCTCTCTTTGAGCTTTTCAAATGGAAGGTGGCGAAGCCTTCAGCTGGGTCTGAGACCGATAAACACGGACTACACGGGAAGTGAGTCTTCTGGTTCTGAACTGTTTCAGAACGAGATCTCTGAAGAAACTAGTGAGGATGATCAGAACGATTTAATTATGGACTCATGTTCAATGCACAAAAAACTTGGTCAATGCAATCGAACTATACATTCGGTTGAAGCTGCCTTTCAACAGATGCTACAAAGTGTGCCTTGAGCCCCATCATATCGGAAGACAATAAATAAACTCCATGACATCAGCTAATACAGAGAGAGTAGGAAGGTTAGGGAGATTAAAGGCAGAGAATGTCACCTGGAGGTGTGGCACTGTGCTCGTCTAATCCCCTTCTCCTCTCCTCTCCTCTCCTCTCCTCTTTCATATTGCCATCATCCTCTGCGGTGGTTCCCTCTCTTGAACCCTTGCTGTCCTTCCACCTCTCTGGCATTGGTCATCTTAGCCTTTGTCTTGACCAAATCACAGTCCGTCTGGCCTTCTCTAGCTTAGGCCACCCTTTCTTTTTCTCCATCATCTTATCTTTATCTTCCGGAGATTTGCACTGATGTCCAATGACCAAATCCACCTCTCGGAGGACAAGGTCTCTGGACTAGACATACCCCATCTTTATCTCCATCATCCTATCCATGGTCAACGGTTTCATCTTCCGATTCCGCTTGAGAAACATAACCATGTTCTCTCATCAACTCGTCTAAACCATCGAGCATCACACACAACTCTGCAGATGGAGCAATTGATGTATCCTGAGCGACGAAGGCGTGTAAACTATCAGATATTTCAACCCAGCTACAGCCGGGTATCTTTCCCAGCCCCATCTTTCTCATCTTCTCCCTAACAATCTCAGCTTCCTCTAGCTTCCTGGCCTGCGTGTATAAATTTGCCATGATAACGTAGTTCCCTGTGTTCTCAGGCTCAATGTCCATCAGACGACCAAACGCATACTCTCCGAGTGCAACCTCGCCATGAATCGAAGCTCCGTTGAGCAAAGTACCCCAAACCTTGGCATTTGGCTCCTCAGGCATCTTCTGTGTGAGCTTCACGGCTTCACCGAGCATTCCAGCCCGGCTAAGCACTCCAACCATGCACGCGTACTGCTCGATCCAAGGACTGACTCCGTACTCCGGCATCACTGAATCGAAAACCAGGCGAGCTTGGTCTACTGCTCCGGCATGGGCACAGGCTGAGAGAACCGCCGTGAAGGTGACGGGATCTGGCCGCGTCCCGCTAGATAGCATTTCCCAAAATAAAGATAATGCTGCGCCTGCATCTCCATGCGCCGCATAGGCCGATATGATAGCAGTCCACACGATTACACTTCTGGGTGAGAAATGCTGGAAGATTCTGTGGGCGCCGTGAAGGAATCCGGCTTTGGCGTACATGTCGATCATTGCAGACACCACATACATGTTGCGATCACAGTCGTTCTTGATAGCGTAGCCATGGATTTGCTTTCCGGCCATGAGGTTCGAGAAGAAGGCGACGGTCGGGAGGATACTCGACAGAGTGACAGAGTTCGGTCGGAAACCAGCGTTCTGCAACTCGCGGAAGAGCTCTAGAACATCGAAGTGGCGGTTGTTCTGAACCAGGCCAGAAATCACAGCGTTCCATGTTGTCAGAAGGGGATTCTGGATCTGCCGAAAGAGCTCCATCGCTTGGCCGACGAAGCTCAGGTTCATGTATCCTGAGATCATTGCTCCATATGTAACTTCATCCTTCTCTATCATTTCATCGAACAGCCTCCGAGCGAATTCCAACTTCCCACACTTGGCATAGAGCCCGATGATGGAATTCCACGCGGCCATGTCGACATCGATGCCGTGCATCCTTAGGGACCGGTGAACCCGCATCCCAAAGGTGAGATCCTTCACTTGGGAACAAGCATGGAGCACACTCACCGCTGTGACGCAATCCGGCCTCAGATCACCACACGCACCTTCCAGTTTCTCGTACAGCTTGAGGCATTCTTCGTAGTGTCCACCCTGGTCGTAGCCAGAGATCATAGCATTCCACGAGATGATATCTTTCTCAGGCATCAGATCAAAGATCTTTCGGGCCAAGTTCATGTTGCCTGATCTCGCATAGAGTGTCACCAGACCATTCGTCACAAAGAGGTCGGCGCCGATCCCATGCCTGAGCACGAAACCATGGATCTCCCTCCCGAGCAGATGTGGAATAGAGGATGAAGGGCACAAAGACGAGAGACATTTCAAGACACCGGAGATCGAATACGCATCAGGCTTGAGATCCAAATCGCACGACGCAAGACGCGCGAAGATACTTAACCCCTGGCAAGGCCACCCATGGAGGGAGTAGGCGATGAGCATGGCGTTGAAGGAGAAGACATTCTTCTGCTGAATCCCGTCGAACACCTTGCGGGCCTCGGCGATCCGCCCGCACTTGGAATAGAGTGAGATGAGCTTAGATCCCAGGAAGTTTTCAGGGACGACGGAGAGAAGGATGACGCGACCGTGGAGCAGTCTTCCCTGGGAAGAGAGGCGGTGATCGGCGCAGTGCTGGATGAGATCGCCGTAGGCGCGGTAGTCGTAAAGAGAGCCATTTCTGATGCTGACGAGGGCTCTTCTCAGCGGCGATGTAGAAGTCGACGCAGCGGCCCCGCCGGCGCTGGCGCCGGTGGGGAGAGCTCTGATTTCCTGGAAGAGTGGAATCACCGCCTTCATCCATCCGAGGACGATGCTTCTCCCGCTCACAGCCAGGTTTGATTGGACCGCCGTGAAAACGTGGTAGCATCCCATCTGTCCAATCAATGTGATTTATCGACCCCGTTCATTCGATGGATCATCTCCATTTAATCCGATGGCTGGAGGAAGGCCCCGGCAAAGAAAAAAACGTGGCACCATCTAAACCGTCCAAAGTAAACGACTGGCCTTTTATAAAAATATCCGTCCGGTTCTCCTAATTCTCTGGAGCGCGGGAAAGGGAGTGGGTGGGGAAGACTGAGACGGACTAGTTCCCGAAACCCTTCTTCCGCCTGTTCCGATGTCGGAGAGAAAGCGCCGCCGAGGAGATCCGGCCGCCGCCGGTTCCTCCGGCAAGACGAAGATCCGCAGCGACGCTTCCTCCTCGCCTCTCCTCTTCAAGAACCGCCTGAAGCCAGATTCCATCATTCTCGCTACACTCCAGCAGCTGCACGCCGCCGAGCAGTCGTCCAGTTCTACTGGGAAGGTCCCAACCCTAGCTGAGCTTGGGCTCTCCTCCACTTGCCGCGAGGTCTCAGACCGAGATCCTGCCGCTGTGCGGATCACCATCGAGGATTCCATCCTCGCCGCCGCCAGATCCATTCTTGAAGGGCGTGGTTTCTCCTTCTCTGTCCCGTCCCGTTCATCCTCCAATCAGATTTACGTTCCCGAGCTCGACCGCATCGTACTCCGGGATAAGTCCTCCATCCGATCCTTCTCCAGTCTCTCCACCGTCCGCAAGACCACCATTACTGTCCGCCTCCTCGCGCTCATCCACCAGCTCTGCACGAAGAACATACACGTCACAAAGCGTGACCTCTTCTACACAGATGTCAAGCTGTTCCAGGACCAGACGCAGTCGGATGCCGTGCTCGACGATGTCTCTTGCATGCTCGGCTGCACCCGCTCCTCCCTCAACGTTGTTGCCTCTGAGAAGGGCGTGGTGGTTGGCCGGCTGATCTTTACAGAACAAGGCGACCGCATTGACTGTACTAAGATGGGTGTCGGAGGGAAGGCTATTCCCCCGAACGTCGACCACGTGGGTAACATGGAGAGTGATGCGCTCTTCATTCTCCTGGTGGAGAAGGATGCGGCATTCATGAGGCTGGCCGAGGACAGGTTCTACAATAGGTTTCCCTGCATCATTGTCACAGCTAAGGGACAGCCCGATGTCGCCACGAGGCTGTTCCTGAAGAAGATGAAGACAGAACTTAGGCTGCCTGTGCTGGCACTGGTCGACAGTGACCCATACGGATTAAAGATCTTATCCGTCTACATGTGCGGATCGAAGAATATGTCGTATGACAGCTCAAATCTTACGACGCCTGACATAAAATGGCTTGGAATCAGGCCGAGCGATCTTGACAAGTATAAGATACCAGAACAGTGCCGTCTACCGATGACAGATCAGGACTTGAAGACAGGGAAGGATTTGTTGGAGGAGGACTTTGTGAAGAAGAGTGGGGGTTGGGTGCGCGAACTGGAGTTGATGGTTCAGACGAAGCAGAAAGCTGAGATACAGGCTCTGAGTACATTTGGTTTTCAATATCTGACTGAAGTCTATCTACCGCTCAAGCTACAGGAGAAGGATTGGATTTGATGTGGTTAAGGTAACATCCATTTCTGAAGGATGAATCCGTGCAACCTTTTAGAAATTTCTGTGACACAATCTTCACCTGCAACCTGCTTCACTTTCGAGAGGTGCTGACCACGGGCACTTTGTTTATGATCATTCTTACTGGGAATAAGATATATAACTTCGTCAGCCTTGCATTTTATGGCTTGTTTTGACTGCAGTTCTTCGCACCGGACTAAATGCCTAAAAAGAAGAAAATTTTCTTTTCTAGAGAACTGGAATTGATTTTTGGAAGTTAGAACTACCCACTTCTGAGAAGTTCTGCTCATGCTATGATTTTTTTCATTTTTGGCTCACTTGCTTTGATGGAAGACATTTCTTGGGTTTCACGTTCTCAATGTTGCCAAAGTAGCGACAGACCCAGCTCTAAACCATTTTCCCCAAAAGCAAACACCTATGATTAGTCTCTTGTCGCCCTCTCCACTACACTCTCCTTGAAAAAATGGTAAAGCAGAGGGCTTTGTGATGGTACCGAAAAGAAAATACATGCATTATGTATGCTGAAATGACGCCCACCTCACAGTACAATGAGAAGATTTCGTTGTTGCATCAGTCTGCAGACAGTTACCAGGGAATCATCACCGAAACCGAAAAAAATGATTCTCTCGCATCGTATTCAATATTTTTAGATAATTGGATGAATTGTTCCCTCTGTATTAAGATGATCAGCCTTCATCACAGTCTTGAGTCCAAACAGTAGCCAGAAATTCTAGTCCAGTCTACCGGGGTGAGACAGTAATTCTTCATTAATATCTTGCATATGGTCTCTGGAATATTTTTGTCCGTCGATGAAATATATAGGCTTAGCTATTCAGCCCATTCATGCATCCAAGATGCTTCATCCTCGTCTTTCTTAGTTAGCAAGAATGCCCATAATCTTTGGAGTTTCAGTTGGATAATTTCAGCTGGAAGGACACCAAGTCACCCTTATATCTTTCCTTTCTAGTTTCTAGACTTCCATTCTTCAGTGGGAAGTGTACAATACCGCAGCAGTATTGATATTCGTACGGTGAAAGTTTCTCGTTGAAAGCTTTTTTTTTTCTTTTTACATTGTTAATTATTTTGGATTTTTCTGGTCACCTGACCCCCTTGAAATCTATTTATGTCCATTAGTACATCGATTTAATCTAAATTTGATGTGGATAAATTTCCATTTGGAGAGGTCTCAACTGCCGGCGGATTGCTTGTGGCAGCCCAAACGTCGTGCTCTTCCCAGAGACACCAAAGACGATCCCCGATCCAGTGAAGAACCCATCAGGTGACTCCATTTCATGCGTGAGTTAATTAATTTCGAAAATAAATAAATTTGTAGACAATAATAAGCATCTTCGTCATTGCAATGCCTGCATGCTAGAAGACCCACACATCTCTTCCTAATCATCAGACCTCTTAGCTTCCAAAAATTGCTCTTCGACTTCCATGCTGATCGAGATGGCAAAGAAGGGAGGGGGGGAAGAGAATGCTTTCCTAAAAGGAGAAGCATCCCCTGGCCGGCCTTCGATTGTCTTTCTTTCTGCTTGTAGGCCCATGCAGGGTAGCCTACAGTCGCAAAAACTCAGTCAAGAAACGCTTTTCTTGATCCCCATGAGTTTCTATCCTCCAGTAAATAATCCCCCATAATTACTGAAAAGCATGCGACTGTGCTTTTCTCGTCGAATCACCCGGCAGTGGTTCTGTCCAACACCCGGGGAGAGACGGCGGCGCCGCCAGGATCTTCTCCCGGCGATGGCCGGCAGCCCCCCCCCCCCTCCCTTCTGTTGTTGTTCCCCACCTCAAAAGGCGCATATCGCCAGCTGCTGCCCTCGGGAAGAGCGGCTCCTCCTTTCTCCCTTGTGAATTCCCAGATATTCTCTCTCTCTCTCTCTCTCTCTCTAGAATCCGTCATTATTACTAAGTTTAGATTTGATCTGAGGGGAATATCCGGCCTGTCTGGACCGTCCAGCCGAGCTTGTTGAGAAACAATCGAGGTGGGCTCCGGTAAATAGTTGTTCTGGAAGAAAAGCGCCGGATCGAGGCTCTGCTACCTTCATCTTCTCTTTTTCTGATTGTGATAGCAGAGATTCCACGCAATCCTCCCCATTCTCTCTCTCTCTCTCACTCTCCCCCCGTCTGAGACTCTCTGTTCCACTGTAATATGAGAGAACGAGCTAGAGAGAGAGAGGGACGTAGCATGCCCCTCGCTCATTATGGTCCCCATTCAAACCGAGGTCATGACACCTCGGTTCCTTTCTGGGTTCAAAGATTCTCTCTCTCTCTCTCTCTTTCTCTTTCTCTTTCTCTGTTTTTTTCATCTATCTCTCTCACTAGCAATCCAGCCTTCGTCGTCAAGAAAACCCACACCTGTTGTGATCTCTCTCTCTCTCTCTCTCTCTCTCTCTCTCTCGCTATATATCTATATATAGGTGCCCAGATGCGGTTCTTCCTCAACCTCCACTCTCAGAGCTCCCCTCCGATCTCTCCCCTTCTCCGTCTCTTTCTCCCTCTTCCCAAGAGGGAGAAGAGAAGCTTCCACTCTCTGGCGATGCCCGACCAGGCCTCCGACTCCCACAAAGGGAAGAAGACCCAGGCCCCCAAACGAGGCCACATCAAGGCCAGAATACTCAGCACCCTTCTCCGGTCCGTCGCAGCCATGGCCGGCGGCAAGCTCGCCGGAGGCCGCCCCGAGGGAGAGGTCTCCGCCTCAACGGCGGCGCCGCCGGCGGTGGCGAAGCAGCGCCCCACGGGGCCCACCTTCTTCCTCAGCTCCACCGGCTCCCTCGAAGGCTTCCTGGTCGAAGTTCCCAAGCAGGTGGTCCTCCGCCGATGCCCCGCGCTGGAGCCGCCGCCGCCTCGCCAGAGAAGAGACTAAGAGTTCTTTCCTACGTACGTCAGCAAAACCTGCTGTTATGAGGGCATAAATCCAATATTTTCATATGGACTCTTTTCCTGACGTCACCACGTGCTAAATTGACACGTCATCTTGGCTGCGCACTCGGCCACCGGAAAACCCTCAATTATTAAAGGTGGCCCGTTGTGTCTCTCGCAGCCCAGCAATCCGCCATTGGGCCTGAGTCCTCCGGTAGCCCAAATAGGCCTATTTACATGTTATCCAATAGTCCTCCCCAGCCCAATATGACATCCGGCCTATGGTGGGCCTTGGGCCTTCCAAACCGCCACAGCTAGGCAACCAACAGTTTCAGGTTTAACAGTCTGACTCACCGCCAACACACTCTCTCTCTCTCCCTCTCTCTCTCTGTTCTCGTCTTCCTTCCTCCGTCGATCCCCGGCGGTAGGGGAATCTGCTGATCTTCAATGGAGAACCACAGCATCACCGCCCGCCCATCCCTGCGAAGAGCGCAGATCCGGAACAGGATAATCGCCGGCTACTTCCTCCGAGGCCTCGCGGTGATGGCCTACCTACGCCGGCTCCCTTGCCGGCCGCGGCGAAAGAGGCGGACGCCGCTCAGTCTCATGTTCGAATCTGGCGTTCTCCCTCCCCTCGGTACCTCGTGACTCCTTCGCCACAGCTTCCGCTCCCGCTCGAGGAACGGGAGAAGAAGGTGGAGGCTCCGGGAATCCTCCAGGTTATCAGTCTCTCTGATCTCCCCCTTTTTTGTTGTTTCATTCTTCCTGTTCCATCCGAGGGCTTCCCTCCCGTCCATCTTCTTCTACAAGCTCGTAACGCCGGTTGTTTTTCAGTCGTCGTAGAACATTACAAATCGGTGAAGGCTAGTTTCTTTCTATACGATTTGTCTGTAGAGTTCCGTCAATGTTCGCAGAGTGGAATCTGTCACGAGGATTCATCCACGTTTAAACGCTTTCGTTTTCTCAGTCGCCGATTGAATAGGTTGTGGAATCCGTTCGCCACGGTTTTTGCTGCCTTGATCCGATCGAGAGATTGGGAAAGATCTCTGCGCCGGTTCATTGAACTCCACTGCTTATCGAGAACCACCGCCAGTTGTGGTAGGCGGGGGATTCTGTCGGCCGATAGGATGACGCCATCTGGCGGCCTAGCTCGGCAATTCCCACACGGCAGCAACGCAGAGTTACTGAAAGATTCCTTCCGAACTTTCCGCCGCAGTATTGCCGACAAGTTTCCGATTATTCAGCACATAGAATGACAGTGCCAGACAGGAGAGAGAGAGCAGGGGGGTGGGATTTGATTCTCCACGGACACAGAAAAAGTTCAGACTCCGACGACAGAATCCCTCACGTGGCTTCTCCACCCACATTCTAACCCACCAAATCCCCGCCGCCTTCTCGGCCTCGAATACAGAAGCTCCCCGACATGAAGGGAGAAGGGCAAACCAAAACTCGCCTCTCCAGCCAACCGAGCCTTCCGCCTCAGGGCAAACCTGCCTGCATCTCTCTCTAACTAAATAACATTCCCCACGGATTCCACACCACTCTCCACACAGAGTCAGTCAACCCGACTTCTTCCAAAGATCACCGGCACTGATTGCCAGCAGATAGATAGATAGATAAAGAAAGAGAGAGGAGAGAGAGAGAGAGAGAGAGAGAGAGAGAGAGAGAGAGAGAGAGAGAATGGGGGAGGGGGGAGTGTTTCTTCTAGGAGCCCGGCTCGCGGATCTGAATAGAAGCTCTGGAGAGGCTGGCTTCCAGCTCATCGAGTTCGGCCATGTCTAGGTCGTCGTCATCGTCGTCGTCGTCGTCGTCATCATCGGCCACGGCTGCTGCCATCTCTCCCCTCCCGGTCGACCGCACACTTGGCCCCTCCGACGGGGGCCCGCTCTTTGCCTGCCAGCAGATGAAGAAAGAGAGAGAGAGAGAGAGAGAGAGAGAGAGAGAGCGAGAGAGAGAGAAATGCACGTCAGAGTACTGATTGGTCATGGAAATCATGGGCCTAATACATATTGTACGTTCATAGATAGGTGAGGATACTGGTTTGGATCTAATTAGCTCTTTCTCTCTCTATAAATATTTTTACGTATTTATTTATTTATTTAAATATATACATAATGTATGATCATAGATGGGTGAGGATGGTGATCTGAAGCAATTTCTGATATGATGAAAATAATTGGAGAAATTGAGAGAGCGAAGCAACAGATTGCGTACCTTATCCGCATTGACATCATACTCTTCGTCTCTCTGGTACTTCTCATATGAATCGATGTCGTCAACAAACAAGCTGGCATCCGACATGAACAGCTCGCGACCACTGAAAAGAAGCAGAGGCAGCTGAGTGAGCAAGAGAGAGAGAGAGAGAGAGAGCCAGGCAAGAGCCCCAAGAGGAAGAAGCTTTTAGAGAGAGAGAGAGAGACAAAGAGGGAAGAAAGCTGACCTCATGCGGTCGTTCTTGGCCCTCTCTGCGCGCATTTCAGCGAGCCCAGCTTCTCTCTCTTCTATCTTCCTCTTCTTCCATTGCATGAACAGCTCGGGGGTCATGGGCGTAGATGTGCTGACTTTTGCTCGCTTGAGGAAACAACAGACGCCCAGTCAATATCTTCACGAGGGAGCAAAGTCAACGGAATACAGGAGACGGAGATCACCTGACTTTCAATCTCCTCCTCAATGGATAGCTTCTCGGATTCTTCCTCCAGCAAGGCCTTCATCTGCGACTTGAGCACATAACCAGGAGGGAGGGCGTGCCTGTAATGGCAGTCCTTGCCGCCATTAGGGCATACCCAGAACCAACCATACTGCTTCTTCTCCACTGCGTCTAAGAAATATCTGCAGACCTGCACAGAGAATCACCATGGCAATGTACTGCTTCAGAGGGAAGAACTGGTCTTTTTAGGTTAATCTCCTGCACAATACCTCCCCTCTCTGTGGACAAAAATAGAAAAAGCATTGGCAGACAGGAGATGGGAGAACCCTAGGTCATGGGTGACTGCCACTTCAGCTCAAATCCACTCAACAGCCGCAGTTGCAGTGCTTTCCTTCCTCAATTGGAAACCAAGAAAGATCCCTTTCTCCTGCCTCTCCTTCTCCTCCTTCCTCTCCATTACTTCATAAAACCTCCTTCCCCTGCTCCTCCTGATCGACCCACTTCTTCTTATTTGCCCTCTTTTTGTTCTCATCTCAAGGAACGTTGCTGCCAGAAACTGGCCAATTGACTAAGATCTGTTCATGACAGCCAGAAAATCAGAAGTTTTGATCGGCCCACTTTCGTGTCATTTTTGGCATATTCAAGGTATGATCAGAGCTCCCCCCAAATCGGGTGGGCTGACCTGGAGCGCCACATGTGCACGTCACAGGAGTCAAACGCTGGACCCCAATCAAGCCCCAATCAGATCAGACAACCCTACAAGCAGCACGAAATAACTAGGACCAACTTGACTCCAAGAGCCCAATTCTCATCTACCCTTTTTTGGCATTAACGTTTTGAATCTTTTCCTTTCTTATAAAGGGGAGGAAAAGAAAAAAAAAAAAAACCCAAAGCTGCATCTATTCGGAATGTGGTGTAATCGAACAACACATCAAGACGCATGTAAGAGAAAGCCATCTACCAGATATAGCAACAGTATCACCGCATTTTGGGGAGAATAAGTTCTGAGCAAGACCCAGGCACCAGTTTTGGAAATTTAATATGGGGTTATATAAAAAAACGAAGATTCGGGAATCCTTCTGGCACAAACAGAGCAAACCTTCCCTGAACCCATGAATCCTAAGTGTGATATTTCGATTATTTTTTTATCTCGCAAGCATAAATCTTTCTTTAAAAACTACACCCACTTCCAAATCCAAGCTTATGTTCTGAGCTCAGCTTTTCGAGATAACATATATATGATTGAAATAGCATGTACAGGTGATGAGCTTAGTTCTGCAGTATTGCGAGAAAGCCAGCAAACCTTAAACTGCGACTGACAGAGTTTGACCACAGCCTTTTGAGCTAACAAATAACAGGCAAATAACCAAAATTACCAGGAAAGGCTGGAGAAATGAGACGTGCAAGTTATTAGGTCAGACGACGAGAGGAACCCACTGATTAACGTGGTGAGAAAGTGAGGAAAGCTTAGCATGAAGATCGTAGTGCTCATGTTGCGACATGAGCTTTTTAAAACCAAAGAATAAGACAAGTTTCCAGAAAAGGTGGAGAGATATCACATGCATATGGCAAGGGCAGACACCATCCAGAGAACCTAATATAGATGTAATGAGACAAGAAAACACACCTTCGCATAAAGCAAGAGGCAATGTGCCAAGAAAACACACCTTCGCATAAAGCAAGAGGCAATGTGCCAAGAAGATGGGCAGGACTCAAGAAAGCAGCGATACTCAAGTTTACATAGAATATAAGGGAGTCTATTTATCTATACATTTTGGCTTCTTCGAGGAAGTGAAAACCCAAATGTCTTCAAGACTGGTTTTCACTTCCAAATGTCTTCAGCAGGAATTCTCGTATTCTGGATCAAAATTCATGCGAGCGAGGCTGACCTGAAACTTCAGCTCAAAGAGGAGACGTGTCGAGAAACTAAAAAAAAAAAACAAATTAAGAGCGTGGAAAAGGATGAGCGGTGGAATCAAATCGCGGACGCCATTCATTAAAAAAAATAAGATTAAAAACAGGGAACACTGGTGTCCCAAATGCTGAATCCTTTTCCAGATTCAATCAATCATTTATACCCAGTTCACATTCATTCTGAAATTCTAGGGTTATATATCACAAGGATCTTATTAGTGGATCACCACCTGATAATTAAACTAATTGGGATGAGAAAGGGTAATAGGGACAATCTTCTCACAAAGCATTGTTGTCGATTTTGTTGAGACAAACAGTTACCGCTAGTCACTATCCTAAAGAAAATGTCACTCTTTTCCATGGATAAACATTCTACATGGTACATAAACTCTTGTCTATTGGGCATTACGATACATTTTAGCTCTGCAAGACCAGTTTTTCCCACTTGAACCCAGAAAAACACCGCATAAAAAATGCACTCAACATTCCCATCAATAATCATAGTACCGAAATTTCAAACAAATGTGGAATAGGAGGAAATCAATCAAATGCAATCAGGGCATCTTGTACTGCGTTTGCATGAACTTTGTAACACAAAAATCAGAACACATTACTGACACAGGAGCAAAGTTGAAGATGATTATAAGCATTATCACTTGAACGTTCATGGTCCGAAAAAAATATATGTGATCCATCAAAGAGATACATACAATGTCAGTAGGTTTGTTCTGGTTGTACTCCTTGTTCTTCTGTTCCACAACCTTCTCCAGTGTCTCCTGATCCCAGTCCTCCATAGTTTCTTTAAGAGAACAAAAAAACAAGAGCCCAGCACAAACGAAATAAGGAAATCACTATTACGACCTAAACAGAAAACAAATAGGAGATTCATCGTCTACCGTCATCACGCTTGTCACTGTAAATGTCAATTTTCTCCCCCTTCCTTTGCACGTTCAAGTCATGAGAGAACTTGCACTTGAAGCCCTTGGCGCACTGTCCCGCCTTGAAGAATTCGCATAATATAGATTTCGGATCGACACCTTAAAACGTAAGAGTTCACAGAATCAATCTATCAGCGCAATCCACCCACCTCTGTACAGAAGTGAGAACCGGAGATGGGCCAGAATCTTACCAATTGGAACTTTAGGCTGACTGATGGCAACCTTAAAAAGATCATTGAGCTCCTTCTCCCTTGCCTTCTCGTCCTCCTTTTTCTTCTGTCAGCGGCAAGGGGAATCAAAGACCAAAAAAGAAAAGGTTGAGATCCAGAAGAGATTTCAACGAAAATTGAATTTGATGATAGAGCGAAACGAAGACCATGAAAGGAAAAGACGGAAACATAAAGGTTACTGGCCTTGGCAGCGGCCTTGGCAGCATCGGGCTTCGGCTGGACGGACTGCTGAAGGCTCTGAACGTACTTCTGGACATTTTTACTCTTGTTTTTGTTCTTGAGGCCGAAGGTTTTATCCTCCACCACCTTCTGCTTCTTGGCGACTTCGGCCTTAGACTGCTGCTTGGGCGGCATATCCTCCGGCAACTCCTATCAGCATCAAAGGATCTCCGCGGCCAGGTATCCCTCAAAGACCGAGAAACAGCGCTCCTTCTCCCAACTTCCAGCCCCTCCGATCTCAATCACCCCCGACTAAAATCCCCCCAAGGAGCCGCCTCTCCTCAGAGTAGAGAGTCGATAGATACCAGGCAAAGATTCTCTCTATCTCCTCCCCCGTGGTGAAGCCTTCGCCCTTCGCCCTTCGCCCTTCGCCCTCGTCTTCGTCTTCGTCTCCACTTGTGGGGGATGATTCTGGAGGGGATCCCTTCCTGGGGTTTTCTCCGGAGAGGGGCGGAGGGATTAGCGCCGCCAGCCGCCACGGCGATACGGCTCCTAAATGGACCGCCCCGATTGAGCGCAACCACTGAAATCCATCGGGCGATATGATTCACACGTGCAAGAGTGACAACGGGATCCCCTCGACGCACGTGACGGCTTGCAGAATCGAGCGGAATTAACGGGCCGAATCTTGTAGGCCCTACAAGCCGAAAACCATATTAGTTCCCCTGGAATTGGCCCAATGGGCCTGAGCCCAAATAGGGTCAATCCTTCTCTGGCAGTGTGGACCAGGCCCGAATATGGTCTATTCGGCCCATCTGTCTTCAACAGACTCCGGCCCACAAGCCGAGTTCCCGTAGCTAGGCTAAATACGGCCAGGTTCGGGCTTTTCATTTATGGCCCTATGCCCATTTAACCAAGCCCTTGGGCTATTTTGGGCCTTGAAAAATAAATCGTCGCAACCCATTATTGCCACTGGGCCACCGCAGCGAGAGTAGCTGGGCCCATGTGACCAGATAATCCAGTGAACATTGGGCCGGAAAGGTCAGCCTATCAAGGAAGTTCTTGGCTCATCCTTCTTTTCTGTCACATTTTGGGCCACATACCGGCCCATTGGGCCTAGTTAAATATACAAAAGGCCACACGTCAACGTGCGTGGATAGGCGCCTCTGTCCACCGGTCAGCGGTGGGAAATGAAGGGGTTCGAACGGCAGTCTTTCGGTGCCGACAATGGTTGACCAGAGAAATATGGGGCCCAGCGGCCGAACAAAGAAACTAACGAATAGTTGCGAGTACACTAACAGTGGGAACGGGCCCCACAGCTGGATCGAACTCCGGTCAACGCTTTGGTTGTAGGGTAAACGCCTAGAGAGTGGATGCTTTATTATGATTGACCTCGGAGGCGCCGTCCTTCTCCGAGCTCAGCTCCGGTGGAAGAAGTGGGGGGAGGTTGGCGGAGGGAAGAGATATTCGCGGCGGGCGGCGGCGGCGGCTGTCGGAGAAGGGGCTGTCGCTGAGAATCCTGATGATGCTGCATATGGGTAGACCGGGCGAGGGGCGCCGCCGCCGCCGTGGAGCGGCCACGCCCAGCCGGGGATCGCCGGCGAGGGCATCTCCGGCCTCTTCTCCGCCGCTCTTTCCTGCCAGTGGGAGAGACGGAAAGAGGAGTTATAGATAGGAACGAGATTCACACAAGGAATATGGACGACGCAGCAGGGAGCAGTACCTCGTTCTTAGGAAGATACCCGGGGTAGAGAGAGGTGGACCACGCAGGTAAGTGCTCTGGTGGCGCTGCTGAGTGGGGACAGCTGGCGGGGACGAAACTGGCGTTGACCACCTGCACCAAAAAAGAAACAGAAAGGCTTCTCAGCGATCCAATCGATGAGAGTTGAACAGAAATCAAAGCAGTTAAGCTGTAGACGTAAACCCCGTTGACCCATCGATTAACTTAAATAACTTTAACAAAAAAAACCAACGATAATCAAATCGAGGTTGACCGCAGTTCAGGCTCGATCATTTCAAGTGTCTGGAGAGGATACTGACCGTATCAGCTTCCCGCCTCGGAGTATGATCAGTGGGCTGAGAGATGCTCAGGTTGAGGTTGAGATTCCGGCCAAATGCTGGAAAAAAAAACGAAGAACATGATGGGTTTCAGATGGCCTGCCCAGATTCATCTGGTTGACTTTCTTTCGGGTTGACAAAGCACACCTTCCACGTCCATCTCCGAAACAATCTCCCCTTCGTAGCAACTGGGCTCAAAGTTTGTGACAGCCTCTCTTCCATTGCATTTGATGGCGGCCTTGTCATAAGCCCTGATGCCCAAAGACAGAAAAGAAAAATGCGACTAAGATTATGTCCCAGATGAAACCATATTATTACCCAAATCTCATATGACTCGTCAGGGGGATGCAAAGGATCCGTGAGATCCAGTAGAACCTTGCAGCTTCTACTTCGGTGTCGAACAACCCAAGATATATGTACCTGCACGAAAGCATTATGTTCTCATCTGTGAACAACGTGGTTCCAAGATTATTTCTTTTTTAGTTTAATCTTTTTTTTTTCTTTGAAAAATCCAGGTGGGCTGCGGTTCTTTGATCTTGCTCATCGGTGGGTGGGTTCTCATTGCTCATGCATGGATGGGAGTGGATGCTGTTCTTCGGAGGAATGAAGAAAAGGAAGGTTTTTTTTTTTTTTTTTCAGTGGACTTACTTCTTCCCGAGGAACTGCCCCATCCGAGCTTCCCATCGGCCACACTTGTGAAGGGTCACCCCTCTGTACTTGGAGCTCCCACGAGAAAACCCAGTGCTTTGGCGGCGCAGGATGTGCACAAATTCCTCTTTTGTCAGATTTCTCATCTGAGAAGCGAAAAATAAGAAGAACAAAACAATAATCAATGAGCTGTGATCCCCGGAACACCCACGAAGGAGGAAGAAGCAGAAGAAGAAGAAAAAGAAGAAAAGTCAAGTCACATGTTTCATGTCCTCGTCGTAGTCAGCGAGGCTGAAGTTGATGTCGGCGTCAACTCCCCGGAACTTGATGGCGGCGCGATCATATGCCCTGGAAGAATTCAAACCGCGCATTAAAGGCAGTATGGAAAGAACAGAGGCATCGTTTTCTGAACGACTCAGCGTTGTTCTAACCTGGCGGCAGCGTGGGCAGTGTCGTATCCTCCTATTTATTTCCATTGCAGCAGATGGGAAGAAGGGGGAGGACAGGGCGGAGAGAGGGAGAGAGATAAAAGACCGTGAAATGAGCGAGTATGCACCCATCTACAGAAATAATCATGGATAGATGAAGGTTTTCTTACCCAAATACACTTGCTTTCCGCAGTCCCTGCACGGAAGAGAAACCTCCCCGTCAGGAAAAAAAAAAAGGAGAAAGAGGCGAGGGAGAGAAGCTGTGAGTCAACTCCATCACTAACCAGATATGGGATTCCCATCTTCCCGTTCTGCGGTAGAAGGTGACTCCTCTGTACTGAGAGCTCCGGGAGCGAGGACCCCTCCTGCTTTTCTTCACTTGCTGCTGCTGCTGCTGCTGCTGTTGCGATGCAACCTTGGGTGGCTCCGGCATATCCGGCTGGCAGAAGCTTTCCTCCAAAGATGATTTCGAAGCAGACGAGGAGGGGGGCATGTGAACTGCCATGCCCACAACATGAGGAACAAAGCCACTTCCATACGCCTCCTGACGAGCAGCAGCCAGAGGGAATAGCTGCTTCGTGAAGATCTCATGGTTGGACCTGCTGTTATTGACCTCCTCGGCGAAATCTTCTCCTTCCTCGGCCTCCTCATTAACATCGCCGAAACCCTCCTTCAGGATGCCGAAGCAGAAGGTCGGCGCCGGCGACTTGGTAGAGCAGGAGTCCTCGTCGCCGGCGTTAATGGAGCCGTCGGCATTGAGAACGGAGGAGTTGGACGTGCCGGAGTCGTCCATAATATTTCCAGCAATCTCCTGGAGCCTCTCGCCGGAGGAGCCGTCGTAGGGGGAGGCAAAATTTAGATCCAACACCATTTCCCACGGCGAATACTGCAGAAAAACCGATCACGATCTTTCCTTCACTCTTCGCTAGAGGAGCTCCAAGAGGGGGCTATTTGCAGAAGAGGCACTTGGAAAAAGAAGGCCGAAGAGATTACGGAGCATCCCTTCGCGTTGAATCCCGATCGCGCTTCCCCTCTTCTCCCAGCCAATGGAACCAGCAACTCGGACACCTCCGCTCGAAGATGATATCCCCCCGCAAGATGAAGAGGCGATCTGAGGAAAAACGAGAATCAGGAACAGGATCGACATGGAAGCGGCGCCCACGATGATGGGTGGCTCATTCTAACACCTCTTTCTCCCTTCCCTGCAGCGAACTAAAGATCAGAAACTCACCGGAGAAGACGAAACAATCAGACAGTATCCGATCCAAGCCTCGCCGGAGCACGGCCGCCTCACAGCAGCAGATGAGGAATTCCCGTTTCCTCTAGCGGATGAACGCCACCGGAGCCGATCAAAGACCCGGCATCGCTCATTACTCCCACGGCGGCGGAACCCAGACGAGGAATCTCCGCCGCCTTCCCCTTCTCCCCGGGATCCTGGGCCGCCGTCTGAGAAGCTGCCAACGAAGGGAAGAACCGCGGAGGAATGGGGATGGAGGACGATGGCCAGCGCCGGGGAAGCTTAAAGGGTGAGAGGAGAGAGAGAGAGAGAGAGAGAGAGAGAGAGAGAGAGAGAGAGAGAGAGAGAGTAGAGAGATAAAGAATCAGATGGGACGTGTGAAGCAACATGTACCAAATGCATGCCGTAAGTAATAAAGAACATTAATCTCTGCTCAGGGTGCAAATGGATACAAATCTGTCGGCGTCAACGTGCTGTCACCGGCTACCGCCGGTGACACCCTCGGATGAGGACAATTATAAAATATCCTAAAATATATCGTACTTTTAAAAACCATCCCAGGGTTAATCTGCCGAGGAGAGCATAATTGTGATTAAACCCTGTAGAAATCACAAATATCTCTCTCCACCCGATAAGTAGTTGCCCGTACGCGTCGAAGGAGAAGCCTTCTTAGTTTATTAATTCTTCAGACAGAAGAATAATGGGACCCAGAAAAAACGCCTAGAGAGAGAGAGAGAGAGAGAGAGAGAGAGAGAAGGCCAGCTTACGACAGCGGGGATCAAGGCAGTGGGAGATCACACGGGGTCAGTGGTGGGGGATGACCACGCTTTCATAATTTAATGGGCACAACTATAAAAAATATTCACTGATACATACGTAAGAAATTGTATCGTGGAATGGGGTCAACGACATAATTGTCCCGGTCCTATTTTCTCGTAGACAGTTGACCAAACATAAATAGGTAATAAATACGAAATAAACACGTTATTTTTCTATTGGTTAGTTGGCGAGAAGGGTCTTACGTGTGGATTGATGAAGATCGGCACGTGCGAGGGGGTGCCCGGATTCGTGTCGGTATTGACTGCTGTGCGTTATGATTACGGCGCCGGAGTATACGGAAATAAAGAAGGGAGCAGCTTTACGGCGACAAGTACAAAATTGGCCTTGCGAAGAACGTGGGACTGCTGCCCGCCACCGGCGGTCGGGACGGAGGCAGCCTTTCCTGGGACAGCAAGCGGTCCGAAAACGGAACGACGGCGCCGCCTTGTTGCCCCTTCCAACAGATGAGGAAAGAGCGGCGGGACGGCCTTAGGTCGCCGTCGGGCCCCGTGAGGTAAGCCGCCGCCGCCGCAGCCGCCTCTCGTTTAGGCCGCTCTCTTATTCCTTTTTACTGTTCCATTCGAATTACAGATAATATAAACATATTTGTCCAGAGCGTGGTTCCCAGCACCGGGGAACGGGGGGTGACGGATGAGAAACCTCACCGGGGGGTGACGCGAAGCCGACAGCTGTCGTTATCTGAGTGGGGACCCCCGCTCGCCACCCTAGTCATTTCCCCAAATAAGAAGGGACCCACTTATCAACACGCACGGTTTTAACCAGATTTGGAAGGGGGGCGGCTTTCTGAAACCGAATACTTTCCACAAAATCTCTCTTCAACCGCCGCCCCCCGCCGCCCGTCCCGTTCCGGGCAAAAATCAAGTGGGCCCCCTTACTATTTATCGCTACATGTTATTATCTACAATATTTTCTCAAAACAATACCTTGTGTGGGCGTTGTCGGCAGGAGGCGTACGAGGTTTGGACGAGACGTGTCATCTTTTGCTCCTCTCGAGAAGAGTCGTCCCCCTTCTCTCCCTCGGTCAACACGCCTGCCGACAGCTCCCCCCCTTCTCTCTCTCTCTCTAAATTCACCGGATCCTGCTCTCAACGAGAGGAAATGAACGGTCATATCTCATTGTGCTGGTCGTTTCCCCCGATAGAAATGCCGGGGAAGCCTCTTGTCCGAAAGGCAAGCGACCCAGACAGCGGGATCCTATGTGGCGCAGTGGGCAGCCTCCACGTGGTGCAAAGCTTTTCTCTCACGTCAGCGAGAGCACGTCAGCTCGTACTGGCCGTCCGATGGACCGAAAGAGGACAGGATAAGCCCCGGAAACGTAGCAGTCCCACTTAATCAGGGAATAAATGACGTCATTATATGAAAAATTTATTATAATAAAAATGTTCAAAGCTTAATGGGTTCCGCTAATCGGTGATAATATTGAATAATTGTATTTAAAAAATGGAGGGATTGACCCAGAAAATGGATAATTAGGGAAAGAAATAGTAAGTTCTGGTCACATCATGTCGGTCGATCGGTACTACATATGCGGTCCAATCAATCAGATGGACCGGCGAATATGCCAGGAAGATATGAGAAGAGTACCTCTGCCGATCCAATGTCACATCCCTCTATATATTTTTATTATCGGGGTTTTTTCGATTTAAACAAATATAATTTCTTACAAATATGCGAAAGTAGTCAGAAGAAGCAGGAATTTATGGGCCTGTTGAGGCCCATAAAGTTGTGAAGAGAGGCCCAAAATAGGCGGCCCATTAGGCGGATGCGTTGATGTCGGGTTTCGCTATGGGAGGAGCTGAATTTTGGGGGATGGACGATGGCGGGCCCCGCGGGGAGGTTCCTCGTCGTCAATGGCGTCCTTCGGCCGGCGGCGCCGCCTCCGATCGCCGCCTTCCTGGAGAGCGTCTCCGGTGAGTGTAGAGCTTCCGCCGTGCTCTGCTTTTTTTTCTTTTTTTTTTTCTCACTCTCTGATTGCAGCAGGTGCGTACACGACGACGAGGACCCATGAGGAAGGGTCTGTGGTGCTCTTCTGGGAGAGGCACCTCCTTCGGCTGGCCGATTCCGCCAGGATCTTGGCTGATTCCTCTGGATCCTCCTTCTCCCGATTCATCGCGTCGCCGCCGTCGAGCATTCAGGCCCTGGTCGATGATTCCCTGCGGGTGGGGCTGCGGAGGGCGACGAAGGATCGGAAGGGCGGGGGGAGCGGGGAGGAGCTGGCCATCACGGCGATAGTTTCCGGATGGGAGGGGGAAGAAGAAGCATTGCGCGGGATCGAGGTGAGCGTCCATTTAGGGCTTTATGTTCCCCCTGTTTTCGGCAAGGGTGTTCGCCTGGCGCTCGCCGGCCGTGGGAGGGATATGGCGGAGGCCAAGAGCACGGAGTGGGTCAGGTGAGTGGTGAGTGGTGGCGGTCGTAGCGCTCTTCCCCAAATGGCTCTCTCCGCTGCGGATATTGATTCGTGGATTCTCCTTGAAATGAAGGACTCGGAAATATATGGAGAAACTGAGAGCTCCTGTGACGACGGAGCTGTTGCTATCCAACGACGGGGATCGGATACTGGAAGGCAGCGTGACGAATTTCTTCGTCGTCTGTCGTCGCAAGGTAGCTCCTTATACTCTGCTTGGTCTCAGCCCATTGATTCTCGTGTCTACAGTCCCACAGAGAGAGAGAGAGAGAGAGAGAGAGAGAGAGAGAGAGAGAGAGAGAGAGAGAGGAAGAGTGGTGAGGAAGACTATTCCTTCTTGTTGGGATTTCTTCTTCTGTGATCATCCTCAAGGGTACAGACTCTCTTCACTTCTCGTCGCCAATGCTTTGTCATCCCCTTGACGCGATCTGTGCTGCTCCCAATTGCTGCATTGCATTGTTAGCTTCCGAATTCTACGACTGCTAGTCCCAGCCTGCATCCTCTGTTGTGCTTGTCAACCTAGAATACCTCTTCGAATTCCTGCCTCACTAGGTTACAGCATGCTTACAATCTAAAGCATCTGATATGCTAGCTTGGAATTCCGCTGGAAAACACGTGTTCTTACGCATCAGGATGACAAAGCATAGCCCTTGCGAGTCTTCTTTGTTCTACTTATTTCACTAGAGATTCTATTTGTCAAACTTTGGTCCAATTAGATCCATTCCCCTGCTCGTCCTCTGGAGTCTGATGATTTTTGGGTACTTGATCAGCAAGATTGTTGATTGATTTTCATGCATGCAACAGGTTGATAGCGCTGAATCGAGCAAATCAGGGGATCATTCGGAAGGGCAATATTCAGTAGAAGTCCAGACAGCTCCTCTTAGTGATGGGATTCTCCCGGGAATCATTCGTCAGCTAGTTATAGAGTAAGAACTCCTCTTCTAAGTGGCACGACCTGATTTTTATTTTTTTTCTTGAGCTTGAAATGTAGTCTCGCCTGCTGCTTCCTCCTGTTGAACCTGGTGTCGAACGTCGGCACCATGAGGGATCAAGAATCTGTTCTTGATCCCTGAGTGCGAGTCTCTGTAAGGTTGGGTGCACTGAGACGCTAATGATCAATCAGCCAATGGTTGGATTTGGGAATCCAAGGGAATGAAAACTCAATGATAAACCCACGATCAGTTCTCATTGTCTCCATGATTAAATTCTCCTCTGTCTTCTGATGTTCTTGTTCAGACTCCACCTGTGAGCATTCTATTGACTGAAGTGGCTATTTCCCCCATTAATCGCATGACAGTACACAGCCTTCTGCAAGCTTTGCGTTGTGATGCCTCTTTTTTCTGCAGGATCTGCTCTAAAAGGGGTATATATTTTCGAGAGGTTGCACCATCCTGGGCAGACCGTGAACTCTGGGATGAAGCTTTTATCACCAGTAAGACTCATATTCTACTGGTGATTTGAATCGGAAGAAGACAAGATGCCCGCACACTCACAAATTATATCATATCATATCATAATATTTGATTTGTTTAGCTAATATATTAAGTCATCTAAAATCTAACATTTGGAACCTCATGGAGTCAGCTTGATCAATATCAGATAATATCCCTCCGGGTGTATGAACCCCCGGTCAAACTCAAGCATTCACAGCTCAAGCTTTACGTGGGGGGCACTGGTTAAGCCTTTTGATCGAACCCAGTTATCGAAGAATCATGATTATTTTTGTGTTTAAGTCAACTACATGCCTTTTAGATTTCTCCTCTGTCTGTGTTTAGTTGCAGTTATAATCTTCAGAAGGAAGACCCCTTTTGGGGAAGTAAAAATAGTAAAAAAAAGTAAAAATCTTGGAACTTCCTTGTGTTTTCTGGCCTGCTGCGTCGGATCTGTACTGAATCGGACCTGTTTCTTGCAGACAGCTTGAGGCTTCTGCAGCACGTTGAAACGATCCAAGTCCCGAGGTCATGGGAAGATTTGGATTCGAAATCGTGGGAAGAGGTTTCCTGGGAAGAGCAGCGATTCGAAGTGAGTGAAGAGCTCAAGTGTCCGACCTGCAAGCAAATGTTTTTATTTATATATCTGAAATTTAATTTATATTTTCTTCTTCTGGAAATTAGGGTCCTGGGATCATCACTACCCAGATACAGGTACAAAATCCCCGTCTCTTGTGCCCGCCCTGTGATAGTCCTCGTTATTTCCATTTTGTAGTTATTCCAGAGTGACGGCAGTCATTTCTGAGGATCCATGTTGTTGACCCAACCTTTTTCCTCATTTGGTTCCATCCCTGGTAGGCGAATTTTTCTATAAGCTATCCATGAGAGCTAGAGATCCCGGCGTGGGTCACTTGAGAATTGCGGTCAACCTTCATGTCACAAGCTTAGTCAACTCTTGTGCTCAGAACAAAGAAGCCCAATTTAAGGAATTCCAGCTGTCATTTCTGAATGTCCATGTTTTCCACAAAAAAATTCCTCATTCGGTCAACCCCCTGGTAGTAAAAATTTCTGGAAGGAGACGATGAGAGCTAGGGATCTCGGGTCCACTTCCAGCCTGAGAAGTTATAGAACCCTAGTTTTGCTAGGAACAACGAGGCCCAACCCAACCCCGGTGGCTTCGGATCTCCTGAGACAGGAGAGAGAGAGAGAGAGGAACCCTAAGCAGTTCCTGCTCCCGATTCTTCTTAGCTCCGAAAGCATAATTAGAAGAACCGTGTTGTAATCTAGCCGACGGGTTTTCTCATGAGTTGTCTTGTTCTTCTATTGCAGTGGGAGCTGATAGAAGCAGCCTCCGTTCAAGGTCTCCCCTTGACTAGTTTCCTCTGATATCGCTGCCCCTCTCTGCACGCTGTGAGTCTCTCTCTCTATCTATCTATCTATCTCTATCTCCTCTCTCTCTCCTTTCCTCCCTGTTGTTGTCTGTTCGCTCTCCATATATAATGATGTACTGAGAAGAACTTTGAAGAGAGGTGTGCATTTGGCGTCTGTCGGCAGGTTTCTATGTTTCTAGGGTCTAATGGAAAGGTGGCATCTTTTGTCGGCGGGGCCGGTCCGGGCCGGGCCGATTCCCCCATTCTGGGCCCGTCTTTACTCGAGAGAAGCCCGACCCTGAAACTCCGCCCGGTCGATCGGAGGGCCCGTTTTTCTGTTGATAGTTGCCGACCAGACCGCCGCCGTCGGAAGCCTGCGCGGGCCCACATTTTTGTCGGCCCGACCGCGGTAACAGACAAAATTGGGTTCTTTCTTCCCGGAATCCGAAATATTCCAGATTTGGCTGCTGGGATCTAGAGAACCAGTCGTCACGTGACAGAGAAACAACGACAATATGGCGGGCGGCTGCAGTCGCTCTCGAGCGCTGCGGCGGCGGCCGACCCTCCGCCACGTGGCTTACGTCATCGTCCTCGCTTAGGAGATCTACGGTCGTCTCGGCTCCAGGAGAACGGCGAGCCGTCCGACCTCCCTGAGCTAACTGTCCTATCAGAACGGACAGCAGGTCTCGGGTTTCAAATCGCTTTGTAGCTTTAACGGATATTTGACTGGTCAATGACAGTCACTCCATACTTGTGCCCCCCCGGGTGCCATTGGACGGATACGTAGACAGAGAACGACAGAGTCCTCTCTCTCTCTCTCTCTCTTTCTCTTTCTCTTCAAGAAGGCTCTAGGATGTATATATATATACCCCACTGCTGTCCAGACACGAAGGTGGCTCGCTCTTGCTCTCGCTCTTTTACAGACGATTCGGAGTTTTTCTTCATCATCTGTGTAGATGGAGATCTCCACTCCAGAGCAACAGGTATTCTCTCTCTCTCTCTCTCTCTCTCTCTCTCTCTCTCTCTCTCTCTCTCTCTCTCTCGCTCTCTTTTTCTCTCTCTTCTCTCTCTTTCTCTCTCTTTCTCTCATGGTGTGAGTTCTCTCTGTGGCTACATTCAGGCGATGATCATGGGGAACTCGATGGGCGAGCTGCTGGGCTGCATGGCGGTGGCGCCGCCGCCGCTACAGCAGGAGAGAGGGGCGAGGGCTCCGGCGGAGCAGGCTGCGAGATGCCCCCGCTGCGAATCCACCGACACCAAGTTCTGCTACTACAACAACTACTCCCTCTCTCAGCCCAGGTACTTCTGCAAGGCCTGTCGGAGATTCTGGACCAGGGGAGGATCACTGAGGAATATTCCGATGGGCGGTGGCAGCAGGAAGACCAGGCGCCCCCTGTCTTTCCCCTCCTCAAGGAAAATTCCCCGGCGACAGCAGCCTCACGCCGCCACTCCGCTGCCGCCGCCCCCCGCCGGGTTTCTTCTCGATCGCCAGACGCCCAGCTTCGTCGGCTGCCCCCTCTACGGGATCAGTGGGCAGGCGGCAGCGCCGCATTTCTGGCAGCTCGACAGCGCACCGGCGGCGGCGGCCATAAGAGAGCTTTCTTCCTGCCGGAACATGGACGGAGATGGGAACCTCTTAATGGGCATGGGGGATGGTAATTTGGCTGTGGACCCTGGGAGGGATTTCTACTGGCATGGCCTGGTCAACAGCTTCCTATTTTAGAGAGAGATAGAGAGCTTCTTCTTCTTCTTCGTCTGCTTCTTCTTCTTCGATTCCACCTGACCAGATAACTGCTAACAAGACTCGCTTCACTAACCCGAGAGGAAATCGGGTTCCGTGGCGGCGCCGCCGACTCCGGCGAGGTCTTTTTTAGGTTCCCGGCGGGGCTTCTGTCTGCGCCGCCGCCGCCTCACATCTGCAAACAACTAAACAAAAGACCAGGGGAAGAAGGGTCTACCGCTGGCCTCTTCAATGCACCCGAGTCTTCAATCTCCTTGGATTCTTTGGAGAATTAATTCCGATGGAGGGATTGGCGGCGGCGCCGCTCTGCCATCTCCGGTGCTTGTGATCTTTAGTGGGTCCCCTGTCCCCACTGCCACGTCACTAGGACAACTCTCTCTCTCTCTACAATTAACTGAACAAAAAGGCAGTGAATTTCTATTTTTTTTCATCACATTGAAGGACCAGCTCTGGCACATAATCTTCATGGTCACCGGCTGTTGACTTCTGTCAGGACAACTCCATCCTCTGACAATTACCCAACAGGAAAACAGTAAAATACGGTTTACAGAGAAAATAGCATATTCATCATCACCATCTGAAGAATTCAAGTGCATCAGATCCTTTGTGCCCTATTCCATCAATCAGGTCAAAAAAAGAAAAAAAAGAACAGTGGGTCGAGTCAACCCATCTCTCTCTCTCTCTCTCTCTCTCTCTCTCTCTCTCTCTCTCTCTCTTTCTCTCTCTCTCTCTAGACTCTCCCAAAAAATGCAGAGAAAGAGAAGAAATGATATTTGATGAATGAATTCCTGTCCCCGTGGAAAAATCGATAACAATTTGGTGGTGGAAACGGGCAGAAACCCTCTGCCGAGCTCCAGCAAAAGAATTTTGGGGAAGAACACAACACCGATTAGTAGCTCTGCAGGATACCAGATGAGTTCTTCTGGTGATCATTTGCCACGCTTCTTCACCTCACTATACAGAATTACTCCGATGACCGTGAGGGTGTAGCCGAGCATCCCTGTAACCGAAATGGGGTTCCTGAATATCAGAATCGAGACGACCACGGCCACAGCTCCCTTGGCATTCCCAAGAACCTGGATATATACAGGGAGAAAGAGAGAGAGATGAGTTTAGAATCTGCTGAGAGTGTCTGATGATTTGATATGGGAAGAAGATGATGATGAACAACCAATGAGGGAGTAAAAATGGATGGGTGAAAGGATCACTGCATTTTAGAGAGAGAGAGAGAGAGAGAGAGAGAGAGATGAGTCTAGAATCTACTGATAGTGTCTGATGGTCATATGGGAAGAAGATGATGATGAGTAAGCAATGAGGGAGTAAAAATGGACGAGTGCGAGGATCACTGATTTTTCAAAATTTATCTACAATAAATGGGGAAGAAAATCAGCTTTTTTTCAGGATAATTCACGATGGGATTCAGCGTTTATTCCAGATAAAAAGATCACATCCCATGAAAACAGTGGAACCCACAGTATCTCCCCATAGGAGGCTGTTATGGGCATGTCACACAGAATGCGCTTCTTCATGTGACATTAAAAATCACAATATCTCCCATTATCTTTACTGAAACTACTTTCTGACCTTCATGAAACTTAAAGTTGATTCGATAATGAGCTCATTGAAAAGTTTAGGAGATTATCGTTTGGTCAAGAAGACTCAGATCTATGGTTTAGTTGATTTATATAGAAGCTTAATGGAAAATACGAGTAGACACAAGATTTCGGTTTGATCAATTGGAAAATATTAATAGAAACACGAGGGTTACAAGAATCCAATTTTATTGTCCGGTTAATTTATAAGGAATCTTAATGGAAAATCAAAGGAGACAAGACTATGGTTTACTTTGATTTGAAAATATTGATAGAAACACGAGGGATTTATGGAAACAGAAGGATACAAGAAGATCAGAACGGTCGGAGGGTCCCCTTATTTTGGATCCAGCCAGTCCTCGATGGTTTATTTTCTTCTGGGGAGTAGCTAACACATCCAGTCTTCTAGACAAATCATTCGAAGGGCACCGTTTTTTGGTAATAAAGTCCATATCCACTGAAAGCTACACAGATTTTAGATAATCTATGACATAATCAAGCATTCAACTAGATTTTCTATCTGCATCGTTTTATATATATATATATATGGATATGTACATGTGGGTTATCAAAGGGTTCTTTTGAGCCTACGTTTCATAGCTTGATTGGTTTTATCACTTTCCCCAGGAACTGTCAAACGTGCAGTAAAATCAAGAAAGAGCGAAATGGTGAGAGGTTGGCCACGGCTGCCCTAATCTTCAAGTCTGCCATTTAGTTTTTCGTAATGTCAGTTGCCACATCACATAATCAGAAATCATTGATACAGACCAAAAGATGAGCTAGGGTTTCGGAATATTATCTTTAAAGTAAACTGAAGCTTCCCACATCTACCCTAGATTTTTATCATGGTTCAGATTAAGATGACATCATGTACAATAACGGCACTTTGTCTCTAAATATTCTTCAAAGTGCTATTGTTGTCTCATTTAAAACGGTAGAGTATTCTTCAATCAGAAAACGCATTCCAACCTTATGAACTGAGGAACTATAAGGAATATACAACGAATGAACAAGATATCTTCCGGTACAGAAAGTCGCTCTCAGATCCAAAGGATTTTTTCTTACCTTTTTTCCCTTCCCCACTGCAGTTGCTACTGAGTGAGGCAAAAAAGAGAATATGCAGGTTTAAGGCAAACTAAGAAGCTCTATTTGCATGCACGACGAGTAGAAGGTTGTGCACCTGAAGAGTCAAAGCACTGGTATGCTTGGTGACCAAGAAGTTGCTCAGGTTCACAAAATATGCCAAGGCAGAATTGAAGAGCAGGTACCAAATAATCCTGACATCTTCTCTAGCGAGCGCTAATGTGAGGCCAACCACATTCTCTTCCATCATGATAGTTGCAGGAAGCAAGAAGAGAACAGCGGTTGGAGCCATGTACAGAAGAAGATTCATCGAATTGAGCTTTTCCCTGGAATATAAATAAAAGTTACATCTCATTACTACCTATCCTTTTTTTTTTCTGGATGATCCAAAACTCCATGGATATCAGTATTGATGGAAAGGTGCTGATAAAATCTCGCAAATTTTAGTGGGTTGTAAATTTTTTTTAGAAGAATTGGGCATCACAGAAAGTAAAGATGAAGAGAAGGTTACCCCTCAGAAGACAGTAAGATCCCTTGTAGCACAGATTTGAGTGCTCTTGCAGCAGTGGCGCCAACGCACATTATAAATCCAAATAAGTGGAAACTCGGCTCACCCTGCAAGTAAAAATCATAGTATTAAGATAAAATCGCTAATATTTGGAGTTATAAACCAGCAGAGTGCTATAACTAGACAATTTTGATTTCAAATTTGTGATCAGAATACCTCTGATTATATTGTTTGAAAACTCCATGAGTGCAAAATTAGTGCTAACAAGCTTTTGCTTAAGCATAGTCACCGGATGAATGGCATCGAGAGCATGCAAGTCCAACGTTAGTCACCGGACTCAAACCAACGAATTTTCCAGGACAAAGAAAAATAAAATCTGGGTATCTTATCCCAAAAAATGATAGAAACCATTACATACGTAATTAGATGAATAACTACTATTCATCATAAAATGCACGACTGGATTCTGTATTGTTTTCATTTCTTAATTCATTAATGATTAAAAAAATACAGCAACAACAATAAAAGAAGAGAAGAACCAAATGAGAGTGGACTCCGATAGAGCAGGACAGAAGATATACAGTTTATATGGTCTGCGTTGTTTCAGAGGTACAAAGTACATAATACGGTTCAGTTATCAAATCACAGATCTAATGACAACAGTGATTCATGGGTACAATATTTTTGATGTAAAAAGGGACTAATGGGTCAAATGGACGAACCAAACAGACCAAAGGGGGGGGAAAGAGTATAGAACACAATCTGAGCGGAAACATCGCAGGGGAATCAAAGAAGCTCGTGGGCGTCTTGAAGATTGTCCAAGTAAGAAGGAAGAATAAACAAAAATGGAAACATCTGAAGGACATCCGCTGAGTTATAACGAATAGCTTCTGGGTAATGCGATGAGATTCGACCGACAGATCTCAAAGCAGACGATCCACACAAGAAGAAAGAAGGAAAAACGATGCACAGATCAGAGATTGATAACAGAAAGAAGAGGGAAAACTCCGTAATAACAGGCGAATCGCTTACCCCGCTGGCAATGATGACCCCAGCAACAACAGGGACGAGCGTCGCGTATGTGAGCCAGGTCTCCCCGCGGACGGTCATGATACAAGCAAAGATGGCCGTAAAGAAGGGGGTGGTGGCGCCAATGGCTTGATTGAAGGAGACCGGGAGGAATCGAAGAGAGATGTTGCCACTGACAACGGAGCCGCAGAATATAAGGCTGAGGGCGGCGATCTTGGCATACTGGACGCGGGAGCGCACGACCTGCATCGGCACGAGCTTCATCCAGGCGATGGCGAAATAGCTGAGCAGGGAGCAGGCGGACATGTGGCACATGGTGAGGAAGATCGGGTACTTGAATCCGTAGTTACTGAGCAGGTACTTGTTGAGCAGAAGCACCCCAATGTTGGACGAGTACCAGGACATCACCAGCCCCAGCGTGAACATCTGGCTGCTCGCCCTGCCCTTCACCTTCTCCGCCATCATCCTTCCCGACCGACCGTCCAATCGCCGCCCCTCCCCTTTCTCTCTCCCTCTCTCTCTCGCTCTCTCTCTCTCTCTGATTATTCTCCCTCCCCGCTCCTCTCACCACCGCTCGCGGTGATTCCAAGCTCCAGAACTACGATCGAATCCGAGTAGGGAACATCCGCAACAGCGCATTTCTCGGCGCGTGTATGTCGGTGCGACCTGTGCGGGCTGAGACGACTGGAAAGACGACGAAGGCGTCCGAAAATCGCAGAATCCCCAGAGAGAGAAAGAGAGGTAGAGAGAAGAGAGAGGAGAGAGAAGAGAGAGAAGAGAGAGAGGAGAGAGAAGTTGACAGGACGGAGCTAGCTGCCACCTCTTCTTCTCTTCGGCGGTGGTGAAATGGAGGCCCCACCCACTCGTATGCTCTTCCTAAAAGCCCAAAACTCGTCCTCATCAAAGCTACCCATTCTCCTCGTTCCAGAAATATATTCCAGGCTTTTCGAACAACGCCATAAATTCGCACGTGAAAACACCGGAGGCGTTGACCGCGCCAAGCAATCTGATCTCTACGTCACACCCACTGGACCGCACGTGCTAGCGGCCCAGAGGAGAAATCGTCGGGGCAGACGCACGTGCGCCGACTCACTCGCGGACAGAATACCCAATGGGAGGACCAGACTTTCCCAATTTGTAAGACCAGTCAACGCCAACGATCCACACTTTGGAAACTATACAGTAGTCAACGAGGTCATGATCAGTCGCCAATTTGAGTTTTTTAAAAAAAGGAAAAACATAACTAGAACCTCGTATTTTCTTATTTAAAATTAAATGAACAATAAATGGCCATATGAAGACATACATGAGGACCCCGGGCCTAGGCCGGGGCTCATTTTCCGGGCTTTCATTCCGGGCCAGGCCCGGTTCAGCAAGCAATAGAGAAGAGACAACCAGAGGCCCAAGTGTGAACCTAGACAGGTACCGGGCCTGAGATAATTTCCGGGGCATTCATTCCGGGCCGAGCCCAGGAGGAGATACAACATGACAAGAGCTGAAGAGTCTACCACCGGAGTTTCTTCGGGTGCTCAGGAGGATAATGCACAGGCTAATAATAAAGCTGCACCGACTAATTTCACATATATATATATATATATATATATGAGGGCGTACAATAGAAAGACGCTATGTTAAACGGCTGTGGGTGACGGGGGATGACCTGGCCGAACGGGGCCCACTCAGTTCCTCCCTCCAGAGCCGTTGAGGTACTGGCCTTGAGACTGCATCATGTCGGCGCCCTGCAGAGGGAAAAGGCTAGGAAGATTAGATTGTTGCTGGCTTTTATTGGAGTAATTATTTTCCAAATACTGGTCATAACTAGGAGTGGATGGAGCTCATAAAACGGTCTTCATTGAGGGCCCCACACTGTTAGCTGTCTGGGCTTGGAGCTCATAAGCAGGCCCAATAAGAAAGTCCTGAAGGGTCCCACAGAACCCTGCAGACTTCCCTTGATCTGCTTCCACATCCGGGGTCATGTGTCTGTTTTTTGGTGGTTGGTTAATATGGGCACTGGATATTTCCTAGTCGGTGGTCTGATCATGTGTGGTGAAGAGTCTCACATCGTCAGCTTATTAGTCTTCTAAATAGTGATCTCCCTACAAGGTGAGAGAGTTGACTTTCATGGTGAAACCTTAGAATTGCCGAAGAACATTTTCATATAGTATTCCATGCAACGAGAAGAAAAGAGAAAAAAAAATGGTGAAATATATGCAAAGTCAGAAACTCATTCATTATCATAAAGACTATATGAGCGAGCATAGATTCATGACTCATAAATTTCTAAATTTATAGCACAAAAGCTAAATTTCTGGCATTTCAGAGTCAATTTTCTATGGTTCGACATTATATCATTTTGTTAATAGACTCATAAGATTTTTGATGTTAGTGAAGTGATAAAAGTTTAGGTGTGTAACAGACAGGCTTCAACGTTTCTTTCAGCTTCATATGATTGGTCTCTTCTATTTGATGGAGTCATATAAAAAGTGGAAAATTGATCAACGTTAGGATGACATGAGTGATGTTTGCTGTTTGAAAATGGGGCTAGGATAAGTTCACACGTGATCATAATGGTGCATGAGGAAGTTGTGTAGGAGTGATGGCATATAGTACGCGGGACTTGAGCCATTAGCTGCATCTGTCACTCAAAATTTTTGCCTGGGAGCTGAAACTAGGAAAAAAGGAGAAACCGGCATAATTTTTTCTTATCTGAATGGAAATCAAGAAAACATGATTTTGATCCCGAAAGAGGCGTGTTTTCAGTGAGATAAGGTTTATACATACAACTATGATGAGAACAGAACACTGAACCTTAGGACTATTGATCCACAGGAAACAGAAAAAGAAATAGTAATATGCAAAGGAAACAGCACTAAAAGTAGATCAGGTGAATTTAACGACACGTGATTTGAATCATTGACGTTTTTATCCCTTTTGTTCAAGTATACAAATTTCAAGAGAAAAAAATTCTGACAGAAGTATTTGTTGAACCTTCCATGTGGCTCTGTTATAAGTCACAGACCCCTGTCATACTTGAATGTTGAATAGAATTTCTCCCTTATTCGAATTCAAGCTACGTCCATTTTGAACGAGCAGATTCTCTCTCTCAAAGATTCAAAGGGATTGAAGCTGATTCAACAGTATTGCCTGAGGATACATGTAATTCGTGCTCTGCCTAAAATCCCCTGGCATCTGTCAATTTCACGTACAAGATGAAAAATGAAAAAACTTGAAGAACGAAATGGGCGCATAGCCTGGAGCAGAGCTTCTCTTGTCATCCAACCTGAGAGCCTGAAGCAGATAGATTTCCACTCTGGGAACCATCACCCTCTTTCTTTGAAGATCCTTTTGCGTCGCCCTGTTAGACATTCGATTTCCAAGGATAATTAGGAAAATAGTTACCTACATCCACAGGAGATTATTTAACTGAACAAATAACAATCACAAAACTGGTAGAGATAAAAACATTACCTCCAGCTGCAGCAGAACACGCATCGCGAAACGTAATAGAAGACAAGGAAAGAAACAGAAAAATAATCAGACCTAAACAGGTAATAAACGTAGGAAATGACGAATAATAGGCTTATTCGAAGATGCCTCTCTATATTTCTGCAGGTAGATTTTAAGTGGCTCAATGTACTCCTCAAACCCTAACGTGGCCATGGCCCAAAGTAGATCGTCCCCGTTTATCGTCTTGCGCTTCTCTCTCTGACACTTGTCGCTTGCCCTGCGCCATTAAATCCAGACAACACAACAAAGTGCAAGAAAAAAAAGTGAATTTTTCCCATCCTAGACTAACGTTGGCGGCGAGCGAAATAAATAAGGGGAAATCAGATCTAACTCGCTGGTGATGAAGCTGATGAACTCAGAAACACACTCCTGGACAGTCTCCTTGGCATCCTTGGCAATTTTCGCGTTCGCAGGGAGCGCCTTCTTCATGATCCTGCTGATGTTAGCGATCGGGAGGAACCGATCCTGCTCCCGAACATTCGACTGCGGGCTCCCCTCGCCGGTGTACTCGTGGCTACCCCCCGCGTCCGGGCTTGAAGGCCCCTGGCCCGGAGCCGACGACTCAGCCATCCCGCGCGGAACCCTAGCTCCATCACACGACCCCCCCAACGACAAAAATGAACAGAGAAGAGTCACACCAAACACAAACCTAGCGTCCCAAAAACAACCCTGGATCCGGCCTGCGGGAGGTAGAAGATCAGTCCGCCCCCGGACCTCACCTGAGAATCGACCAAGCAGACCTCCGTAGGTGACTCCTTTTGTATATTTGGCGCGCGCCGTGGCAGAGCAGGAGCGGAGGATCGACGGAATCCCTCCCTTCCCCCTCTGAAAGGGGAGGCGATCGGACGCTGGAGAACGTCGGAGGAAGGAGACGACTGGGATGAGACCTTGTGGGGGAGCGTTTCTTTATCCGTGCCGTCCGTTTTTATAAGTCACCTTCTTGCCTGTTCAGCGGTTGCGTAGAAAGATGGAGTGCGGGGCCCATCAAGACCAACAGCCGCGTGGCGGCCATCGAGCTGCTCTTTGCGCGATGGTTCCACCCAACGAACGGCGGATGATCCTCTCTTCCGTGATCCTCGTCGTTGGACCCGGGCCACGTGGCTTCAAACCGGTCTCGGCCCGGGTCCATGTGGAAAATCAACCCGGTCCGATTTGATTTTCCGAGTTCAAACTTCCAAACAGACGCATCGACCCGTCGAGTGGGCGACTGGCCAACTAAATATATTATATTATTAATAATTGAAATAATTTGCCTTTATCTACCCTCACGCATTTTTATTTAAGAACCAGATTCGTAATTGGGCTTTTAAAAAATAATCTTATAGTTGAAGGCCCATACGACCCATTAGGGCTCCTTTAAAAAACCCCGCCTTGTAACGGTCTCCCCCCGGTCCCACGATCTACGCTCAACTCCTTCCTGGGACCAGTCTTCCTCCGGCTCTTCGCCTTTTGCTCTTCCATACGGCTCGAGGTGTTAGTGGAGAGAACCAGCGGTGAGAATTGATGGCGGCGACGCAGGAGGAATCAGACCTGGAACTGGCCTTCCGTCTTCAAATGGAGGAGGCCATGGCGGCCTCTTCTGTTCACCCGGCCCCGTCCATGGAACCTCCCCTCCCTGTCCAAGCACCTGGCCCTGCCGGCGAGAAGGAGGACGACGTCTCCTTTCCCATGATGCTCCAGGACGTGGATTTGGAGCAGGAACACAGGGATGCAGTTCACTGCCGAGAGGAGATGCAGCGGATCTCTCTGGAACTCCGGCGGCAAGCTCACGATAGGAGATTCGCGCGTGATCTCTCGCGTGTACCCGACAACGAATGGAAAATTGAAGGGAATTTATTTGAAAGGCCGATAGACCGGGGTTTCGGAGGAGGGGAGGAGCCCTTCAGACTGTGCTTCAAAGGCTTATGCGAGCCCATCCCTGGGTCCGTCGGGGAGTACGTGTTGGCTCTCGGAGTCGCCATCTGCGATCCTCTAGGAAAGCAGATCCTGAGGATACAGAAGCCAACGACCGGCTCCAGTGTCGCCCAGCAGATAGCGGAAACAATGGCGTTGATGGAGGGTATAAACGCAGCCCTCTCATTAGGTATAAGGAGGCTGCATATCTTCTTTCACCACACAGCCCTCTTTAACCACGTAAGTGAATATCTCATCCCCATTTAAGCGTCTCCTTCGGATTTTTCAGGTCCATTCGTTCGGTTTGCTGTGCCTATGCCCTCAATAAGAATTTTATGAAGAAGTTCGACTAAGTTGAATCTGATTGATCCTGAATCCCTGGAGAAAAGATCAATAATCAGAACAATGTTATACGTGACGTGGTAGTTGTCGAATTAGATGACACATTTTCAAAAAGGGTTGAATGGAATTAGATTTTCCAATGGGAGAAGACGACAAAACAATAGCATTATGGTTGAAACTCGTATGGTGAGCCCGGAACATGCTATTCTTTGGGTTTCTTTTACTTATAGAGAAATCACCTGACGATTGGGAATTTTGAAAGAAACTGAGTTTTACAGCAACGGGGTGGGAGCCATTAAACTAATATACCTATCAACGATACTTTCTCATCGCATTAACATGCATTCTCTTTTCTCCCATTTCTAAAGCCTTCCGTAGATCAGTTCATCTTGAGTATAACTTAAGAAGATGCAAAATATCTTTTGAGCAATGATGTAAAGAAGATTAATAAAGCTATCGTTTCTATCTGTGGGATTTTCTACGTTCCCATCACATTAACTTACATTCTCTTTTTTTTTCCATTTTAAAAATCTGTTCTAGATTACCTCATCCTCGGTAAAATTCATGAAAATACGAAGGATAATTCAAGGGATGATGGAAAGAAGAAGAAAAATTTAGAGACTTTATGGAACTATTTAGAGCACAAATCTGAGAGTCTCAGAGTCATACTATTCTGATCCAGAGAAGCTTGTTTTCAATTCCGACACCCAATATAATTATGTCTATTCATATGGCCATAATTTTTCCTTATTAAAGATGGGAGAAGCCTGAGGAATGGCAATTCCAGTGCCATCGTTGGAGAGGTTGAGACATCTTCGTTGGATAAGCTCATGTGGAGACCTATTCATCTGCAAGTCTATTACACTTACAAAGTTGATGGAAATCACCGTACAATGTTGCACAGAGTGGGTAACATCCTCCTTTGTTCCCATAAGTCACAGTGGACCCTTCAATATGTCTGTGTATATAATGTCCAGCTTTAAGGAGTAAGAATCACGTTTGATTGGGATTAGGTGGGTTGTTATGCAGTTTAATGCTTAGTTTAATACACGAAAGATCCTGTGTTTACTCCATCTATTTTTTTCATGTTATAAAAGCATGATGGTTAAGCCTTCTGCCAGGAAATGCACAGTATACATGTTATTATTCGTTCATGTCATTACGATACACAGATTTCTTCTCCTAAATTTAATATGCTCCCTCAAAGTTCACCTCTTATCCCTTTCCTGGATCACCCACAGTGAGAGACTCGCGCTTTTTTCGTTTTCATCAGCATCCATCATCTTCTCAGTCTTTTCTCGTTCTTGTTTTCCAATGACTTGTGGATGATCCCATTTTTTCCTATCACTGCTTTTCGCTTATTTGTAGAGGCATAAATGAGTTGAACCGGGTGAAGCTTTGCTTCATCCACGTCTGAGTTCTTTTAACTTCCGAGCGGAATGCAAATACTAAATTTGTTCCCATTGAAAGTTTCTAGTTTATCTCCTTGCTGTCGTTGAAGGATGACTCAATGAAATTCATTAATGCAGTATTTAAATGAATTCCATTAAAAATTGATCCGTATTTAAATGGATTATGTACCTTGTTTCTTACTAGAAAGAGAACAAGAAATTCAGAAGAAAATATTAAAAAAAAAACTCTGGTTATGTTTATGGCAGAAACATTAATTAGACAATATCAGCATCTCAGGATGCTCCTGATTGCTGCTGTCTGTTCTATCAATTAAATCTCTCGGACAGAATGAATCTTGTGTGGAGTCTTATCTTTGATGAAAGTGTTGCTCTCTACTCTGAGCTGGTTCTTGTGTACATGGGATCTAACTTTGACTGGTAATAGCTTACGCGTTGACCAAAGAAGGCTGAAAACTCTGGTCGCATTGATTAAAAGAAAAAATTTAGCTCTATCGCATTCATATTTTGTGTCCATCTCCTCACAGAAAATGACAAATTAGCGATTTTTTTTAGTTTAATCTCCACCTTGACTTTGTCACAGGCTCTGGCTGCCTTACTCCTCCGATCCATTCCTTTAACATACTCAGACATTCATCACATGTTCTGTAATGATTTCATTGATTACATCAGTTCTTTGAACTCTTCTGGTCCTTTTTTTTGAGAAAAAAAATAAATCCAGATGAATCCACGCAGATGCATCTTTTAAATATCCTCAATCAACATCAGTCATTCCTGCAAGATTCCGTAGTTGACTTCAGTTTGGTTAACTATTAGGGCCACATTTTTTCGAAAACAAAATGTCAGATGAGGGAGCTGAAACCTTCCCACCTTCTCCTGCAGATTAATGGCAATTGGGTTGTGAAGCAGCGCAGATCCATCAGGCCCTCAACATGCTCCAGAAGCTCGAAACCCACAAGACCTTCCTTCTCCCACGCTGCAACATCCAATTCGTCTTCAGACTGGCGAGGGACGCCATCGACGCCCACCTCGCAATGTCAACCAAGCCCACAGTCAACGACACCCAGAAGGAGAACTGCGCCATCTGCCTGGAAGACACCGATCCCAGCCATATCTTCCAGGTAGAGGGCTGCCGCCACCGTTTCTGCTTCTCCTGCATGAGGCAACACGTGCAGGTGAAGCTCCTCCATGGAGCCCTCCCCGGGTGCCCCTCCGATGGCTGCAAGACCATGTTGACTGCGGATAGCTCAAGGAGCTTCCTCACCCAGAAGCTTGCAGAGACCATGGCCCAGCGCATAGCAGAGGCCTCCATCCCCCCCACAGAGAAGATCTACTGCCCATATCCGAGGTGCTCTGCTCTCATGACGAGGAACGAGGCGGCTCGGCCCGATCGCTGTTCATCTTCTAACGGCAGCAGAGCCGCCGATAAGCCGGGGCTCAGGAAGTGCCTCAGCTGCGGCGGGCTCTTCTGCATGGTCCCCTGGCACTTTGGGATCTCCTGCGGCGAGTACAAATGGCGTCATCGTCATCCCCGCCCGGAGGATGAAAAGCTCCAGTACCTCGCGAGGAGGAGCATGTGGCGGCGGTGCATCAAGTGCAGTCACATGATCGAGCTGGCTTCGGGTTGCTTCCACGTCGCCTGCAGGTGCGTTGACCCTGTGAAAATATCTCTATTCAGCAAAGCTTCAAGTTGAGCCGGTGAAAATAAATAAATAAATATATATAGATATATATTGCATGGAAAATTTCCTAGTGCAGTTGACCTCGTGAAAATGTCTCTATAAAGAAAAAGTTCAAGCTGACTCACTGAAAATATCTGGATTCGGCAAAGTTGACCCTGTGAAAGTTTCTCTTTTCAGCAAAGCTTCCAGTTGAATCAGTGAAAAAATATATATATGCACTGTTGACCCCGTGAAAATGTCTATATACAGAAAAGTTCAAGCTGACCCCCTGAAAATACTTATATTCGGCAAAACTTCATAGCACAGTTGACCTCTGGAAAACTTCACCATACAGTTGACCTGACGAAAGCATCTCTCAACAGCACGACTTTTTCAGCTCAGAACCCTGGGCATCAGTCAATGTCAAACCTTCATTCTGCAGTTGACCCTGTAAGCAGCCTCTTCACAGGTGCGGGTACGAGTTCTGCTACAAGTGCGGCGGAGCCGAGTGGAAGAACAAGAAAGCGACCTGCTCGTGCCCGCTGTGGATGGTGCGTAACATTGTCCAAGACGATCAAGACGACGACGAATCTGACGATGATCGGTTACCCCGAATCTACAACCCCCGCAATCGGAATCTCAGAATTTTCTAGTGCGTTGACCTACCTAGCTTGAATTTCTTCTCTTTTTTTCGCAAAAAATAGTCGGAACTGCATGTTGGGCTAGGATGAATGGACTTAATGGACCTACCAAGCCGAAACCCGGCCCACTAACGGTTATACCACGTGGATATTCACCCCCCTCTCTCTCTCTCTCTCTCTCTCTCTCTCTCTCTCTCTCTCTCTCGCTCGGATGAATGTATAGAGCAGACCAGCCAGGAGACCGATTGAGCCCGTTCCGGAGTTTGTGTGCAGGGCTTCTCCACTGCGTCCTTATTGGGCTGGACTGTAGCCCATGGTGAGGGAGGGTAGTATTCATGGCCACACGTGGCATTGGATGATTCGAGTCCTGGGAGGAGAGAGTATATAGATTTGGTGAAATGGGCCCCACCAGCCCACGATGTCATGCACGTCCTCGTTCGCGCCGAATTTAGAATTATCTCATTCCTCAACCTCTCACCTCGTCGCAGTATAATAAAAACTGCTTCTCCCACTCTTGCCACCCTTCTCCCTCCACTGATCTCTTCTGTCTCTCTAGCAACACAGATAGAGCGATAGAGGGAGAGAGAGAGAGAGAGAGAGAGAGATGGGAACAGTCTACGGGTTGAAGAGGAATGAGATATGGAAGAAGAGCGTCTTCCACTTCTCGCTTTGCTTCGCCGTGGGATTCTTCGTCGGCATCGTGCCACCAGGGAAACCTTCCTCCGACCAGGTAGCCGATGGCAGGACCTTCGTCGCCGATCGACGGGGAGCGCTGGATGAATTCCACACCGTGGAGAAGAACCTCCCTCCGGGGAGAGTGAATGCAACCACTCTCGCGAAGCCATTTCCAGTCTCCTCCGAAGAGAAGCCGGCTACATCCGCCGCGATCGCTGCAGTGGAGGAAGAAGCGATCCCGGAGCTGACGCCTCGGAGGCTTCTGATCGTCGTAACGACGACGAAAGCGAAGGATCCTTTTCAGAACCTGTTCCTGAGGAGATTGGCGAACACTCTGAGGCTGGTGCCGCCGCCGCTGCTCTGGATCGTGGTAGAATCCCATTGTGAGGCGGCACGGACGGCGGGGACCTTGAGGACGACGGGAGTCATGTACCGACATCTAGTTTTCGGTGAGACATTTTCCGATCCGCAAGCGGAGATCCACCACCAGAGGAACATCGCCCTCAATCACATAGAGGACCACCGTCTCAGCGGGATCGTCCACTTCTCCTGCCTCTCCGATGCCTACGATCTCCAGTTCTTCGACGAGATCAGAGGAATCGAGTATGCTCTCCCCATTCCCTCCATCTCCATAATCACAATTCGGAAAAAACCTCCATATTATCTCGCGTTTCCCCGCCTCATCCCAGAGTATAGAATTGTCGTTGCCCCCAAATTACGTCAATGGAGAGAATATGATATATATATATATATATATAGAGAGAGAGAGAGAGAGAGAGAGAGAGAGAGAGAGAGATCCAGGGGTCAACTCCTCCCCCACGGGCGGTGAGGGCTCCATCGAAGAATTCTGATCCAGCGTCGAGCTTAATCGTCTGGTTTTAAAACCCACCCACTGTTCAGCCCATATCATAACCATCAGCGACATCCATAGGTTTCTCGCACATATCGAGCTCTCGTGTTTCCATCATCTGGTACCAGCCATTTCTCATGGAAACCAAGAACACTCGGATTCTTCGGTCCAGTTTCAAATGCGTCTAAACTTCTCCGGAGTACTCTCTCTTTCAGACAGAGTGATCCAAACATCCTCTTTCCGCATTGCTTCCCCATTAATGAGCATTCAAGGTTTAGGATTTAGTAGCCGCAGGATTTAATGAGATCCAGGATACAGCTCTCTTTAATAACGTTTCCCGATGTCGTGATCTCTATCGCTCATAATTACTGTTTTTTTTTTTTCCTTTCCGATTCTTCAGTCCGGCACTCGGATGCTGATCCATATTTTTCTAACCTGATCTGGATTTGCAGAGCGTTCGGGACGTGGCCGGCGGCGTCGGTGTCGGCGAGCGAGAAGCAGGTAGTGGTTGAAGGCCCCGTCTGCAGATCCTCCCGGATCGTCGGCTGGTATCTCGCGGCCCCGTCCGGCGGCGGCAACCCGGCGGCGCCGCCGCCGCTGGACCTCTACAGCTTCGCCTTCAACAGCTCCATCCTGTGGGACCCCGATCGATGGGTCCGCCCCACCAACCTCCCCGACATTTCTCAGGTCCTCTTCATCTCCCCTCCTCCTCCCCCTTCTCCGACCATCATCATCATCATCAAGCATCGACCTCGTCTTACCTTCTTCGATCCTTCCGCCTCCCGGGGACAGGACTCCGTCCGGTTCCTCCAAGAAGTGGTAGCGGAGGACGACACCAAGCTGAGAGCTTTCCCCTCCCCCGATTGCTCCCGGATCCTGACGTGGCGCCTCCGCTCGCCGGCGAGGATCGCCATTCCCGGCCGCCACCCAGACCCAGGAAGGCGACTTTGAAGCACAGACGGCGAGAGGTAAAGTCGCCTCATTCCGCCCCTGATTTTGCTCGTTTTTTTCCTCTTCTCTCCACGTGGCATTAATTCCATTTCTCACTTTTAGGGAGCTTTAATCTCGACCGTCGGATTTTCCCTAATCTAATCACAGTTCCCGATACGATCCTAATCCAGTTGGATTGACCGGATCAGCCAAATTTCTAAGAAATAATAGTATATTTGACCTGAAAAATAAACAACATTATTAATAAAAATGTAAAAAATACGCATACACATATAGATAAATATCTCTAGAGAGAGAGAGAGAGAGAGAGAGGAAGGAATGAGGGAAAATGAGAAGGATTTATCGTTCGAACGGGAGGTCGTACCAGTCTGCAAATAAGCTGCAATTAATGATAATAAATTAGATATTATCCGCAACAGAAGGAAAATAAATTCCATATTTAAAAAAACACCCCCTGGCAAATTTAGTAGTTTAGAAGTAGCCCCTGATGTATTCAACGCGTGTCGCGAGTTCGGGCCGCCCAGAAGGGATTGTGAGCGGTGGCGATTGGTACAGCCGGTAAGCTCACCGGAGGTTATCGAAGTCCAACATTCGCATGGTGGTCCCTGGTGTCTGTGGACAGGTGGCGGCCATCCGAGAAGAGGATTGCGTCATCTCTATCTCTACGTTATCCGAATCGTATGCAAGCCAGGGAATAGAGGGGGCTCATTGGTAATGTATCCACTAAAGAAATCAAAATGTCACATTATTCCCTCGTAGTCTGAGGAATATTTACAGAACTCTAAATTATTTAAATTTCGGTAATAGACCTATGAAGATTACACATGCTTAATCTGGAATCGGTCTGTGTCCCATAAATGTTAGCATTACTGCTAATCTAAAGATATCAGACACGTTTAATGCGTCATTTACTGAGGGTACAATGACAAATTGTATCATCTCTGGTAATTATTAGATATTTTATAAACCTAGGCGGAGACATCTGATATTTGTTGGGCAATAATAGCAAGGAAAAAAATGGAGAACGTAAACCTCTCTCTCTCTCTCTCTCTCGCCTGTGCGGAGCCACAGACCGAGCTCCTCCGGCGAGAACCGCGAGAACCGGCGAGTGGCCATAGCCTCGTTGTGGATTTGCAGAGAAACTGCGACGAAAGTAGCTTGAAGCTCTCTTCCCTCTTCCCCTCCCTTTCTCCTTCCACTCACGTATTTTTGGGGTTTCTTATCCGATCGCCAGTTTTAGCGGTGATCGGCGTCGTTAGCTTCCTGGAGCTGATAATCCAGGCTGTTGAAATCGGCGATTGCTCCCCCGGCCGGATGTGCCTCATCTGAGCCTTCCGCCATCATTGGGCTAACAGGGAAGTGATGTTTCCCGTGCACGACCCGGTGGAGTCCCTCTTCAACTCGTTTCAGGCGGTCGAATCTGGCTTCCGGCAGGCGGCGAAGGATCTCGAGTCCCAGTGGTCGGCGTCCTGGAATGGCGTCGGTCAGCTTCATTTCTTCTGCGGCGGAATACATGTGCAGGAGGCGGAGAGGAGGCCGCCGAAGAAGAGGCACAGTTGGGATGTGTCGCTTGTCGTCGAGGAGGCCGGAAGTAAATGGTCTCCCGCTGTATTCTATGTCCCGATGAAATCCATCCTGGGGGCCGTCGGGCGCAGAGACAACTCGCCGAAGAGAGTGCACAAGGGAGGCGATGCGAAGGAAGACGGTGCTTCTTGCGCGGGTTGCTTGCATTTTGCAGCTGCCTGGTCTCTCCTGGTTAACAGCTTTGTCCAGGCATTACCGAGCCCGTTCAAGTCGTCGAAGAAGCGCCTCCAGAAACATGTCACCCAGGAGCACACACTTTCAGATCCTGTGAGTGCGGAGGATAAGAATAAGGGTGCATCTACGAGGTGCAACGTTGAGATTCGTTGCAAGTCTAAGATAGATCAACCGAAGGAAGGGGGAATCCCGTCCCTGGAACTCTTTGTCTGTTTTTTGTTTGAGAGTCTGGGGCAGAACCTTCAGTTCTTCGATCAGAACTCCCGGGATGGTGATTCTGGGAGTTCCGAGCCGGCTGCATCGTCTTCACCAAATCCTCAATTTGATCATTTGAAGATAATGGCAGGTTTTGTAAAGGGAAAAACTCCTAATGTCGACTCCTTTCTGTCGAACATGAGGTTTGCTAGAGTGGGAGGGCCACCCGCAAGCCTCGTGGGGGTAACTAGTGCAGAGAAAGATGAGGGTGAGGATGGAGCTTCCACAAGCAGTAAGGAAGAACCAGATAGCAATTCTGCACAGAAGCTTGCCAGCGGACTGCTAAATATCCCTTTGTCGAATGTCGAGCGTTTACGGTCGACACTGTCAACTGTTTCACTAGCAGAACTGGTTGAATATGTCCCCCAATTGGGACGGCCCTCCCAGGAACATCCCGATAAGAAGAAACTCTTCTCCGTTCAGGATTTCTTCAGGTACACAGAATCGGAAGGTAAATTATGCCACCCTGATCATCATCTTTTTAAGTTTACAAGAACGGAGTAGTTATATCTCAACCTGCTGAACTTTGGCTATGGCTAGTTTGGACTAACACGGTGACAAGTAGTCGCCTGAAGGTCAACATAGCTCGTCTTCCTTGCTTTCAGTCTTTTAAGGAGGGTTTTGCCCTTTTGATGTCCACATTTTCTACGTTTAAAGAATCGTTTGTCAATAGTCCTTCCTTTAAAGTGTAATCTATTGCTGTTTGGTTGTCAAGTAGACATCTCCTGAGAAGGAGTAGGGTTTCCTGTTTTCCTAATCTCTGAGCATAATGTTCTTGGAAATGCAATGTTTCTTGCATGACATGCTTCGGATCTGAAACTTTGTCATCACAGTTGGACATCATTCAGAGATGGACAATAATTGGGTTTCCAAGTTGGGTAGGAAGGTCTAGATGATTTCCGTTTCTTATGCTATATCATAATTTGTGAACATTCAGATAATTAATGGGACCGCTAGAAATTCACAGTACATATGAGTTGACGCTGGGACAGCAAGTCTTATTCTTCACTCTTCATTTGTTCAAGGTGATACCCAGAGATTTTCTTTGGCCATTGATTCTCAGATTATAGATACTTATACACACAGAAAGGTAGAACAGAAAAGATGATAAAACAGAAAAAGAAAAGAAAAGTTGAGTTGAATCAGATGATTAAACGAGGTCTAATGAAAAAAGTAACAGAAAGATAAAGCTGAAAAACAAAACAAAGGTGCTGGTAAACAAGTGCTGTTGCGGATAGGTCATGCTTGACCTGCAATAAAGGCCCATTTTCAGTCGCAAAACTTGCATAAATTGTGACCCAGTTTCCAGGAAAATGCATAGTAATGACATGCTGATGATGCAATTTAATTGCCATTCACTAGTTTATGTTGGGTCAGTAAAATACTCTTTTTCTTCTCCGTATGTCTCATTACTCTTGATCTTTGATATCTATGTCGCCGATCATGAACTTTTCAATCAATTCGCTAACCTGTCATTGCCTCTTCGATTCAGAAGGAAAATTGTTAGTTGTACCATTAGAAAATTGTGGAATGCAATCACTTCGAAATTTCTGTTTCACTTTCTCAAAGACAACAAACGTGAATAACTAGCGTTTGGAAGGTGGCGATTTAGTGATCAGAGATGTGTAGTTATCTCCTTCAATAGAAATGGTTAAAAGTGATCAGTGCAATTACACATGTAATGAAATGCAATTTTTAAAGATGTTTATATGTTTCTTTTTATCCTGTCATCACTTCCTATGACAGGAGCCCGGAGTCGTTGGACCTTAATGCATAAATTTTGTTTGGAGGAATCCCTCATGTTGCTCCCAACCTGTGCTCATGTCCACCTGCACTTCATGCTTTGGAATTCTTTGAAGTTTTGAATCCTGATGTATGGAATAACTATATGCACACAGGAAGGCGTTTCTTTGAAGAGTTAGATAGGGATGGTGATGGACAAGTGACCCTTGAAGATCTGGAAATTGCAATGAGAAAGAGAAAACTTCCTCCTAAATATGCCAGAGAATTTTTACACCGGACTAGGAGACACTTATTTTCAAAATCGATTGGATGGAGACAATTTTTGTCCTTAATGGAGCAGAAGGAGCCAACCATCCTTCGAGCCTACACAACTCTCTGTCTCAGCAAGTCAGGAACACTGCAGAAGAATCAAATTATGACTTCTCTAAAAAGTGCAGGCCTGCCTGCTGATGAAGACAATGCCCTTGCTATGATGCGCTATTTGAATGTGGGCACTGAAGGAGCCATATCTTACAGCCATTTTCGAAATTTCATGCTCCTCCTTCCCACTGAACGCCTTGAAGATGATCCTCGGTATGATAATGTTTGCATGCAATTTGAACGACATTATCTCATGTTTAGTTTCTCATTCAATTTTGAGATGAAATCGCATTCACGATATTGGCAGATCTCCATGTGCCTCTCATTGTTTAGAAAACCCTTTTGCAAGGTTTCCACAAGTCATTTACATTTTTATGTTTGTAAGTTTTTGGTTAATTTTACTTGGGTTAATTTTGGTTGATTTGAACATACTAAATCAAATTCTTTAGTTTGATTATACAGCAGGACTCTCGTTATCAAAGGCGTATGATTTGCGCAATTTTGTGACATTAGCAACTCTTTATCCTGTAAACATTCATTTCAAATTTTATCTTATTTTATTTTTTTCTCTGAACTTTTGAGAAACTTATACTTCATTTATTCACTTGATCACTTACCAGTTAGACATTTCACTAGATTTAATGTATGGTTATTATCAGATCCGCCCCACTACTCTAACAGAAAAATCACCACCGATCATTGTCCTCCAAGTGTTGTTTGAAGAGGCATTCCTTGTGTCAACAACCTATGTCTTAATGGATTTGCTTGGTTAATTGGTAAATATCATTACTTTGTCTTTCAAAAAGAAAAAACCGTTGATGATGAAAAGTACTATATGTGGAGCTAAGCCATTTTGTAACAGACTACACTGTCCAAAAGCTTGATTGAACGGGCATAATGTGACAAAGTAGATGCCCTTTTTTAAAAAAAATTTATGTGTGAGCATTTGTGTCATCCTGCATATAGTTATTTATTATTTTGTCTACTTCATACACACAAGATGCTGGGTGCTCGCGAGCATTAAGATCTTGTAAGAATTGTTTACCAACCGTGAAGAGGTTTTTAAATTGTCAAGACTGATTCTTGGCAGAAAGTCTGGTCCTATACATCTGTGTTCATCATCCATCCTAAATAAATAATTATGATTATGTTGATAGAACGAGTCTCATGTAGAATAATTAGGATATCTTTGGAGCACACTATTATTTATTTATTTTAACGGTTCCCATTTGTTGAACCTCTTAGTTTCAGCTCTTACCCTATTGCCCACTCTCAGAATTTCTGGGGAGATTAACAGTTTCTCTGGGTTTTCTAGACCAAACCACCAATTTAAATCGTCACAGACCAACTACCTATTTAGCTTCATGGTCTTTTTGTGTCAGAGGAAAATGGTGATTGCATGAAACCATGGGGAGTTTCTTCTCCCTTTTTCAAGATCAGTTGCCTTCTTTTTCACCTGAACTGTCTACCCTCTCGGTACTCTATTTCCTCTGATTATGACGACTACAAGTCATTGCCATGCCATTACCTTTCTCATTCTCTGCTTGATGCGTCCAAACCTTCTTAAACAGTCCTATCAAACATAGAAAGCCTAATTGCTATTTAGAGACTTTTTCTCACGCCCTGAGAATAACAAAGCGTGAAGAAAATTATTCTCCTGCAGCTTTAAGAGACTGAAACCCCGGCTATGATTACCCCTTTGAGAAAGATCTGCTATCCTCAGTATAATTCCTCACGACTGATTTCTCTCTGTGGCTCTGTCAACATGGTGCTGACCATAACATCTTAGCTGGGTTGACTCATAGCTGGGTTCTCTCCCTCAGAATATGGTCGCGTCCTTATCCACATTGACATCATATGCGTTCAATCTTTCAGGAGCATCTGGTTTGAAGCGGCAACAGTCGTTGCTGTCCCCCCACCTGTGGAGATATCTGCAGGAAGCGTTTTGAAGTCTGCTTTGGCCGGAGGCCTCTCCTGCGCTCTATCCACTTCCTTAATGCACCCGATTGACACAATGAAGGCAAGAATTCCTCCTTGTCTCTGCTTACTTTTATTGTTGTTCTGCATCTATCTGAATATGTTTTTATAGAAATAATATTTTGTATCATGAGGAAACAATTAGAAACAATTAGATGAAAATGATTTGTTTGATGCGTTGACATCCTTACATATGGGCAATTAGATCCGAGTCTTATCATCTCTAGTTTCTCTTGGAATTCAGAACATTTGACCTTTGAGCATATGTTGTTCACAGAAATCATATCTTGACTTTCATTTCTGTTCTTGGTTTACATTCTAATTTTTTTTTTTAGACGCTCTCTGAAAGTTGACTTATCGGTTTCTGTTGATGAATCTTAGATAGTCTTTACGCATCCTAGTAACATTAGATTTGATTGGAGACCCTGATGAAGTCAGAGTTACCTCTTCAGTTGTAGTCAACCCGGATATGAACCAGGATCATTTTCTTCCTTGATTTTGAGGCTCCGGGCAGTACTCCCTGATCAAATATGGAAGAAAATATAGAACACTAATTAATAAATAAAGATTGACATTTTAATAACAGGCCCAAGTTTTAGAAAATATTTTGTATCTGATCTCAGGAGATGGTGCTTATGCGTGTGTGTGTTAAGTTTCTGATGTGTTCTTCACCTGGCAGACAAGAGTACAAGCATCCACTCTCTCATTCCCAGAGCTCATATCGAAGCTCCCCCAGATTGGGGTCCGAGGGCTGTACAGGGGTTCCATTCCGGCCATTCTCGGCCAATTTTCCAGGTTTGCTTCCTCTGTTCATGGCAAGCTTTTGGTTTCTTGTGATCCTGTGCTCATTTCTCTCCTCTGTGCTCGCAGCCATGGCCTGCGCACGGGTATCTTCGAAGTGAGCAAACTCGTGCTAGTAAATGTTGCACCCACACTCGCGGAAATTCAGGTGAAACCCAGATGCAGATTCTCCTGATAATCTTTCTGCTCTTTTATTTTCATTAATTAATCGATGGTAATCGCAAATCGAGAGCAGCGAGAACACAAAATGTTGATTTTTTTCTCTCAGAGTTGACAAAATGTGGGGCTTTCTTCCGGAAGAACACACAGAAATAAACGGATGATGGAATGTTTCTACTGATTTTTCCTTCTTTTAACTCTCCTCCGGACTGACATTAACAGACTGATGATTCCGCATTCTTCCACAGTAGAGAGAGAGAGAGAGAGAGAGAGAGAGAGAGAGAGAGAGAGAGAGAGAGAGAGAGAGAGAGAGATTTAGAAAGATGAAGCTTGGATGAAACCCTGGCGCTGCGTCTTGCAGGTCCAGTCTCTGGCCTCCTTCTGCAGCACGATCCTGGGGACGGCGGTGAGAATCCCCTGCGAGGTCCTCAAGCAGCGTCTCCAGGCGGGGATCTTCGACAACGTGGGGGAGGCGCTCGTGGGCACCTTCCAGCAGGATGGCTTCCGCGGCTTCTTCCGCGGCACCGGCGCCACCCTCTGCCGCGAGGTCCCCTTCTACGTCGCCGGCATGGGCCTCTACGCCGAGGCCAAGAAGGTACCCCTCCATCCATCAATCCATCAATCAATCGATCGATCGTTCCCCAATCCCTGCGAAGAAACAAACCCTAACAGATACTCATCTCTCTCAGATTTCTGTTCTATTTCGTTCTGTAAACAGACGCAGATGCTCTCATCTCTTCTCTGATTTCTCTTCTGATCTGATCTCTCTCGGATTCTGCGTTCCAGGTTGCGCAGAAGGTGCTGAAGAGGGATCTGCAGCCGTGGGAGACGGTGGCGGTGGGGGCGCTGTCGGGGGGGCTGGCGGCGGTGGTGACGACGCCGTTCGACGTGATGAAGACGAGGATGATGACGGCGCCGCAGGGGATGAGGATGTCGATGTCGGTGGTGGCCTTCTCTATCCTCCGCAACGAGGGCCCCCTGGGGCTCTTTAAGGGCGCCGTCCCCAGGTTCTTCTGGATCGCGCCCCTCGGCGCCATGAACTTCGCCGGATACGAGCTCGCCAGGAAGGCCATGGACGACAAGGCCAGGGAACCCCGCGAAGAGGAGAGGGAAGGCGGCGGTGGAGTCCCCAATTGAGAAAATGGCTTCTCGGCCTCCCGCCACCAACCACCACCACCCGCCCGGCGATTCCTTGCTCTCTTTCTTTAAGGTTGATGCCAGAGCTTCCCCCCTCCCCCCCGACTTCTTCTTCCTTTTTTGTCTGCTACTCTCACTCAATTCAGGGCTCTCTACCAATCTCTCTCTCTCTCTCCCCCCCCTTCTCTCTACCAATCTCTCTCTCTCTCTCCCCCCCCCCTTCTCTCTACCAACTTCTCTCTCTCTCTCTCTTCTTTAAGTGATGCCAGAGCTCCCCCGACTTCCTTACCTTTTGTCTGCAACTCACTCAGTTCAGGGATCTCTCTCTCTCTCTCTCTTTCTCTCTCTATCTCTCTCTCCTTCTATCTATCCCTATCTCCCCCCCTCTCTCTCTCTGTCTATCTCCCTCTCTCCATCTCTCTCTCTCTCTCTCTTTTTAAGGTTGATGCCAGACATCCCCCGACTTCCTCACCTTTTGCCTGCAACTCTCACTCAGTTCAGGGCTCTCTCTCTATCTGTCTATTTCTCTCCCTCTCTTACTCTCTCTATCTATCTCCCTCTCTACCTATGTCTCCCTTCATCTCTCTATTTATCTTTCACTTTCCCTCTCTCTCCAATTCTTTCTTTATTTATCTTTCTGTCTGTCTGTCTCTCTCTCTCTCTCTCTAATGCACCAGGCCCGGAAGGGTATTTGGGCCGGGCTCCGTAGGGGCGTCGGCCCGGGCCCGTTACCACTCTTTGGTTTGTTTCCCTAGGATGACGTAAACATGGGTTTATTTTAAAAAAACACCCATTAGTGGCCCTTAACGGAATCCGACGGCCGCCGAACCGAGAACGGGAAAGCCCTCCAAGCCGCGAGCCGAGAGCATATTCTGAATGGGCCCAATTGCCCACCCCGAGTCATGTGGCGCTGAATATATTAGCCAAGTGGGTGAGGGTATTTTAGTCTTCTTTGTCTGTGCCGGAGGCCTGCGGGGGTCCCAATACGAAAGTTGAGCTGATGGAGAGCTGAAGGGGGACACTTTCAGAAGGTCGTCGTCTTGCCCCCCTCGGCCCTTTGCGGTTCCTAAGGGGTTCTTCTGTCCTCCCTCGGCGTCACGGTCTGATTAAAGGAGGGACGACGAAGGCTCTTCGGATCCATTGCCGCTCCTCCGACTCTGCATTAACTTCGACCAGTCGATCCAGCCATGGCTTCGTCGCTGGGAGCTCGGGTTTGTATTTTGTTTGTGTTCCTTCTTTGTCAACTCCTTTTTATGGGTGAATGATTTTGGGATCCGTGCTTGTTTCCGTGGGTTTGATCGGAGAATCGGGGGTTTTCTAACTTGTGGTTGCGGCTGGCGATGTTTCAGGCTTCTCTTTGTGTGCCGGCCGCGGGTGATGCGTCTTCCAGGAAGAGTGTAGGTTCTAAGGTGAGCTTGATGCTGATGCTGTTTTTGTTTTTGTTGTTGTTGTTGTTGCTGCTGCTGCTTCTGCGACTGTTGTAATCCTGACACCTTGGCTTCTTTTCGTGGCAAACGATGCGTTTATTCGTTTATTCATTATGCATGTGGTTCGCATACTTTGAAAACTTTTCTGGTGTTATATCATTTGTTGGTTCACTCCTGGTTTCCTGAACCGCATCCATACTGTCTTGAGAGCCAAGTCATAGCAATTATGCTCTCACGTCCATCAATATTGCTGTTTTGTTATTATCAAACTTATGTAGGTTCTGTGTCGATGATGGGACGTGCTACTGAATTAGATTATAGTGTCTGTGCTTGCTCAGACGAGGAAGTTCCTGATTAATGGACTAACACTTTGTGGATGATTCATTTTACTTGATTTATCTGGATTCTTCCTTGCTGCCGCACTACCTTTTTTCTTGTGCTGATACCATCTGACTCTGTTTATGATTATGTTTATTTCGTCTGGTCATATGGTGTAAGCTTAGAACTTACGTGCCTTCAATTTATTGTGTGACCGCATGATGCTAATTGCGATTTTTTCTCATAGGTTTTGCTTTGTTTTTTTTTTTGTTTCAGGCACATAACCTGAGGTTTCATGACCAGCGGTCAGTGTCTCTGTCATTGTTAGGTCGGCAAACAACAAAACCAGGATCAAGACCTCAGCAGAAAGTATTATGCTTGTCAGTACAGCAAGCTAGCCAAAGTAAGGTTGCTGTGAATCCCCTGGAACTTGAGGACGCGAAAGAACCTCCTATCAATCTTTATAAACCAAAGGGACCTTACACTGCGACTATTGTCTCTGTTGAGAGGATTGTTGGACCCAAAGCACCTGGAGAGACATGCCATATTGTGATTGATCATGGGGGGAATGTTCCATATTGGGAGGGACAGAGTTATGGTGTTATTCCTCCTGTAAGATCCTATTCACCGTATTATGCTAGAAAATAATCTAGAGAATTATAATCTTTCTCTCTGTTGTTTAAATAGGTGGATCTCTCTCTCTCTCTCTCTCTCTCTCTCTCTATATATATATATATGTATGTATGTTTGCACGTCCTTGATAATATTTAATGTTTTCAGGTAATTCTTTATTCGGACGCATTTCTCTTTTTTACTTCTGGTTGTATATATAAGTTGCTCTTTACAAATTTTCCAATCTCATGGATTTCATATCTATGTATTGTTTCTTTGTGCCTCGTCATTTCTGGCATGCTGCAACCTTTTCTCACAAGAGGAGGGGAGGCCATGTGCTCTGCGTATGCTGTCATAGGTGGATTGAGTGATTTTTTGCCTAAACCCCATCTACGCTTGTTGTAAAGTGATACAACCACTACAAGCAGTTGCCAGTGCCTGCTCCAGTTTTCTATTCACTTTTTTTTTAACGTTGATTATTGCATTGAGATGGAGAAAATCAATGGAACGTTTTCAGTAATCTGTGAAATGCTGATTCTACTAAGAGGAAACATGAGCCTTTTTGTTTCTTCGTGGGTTAAAATTGTTGCAGAATGCGAATGTTGGCATTCGATATGATCTTTGCATCCATATGCTTTCCTGTGTTGAAATCTAGAGTTGTAGCATGTCACCGAGAGGGTTAAGAAATGCTATAATGGTATCGTTTACTTTCATTTTACAGGGTGAAAATCCTAAGAAGCCTGGTATGCCCAACAATGTTCGGCTTTATTCAATTGCGTCGACCAGGTATGGGGATTCATTCGATGGAAGGACTGCTAGTCTCTGCGTCCGGCGTGCTGTATATTACGACCCTGAGACTGGAAAAGAAGACCCATCTAAGAAGGGCGTCTGCAGCAACTTTCTCTGCGACTCAAAACCGGGTGATAAAATTCAACTCGCAGGTAAAAATCCCAAGTTTCAGAAAATCAAGTAATTTGCTATACTAGGAAATGGCTCCCACTTACGATGCAAACCAGTGTTAGGCTCATATGGGGACCGTTTAGTAACATTGCCTATGAATGATAACAATCGATCCGAAATCTTTTGGTCGACTCGCCTCGCCCATGCTTTATGGTTTAAAAATCATTACATTTTTTTTCTTGGAGCGTGAAATAAATAAGTTCCTGATTCACCAGGTAAAAGCTCGAGTTTTTTTTTTTTTTCCTCCCTTTTGAAACGTGAAGGCTCTCCAATCAGCGCAATAAACCTTCATCTCTGGCTCTCTACAGCGTGTTGCTCTCTTGTTCCTACCACTCCAGCGATCCTCTGTTCTTCATATGCTCCGTCGAATCTTTAACATGAAAGAAAAAAAAAAAAGGGTCGTATCTGCTGTCCTATTATTTTCAATTTATATCACAGGAGGTTTATTTTTTCTTTTTTTATTATTATTCTAGGACCCTCAGGCAAGGTCATGCTGCTGCCCGAGGAAGACCCAAAGGCGACCCACATCATGATTGCCACTGGAACCGGTGTCGCGCCCTACAGGGGATACCTCCGCCGGATGTTCATGGAGGCCGTCCCTACGTTCAAGTTCTCCGGGCTCGCGTGGCTCTTCCTGGGGGTCGCCAACTCGGACAGTCTTCTCTACGACGACGAGTTCTCCAGCTACCTCCGAGACTACCCGGATCACTTCAGGTAGATTCCTAGGCTGAAAACCATGATCATGCGACTGGGTGGCAGATTGATCGAAGTCTTCTTGTGATGGGTATGAAGAATACGCTCTCTTCTCTTCTCTTTTCTTTGGGTTTTGGCCAGATATGATCGGGCCCTGAGCAGGGAGCAGAAGAACAGGAACGGGGGGAAGATGTACGTCCAGGACAAGATCGAAGAGTACAGTGACGAGATCTTCAAGCTCCTGGACGGAGGCGCCCACATATACTTCTGCGGGCTGAAGGGGATGATGCCCGGCATCCAGGACACACTGAAGAGGGTTGCAGAAGAGCGGGGCGAGGCCTGGGATGCCAAACTCTTGCAGCTCAAGAAGAACAAGCAGTGGCACGTCGAGGTTTACTAGCCCTTCTCTTCTCTCTCTCTCTCTCTCATCATGAAATGTCTTATTGTTTTAGAGAGAGGAAAAAGCCGAGTGTACTTCTGCCATTTTGGTTTCAGAATCCATTCTCTTCTCTTATGGAATAATGCGGCAGGGATTTGGTGTTTCCATTCTTTTTTTAATGTAAATCTTTCCAAAAGTCAACGTCCAAGACCTTCTGACCCGCCCACCAGAGTCTATGATGGCCGTGTTTTTTTTAGTACTGCATCAATTATTTCCTATTTTGTGGCAGAAACTCTGCTGTTCTTGTGCATTATCTTCAGAAGCTTTGACCTTTACCTCCTCCACGTCGATGGACCATTCCGACGACCGTTGACCTGCTTATGGCGGCGAGAATTCTGCTATGGGCACAATCCACATCAGACTTCCGATCGCTTCCCAAGTCGTTAGACTTTCCCGTTCGGTGGCAATGGGCTAAACTTGAGCTCGATTGGGTTGGGGGGGAAGCCTGGGGAAGCGTACCGTGCATATGCGTATTGATTTCGCGATCACCACTGTAAAGTCGATTCTAAATACGCCCTCGATAAAATGTCCTATGTAAAAATAGCCCGTTTAAAACTTTTATTTAACATAATATCCCCAACTGTTCGTATGCCCACTTATAGCAAAAAGTACACGAATGTCAGATAAGCCCTCGAAATATTTCTTTATGGCTCTGGACCCTACCCAAAATCACTTGAATATTTTTTCTTTCACACCACCGCCGTGCTATTAATCTGGAGACTTCTGACGCAGTTGACTTTATATTAAATTTACAGGGCCCACTTTCCAAAAATTATTAATTATATTTATTGAATTTTTTCTAGCCAAAAAATTCGAAAACTACAAAAAATACTTATCTTACGCATTTATATCCATTTCTGTCTGAAGAAAAATACGTTAAGTACTACTTCAAATTCATCTCACCTCGACATTTTTGTCTGCAGTGTATGTAGTTTGTTCACATCACTCTCGCTCTTTGGGCATATTTATAATTAAAATTTGAGAAGTTTAATGACACTCGAATTTATCCCCTAATCATATGAGAGACATTTGTGTAATAATTTCGTCGAACCCCAATTTTTCATGGTATTTGTGTGTTGAGACTAAAATTTTAGAGATTTTTGGGCATCTCGCTAAAATGAACAGGGGACTAAGGATCGAATGAGAATATGCGGCGTTATTCCTCCCGTTTTACAGTGAACAAATAAACAAATAAATAATATATATATATATATATATTTACGGGGCTCATTTACGAGGTGCACGTGGAAAAAGAAGGGTGTATCCTATTTTAGGTGTTAATATACAAAAATATAAAAATACAGGGTTTTTAAGAAATTACAGATACCTTGCGGCCTACGCAACCAGACGTTGACATGTCGAGGAGGGGAGGGGGAAGGGGAGGGCTTCTCTAGCGGCGAAGTCGACGGTCGGATGCCAACCCGTCCGATGGGACATCGGACGGTGGAGAAAAAACCCTAGCCAAGCTCCTCACACCGGCGTCACTATATAAGAACCGGATAGGCCTGTTAAGCAAACCCTCTGCAGCTGCTTCGGCGTTTGCCTCGCGATCTGCTTTCTTTCAGAGGGTTCTCTCCCGTGCGCCTCCTCAAGGTGAGATCTCCCCTTCTTCCCTCAATCTTTTCCATGTCGCAGGGATAGCCGAATCTTCAGCTCGTATGCGCGAGCTCTCCCTTCTTCCGCTTGCTCTCTCGCCTGTCGTCCGTCTCGTCTTATCCTCGTCTCTTTTTAGCTCGTCGGAAGATAGTCGTATCTGATCTTGCGCGTAGGCGGTTGATTCTTCGGGATGATTGGGTTTTCCAAGTGATGAGAATTATCGGCAAAAGATTTTTGATCAAAACTTTTCTTTTGTCCGAGTTGTTTCACGACTTAGAAATCTGTCGTCATTTTTTATGTTTCCCCTCTCGTCTCTAGTTAGTATTTCTTCGCGTCGGTTATTTCTTTCCCGTGTAAGCGGCAGTTGCGGGATGCTTGCTTCTAGATCTGAAGAAGGCGAAGCGTTGTTTCCTAGAGTACTCAAAACGTCATTGTTCTCCCTTTTAGTGTTCATTGTTCTACCTTCTTAGATCTCGGTTTGTTCCTATGTATCGGATTGTTTATTTTCCCAGTATGTACATGCATGCGTCAATAGACAAGAAACATTTTTTAACAGATCCTACGCATCTCAGTCGTATGAGTTGTTCAAAGTAATTCTATCCTGTCTACTCTGTTATTTTATTACGGAGAGTGTATACTTATTTTTCCGAATATTGTTCCTCGTGACGAGAAGTGCATTGTTTTTTCCATAAAGAGTCATGAACTGCAGAAGAATTTACCCTTTGTGCATATGCTCTCTCGCTTCGGGTTCATTTCGCCTCGTTTCTGGAGTTTTTATGAGATTTTTCTACTGCACAAACTGAACTTGATTTCCCGTCATTCCTGTGTTTTGCGTCTTTTTTGAATCACTCAGTATTGTAGTAAAGTACTAGTGGAAGTTTTCCATTACAATCTCAAGTATATTCTATTGTCAGAGTTTACATTGTCTTCGCCCACTTGTTATTCTTTTATATGCCGATAAGTAACGAGTTTCTTTGGCCGCGTACATTTTACCCATTTTATGTTCCCCATCAAAGTTTTTTGGACGTGGATTATTCCGTTATGTGAATATTGGGTTTCGTTTTTGGAAGATCATACTAGATATCTCCTAATTATTTGTTAAGCGATTTGATAAATATCCATTTCTTGCCCGGCTCACATCTTTCCCTTTGTATCAGGTTCCAAAAGACAAGCAATCATGGGTAAAGAGAAGGTTCACATCAACATCGTCGTGATAGGTCACGTCGACTCTGGCAAGTCGACGACGACCGGGCATCTGATCTACAAGCTCGGTGGTATCGACAAGCGTGTGATCGAGAGATTCGAGAAGGAGGCGGCGGAGATGAACAAGAGGTCGTTCAAGTACGCGTGGGTGCTGGACAAGCTGAAGGCGGAGCGGGAACGCGGTATCACGATCGACATCGCTCTGTGGAAGTTCGAGACGACCAGATACTACTGCACGGTGATCGACGCCCCCGGGCATCGCGACTTCATCAAGAACATGATCACGGGTACCTCCCAGGCGGACTGCGCCGTGCTGATCATCGACTCCACCACCGGTGGTTTCGAGGCGGGTATCTCCAAGGACGGGCAGACCCGCGAGCACGCGCTGCTGGCGTTCACCCTGGGGGTGAAGCAGATGATCTGCTGCTGCAACAAGGTAGGGGGGGCAGAGTGTTCGTTTCTTCTTGTTTTTCTTCCTCTGTTAGTAGTATGTAAGTAAGCAGATGAAGTGTAAGAGAGAGTTAAAGGGGTGGTTATTTTCGTGTTGTGTTGAATGAATAGATGGACGCGACCACCCCGAAGTACTCGAAGGCGAGGTACGACGAGATCGTGAAGGAGGTGTCGTCGTATCTGAAGAAGGTGGGGTACAACCCGGACAAAATCCCGTTCGTGCCCATCTCGGGGTTCGAGGGGGACAACATGATCGAGAGGTCGACGAACCTGGACTGGTACAAGGGGCCGACCCTGCTGGATGCGCTGGACCAGATCTCGGAGCCGAAGAGGCCCTCGGACAAGCCCCTGCGGCTGCCGTTGCAGGACGTGTACAAGATCGGCGGCATCGGGACGGTGCCGGTGGGGCGGGTGGAGACGGGCGTGCTGAAGCCCGGCATGGTGGTGACCTTCGGGCCGACGGGGCTGACGACCGAGGTGAAGTCCGTGGAGATGCACCACGAGGCCCTGCAGGAGGCCCTCCCCGGGGACAACGTGGGGTTCAACGTGAAGAACGTGGCCGTGAAGGACCTGAAGCGGGGCTTCGTTGCGTCCAACTCCAAGGACGACCCGGCCAAGGAGGCGGCCAACTTCACCTCGCAGGTGATCATCATGAACCACCCGGGGCAGATCGGCAACGGGTACGCCCCCGTCCTCGACTGCCACACCTCCCACATCGCCGTCAAGTTCGCCGAGCTCCTCACCAAGATCGACCGCCGCTCCGGCAAGGAGCTCGAGAAGGAGCCCAAGTTCCTGAAGAACGGCGACGCCGGCATGGTGAAGATGATCCCCACCAAGCCCATGGTGGTCGAGACCTTCTCCGAGTACCCCCCACTCGGCCGCTTCGCCGTCCGCGACATGCGCCAGACCGTCGCCGTCGGCGTCATCAAGTCCGTCGAGAAGAAGGACCCCTCCGGCGCCAAGGTCACCAAGTCCGCCGCCAAGAAGAAGTGAGCGCCTGCCTCCTCCACCACTCCGTTTCTCCTTGGCCTCATCGTCGTCTGCTGCTGCTAGGAAAGGGAGAAGAGACTATTTCTATCCCACTGGTTACTTTGTGGGTCTTCTCGTCGTTGTTTGGGGGGGCAGCCTTCTTCGCCATTTTCTGCCCTCCGTGAGTAGAATGGTTACGACAGGCGGTGCTTTCCGTTTTCCCCGTGCTTTGTTTGAGGACTCACTCCATCTGTTCCTGTTTCGTTTCCTAATCCTCGTACTGTTTGGATGGACCAAAAATTTAATTTTAAATGAGTTTTGATAAGCCATCCTCCCCGTCACGGTCAATCCGCGGCAGTGCAATCGACCGTCATGGAGGAGGAAAATCACTAGGGAAGAGATCCCGCCGTTCGTAGTGTGGGGAAATCCGATTCATCGTCAATCCTCAGACGAGGTGAAACGAGGGAGGCTATCAAACTGTGTCGATTTCTCAGGAAACGTCCGTAGTGATTTTGCATCAAATCATGCACCCACAGCTGGAACAGCAGACCCATTAACGCGGTTTAGAGAATCATCTGAGGTAATTAGCACCATTTCGGGAAATCATTCCACCCATTTGGCCGGTTGCCACTGACAACAGAGACCACTTAAAAAGCAACAAGAAGAATAGAAGCTCCCTTCTGGCCAGTCAACGCTCGGTGTCCTCACCTGGCGTTACAAATGGTCAACTGAGTCATCTCTTTAGTAACAAGGCTGACATGCCACGAAAATGGGTGCTATTCTGCTAATTATCTATGGAAAGATAACAATTACCCAATTTTTTTTCAATTGACTGCATATGCCGTTGGAACAAATGGCGTTTTTTTTTTGGGTGCTTGTGGTAACTTCAGGGTTGACCAGCTGAACTACAATTCGCTGTCTGATTCCACATCATCAGCTCGGGTTGCATTTCTTGCCGCGTTTAAAACAAATGCTCTCAGAGAGTCAACCTGCTTGGGACCTGTACATCGAGCACACAAAGAGGAAGTCAATAATCTCATCCTCAAAGTGGCATTTGATCAGTCACGAAGAAATGCTGCACAAAGTTTGGATAATTATTTGCTCAAAAAAATCATCTGCAGCAGATTTTCAGCCTGGCATGTGGGCAACCGTTGGAGCTCCACGTGGCACGTTTGTGGTGTTCATGTTCATATGAGCCAAGAAGATTTCGGAATAACAACATGGGCTACAATATCCTAGCCCGTTCAAATAAGTGCTGCCGCACCGAGCATGGAATTTGGCTTAGATCATTTAGATGAGTTGACTGATGAAAGAATAGCACCATGTAGGAACTATAAAGGGAAGGAATGGAGTTTATCTCCTACCTCATTGATGAACAAAAAATGAAACCCAGTCCAATCATCAGTTATCTGTTATCGGTTATCAACTAAGCTAGAAGAATCCCGTCGTTTAAGTGATCATCACACCAGGCCTGGAATATATGCCTATTTTCGGAAATACAGAGAAAAATGATGAACTGACTTGTGACTGAGAAGATATAATGCGGCACGAAAATCGAACGACAAGATGTGATGAAGAAATAGATACTTGCTCTTATTAATGAGAACAGGAGAAAGGGTTTTTAGATTTGTTTTCTCAAGGGGGGTAGATCTTATCGACCTGCCTCTACAATTTCCTCTGCTCAGCCTCAGTCCTGAGTAGACAAGGCAAGAACTCCATCTTCATCTGAGGGATGAGGCATCTGTGACTAGAGTAAGATACATTCCCTTTTTTCTCCAAGGTTCCCGGTAGATGCACTTCTATCATACATCTTAGAATAATCGTAGCCCTTTTCAGATTGTGGACATCCATACACAGCTGTAGTTCTTCCAACCGTAGCAGATTGCTTCAAAGGGGGAGGGGAGCCCCAGGTTCTTAAAAAGATCTTATGAAGGGAACAGGGAGGGATGATGACAACATTCAGGGAGGAGGGAAGGGGAGAAATGTGGGTGGTCATGGCAGGGTGAGGGATGATGGCCGACACTATGGTCAGGTGGCTGTGTGTATGGGAAAGCGCAAGGGAGGGGACAAAGGTGGCGACAATGGAGGAGGAGAGTCAAGAAGCGAGGGATCTCCAGGCCCACAGTCTGGTGCTCATTAAGCCTGAGACCAATAAATTAGGCAGGCTGGGCAAGGCAAATATTTTATAAATCTGGCCTTTCAGAAAGCTTGGCTGATTTACACCTTAGGGTTACGAATGAGCGTCACTTGTAAAATCAGATTTATGAAACATAAACATATCTTTACTTGAAAATGGATTAAAGAGGTACCTCTTCATGCATCCTTAAAAGAAATTAATTTCATTAGATGAAACACCTTTTTATTTTTGGCGATCTTAATAGCCCTTGTAAGATGAGTTTGGGTTTCAAAAAAACCCACAGAAAAAAGGGTCAGGCAAAAACAGAGAGATCAACGGAAAACTTTGAGATTAAAGTAATACATGAGACCTAATTATTGTGTACATGTCTGGTGAAGAGGGGATTGCACATAATTACTCTCAAAAGTGAACCTTCCATATCATGTATTGATATGTTCATCATTTGTGCAAAACGGAAAAGACTATTTTTTGGTTCCGAGTATAGACATTGAGAATGTTGAGATCAAGAAAACCAAAATAAGATCATCCAGCACTAAGCAAAAGGAATTGAAGGGGAATGTTTTTTGAATCAATATCCCTCACATGTTTGGGATACAATCTCATGCATAGGGTTAAAACTCAATAACTGATGGAAGAGACAAATGATAAATTGGAGGTTATCAGACTCCAAATCCAATAGTTGTAGATTTGAAGCATACAGTGCAATCTTGGGGATGGTGAGAGGAGGGCAGATGTATTTTGGAACAGAAGGCAGTACGAAAATTGCTAGCTGGGTGAGATTCTCTTGCAGTTAAAGGCCTCAAGGGCCACTTTCTGGAGATTCTTCTCTCGAAGGCTGCCTAAAACACACCGTTCCTCTGATTGTCATCTAATAAGGATGAGTTAAGTTCCCATCAGAAGAAGCGGAGCAACGTGGTCATTGGGCTATTTACACAGCAGTGAGAGAAAAAAATGTCCCCTACGATCTCCCAGTCACGATATTCAACTGAAACGTCGCTTCTATTTGAAGCAAGAAGACCATAAGAAGGCAGTGGGCATATCGCGGAAACCGCCCCTAAGAGGAAGTCATGTGATGCCTTGAAAATTTACAGATCTTGCCCTCAGAGTATAATAGACAATCGCAATGAAACCACATCTCAATAAAAAAATCATTATACATATTTACCTTGGTATTTCGAAACTTCTTTTCCGTCATAGAAAACTTTAAACGTTGGGTACGAATGAATGTCGGCCTTAGTGCATACAGGCTTGTCTACGCTGCAATCGACTTGTCCGATCTCTATTTCATCTTCCACTTCTACAGATTTCGCCAAGTCCTCCCATAGGTTTCCAAGGTTCTTGCTAGAAAGTACAAATGTCTCAGCACATTATCTTACGAGAAATGAAGTCATGGTTGCATCGAATGAATCCAGAATACTTACCAAAACTTGCACCAAGGGACGCAGAATTTCACGAACCATACGGTCCCCTTCTCCTTGACCTGTAGTTAAAAAGGAAAGCATTTTTCTAGCCTCAAGAACATCTTCCCCCAATCGCATCAATATGATGGCAACAGAGAAAACCATAATTTAAAAATCAGGCAGAGTATGCCCCAGCAAGACCGTTCTCGGGTGTCCCCGGCTCCCATACAGTACTCCTTCGCATTAAAATTGAAGCTATCAGATCATTCCAAGGATTCTATGCCCCTCCAATGAAGATCCACACACAAGACAAGAAAATTTGCCCTACCTTGTCAGAGAAAGTTTCCGATGTGAGGGTTATGACTTCTGCATCAATGCTCCGCAAGAGAACTGCATTAGAGAAGAAGAACAGGAGCAGGAGGAAGCTGGTTCGTCTAAGGGAGAGCTCCATAAGCCGATGACCGCTGGTCGCTGGGGAGGACCCGTAGGCGATTCCCTAGATCGCCTCCAGCGCCTATTTCAACACGACGGCACAGGCGGCTTACCAAGCAGGTCCGGGCTTTTATATCACCAGATCTACACCGGCCCAAAAATTAAAATGGGCCTACTTGGCCCTTGGGCCCATTCTCGCTCGCTCGCGCGCTCGCTCTCTGTTGAACACTCCTGGTCCATGAGGGTGCGGCCCATTTAGTTCTCAGTGGAGACTGATTAAGGGGCGTCCTCTGTCTGTGTAGAGTGCGCTGCGATCCCCAGCCGTCTTCTCTTCTCCCCGCCGCCGCTGCCGCAGTTGCCGCCACAGGGTATTGGGGCTGGAGATCAGCTAAGAGGAAGTCTGAATTCATCGCCGACGGCTTCCAGAAGCTCGACGAGGTTTCCTCTCTGCTTTTCTTTATCTCTTCTGATGGCATATACTATTGTCGGGGCCTAGTATTAGGAAAGCAAAGCTTTGTGGTATCGATATCTTCTCCGGTTTCCACCGTGTCGCGGTTCCCACGGCTAGCATCGATTCCACGGCCGGTGCATGACATTAGTGAGGACTGTATATTTCTGCGAAGGGGACTTAATCGACGCCGACGGAGTTCAGTTCGGCCAAACTGCACATTATGATCTATTAATTCGAGTATCGCAGACGCCTGGAGAAAGTTTGTGACGCATTTGTGTGGGTAAAGTATTCTATTTTTTGTGGTTGTCATGCTCTCAGGACATATCTCTACTTTTTCAATTTTGGTGGAAGATGCCTCTGTATTTATTTTCTATACGATTCTTACGCGGTTTTTTAGGTTATTAGAACCGGTGTACAGACAGCCTTTAATATCTTTGAAATATATTGGATCTGTTTTTTCTTGTGAGTTATCTATTTGTTAAGGATCGTAAACGTCACAAGTTTTCATATAACTTATTTTATTCTATTTCTGTCCACAGATCTGTAGAAAAAGTTGAGAACATCCGTAGGGTTCTTGGTTGAATCATGTCGTTCAGGAGAGCCATTTCTGTGTATCATATGCTTCATTCCCCTGCATCAAGAGGAGCTGCGGAAAGAAGTATTAAACCAGGTACCGGCACAAGCTATTCCTTTTCTCGTTTCTTAACGTGTGGTGCGCTATATTTTCGTACTTTTCTGTGAAATACTATTTACCTGTCTCTCTCATGAATAAATCTGAACCATCGTTTACTGTGATCCATCAGACACAATCTTAACATTAGTGATACGAATTGGCCTGCCCAGGAAAATCTGTGTGTTCATGGAAGTAGAGTCACCATCCCTCAGAACATCTCTCATATGTGTTTAACTGGATGAGGGCAGATTATTATATCAAAGTATTTCCAGCCTCCTAAGTTTTGATCCATATTGAAGAAAATAAGGATGCAGGTGGAGTCATGACTAATTTTTCTCAATGTGTCGTTCCTAAAAAATGGTTACTTACTTTCCGGTATCTTTATTTTTATGTAAGAAGAATGAGTGGTCAAGATCTATCAAAAACACATCTATGCAGAAAAGTTTTAGCAATAATTTAAAGTGAAAAATGGGCAGGTTAATTATCGAGCCCCAATTAGACACGACTAGCCTCTGCTGTGGCTGGAAGGATTTTTAGATTCCTTAGACACGTATAATTATCGTCATCCGCAAGGAAGATAAAGTAAGTAATTGAGAAGCTGACTGAGTGGGATAAATAGTTAGAAGCTTGGATATGAAGAGTGATTTAGGACTATCCAAAATTAGTAAGGAATACGAGTTTAATTACGTAATAAATTAAATTAACGGTTATTATTGGTCAGATGGCCCTTAAAAATAAGGGCAGAGGATTGCAAGTTTAAGAGGGAAAGAAAATATGTTTTCGATGAAAGGGACAGCAAGCATCTTTTTTTGTCATTGGAGAAATTTAATCCCTGGATAAAAAAGTTTCTTGACTTATTGACCTTGATATCGAAGGTGATTTTCTTGTGTATGCCCATGAGTTTGAATATAAGCTGGTTCCAATGAAGAATATTTCAATGTTTAATCAACCCATAACATGGGTGCTGTTGGATAATTATACAGTGGGACTTAAAACACTGGAAGGTATGGAGCACGAAATAGAAACTGTTTTATTTGGTATTTATTTTCAATAATTTGAGGTAGCTCGTGAATCGCATAGAAATAACATGCCTGCTTGTTCTCTTCCTCTCAAGCACACGGGATGGCCTTTGTCAGATCAGATTAGTATGCTGCTAGAATATCTTATCAGAGCCTGGGTGGATCGTTCTCCAAGACTAGTTTTTGTGTCTGTACTAGGAAATGGCCATGGATGATGCTTCAAACTTTTATCGGCGATCAAATAATTTGAATTCATTTTTTCACCTAATATATAGCTTTTCAACAGCGATTTATATGTTGGCCCGTGTCCCAGGCATGTAGATTAAATACTGATCTTAGATCAGCTTACGCTCCAAAAGCAACAGGTCAACGCCGGTAGTGTTCTTGGATACTTTAAAAAAAAGGGTTTTTTTTTTTTACATTACTGGAAAATCTTGATCTTCATTCCACAAGGTATCTCTCTGCCCAGCATATTTCGCTGCCAATTCCTCACCCGTTTGACCTTGTCCTCCTTCGATCCCTTCGTTCCCAGGTTTGCTGCCCCCCATTGTGGGGAAGAAGCTTGGCGACTGCTCCCCGCTGAATCCCTTCTTCTCGGCAAAGAAGCAGAGCCTTAGCGCCGCCCTGTTCCAGATCCAGAGGATGCGGTCCTCCAAGACGGGTGGACCCGGCGGCGGGAAGATCAGCATCGGGCCGGAGTCCAGAGCCGCCGGAGAGAGAGAGGGAGCGGCGGAGGAGGAATCAGGGCTCGTCTACCGGGGGCCGATCTCGTCGACGATCAAGAAGGTGAAGCTGCTGTCCCTCTCCACCTGCTGCCTCTCGGTGTCACTGGGCCCGGTGATCACGTTCATGACCTCGCCGGAGATGAACGTGATCCTCAAGGGCGCCGTCGCCTCCACCGTCATCTTCCTCAGCGCGTCGACGACGGCGGCGCTGCACTGGTTCGTGAGCCCGTACGTCCACAAGCTCCGCTGGCGTCCCGGCGCCGATAGCTTCGACGTCGAGATGCTGTCGTGGCTGGCCACGCCGCTGCCGAGGACGGTCCGGTTCGCCGACGTGCGGCCGCCGCAGACGCAGCGGCCGTTCGTGACGTTCAAGGCCGGCGGCGACTTCTACTTCGTCGACGGTGAGCACTTCCGCGACAAGGCCCTGCTGGCCAGGCTGACCCCGGAGAAGACTCCATTTCAATCCGCCCTGAAGAACCTGTGATCGATTGATTTAGTGCAGCCGTAGGACGGCGGAAGTTTGACTTTTTTCTTATATGGATCTTGTTGGTCTCTCTCTTTGCTCCAATAATTCCTTCTGATGAGGATTTTGACTTTTATTGCTCTCGGTTGACTTGGTGAGAGAGGGAAGAGAGAGAGAGGGAGAGAGCGGGATTGATGTATGAGAAGCCTAAAAAGAGAGTTTCTGAATTACTGGAATAAGTAAAAGAGACTCCTGGGGAAACAAAACCATGGAAGACGACTCACCACCGCCTGTCAAGTACCCGGTACTGCAACCGGTTAGACGACATCGCGGCAGAAGACACAGACGAAGTAGACATGCAGCAGCAACTGGGGGGAGGACGGCAGTACAAAGCAAAGCAGGGACTCGAACAAGGAGAATAGATTAATCGCCTTCCGAAGAGCAATGGAGTGCTCACTTCTTCTTGGCGGCGGACTTGGTGACCTTGGCGCCGGAGGGGTCCTTCTTCTCGACGGACTTGATGACGCCGACGGCGACGGTCTGGCGCATGTCGCGGACGGCGAAGCGGCCGAGTGGGGGGTACTCGGAGAAGGTCTCGACCACCATGGGCTTGGTGGGGATCATCTTCACCATGCCGGCGTCGCCGTTCTTCAGGAACTTGGGCTCCTTCTCGAGCTCCTTGCCGGAGCGGCGGTCGATCTTGGTGAGGAGCTCGGCGAACTTGACGGCGATGTGGGAGGTGTGGCAGTCGAGGACGGGGGCGTACCCGTTGCCGATCTGCCCCGGGTGGTTCATGATGATCACCTGCGAGGTGAAGTTGGCCGCCTCCTTGGCCGGGTCGTCCTTGGAGTTGGACGCAACGAAGCCCCGCTTCAGGTCCTTCACGGCCACGTTCTTCACGTTGAACCCCACGTTGTCCCCGGGGAGGGCCTCCTGCAGGGCCTCGTGGTGCATCTCCACGGACTTCACCTCGGTCGTCAGCCCCGTCGGCCCGAAGGTCACCACCATGCCGGGCTTCAGCACGCCCGTCTCCACCCGCCCCACCGGCACCGTCCCGATGCCGCCGATCTTGTACACGTCCTGCAACGGCAGCCGCAGGGGCTTGTCCGAGGGCCTCTTCGGCTCCGAGATCTGGTCCAGCGCATCCAGCAGGGTCGGCCCCTTGTACCAGTCCAGGTTCGTCGACCTCTCGATCATGTTGTCCCCCTCGAACCCCGAGATGGGCACGAACGGGATTTTGTCCGGGTTGTACCCCACCTTCTTCAGATACGACGACACCTCCTTCACGATCTCGTCGTACCTCGCCTTCGAGTACTTCGGGGTGGTCGCGTCCATCTATTCATTCAACACAACACGAAAATAACCACCCCTTTAACTCTCTCTTACACTTCATCTGCTTACTTACATACTACTAACAGAGGAAGAAAAACAAGAAGAAACGAACACTCTGCCCCCCCTACCTTGTTGCAGCAGCAGATCATCTGCTTCACCCCCAGGGTGAACGCCAGCAGCGCGTGCTCGCGGGTCTGCCCGTCCTTGGAGATACCCGCCTCGAAACCACCGGTGGTGGAGTCGATGATCAGCACGGCGCAGTCCGCCTGGGAGGTACCCGTGATCATGTTCTTGATGAAGTCGCGATGCCCGGGGGCGTCGATCACCGTGCAGTAGTATCTGGTCGTCTCGAACTTCCACAGAGCGATGTCGATCGTGATACCGCGTTCCCGCTCCGCCTTCAGCTTGTCCAGCACCCACGCGTACTTGAACGACCTCTTGTTCATCTCCGCCGCCTCCTTCTCGAATCTCTCGATCACACGCTTGTCGATACCACCGAGCTTGTAGATCAGATGCCCGGTCGTCGTCGACTTGCCAGAGTCGACGTGACCTATCACGACGATGTTGATGTGAACCTTCTCTTTGCCCATGATCACTGCTTAGAACTGAACCTGTCGTTTTACAAGGAAAATAGGTATTGTGAGCCCTTAATTACAGTTTATATCACCCAAAAATAAAAAGGCGGCATGTATCCGATAAATATCGCAGTATTATGAAAAACTATCACAGTTTTACGAATCTTTTTAGGGGAACCTATTTTGATTGTCATATGGAACCATATGATATCAAGTGGAAGTGCATATAAAACTGGATAAAAGGAAATCGGATTCAAAAAGCTTGGGAACAATATACTTCGTGCTCCACACAAAATTTATTACTGAGGTACATAATCGATTATTGGCCTATCATCTCCTGTAGTAAATGAATGAATTATGCACGGCATGACATCCATAAACTGCAAAACCTGAGCACACACAACCGCTCACCCGCAAGAAGCTTTGGCGATTTGCAATAAATAGATAAAAAAAGTGGGGGACGGCGTTTCAGAACTACCGATGAAACGACACTCGGAATCCCAGACGCACTCCGATGAAAAATACGACAACGAAACATCTATCACCTATCAGACCGAAGATCTGACAGATCCAAAGCTCAGGGGCGAAGAAACGGGAAAACAAGGGATCTGGAAGAAAGTACAAGGCGAAGTCTATTAGAAACAAACAATCCGCAGCGAAGAAAATAAAGAGATGGATAAGCCGCAGCCTCTAGGAATGATGGGATGGATGTAACCAACAGAAAGTCGTAGAGAATATTCCGACGGAAGCAGAGAAAGAATTATACTCACGAAGAGCGTCGCTCAAAACCTCGCAGTGAACTCCGGGAAGAAGGTGAGGAAGCTCTTGAATATCGGGGCGAGACTCTGTGGTGCCCTCGCTCCTCCTTTAAAAAGCGCTTCGCCCCGTTAGGGTTTCCTTTTACGCCGTCCGATCTACCGATCCAACGGTGCTCATTAAAGGGACCACGAGGCACCGCCGAATGCGTCCATTGGCCGGAGATCCGACTATGACGCATTTACCCCTAGGTCAGTTTAGGGACATAAACGAAATACAAAAGATGTAATATATATGTATGTATATGGTATTTTGTTAATAACTGAATATAATGGGGAGGATGAAATTACTACACGCCAAAAAAAAAGGCTCTTTCTCAGTTTTTACTTATCTGGCCGAAAGAAATGGACCCGACTGAGTTCCTCCGAAACCCTAGCTTCTCCTCCCTTCTCGGGGAGGTCTCTCCAGCCTCTGTAGATGTCGTCGCCGTCGACTGCCGCCGTGTCGCAGGAGCTCTATCCGAGCCAGGATGACCTTCTCTACGAGGAGGAGATACTCCGGAATCCCTTCAGCCTGAAGCTCTGGTGGCGTTACCTCCGCGCCCGCGCTGAGGCGCCCTTCCGAAAGCGATCGGTCATCTATGAGCGCGCCCTCAAGGCCCTCCCCGGAAGCTACAAGCTCTGGCACGCCTACCTTCGGGAGCGGCTGGAGGTCGTCCGGCCCCTTCCGATTACCCACCACCTCTACGATGCCCTCAACAACACATTCGAGCGGGCACTTGTTACCATGCACAAGATGCCGCGGATCTGGATCATGTACCTCTCGATCCTCACCGAGCAGCGGCTCATCAAGCGTGCTCGACGGACTTTCGATCGTGCGCTCTGCGCCCTCCCTGTCACCCAGCACGATCGTATCTGGCAGCCTTATCTCACATTTGTGTCCCAGAGAGGGGTCCCCATAGAGACCTCCCTCCGCGTCTACCGTCGCTACCTTATGTTCGATCCCTCTCACATAGAGGACTACATCGAATTCCTCATCAACTCCGAGCTCTGGCAGGAGGCGGCTGAGCGACTGGCGGGCGTCCTTAATGACGATGAATTTACTTCCATCAAGGGAAAGACCAAGCACAAGTTGTGGCTAGAGCTCTGTGATCTGCTCACGAAGCACGCGACTGATGTGTCGGGTCTGAAGGTGGACGCCATCATTCGCGGTGGGATACGTAAGTTTACTGATGAGGTTGGGCGGCTGTGGACCTCTCTTGCCGACTATTATGTCCGAAGAGGACTGTATGAAAAGGCCAGGGATGTGTTCGAGGAAGGAATTACGACTGTTATCACAGTCAGGGACTTCAGTGTCATATTTGAATCATATGCTCAGTTCGAGCAGAGCGCTCTTGCAGCTAAGATTGAAACTCTTGACATGAACGAGGAGGAGGATGAGGATGCTGAAGACGAAGATGCCGATGGTGACAATGAGGAAGCCAGAAGGGAATTACGGGGCAGAGAGAGCGACGAGAAGTTCGCGAAAAGGATTCTCCGGGGTTTCTGGTTAAATGATGATGACGACACCGACCTGAGAATTGCTAGGTTTGAATATCTCCTGAGCAGGCGGCCTGAGCTCCTCAACAGTGTGCTTCTGAGGCAAAACCCTCACAATGTAGAGCAGTGGCACAGGAGGGTGAAGCTATTCGAGGGAAACCCCACCAAGCAGATATTGACGTACACGGAGGCAGTGAGAACTGTGGATCCAGTGAAGGCTGTGGGAAAACCCCACACTTTGTGGGTTGCTTTTGCACGTCTCTATGAAACTCACAACGATCTTAATAATGCAAGGATAATTTTTGAGAAGGCTACACAAGCAAACTATAAGGCAGTTGATCACCTGGCTAGTGTGTGGTGTGAATGGGCAGAAATGGAACTGAAGCACAATAACTTTAAAGGGGCACGCGAACTGCTAAAACGTGCGACAGCCGAGCCCTCTGTAGAGGTCAAGCGTAGAGGTAACGGATCGGTGCATCTGGTTTTCTTCCTACTGTTAAACATTTTGAAAACATTGCCCGAACAAAGAAAAAGAAGAATCTGTAGCATGATGATGTGATAATAGAAAATTTTCTAGTGTTATTGTGGGTTGGTCTACTGTTCACAAGCTAAGATTTTCCTCATCACGAAAGGAGGAGAAAGTTTCACGTCGTTGCCATTGTGTGTTTTTGACATAGATTTAGTGCAATTAGAGGACCTTCAATAAAGACACTAAAACCTGGCATGCGTTTTTTTTTTAAGTAGTTGTCTTTTGATTAACGAGTGTACTGGGCTCCTTAACTTAAAGACAAGGAACTACTAACGTATTTATTGTTTCTCTCTCGTAAACAGTTGCTGCTGATGGGAGTGAGCCAGTGCAGATGAAGTTGCATAAGTCTTTGAGAGTGTGGAGTTTGTATGTTGATCTAGAGGAGGGTCTTGATAATTTGGAAGCCACATGTGCAATATATGAAAGAATACTTGATCTAAGAATAGCCACTCCTCAGATTATAATCAATTACGCCTATTTTTTGGAGGTATGTTTACCTTATGCAGATTTTATTTTCTAAGTAGACCCTCCTATATTGATTACCACACTTCGTATATTTATGATTCTGCGACATGTAGGAACACAAATACTTTGAAGATTCATTTAAGGTGTATGAGAGAGGTGTAAAGATTTTCAAATATCCTCATGTGAAGGACATATGGGTCACATATCTGTCCAAATTTGTTGCGAGATATGGAAAAACGAAGCTGGAACGAGCTAGGGAGCTATTTGAACATGCCATTGAAAAGGTATGCAGTTTCAAGTTGAAAATTTTATTAGTTTATTATCTCTAAATATTATGGAAATTGTGTCATGTATTATCTGAAATTTTATGATGAATGTTATCGGAATCGCACATCCCTGAAGGAATGATTCAGTTTTTAAACCAACAATTTAAGAACGATTGGAATGGGTTATGTCCTTTACGCTTGCCTTTAAGTTTGATCAAGAACGGGTTAATTTGTTCCCCTACATTTTTTTCTGTTTTTCTCTCCTTTTTCGTTATGGTTCAGGGCTTTTTAGGGTTTTATTTGATCTATATTTTTCATCTTGCTGCTTTTTTTGCTCCTTTTACATCGTTCATAGTTTCTCCTTCTCTATTATTCTAGTGGTCGTATTTCCTTTTCTGTTATACCTTTCAACAATGGTGCATTTTTTGGATAGTTTTATGAATGCTCGTTCTTCGTAAACATCTTTAGTATATGGTCCACTTTGTCGTCATTTGTCAGGTTAACGTATATGAAACAGTCGGGTTTCTGGTTGGTGGTTGTGCCACAAATAAACTCTCTGTCGTACAGTTGCTGAAGTTATAATAAGGTCAAAAGATCTGAAGAAGATAATACGAACAGTACTTTTACTTCATGGGAATTCAATAAAGCCGATCCAAGAAGTAAGACGAAACGAGTCTTACTTCTCATCTTGGTCCTGCACAGAATTTTCCTGATTTTTTAGACCAACTTCACATTGATTATGCTATGCACACCAGGGGGGAAATAACTGTTACTTGTTGAGGAAAATTCTCTACATCTATTTCAGGTAATGGCAATGCCCTTTTTATTAATTTTTCGGAAAAATATAACCTTTTAATACGTAAGAACCTTTTCAATATCATAAGAAATATTTTAAACTGGAACGAATCATCTCACCTGGAGTTACTGGTCTGGGCAATCCGCGCTGCTGTTCTGATCCTATCTTGGACTGAAGGGCTGAACGTGAACTCTCACAAAGGATCTGGGTGGAAGCGGCCTTATGCTAGAAAATGAAGAACGGATGGGGATTTCCCCAGAAACTTCAAGAACACTGGCCCTGGGTAGTCATGCAGCCTGAAATCACCAAGGAAGCAAAATCTAGGGTCTGTTTTCCTGATAATAATGACCAAAGCATCAAGTTAGTGTATGCTTCTGTCTTTCTTATGCCGACTATTGCATACTCCCAGTTAGTGGCATCAACTTTGGTAAGAAACTAAATTGAAGTCAGACAGATGCTAATCCCTTTTTTCTCGATTGTTAGACGTTTTATGAGAGAATTTTTTTGTTCCCGAAATCATCCTCCGCTAGTGTTGCCCAGTCTTTACAAATTGGAAGAATCAATGATGTTTAAATCGCTGCAAATATGTTAAATCAGCGACGGATCTTTACTGAATCTAAGACTTTCGATGTTGCATTGGTGGGTGACAGTCAAGTTCATTGAGGGCTATGTTTATCCCAGTGTTACAGATTGGATAATACTCCCAGAATGTCAACCATCATCAATGTCCTGTGACATCACTCCGTTGACTTTGAACATCATTGATTGTTGGAAACCTTGCGACTTTTGCATCAACTCTCGTTATTAGCCTTTTTCTGTCAATTTTAGACACGTATTGCTGACAGATCTTTCTACTCCTTGGCTCTGTTCTTCAGGCGCCTGCTGACGAGGTGAAGCCTCTCTATCTCCAATACGCAAAACTAGAAGAGGAGTATGGGCTAGCAAAGCGTGCAATGAAGGTCTATGATCAGGCCGTGAAGGCGGTTCCTAACACTGAGAAGATGAGCATGTACGAGATTTACATCGCTCGAGCCGCAAAAATCTTTGGTGTTCCTAAGACGAGAGAGATATACGAGGTTTGTGTTGCCCATCTAAAATGCCGGTCTGTATGGATTTTTTCCAAATATATTCCCCAATCAGAAAATATTTTCTGGGTTTGTATTTTTTTAATTTCTCTCTAATCTCGAGTTACATATCAATGTAGAAAAGAAAAATTATTTCCCAATATAAAACCCTCCATCAGATTTTTCTCTCAAAATAGTTTTTCATATGTTTGTGTTCTTATCTTCCGCAATTCTTGCCACGAAAATGAGAAAAAATCATGTGATCCTCTTCTTATTTTTATTTTTTCGCCAACTATTGATCGATATATTTATTGAAGGTATCTGGTTCTCACTTGGAGTTCCTGGTTCTTATTTGCAGCAAGCAATCGAATCGGGTCTTCCTGATAACGATGTGAAGGCCATGTGCTTGAAGTACGCCGAGCTCGAGAAGAGCTTGGGAGAGCTCGCCCGCGCCCACGCTGTATTTAGATTCGCCTCGCAGTTCGCAGACCCTCGTGTGGACGAGGAATTCTGGAGGAAATGGAACGATTTCGAAGTTCAGCACGGGAACGAGGAGACTTTCAGAGAAATGCGCCGCATCAAACGCAGCGTCTTGGCTAGCTTCAGCCAGGTCAGTCGGCCCGCCCTCTTCTTCTTCATCTTCTTCTTCTTCTTCTTGCAGAAGGATTCTCACAGAGACGGGTTTCCGTTTGTGGCGTTCAGACGCACGTCAATCTGCCGGACTTCCTGATGCAGGGGGGGGACCAGAAGCTGCTCCAGGAGGAGCCCAAAGGCGCCGCCAAGGACGGCATGGCCGCCCTGGAGAGGCAGGCCGTCGCCAGATCTCCGCCACCCGCGGCGGAGGGCGCCGCCAGGGTCTTGGGCTTCGTCAGCGCTGGCGTGGAGTCACAGGCCGGCACGGGGAGGGCGGTGGCCGCAAACCAGGAGGAGATCGAGCTCCCCGAAGAAGACGACGGCTCCGAGGATGAATCCGCCGAAAGAGTGGAGATTTCACTGAAGGCCGTCCCCGAAGCCGTCTTCGGGGACCTTGCGAGGGTCGCCGCCGCAGTTAACGACGAGAATGCCGCTCCCGCGGTCAACGGGGCAGACGCCCGGATGGGCGCCCTCGAGAGGATAAAGAGGCAGAGGCGGCAGTAACTCCTGAAGGGGGAATGACATCGATCTGCCCAGTTTCTGGGGGGGTTGGGGGGCGGGCTCTGTGTACATAAACCCTAACGGGCGAGGGGTTTCCTGTTCAAATTTACAGGAAAAGGAGGATCAGAGATTTTTCCTTGTGATTATTATGACCGTTTTGGAGGGATTGTTGGATTCTAGGCTTGGCCTGCTACACGTAGACGATGGGTCAGGGGGTGAGTGGTCCCTTCGCAAATAACCCGTCTTTGCTGGTTCTCCTGAAAGGACTCAAAAGCAGCAAGGTCGTATTTAACAAAAAAAGCAACCTCAGTATTTGCGCTTCAGCGTCCCACGGTTGGGCTCCTATGCCGCTGCATGGGCTCCTTACGGGATTCATTCCTCCAAAACGATGGGCATTGTCCCCTTTGGACACGAATCGTCAACTATCTTTTGGCTCTCCTCCCCTAACATTGTGCCAATTATTGCATGACCATCGTGCTCTTTTCTCGTGCCTCCCCACCATTGCATGTGCATCCTACACACCACACGCGCTTGCTGTGCTGCACACACTCGCCATTCTGCAGATACTTAATGAGCCACGCTTGCCCCCCGTACCATGAGTGCCTTCCTGCACCGCATACATATGTCATGCAGCATGATGCGTCTGCCATGTTGCATGCACTGCCGTGTCATGCAAGCCCTCTACATTATGCAGGTTAACTGCATCCATCTCGTGGTGTTTTAGTTCTTCCTAATGACATCTTCCTCAAAGTCTGATGTTCTCATCGGGTGGTGGATATGAAGATAAGTCGAGCTATCACATGTCATTCTGTTTCTCTTAAGTGGCAGCCTCCGTCAATTCATCTATTCAGTAGATTAGAAATTCAATGTCAATAGTGATGAAAATGACTACCGCTGTTGACGATTGTGGTCTAGAATAACTTGGACGTCTTTGATGAAGTGAGCCCATGTAAAGGGAGAAGTTATTATGACTTATTGGGCTCCAACTCATCATACTTTTCCTTATATTAATTGAGGAGGGAGATGTGAAAGATGAGGTGTATCATTAATTGGGGGCAATGCAGAGGTGGTAGGTTACTCTGCTCATGTACTTGAGGAACTCATGTGGTTCTTTGTACCTAAGTAGGTTTTAAAGTAAAAGTCATTTAATGTCATTCATCCTTTGTGGGCCCCTAGGATGACTTGAATCACATTATCACCAATCTCTAGTTCTGTCTTGTGTCTATTTTGATTAGTGTTTTTTTTCATGGGATGGATGGTATGGACTAGGACCTATTTGGTGTCTCCAACATATCCTAGTATTTTGTTTGACCATTCTCTATACTAGATAGTACATGCATCTTAATTAAATTAATTGGGATGGATATTTGTATTCAATTACCAATTCAAAGAAAAAAAAAATTCTTATGTTAGAACCTTAGTGGAGGTTGTAGTTAAACTAGGTTGTCTCTAATAGCTTCACTTAGTTCTCCTATGAATTCATCACATAATGATAGAGATAGTCTTCAAGTAGTATATTTTCTCTCTTAGTTTGCCCATCTATTGTGAATGAATTGTTGTCCATATGCAAAACTTGATGTTGAGTTTGGAGAATAGAATGACCTATAATTGATTAATGAATCATATTTTTTCTGTTGACGATGGTGACTCATAACACATAAGAACTTGGTGACATATGTCATGAAAAGCTTTGTATCTTCCTCTATGTCACAAATGGCTTGTGAAATAATGAATGTTACATATTTGGACAGCTTGTCAACTATGATTAAGATGACATTTTAGTAATTGCCCATGACAAGTTGATGAAAGAGATCTATGATAACTATTTGTCATAATTTGTCTAAAATAAGGGGAGGATCCATCATCTCTACCTATTTTTGTACTTTGTCTTATTGCCAGCACAATCAGATACTGACTTTCATTTCTTGAGCCTTGACCAAAAAAGAGCACTTGATGAATATAAGCATATGATGTTAACTTGAGTAGTCCAACTATAACATATATAAATCATTCATTCCATAAATATCACTCTCTCTAATGTGTAAGAGATGCCCCACAACAACATGTTGACTTCGTATGCTGCTTGGACTTCTAATAAGAGGTGAGAAGAGGTCCTAACATTATTAGTGTGGTTAAAAACTGTGTTGATTTGTCTATTCAATATGTTTGTGAAAATATTCTTTCTATTTGATTTGTAGTGAGATATGAAATCATACACCACAAGTAAGTCTCACTGTTCATTTATTATTAAATATTTGAAGTAGTTGGTGGCCACATTAGTAATATAAATATTGAAATGAGTATTTTAAGATAAAGTTTATCCACATGTGAAGATAGTAAATGATAACAATCATGTCCACATAAAGTCATTAAAATGCACAAAGTAGTTAGTGACTGCATTATTAGTATAACTATTTAAATGAACACCTGATGTAATACATCAATTTGTGAAGATAACAGATGAAAATAATCATCTCTCACTCATATATTGAATATTGTAAAAAGTGTCATCAAATTTTGAATTCTGAAAAGTAATATGATTTTTTTTTGACTTCATATACTTTTAATCATTTCATTGGAGAGGGTTATATGTACCACAAAATATTTGTTGAAATCAAATAGTCTCAAGATTAATTTACTAATAACAATATTCATTATTTCTAAAATAGTTCCACAACTTGCAAAACAAGTGTTAACATGTCTTAGCCTAGTACCATACGCTTCCTTTGAAGAGTAAGTTGGTAGGAGGCATTGTTTGCTTAAAGAAATTGATAATAAAGTGGTAGTAATAATTATCATATCTCAAGAGCAATCATAGTTCAAACATATCTTATATCATCAATCAATTTATGATTGTATAAATTTTGATACAATCTATGTGCACTTTGTCATGACCTTGGTCTTCTCTCCTTGGGAAGGAGATGTCTTCCTCATGATGATGAAATAAATCTTATTGAAATTAGACTTGAAACTTAAATCAGATGACCAAGTGTTTATTATTTAAAAGTTCACTATTGATTGAATAGTTATATCATATTTTTTAAAAATAGTTCTCTTAGTTTATTATCAATTATCAACAAACTTATCTCTCTCATTTCTTCTATGACAAACGAATGTGATGGATACCATGAATAAATAGAAAACAAATTAATTATGGATTCTCAAGAGAAATTATAAAAGAAGGATAAAATCGAATGAGAAATAAAGATGAAGATTCAAATGAACGATTGGAAGAGAGCACAAAGACTTTGATCATAATCTATTTTTCCTAGTCTTGTTCTCATTACCTCTCATTGCTTGTGTCAACCACTATGTCTCACCACAAACTAGCATATGACATTGTTGCAGCAATGGTTGTGGAGTAGATGATTGATGGCGATGCATCATTAGAAACAGCTAAAGTTGAAGGGGACCTCCCTCTAGGTGAAGGCCCTCCTTTGCTTTGTGAAGTTGTGTGTGAGGAGAGATGACTAGGAGCTAGATGCTGGTCATATGATGTGCATATTTCAGTCAAAAGTTTTTTGTGACAATTGTAATTGGCATATGTGGAAAATATTTGACCCCACACTAATTTGACCACTTTGGGCTTTGGAGAGGAAGAAACTTGTTGAGTTTGATTGGATGTGAAATATTTTTTTATTTCTTTTTTTAGGTGACATAAGTGCTAATTTAGTGAAAAATAATAGAAATAACACAATTATATATGAAGCTTAGAGAATAAAATGATTCTATGGCCTAAGAATTCTACTTTGATGACTACAAAGGTGTATCTAGTTAGATTGAAGAATATCTTGTATTTGTTAAAAGTTTTCATGACTATCAATAGGTGTTCCTTGTGGTCCGTTATCGTGTTATTATATATAATAATATCATCTAAATAGAAGACCACAAAATATTCAAGATATTAACATAATACATAGTTAAATAATAAAATAATAGATTGTGGGTGCATTGGTCAAACCCAAATTTATACATCACAATCCCAATTGCTTGGCATAATATTTTAACAATAAACCTTGTCATGCATCTAATTAGGCATGTTCATACATATGTGTGCACATGGTGAAATGCCAAAACCATTTGGCAAAACAATTGTTTGATTAAAGAATGTTACAAATCACTTGAAGACACACTAGGTCGACTGTTAGACCCAAGATAATCAACTGGCCCAATGACAATCTGACTATGAATTTGAATGAACTATAGTGTGGTCACACATACATTCTTATACTTGTTACTTTCTCATAAGTACTTAGTAGTACCCACTCTTGAAGTATAGTTGAGAGTAGATTGAAATGCCTTTTGACTAAATGATTTTTTTCATAAAAATCATGATTAATTCTTAACAATATATTTTTTAAAGACTTTGTCATCAATGTAGTGCTTCAAGGTGTCATCATTTTTATGTTGGAAAAGAATTAGAGCTTTGAATAATGATCTAAAGGCTTAAATAGAGATTTGTAACTTTTTCAATAACAATTATTGAATTCTTTTAGTACCCATATATATGTTACAATGACATTATTTTGACTTTATTATTCCTATTGACTAGTTCTCTAGAACTAAGTATGTGTGAGCGATTGAATACTTAAGCACAAAGCACAATCTTTCATCATTCTAGGCAAAATTAGTAGATGTCATATTTGCTTATCCTAAAATGTTGCAATTAAGTGTGATGCAAAAATTACCCATAAGTCAACATGACCTACCTATGTCTTCAATGAAGGAGCAATAGACTCAACCATGTCAATTAGGGGTTGGGTCAAAGTGTTTATCATCTTGATACAACTTTTCATAATATTATGTGTGGTATCATTATTGATCATATTTATCCCTAAATAATTAGGTGAATCAAGAGAAAGAGGTGAAATTCATCTTAATTTTTGTTTGATTCAGTATAATATTATATTATTTTATTTTAATTTGAATATTTTGATTATATTTATAAAATAATATAAAAATATAATGTAAATAAAGAAGAATTTATACACATCAATTTTTTATAGTGGTTTGGTCAAATTTATTTGACTTACATGTATTTCTTAGTAGTTTACTTTAGTATCAATATTCCACCACCAAAATATAATTTATTTTTACTAGTTTCAAGAATACTTCACATCACTAGGGTATGTGAGCATATGATCACTCTATCTAAAACTCTAACTTTAATAATAATATATTATTTTACTATGAGCATGTAACAAGTTTTTTAACAACATATTAACAAGTTTTTTAACAACATATGTGATGACTTAATGATTTATTACATATATCTTAACTAGTTTGCACATCACAAAGTAAAACAACAACAAATGATCAATCTAAACCAAAGTTATCATTGCCTTCAGTTATCATTTGATGTGATGTGAGTTGTTGAAAGACTTGAGAATAGTTGGGTTAAAAGAGTAAAGATTTGATATTTCCATTTACATGCACATATTCCTTGAATCAATTTGATTTTACATTTTAATTTTGCCATTTGGCAAAGAAGATAAACACCTTTTGAATTAGTTGACTTTGTCTGAAATTCATTTGATTTCTCATGATTTTCACTTTGTGACGTTCTTTTTTATGATGAGCATGTACATCCCATTTTTAGCCTTTATCACATCTAATGGTCAAACTTAGGCATGCCTCAATAGGATACATAAAGATTCTGAAACATATTAAACAATCATCATAATACTTCTAGAAACTTAGCTCTTTCAATATTTTAAATTTTGATGTGTGATTTTCAACTTTGGATTTCTCTTTACATCAATTTTTCAATCAATCTCATGCATATATATATATATGACACATTTTCTCAATTTTTTTTTAATTAAATGGCTTGAACTTCTTGATTTTTTTGACTCTAGTCGAAAATTATTACTTCAGTAATATTATAAAATCAATAAGGATTCAATACTTTGATTTTTTTTCTTAATTTTGTTTCACTTGACTCTTTATTAAGAGATATATCTAATAGTTGCTACATGTCTACATAAATGAAGTCATTTGATACATAAAAACACAATATTAAGACTCATACATATTTTGATAATAAATTACATCATGTAAAATTTTCTTACTTTAATTTTTTTTTTCTTGATGATACTTGAAAGAGGACAGGATATTTTCTATAGTTAAGATCATCAATTTAATCATTTAACACCTTAGTCCTACTAAAATATTCTTAATTATTTGTATTCACCATTTAAACTTCTTAATTTTTTCTAAGACAAATTCACATTCTATATCATCAATTTCATGACTTTAGATTAATATTTATAAATAGTCAAAATAATAACTCAACATATCATAAACCTTATAAGATTGTCATTAACCTTTGTTTTCAAATACATCAATTATTTTTGGTCTAAGTTTGGGCTTTGTTGTAAATTAGTGATTGTGTCATCTAACACTTTAAAGTTATTTATCTTCAATTGTACATCATCGTGCATTAAGGATTATTCCTATTACTATAAAATATTGTTGATTAATTAGTACATAGTTTCTTATGTTTCTCAATAATCTCTTTGTCAATGAGTTCCCCCACAAGAGAAGCATCCAACTTTGGGACTATTAGTTCATGACAATGTTGGTGATTAGGTTTCTATTATGGTCATAGGTTGTGGGGGCCATGGTAGGTTTTAGTCATTCAACATCCCTTGAGGCTATGCTCATTTCGTCTCCATGGTTTGGTTTCACAACTAATTTCTTCAATAGACTCTTGGAACAACATAGTTAAATAAAAACTTTGACATTGGTATTACTACCTATAAGTCTTATACCTATATCTTTTTCATTTGATATGTGCCAATGATTAGAGGTTTTCATAAAGTAAAATAATTATCTTGTCTCACATGTCTTCAATATCTAGTATGTGTGTCATATATTGGGGACATATTCCCTTATAGTCCTAATTTATTTGAGGCTCATTATTATTTTCCAAGGTACATATCCACAATTGGTCAACCAAAATTAGAAGAAGACCTCTTGTTTAAACTTGTGTCAAGTGTTGATTGATGGTCATTATCATTCTTCAAACATTTTTGCCACCACAATTTAATGCCACCAACCATATTTGACTAGTTACTCTTACCTTCTCTTTTTCTTCAGTGTCACACTCTTTAAATAATCATCTAGATCTCATAAGGAGTTGAGTTCAAGCTTGTCTCTCTCACCTTAAAAGTGCTTCAATTTTAAGACTCAAATAACTCATTAATCTTGAGACACTTGTGAATCTTTGCTAGTACTTTTTTGAATAACTAGTTGGTGTATGTTGTCAAGTCCAAGAAACTCTTTGAACTCCTTGATATTGACTTACTTTCTATTATGGTTTAATGCAACTTCTTAGATGTATATGCATTTGAATTAATAATAATAATTTAATCTTCTACTGCTAATCTAAAAATTTAAATCAATTTTCAATTTTCTCATACTTAATTGTGTTGATGTTCTCATTTTGCTAGTCATATATCTTGAGATATACTGTGTTGAGTAGTTCAAAAAACCCCATGAACCTCCTTGACACTCACCTGCTTTATCTCATATCACTTTTCTATTTTTCTCCAATGCTTAATTCAGTTGATGTTCTAATTTTACTAGCCACATATCGTCAGCTCTTTCGTCACTTTCTACTAATTTTAGCAACTTTGTTAGCTACATACTTCTCTCTTGATTCATATTGTATGTCAATTGTCACATATTTAGGTTCTCATGTGCTAATAATACATGATCACTTACTATCTAATTAGTCATCTCTCACTCCATTCTACCTCATATAATAGTCATTAACTCCCTTATATGGGGGCAGTGGTCCCAACTAGCTTTTGAATCTCCAACTCCTGCACTGATTGTTGCACAATCATTGTCTTACACTTTCTACATCGTGTATGACACAATAGGTCAACGTTGATGTCGTGTGATGCATATCTTATGTGCCACATGTGCTTGTCATGCCACACCATGCTCATCCTCTACCTCATGGCACCATGACATGAGCCTCACCATCCAATAATTAATTTAATATTAAAATAATTATAGTTTAATGAGGCAATATAGGAGTGACAATGGGCCCGGGTCAATGTCTAAATGATCTTTGGCCTTAAAATCACATTCAGAAAGGAATTCAGGTTTTTCCCATATTTTAAAAAAGAAGTACAAACATAATTATTCGTTCTAAAGGGTTGTATAGATCATTTTACAACTGAATTTTGAACCTCGGACACCGTCTCCCTCGGAGCTGACTCCCTCTGGTAGTCCCTCCCTCCCCTTCCCCTTCCTGCAACGGCCATGGCAGGATACCTGCTTTCCAGCCCTGCGAGCTCCTTCCCACCGCCGGCCGGGCCCCTTAACACGAATTGGGATCCAAGTGTGCTCCTCAACGCTCGCCCTCAAACATGGCCGCACGTCGTCCCCGCTTTCCCCGGAGCAGAGGACGAAGCGGAGACGCCAAAAATAGGCCTCCTCTTCTCTTCCCCCGCTGTTTCCTCGCTTTCCCCGTCCCCGCCCTTTTCACGCCCACCCCTGGCTTCTGGAAATCTCCTCCATGGTTTTTCTTGCTTTGCGATCTCCGATTCTGTGGTTTGAATTCGGGTGGCTTGCGAATGCGCGTCGGAAGCGTGATTCCGTGTTGGTTCCGCTCGCCCTCTGATGACTAACTTCGTTTGGCTCTTCTTTATATTTTTTTCTCTGTTTTTTATTCTTTTGATGGAAGAATGATCGTGTTCGACGAAGTTTTCGATGCGATCTTTCGAGCTTTGCCTGCCCAGCGAATTACAGAGGTTTGAACATCAGGGGAGCTTGTCCGTTTTGAGGTCCTGTGAACCACTTTGACGTCAGGGAAGATATAAGTATTGCGAGGAGGTACGAGGGTCGTTAGTTGTTGGGTTTGTGAGATGAATTGCTTTCCGTGTTTCTCATCCGGTGAAAAGAAGGGATCAAAGAGCATTGATGGGAGGAAGGTGCAAGGCCAAGGTACATCACAGAGGGGAATAGTGTCTCAAAGGCCACCAGGTGACTTTTTTTCTCGTCCTCTTATTTTTATTTTCTTTTTTTTCCCATCTTACATGTTCTCACTAGTATGTATGATCACTGAACTTTTGGATTATTCCCTCTCTGCGGATTACTCTCTTGCAGCTGATTTGTAACATTGAGACATTCTGAAAATCCTTCTGACGTCCTTTGGTCTACTTTTATCTGCAAAGTCGGTCGCCAACTGATGGGTTATTTTGGATAAGTATAAACCTTCGGCTCTAACCAGTATGTGAATAGATTGCTACACAAAATTATAAATAAAACGACTCCATGAGTATAATCCATACTTATGATCTACAAACTTGAAAAAAAAACAACGGCCAAAGAGCATGGATATGCTCGGCCGTTAGAGAGAACACCGATTATGTCATAGAAAAGATGTTCGAATAGGTAAGTAGTACTTTCCAAAAAAAAAATGGTGTAAGGAATCTTTGATTCTCCTACCATTGCACGTAACATTAGTGCCTTTTCTTGGCTTCTTATGCAGTAAACAAAAAGTCAAAATATCATTGGATACCTACATAAATCCATCGAAATGACTCAGGAGAATCATGGCATGGAGGCAATGGAATGTGTCCTTTATCTTTTGTGACAATGCAGCTTATGCTTTGGTTGCTGCAGAAAATTCTAAGCAGGTTCCAACTGAGTCGACCACTAAGGATTCTGGGAATGGAAACATTGCAGCCCAAGCTTTCACATTCCGTGAACTCGCTTCTGTAACCAAAAATTTCCGTCCAGAATGTTTAGTGGGTGAAGGAGGGTTTGGAAGAGTGTACAAGGGGCGGCTTGAGAAGACTGGGCAGGTAGGTTCCCTCCGTGTGGTGTGATCTATTCTGTCTATACTGCCTCAAGATTTCCATGGTCAAATCAAAGAATGATGGATGGATTTTATCATCTATGGGCAGCTTGTGGCAGTGAAGCAACTGGACAGGAATGGACTACAAGGCAACAGAGAGTTTCTTGTTGAAGTTTTGATGCTAAGCCTCCTCCACCACCAAAATCTTGTCAATCTTATCGGATACTGTGCTGATGGTGATCAGAGGCTTTTGGTATACGAGTTCATGCCCTTGGGATCTCTAGAAGACCACCTGTTTGGTACGACTTTCTCGTGTTTTAGACTTTATTTCCAAATCCCTGATGATTATATCACTTTCTTGAGAGTATAATAGCTTCATTTCTCTGTTAAAAGATCATCCTCTGGGAAAAAAATTCTTTTCGATGTTGATGATTGGCTTACAAATTCTTCTCTCTTTGACCTCCCTGACGTTCTTGTTTAGATCAACATTTTATAGAGCTCGAGATGGTTATCTAAGTAGATGAAGTACATGTCTTCTACAGATGTTCCCCCTGATCAAAAGCCTTTGGACTGGTACTCTAGAATGAAAATAGCGACTGGTGCTGCCAAAGGTCTGGAGTATTTGCACGACAATGCCAACCCACCAGTTATCTATCGTGATCTGAAGTCATCCAATATCTTACTTGATGGGGAATTCAACCCAAAGCTCTCTGATTTTGGACTGGCTAAGCTTGGTCCAGTTGGGGATAAAATAAATGATTCTTCGAGAGTGATGGGGACATACGGCTACTGTGCACCAGAGTATGCCCGAAATGGTCAGCTCACCCTGAAGTCGGATGTTTACAGCTTCGGAGTGGTCTTGCTGGAGCTAATTTCAGGGAGAAGAGTCATCGACACAACCAGGCCAACAAATGAGCAGAATCTGGTTGCCTGGGTATGGAATCTTCATGCTTTACAGTACCCTAATATTATCAAATCGATGTTTCTAGTTCCTTTTGGCTCATTAAATTAAGATAATAACGCCTTCTAAAGTGTTTTGGCCTGCAAAGCAGAGTACTTGTTTTTTATATATTTTTAAATAATGCTTAGCACGCATTTTTCGTCTAAATAAATAGCCACAGATCTTTGAGGTCAATATATATAATCAGTAAGCAAGAACCAAATTGTATTCCCGAATGCCTGGACACTTACTTCTTCTTTGCATTGTAAAGCACATGTTTCTCAATATCTATGTTTCACTAGAAAAAAATGTATATAATAAATATTAAGCATGAAGTAGTCCTTCTATGGCATTCACGTCATCTGATTACCAAATCCCTGTGGTCAGCCATCAAATAGTTTCCTCCTCAACCCTGGTAATCCCCCTCGCTAATTTTTTCAGGCACAACCCATGTTCAAAGACCAAATGAGATTTCCAGAGCTCGTCGACCCTTTCTTGAGGGGGAACTACCCGACGAAAGCGTTGAATCAGGCCGTTGCTGTCGCCGCCATGTGCCTCCAGGAAGAACCGATCGTCCGCCCGTTGATGACCGACGTTGTCATGGCTCTGGGCTTCCTTGTGGTCGCCCCTACCACTGAGGGCAGCTCGACTCCCTCCCGCGCTGAGACCCCGCCTCCAAAACAGGAAATGAATGCAGACAGAGCAATGCAGGAGAGTGAAATGGACCGCCAGCGGGCCGTTGCGGAGGCCATCGAATGGGGCTCAAACTCTCGAGGGAACCAACGATCATGGCGTGAGTCTGGCTCCTTGTGAAGAAAGTTCTCAGGTTGGTGCCGATTATACTTCCTTTTAATTCATTATTTACTGGGAATTTCTCTGAATCGGTGGGTGGGTTTCTGAGAAGGGCAAGCCATCTAATCTCCATTCCCTTTTTGGGCAAGTTGACGTTTATTACCCATCCCGTTGACCCCTCTTTTCTTGTCATGTTCAGCTAATCAGATCTACAAAACCCACGCCGGTGCTTTCCGATGCCTAATATCTCATTTTCTTGATCAGTTACTCCATTGTGGCGAAGAAGCATGCCAAGAAAAGAAAGAACATTCTTCGATCTACCCCAAGTTCTGAGGGCTAATCAGACCGCCAGCAGCATCAGTGGCCGTGGTGCTCTATCAAAGAGTGTGACTTGGTGGCCAGGTCCAAGGAGGAGCCCTTGGCGCCGCCTGGTGAAATCTCAGCTTGCTCCGGGGAACATCACTCCCATGCGGCCCACTTGCCTCTCCTTGGGCTCCCTCATCTCCACGTCTTCGGGAGAAGAGCTCGCAGTTGTTATCTGAAACGTGCTTTTAAAGACTGGCTCTTGGACGAGTTTTGGCAGCATGCTCTCAATAAGTACGTGATTTCTATGCGAGGGGATTCCGGAGAACCCATTGGCGCGCTTGATTTAGGGAAAACTCCCCATCTTTTGCTGAACTTTGGAAATAACCCTCGAAACAGAAAACAGTGGAGGGGAGACCAGACATTTCGGAAATAACTCAGATAATTCCGTTCTCAGCCCATGGGCTCAATTGCAGCAGAAGCCGATCTTGAAAGCAGGTGTGAGAAAAAAAGGTCAACTTCTACGTTCCATGCGTCTTAAAATGGTCAACTTTTGAGAAAAAATAATATTTAGCAGTAGAATTTGATATATAAAAAAGTGCCAATTTATTGGATTTTACTGATAAAAGGATAACAAAATTGGGCCGTATGAGACCACCTTGATATATTTTTAGGCCTTCTAAGACGCATTCTTTGGATTTTTTTTACTAAATAGTCAACATTTTCATTAAAAAAATATTTAGCAGTAGAATTTGATATATATATATATATATATATAAGAACCGCCATCGTATGGGATTTTATTGATAAATGGATTAAAAAATTGGGGCATATGAGGTCACCTTGATATCTTTTTAGGCCTTCTGAGACCCATTCTTTTGACTTTTTTTTCCCTTTCTCATCCAGCTTATTTGTAGATAAAAAAAATTATGGCCCTTTTCTAATTCTCATCACTATGACTATAATGATTCGGATCTCTAAATGGGCCCCTTTTTAGCAATTACGGCTGACTTTTAGTGCCCGCCAAACTCCTCGGAAAGTTTTAGTGCCCCCCAAATTATGGCCATTTTTATTCTACGCTTGCTGGTCTTCTATAAAACACGTGGCAGAAGCTAATTGGAAAGTTCTTGTAATGGAAGCCTGGGGTCCAACCAATAGATGCCCACCTGGATTGGGCCGGATTACGAGGCCCAAATGAGAGAAAAATGGGCTGGTCTGGTCTGCTGGGCCCGAGAGGCCCATGAATGACCAAGGAAGAATCGGAAAAGTGGGCTTTTAAAAGCGGAGAGAAAACTGGGCCAGGACAGGACGGGTCGGGTTTCGACTTACCAGGCCCATTAACGGCCCACCAAAGGAAGCGGGAAGAACTTACTCAGAAGGCCTTTCAGCGTGTTTGATAGTGCATTATTTGCAGGATTTCAGCAAAGGAGGGCGCTGCTCGCCCCTCTCAGCCATTCTTGAAGAGCTCCCTGCCGATGATCATCCTCCTGATCTCGCTCGTCCCCGCCCCGATCTCGAAAAGCTTCGCGTCCCTCAGTAGCCGGCCGGTCGGGTACTCGTTGACGTACCCGTTGCCCCCCAGGCACTGGATGGCCTGCCGACGACCAACCAGAAAAAGAAAGATCACATTTTTGGGAATTTTGGCTGAAATGGTCAACGGGTTCGGGGGAAAATATGCAGCTTTCGGATATCGTGGGTATGGATACTAGAATTGGAGGAACTCCGAGAAAAGTCAAACCTGAAGGGCGACCTGGGTGGCTCTTTCAGCGGCGTAGAGGATGACCCCGGCGCAGTCCTGCAGAGCATGTCAGTTGTGTGAGGATGACAGAAGTCAACGTCAAGCATTCCAGTTTCTGTTTATAACTAAAAGCCTCTTCACACATAAAATGGCTATTGATGTAGAGAGAGGGAGAGAGAGAGAGAGAGAGAGCATAAGAACAACAGAAAGATCAATTAAGGAAAAATAAAACACTAAATATGGAAAATTTTGATCACCTTGGGATCAATTTTTCCATGATCACAATCTCTCGCAACGGAGTAGACAAAGGCTCTGAGGAGACGAGCAGAAATCAGACGTCAACGGACTATTAATAGAAAAAAAAAAAAAAAAAACTCCACCTCGCCGACTGCAAGGAAGTGTACATGTCGGCCAGCTTTCCCTGCGTTTCAGTTTTGCCGTGAGCAGATCAATAAATGGAAACAAAAGGGTGCCGCCAATTACTTCTGCCGAAGACAAAACATATGAAAGTCAAACCTGCATCAGTTGAAACTCCCCGATTGCGCGGCCAAACTGTTCCCGCTGGCGGACATAAGGGATGGCCACATCGAGGCAAGCTTGCATGAGCCCGAGGGGGCCGGCGGCCAGCACCAGCCTTTCCAAGTCCAGCCCGGACATCATGACATAGACTCCTGAATGAACAGACATTGTGTAATGAATGATAGACTGAACCGAGAGCAAGCATCATGGTCAATACCGAGAGTTGACTTCCAGTTTCTCAGACGGGTTACAAACATATATGAGAAATATATAGATTTAATTTTTAAATCAACCACTAGAGAAACCTTCCAAGTCCTAAAGAGAAGATCACCCAGGATATTAATAGGTATCTTTATATAGTCAAAGGATTGGGGCTCCAAACATGATTTATTCTAATGATTGAGCATATCCATTTCGCCCGCATTTGGAAAATTTACACCACTGAATCTGCTCTCCGAGTTAATATGATTGTGGAATAATCATGGAGGTGATAGAATTTATACGGGAAAACCCTGCGAGTGGAGACAATACCTTTCCCTTCCTGCCCAAGAATATTTTCTTCAGGAACAAGGCAGTTATCAAAAATAAGCTCACATCTGTAAAAAAATAAAATAAAATAATTATTTTAATAAAATCATGAGACTGTGAGTCTCTTCTAGTTTAAAGATGGCATTCAAGATTATGGCCAAAACGAAGAATCAGAACATACGTGTCACTTCCACGCATCCCGAGCTTGTCTAATTTCTGTGCGGTACTGAACCTGAAATAGTATTTAACACTATCCATTAATTTTTCAATGAAAATACCTCGAATTAGGTCAAAAAAAAATGAAGCTTAAATTTAGACGAGCCTTTTTATTTGATCTGAAAACGTTACGGTTTCTTATTCACCATGATAATATTAAAAAAATGCAATAATAATATTACCTCAGCAACTAATGGATTTTACTAGTAAAAGAGAAATTTAAACAATAATCAAATGAAAAACATAGTAAAACTGATTTTCTGAAACCAGTACATGATAATAATCGGGAATAGTCTTTGAAGTTATAACTGTAAACTTAACGACATAATACAAACCCAGGCATTCCTTTCTCGATGATAAAAGCAGTAATTCCTTTTGATCCAGCTTTGAGATCTGTTTTTGCATATACTACCTGCCCACATTCAGCATATCAGAGGAAGAGTAGAAACTAAATTACTTTATTTTTACAATGAAAACAGTATTAGGAAACTCTTGAATCGTGAGAGGGTACCATAAGGAAACAGGAGAAAACTCTTGAGATTTGGTATAAAACCGTGGCATAATCCTCTAACAACGTTAAAGCATACAAAAACAGTGGCATGAAACAAGGTGGGACCAGGTTGTGAGCAAACTAGATCATGTCTCCAAAGGAGTTAGGTACCATGTCTTCAATGGCCTCAGAAAGCTGTTTGAACCCATAATAGGCTATTTTTCAAGGAAAATGGGTGCAGGAGAGTGCGAAAGCCAAAACAATTTTTATGCTTGGGTATAGATAATTAGAGTTAAGCCTGTGTACCCTTCAATAATAGACGAAATGCAATGATATTCTTCACTGATATAACACATGCACCGTGATGGTATCAATTGGTAAAAATAGCATTAAAACTGGAAAGATTCTTTGCATCGATTTTTTTTCTAGGAGTAAAAGAAGTTCTTGTTATACTATAATATGGGCCAAGAAGACTATAACTGCCTTTGAAATTCCTTATCAGAAGTAAATGTACGAAAGGAGTACAACAAAATCAAAGGATTGCATGAGAAAATAAGCACTAAAGAGACTACCAAGGTTTCGGCAATTGTTCCATTGGTGCACCACATCTTGTTTCCATTGATAACATAGCCACCATTGACGCGATCAGCTTTGCATCTCATGCTAACAACATCTGAGCCGGCTGGAACGCAAAAAGTATGTGGGTCCTCAGAATGAGATGGGATAAAATGGAAATTAAACCACGCTTCTTATCAATTTCCTTTAAAATACAATTTAAATCTTCAAAAATTACCATTCGGTTCGCTCATTGCCAATGCTCCTACATGATCCCCCGCAATAAGCTTCATAAAAAATCACATGTATTATATCAGAAGATAATAACGAAAAATGATGGAACATTAAAGTAGTGTTCCTCCATTTCGAGGGCAAGCGACTGTCTTCTATTTAGATGCTAAATATATGCGTTTTATAATAAGACTTAACGCATCAAGCAATAGCAGAAATTTAATTTCACGGTGGAAGCCCAAGAAATACATGAAAGGCAACAACAGTTTATCACTTGGTTTTTATATTCATTCGGGAAATTTCTTTAAGAGTGCTCCTTGTTTCTAACTATGACTGTTACTTTGTGTAATTCCTACAGAAGTTTATATATTTATATATACATCAAATTAACCAAAAAATAAGAAAAATAAGAAATCACACAACCACAATGTCACATTTTTCAACCAGAATTTTTCTTAAAAAGGAAAGCAAGAACTTGATTTTTGTCTGAAAATATACCGTAAAAAATTGCATATATATGGGGCAAAAAAGCGTAGTAAGATGGAAAATCCAATAATTATACGAGATGCCGACTTAAAATATGGACATGGAGGAAACCTTAGGCAAGTACTTCTGTTTCTGAGAGGGGTTTCCATGTCGCACCTATAAAGGAAAATGAAATGATTATCAACAAAAAAATTAAAGAAATCTAGGCAGTTAGAAGACATTTCACATATAATGAATGTCACGTACCAATTGATTGATGCATAGATTTGAGTGAGCACCGTAGGAAAGGCCAACAGCTCCAGAAGCTCTGCTAATTTCTTCCATTGCTATGCAGTGGTACAAATATCCAAGGCCAAGACCTCCATATTCCTCTGAAAGATACAAAATGTGGCAATGTTGTTTAGAACAATCAGCATTTTGAGGACGTAAAGCAGCCCAAGGGATTTAGATAACTACAGGAAAACAAAGAACGAAATCGGAAATAAATAATGGCAATAGAAGGAAAAGTTAAATTTAATAAAGAGCACAAATCTAATTCACGCACATGGGATGGTTGACACTATCACCACGTCATCTCTTGACAACGTGGTTAAGAAGTTTTAAATCTCGACCACTTGCAAATATTCGCTCACTTCGTGATCAAGTATTTCTTTCCTGATGGACGGATATAACATAAATTTGCATGAAACCGATCTTCTAAACTAGCTATATTCTTATGCAAAATTTCCACCCTTTTCACAACGATCACCTGCATTCCTCCAAATTAGTTTTAAATTTTCATCACAAAAGAAATAGACCATTCAATACATCAGAATAAGTACGAGGAAACCAGGACTCCATGAAGAAACAACGAAGTTGTCTATACATTTCTATTTAAAATAGTTTTATACCTGGTGCTGTAACCCCGTGCAGATTGAAATCACCCATGAGCTTCCACAAGTTGACATCCTATCACAAATAATGAATAATTCTCAGTCTAGCACGACTAAATGAAATTGCCAAAGAACCGGGACGGCAGGATTTTATGCTGACCTTTGGAAAATTGTTCGTAGCATCCACCTTCGCGGCATGGGGGGCAATGCTTTCTTGCGCAAATTGAGCGACACTCTCCTTAAACTGTTAGCGTTTTGCCACATACAAATGCGTTATACGCCGAGTATTAGAAGAATGGAACACAAGAAATCCACGAACGGGAATGCACTCTCGAGAAAAAAGGATTTAGACAACGCATAATCAACTAAAGAAGAGAGGATATCACAATCTATCCGCTCAGAGTGGAAGGATCGGAGTGGAACCTCGAGACGTGAAAGGGAAAAGAGGAGCAACTCACCTGTTCCTGGGTGTCGTCAAAGAGGAGGGAAGTGGAGAACCGAGCGACCAGCCCCTGTCTCCGCAAAGCGGAGCCGAGATACCTTGCAGCTGCCACCCTCTGCATGCTCTGCTGCTCTCCTGCTCGATTTGGTTGGGGCGGGGTTAAGAAAAATGATGGAACCCGCTGCTCGACTGGAGTTCGTCGACGAGCTCCTCGCCAAAGGAGAGGTTCGCCTTGGTTCCCCGTGGGAATTGGCCAACCATACCAGCCCCCCGCCGAGGTTATCGGAACCAAATGACGTGTAATCGCGATGCCATCCAAATCCCCGTCAACCCGGAGTCAAAACCTTCTGCGAGAACAACCCACACGGCTCCTTCTGCGGAGAAGAAGACAGAAGGAATGACCACCATCTACGTCTACCAATTCCGTAGCCACCTCTTACTTCCTCCCTCCTCCGCAGGCAAAACCAGAGATCCTCAGAAGAATGAAGCTTCCCTTGAGGATCGTCCCGCCGAGCTCCGGCGATCCTCGGCGTCTCCTCCGTCCGATCCGCTGCTGACCGTCGACGCCAAAATCTACTGCTAATTAACAAACTAATTATATATATATTTTAATTATATTCTTAATTTTTAAACAATTAAAATATAAATTGCCAACTGGCCTGACAAGGCTCCAAGGGCCCATCTCGATCTGGCCCATCATAGCCCATCTTAAAATAATAATCATTTATTTAAGAACGGGCCGGATAAAAAAGAATTTCAGTAAAATTACTTTATTATTTTATTTCAGGAGTAATTAGCGCAGGCACCGAATCGGAGCGAACAGATTTCACAAGCACGCGGATCTCAACGATCAACTCAGCTTTCCAAGATCAGAAGCGTCGGTTTAGAATCGCTTCCTGGACAAGCTGACGGTGCGGGGTCAACGAGCTTCCTGCGACCTACCCTCCTCACCGAAACGTGGCCATAAGTCAACAGAGCCCCCCATTTGAGATGTAACTGCAAGACGGGCAACGTCAACGCTACTGACCAAGGATTCTCCATTTTTTTCCAGCACAAGTCAGCGATTAAGCATCCCAAGCCCAACGAGCTTCCTGCGGCCTACCCTCCTCACCGAAACGCGGCTATAAGTCACCAGACACCCATTAGAGATTTACTGCAAGGTGGGCAACGTCAACGCAGCTGACCGAGGATCCTCCATTTTTTCCAGCACAAGTCAGCGCTTAAGGAAGCCCACTGAACTGGCCAAAAGAAAGGAAAAAGGGGGGGGGGGGATTAAAAAAGAAGTCTTTCTATGTTCGTCGGAGGAGGTTGACTCTGGCCAGGAGGAGAAAGATTTCCTCATAAGGGAAAAGTGAAGGCTTTCCTACTCTCCTGGGGCAGAGACACCTTGCTTGAGCCTCTCCTTCCTCATCTTCTTCTTGGAGACGGGCTTCTTCTTCTTTTGGGGGAGATTCTTCTGGGCATACACATAGAGGACATAGTTTCCTACGAAGAAGACCAGGAGCAGCCCCACGAAGACCACGAGCACTATCACGGCAGGGTTTAGACCCCTTGCTGCCTCCTCCCTAATCACATTTCCCTGTTAATTAATCATGCTCATAAAGTCAGACATCCCTCAATTAAAATCAAAAGGAAGGAATGAAGGAACTTAAAGAGAGAGAGAGAGAGAGAGAGAGAGAGAGAGAGAGAGAGAGAGAGAGAGAGAGAGAGAGAGAAACCATGACTGACAAGAGAATTGACCATATCCGTTGGATGCGAAGAGGATTAGGGTCCATTTAGAAGATGGGTAAGTGCACAGCTTTGCATGAATACAGTGATTTAATTTTCCCGTCATTGGATGTGGATGTAAGGTGCTAAAAAGCTGGAACAATTCTACTTCTGTTCAAGAAAGAACAGATTTTATGACAAACATGAAGAGAGATAGAAGAGCAGGTTTTAGCTATGATGTGGATAGGATGAAGCTTTACCCATTTTAGAATATACTCGAATAAAATAAAATGTAGGTGTGGTAGGTATCTCTTCCGAGGTGCTCATAAAGAACTTGCATAAATAATACAAGATCATTCAAATAGAAGCTAAAAATCAGCCTCAAGATCAGGGAAAAATGGGTATTGTGTACCTAACACTTTTGGAATGGCATTCGAGACATCAAAGTTGGATCATTTTACTGTCATTTGATGTGGATGTAAGGTCCTAAAAAGCTGGAACATTCTCCTTCTGTCCAAGAAAGAACAGATTCTATGACAAACATGAAAAGAGATTGAAGGGCAAATAGGATGAAGCTTCACCCATTTTAGAATACACTCGAATAAAATAAAATGTAGGCTGTGTGGTAAGTATCCTCCGAGGTGCTCATAAAGAACTTGCATAAATAATACAAGATCTTTTACATGGAAGCTAATGATCAGCCTCAAGATCAGGCAAAAAGGGGTAATATGTGCCGACCACTTTTAGAATGGCATTTGAGACATCAAAGTTGTTCACAAGTTTTAGAGCCTGGTCAAAAAGGTAATAATTTGAATTTATCAAAGTTCTGGGATAATAAGTATCATCACCAAGAATCCCTCGAGGAGCGATTTATAACCATGGGAGGGAAAAGAAAATTTTCAATATTTAGGTGCCATGTCAGCGTCCAGATTTTTTTGATGCGTATATTCACTGGATCCCACTAACGAAGATCAAGGTCTGATGTCAGTGGCACACTCTCAGTCCACATAGGTTCTTAAAGTTCTGTCTTCTACATTACAAAGACGGTAGAGGGCAGGCCACCTGAAAAAAGGCACGCCTTTAGGCAGATTTCATTCTCTCCTGTGATCAGAGAACTGAAATAAGTCCTCAGAAGGGAATCAGTGTTCATACACGGGTTTTTCTGATAATCCGAAAACTGACCCCCAGATTTTTCAGAGAAAAAAGGGTAATAAATAGACTATTAGAACAGAATCCTGGTCTAATTGAACTAAATTAGTAATTAGTTGTCAAGAGATCATATGATCCACGAAATGGACTTCTTTGTACGGTATGGACGAGAAGGTTATTAGTACACAAAAGGAGGGGCAAAGAGGTATCCACTATCAACCAATGAAGAAAATAATTGTCGAAGCATGCATATCATCTCAAATGGAGACGCATGCGTACCCTGACCTTTATAAATCAAGCATGGAACCCGTCTTCCCCCCCCCCTTCCTAGTACAATTTTTTTCACCTTGATTACGTGCGAGAAATAACTCCAATCTGCACTCTGCCCCAAGACGAGTGGAAACCAGGTAAGAATGTCAAATCATAGAAATTATACACGTGCTTCTCATCTGAAGAATCTCTGGCATTAGTATTATGATTCACTGATGAAACTCTGAGACTGCGTCATATTCTTCTCCAAACAGTTAGTACTTTATGCAAAAATGTTCATAATGAGGTTAAGGAAGAAGGCGAACGGCCAAACTTTTATGTTTTTAAAGAGTCCCCACAGCGTACCTGATTTCTTGCAGTAAGTGCAATCTCTGCCAAGATGGATTTCAAATCCTCCATACATTCATTTGATCTAGCATATGATTTAAAAAAGGAACAGACCTGATGGTTTCAAGCTAAACATTTATAGAGGAGACGGATGTCTCTCTCATTTCTCTTTCTAAATCCAGAAACCCATCCAAAATCAAATTTTCAACTATGAAATTTTCACTATAAAAGCCTAATGAAACTCATTCAAAGGATCTAAAACCCAGCCTGGCCTGAAGGTTGGATACGAAAGTCAATGACTGACCCGATTAAAGAATTAAAGATTTATACATTTAAACAACCGAAATCATTCACTGATGACAGTTTGCATGCGTGTGCATGTATACAAGAGATCACTTGTGAGGGATCGAAGAAGGAAAAGAAAGAGGATCTGGACCAATTTTCTTCATCCGTGCCTCCTGTCTAGGACAATTAAATATCGTCAGCTAGCGACTTATATGCTTAAGGCAAAACAATAAGAGAGGAAAACTTGGAACTCTTGGTCACCTTTCCCACAAGGGTCCACACGCAGGGGACGGAGATGGGAAGGGAGAGGAAGGGCGAACAAACCAGGAGTCGTCCATTCGGAGAAAACAATACTCAGATTCAAACCCAGCTCACAGATCCGGAGATGAGATCCAAGAAAGATATACCCTTCGGATCAAATTCACGGTTTGATTCAGACATCTAGCGACAGAGAGAGAGAGAGAGGAAAAATGGAATACCTCGCCGTATACCTTTTTATCCATGGCGGAAAGCCGATCCCGAACCTTGTCTGCTTTGCTGCAACCATCAATTAAAACCAATTGAAACTGCGTCAGCAGAGAGCATCAACCACAAAAATTCTACACCTGGTCGCTTCTCGAATCAAACAATACAGAACTAAGATCTACCCCTTACAGATCAAACAATGCCAGATGAGGGACAAATAGCGATAGAGAGAGAGCGACAGCAAGAGAGAGAGACACAGAGAGAGAGAGAGAGAGAGAAAGAGAGGGAGGGCGGGGGGAGAAACAGGATTACCTAGACCGCCTCTAGAGATTTTGCATCAGTCATAGACAATTGTAACCGCACCACACCCCGTTTTTATTCTCTCTCCTACGCAGAACAGTTTCCGTGTCGACACTACAAACTCGCTGCCCCGCAGTGAGAATCAAAAACGGACGGCGGATGATAACTCCTCCCACCGTCAACGGTCCGATCCGACCCGGTCTGTTCTACACGGCGGATGCTGTTTCTCGAGACTCGGGGCCACACGGCGTTCTCCCCACTTACTGCCCCCACCTCCAAATCTCCGATCCATTTCTCACCGAGGCACGTGACTCGTGTGATCTCACGTGTCAGGAGACACGTGCCATCTTAGCTGCTCTACATCGCTCAACCGATAAGGAAGAGGCGTAAGGTGGATGGGCCCCACATGATATACCACGTGGCGATGGCCAATAATATCAGTTAATGATCTGTCAGGGACATTAATTAGGTAAGATCTTGATCAAGAGCCCGTTATTAGTCTAATTTTCCATTTTTTGAGGAATATTAGACGGCATTAAAATAAAAACTTCCGATATGGGCCAAAACCGTAGAATTGGGATGGCAGGAGCTACTCGAAGGGAATTCAAGGTCCAGCCCAGTAGAAACCCGATGGGGATGATGACGTGGCGCGGTTTTGTTGGTTAAGGTTACGTGTTCAGTGGGGCCCAGCAGGCCAAGTAAGCGGCGGGACCTATAGGCGAGGAGGGAAGCCTTGTGTGCCATCATCGTCTTGTCGAGAACGAAGAGGAGAGGGGAAGGAGAGGAAGATGGAGGTGGCGATCTCAGCAGGAGGGCGCCTGGTGGCCATAGCTCCCCTCCTCTTCCTCTTCCAGCTGCTTCCCGCCTTCTTGCAGCTCCCACTGGTGTCCGGCGTCGGTACGTCTCGCGGTTTTTTGTTAGTATGTTTGAACTGATCGTGGGGAATTCGATTTTCGTTTGCCGGGTGGAGATCTTACAGGTGTGGGATCGGTTTTTTTAATGATATACGATGGTTTGGGGGCTTAGGGCTGCGGCTAGATTGGCCTTCATCTACGATGGCCATTGTTGATGATGTCTCGTTCCTGGAAATTCCTCTTTAGAGTGTTAACTGATGCGAAAGGTGACCTAGTTCGTAAGGGGGCGTAATGCAGTTATATAGGAAAGCATCTGGTTTGGGGTTGATATTTTAAATAACCTGATAACCTTTTTTTTTTGCGTGGACTATGAGTCGTGGAGGACTCTCTTTTTTCTCTTCATGTTCTGTCATGACGGAATGACTCCTTTTTCATGATCTGTGGTTGATCATGATTCGAGTGATCATACAATTTAGTGTATTGTGAGAGATTTTTTTTTAAAACTCTCCTTTTTGTCCTTGCTTTACTTCCTTTCCTTCCTTTAGGTTTAAGAACTTCTGGAAATGTGAAATAGTGAATGAAGTCTTCATTTCCACATAGTTCTGTGGCTTTATCATGCAGAGGTCATGTGACAACCTGCATGACAAATGATTACATTAGACTCTGGCTGAAATCGAACTTTGTCTACGACCGAGAGTTAGGAGTAAAATTAACTTTTGAGTGAAACTTAGGAGAAGCCTTAGGAAAGTGCTCTACATTGACTAAATTAACAGTTTGACTAACCTTTTCTTTTGTCACTTATGGTTCTTGTGTAAATGGTATATTAGAGACCTCCATTCATATGCACGACTCTTTTTCACTGTTTATCCTGAACAATTAGTCATTTATTTTAGTAGACTACATCTCAAGTTTGTAAATTTCGGAAAAAGAATGTTTGCTGTAGGACACGACAGTTATTACTTTGATGAGAATTTATGTCCTGAGAATTAATTTATGATAATCTTGCAGATGCCAATGATAGAGACGCCTCTACTTTACTAAAATTGGCATCAGAAAATGTCAAGTTGGGGCAGTACAGTGAAGCTCTTGAGAACCTCAATGCTGCTATAGATAAGAAGCCAGAGTTTTCTGAAGCCTATCAAGACCGTGGGCATGTCCTTCGGCAGTTATGCAGGTACTTCATTTATGTTGGCTGATCTCAACAATATATGACCGATCTCATTTGTCTCTGTCAACCCGATACAGGTTATGTGTCTGATCTCCACAATATATGGATCCAAGTTCTTGATTCAATCCCAAGTCTCTCCAGACACTTCGATCCATATAAACATTCAGTTCCAAACTTTAACCCAAAATATTTGGAATGAAGAAAAACATCAGGCAGTGGTCCCTTGCGTAGGCTACCAGCTGTGTGGGGTTAGAGATGCAGTCGTGCAAAGGTTGGATTGGTGACTAAATTTGAGAGGCTTGGGTTGGAAGATAGATAAAAATAAATCATTATTTACAGGAGAAAGAGGGGCAGATAGAGGCTCTCAAATGGGTTGCACATGGGTCAGGCAACAATTGGGCTGAATTCAGAAGTGGCAAACATACCACCACTGTTTTCCTATTCCACGAGTCACTTTCGTTGATTGAACCGTGGACAGAACGTTTGTCTGTCTCACGAGTCTGTCATATTACGCCTCCTTGTCAGAAAGGACATCGAGCCTTGCTTTAGAGGAATGATATTGCTGATTTCCTTATAGATGCACGGTTTCCATGTGCAGTCATTAAGTACGGCATAATTGATTGACATTTATTGACTAAGTAAATCGATCCATTTTCTTTTGGTCCAAGAAGACAATAGGACTAGAAACACTATACTTCAACTTATCATCTGAATAAATTTTTGTTGTTGATGTAGATTTGAGGAATCAGAGAAAAACTACAAAAGGTTTCTTGAACTAAAGCCAGGAAGTTCATCAGTTGAAAAGGAGCTGTCTCAGTTGTTACAGGCCCAAAGTGCATGGGATTCGGCATCTGCACTTTATGATTCGGGTGATTATTCAAGGGCCCTGGATCATATTGAAAAGGTCGTTCTTGTTTTTTCGCCTGGTTGTTTAAAGGTATGCTTATAGATCATCAGTACTTTCCAAACTTATTTATTCAATGGTTTTTTAAGTGATTATTATTCATTGTAAAAAAATGGGGGATTTTATTGTTCTATGTTTCATTGCAGGCAAAACATCTTAAAGTGAAGCTATTATTGGCTCTAAAAGACTACTCTAGTGCTATATCGGAGACTGGTTATATACTCAAAGAAGATGATAGTGATTTGGAAGCACTGCTACTACGTGGGCGTGCCTACTACTATTTAGCTGATCATGAAATTGCCATGAGGTTTGTTTACTTTTTTGCAAGCTAAGTTGATTCGATGTCTTTCCCCTCTAACCATGAGGATTTTGATTTTTCTGTCGGTTTGCTTATAATTTAAATCATACTGGTCCTTTATACTATGGCCTGGTTAGTATTTGGTGAAAATAATGGAGGGTGCCAGGGTTTCTGTAGGGGATAATGTTCCCTAACGTTTAAAAGTGTGTTTGTTAACAATTATGGTCTTCAACCAGGCACTACCAGAAAGGTCTACGCCTTGACCCTGAACATAGTGAATTGAAGAAAGCATACTTTGGTTTGAAAAATCTACTAAAGAAGACGAAGAGTGTAAGTGTTGATTTACTTCAGGCTCATATGCAAAGAATAGTATCGTGCTTGTAGAGTTTACTTGCCTGCTTGTTTGAGCATATTGTATTTTTTGCAGGCAGAAGACAATTCTGAGAGGGGAAAGCTGCGTGTGTCAGTCGAAGAGTATAAAGCAGCCCTTGCCGTGGACCACAATCATCTGGCACACAATGTGGGTCTTTATCTAGGCTTGTGTAAGGTATTGGTTAAACTCGGAAGAGGAAAAGATGCTATCAGCAGTTGCACAGAAGCACTTGAGATCGATGGAGAGCTTGTTGAGGCATTAGTCCAGGTTCCGCTCTGCTCCCTTTTTCCTTTTTGTGGTACAAGACCTATATATGCATCTGTATGTCTGTATCTCTCTGCTTTCGGTCTGTTCAGAGATATTTACTGGGAACGGACTTTTAATGCTGTTGAGTATATGTACGTTTATATCTTAAATGTTAGTATGGCAGAAAATTCGCTGAAGAAAAGAAGAACTTAAGGTTAACCTTTCTTTCCTCCTCCAGCACACGTGTGGCCCTGATGCCTTGTGGTTGTTTATTGTTTGCGGTAAATTGTGTATGCATTGTTGTGTTAATGGGTGTTTAGGGGGGAAATAGAAGGATCTAGAAGGGGAATCACACAAATGTGAGGAAAATAAAAAGAATATTTTGATTTGGTTTTCAATGCGTATGATTCTGCATATCTTTTCCATGCATAATGAGTTCAACAATTTCGATTGGCCTATTTTCTTTATATTTTTTTGTCAAATTAAATTTTTCATAGATAAGATTCTCAAACTGATCTCTTAACATGGTCGATATGTCTATGGAACACAGGCTGAAGAACAATCTGTACTCTTTTTTTCATTTATTTTGTTAACTAGTAGTATTTTCCCATTAAAAAGATTTATATGAATTTACCGATAGTTGTTGAACCCTCTTATCTTAATGTAACACTGCAATTGGTTTGTATTGTCCAAGCTTTTCCATAATTATGCTGGAAGAGCACTTATCCCTTTGCTTACGACGAATATTGCCTCACTTTTTATCATCTGACTGTCTGTGTTTCACCTTCACAGCGAGGTGAGGCCAAGCTTTTAACGGAAGATTGGGAAGGGGCTGTGAGTGATCTGAAGGAAGCCTCTCAAAAGTCTCCTCAGGTTAGTGACGACCGTTCATGTTTTATATGTGCAGATTATGTTCTCTTCAACAACGGTCTGTGTATTGCTTCGGACTACTGAAGACGATATACTACGAATTCATTGATCACTAATCATTTAGGTTTCATGTTTCTTTTGACTTACTCATTATGCGCCTTGCTTTTGGTGGTTACGTCACTTCTTCAGGAATACTTAATACAGCAAGATGAGGGCTGTAATGTAGAAAACATTATCCCAATTTTATTAATCTGATGTAATTAATCCAAATATAGTACCCAGCTGAGAACGATTGTGAGCTGTTAGACAGAATTCTGTATTTTTTTTCCTTGATGCATCTGAATCCTGCACCATGTAAGAAAACATTATTTGAATGATCCCAACTTTATTTATCTGGTGTAATTAATTCAAATATAATACCCAGTTGAGAACGATTGTGAGGCTGAATCCTGCACCATTTAAGAAAACATTATCTTCTTTTGGTTGGATGAAATATGCGATTTTGTTATTTCTTAGGACATGAACATTCGCGAAGCGTTGATGAGAGCCGAAAGATCATTGAAGATGAGTCAGCGCAAGGACTGGTACAAGATACTGGGGATCTCTAGGACTGCTTCTATCGCCGAGATCAAACGTGCTTACAAGAAGCTGGCCCTGCAGTGGCACCCGGACAAGAACGTCGACAACAGAGAGGAAGCAGAAGCCAAGTTTCGAGAAATTGCTGCAGCCTATGAGGTGAATCTCCTACTTACTATGGGCTCCATCCACATTGCCTTTCTGTTTCCTACGATTTCATGCTCTCTGCTTGGTCTACTGCTCACTCTCAAGCTCGTTTTCTAAGTTAGCATCTAGCTACCCATCTCCACATTTCCATAAATGATAGCACTCTGAAGTATCGAGGTTCAAAGGCTGGGTTTTTTTTTTATCCCTAAATTTAGTTAACTCTACGTATCTAATTGACAGAGACAGACATGAGTTCCTCCCCCTCTCACAAATAAGGGCAGATAGAGAGAGAGAGAGAGAGAGAGAGAGAGAGAGAGAGAGAGAGAGAGACAGACAGACAGACAGACAGACAGAGGCAGACAGAGAGGGGAACTTATGTCTATCTACCTACATGTGTAATGGACAGATCGACAGCTAAAAGGACTACTCTTGCAACTGTGTAGAGAGAGAGAGAGAGACAGACAGACAGACAGAGGGGAACTTATGTCTATCTACCTACATGTATAATGGACAGATAGACAGCTGAAAGGACTACTCTTGCAACTTTGTAGAGAGAGAGAGAGGAGAGACAGACAGACAGACAGACGCAGGGGAACTTATGTCTATCTACCTACATGTGTAATGGGCAGATAGACAGCGTTGACCTCCCTCAAACAATCTCTTGCAACTGTAGAGAGAGAGAGAGAGAGAGAGAGAGAGAGAGAGAGAGAGGGAGAGAGAGAGGGAGAGATGTTGCCTGATATGAATGACTGATGCCTGAAATCTTCATGTGTAGGTGCTTGGAGATGAAGAGAAACGGGTGAGATACGACAGAGGAGAAGACGTCGATGAGATGGGCATGGGAGGGGGAGGGGCCGGGTTCAACCCTTTCGGAGGCGGCCAACCCTTCACCTTCCACTTTGAGGGGGGCTTCCCCGGTGGCTTCGGGTTCAACTTCTGACCTAACTCCAGCAAAAAGAATACTAACCTCCGGACAGCTGCAACGCCCCTCTCTCATCTGGGATTCAAGCAAGTCTCACGCCCAACGGCCCGTTGCTAAAAGATGAACGGTCCAGATCGCAAAGACACCGCAAAAGAACGGCCGACGATCCCCACCCGTCACCGGCCAAGACACCCAGAGGATGGCTCACCGTACTTCAGTGAGAGCCTTGCTCAGCAATACCCTCGTCTTCTTCTTCTTCTTCTTCTTCAGCCCCCTTCGTTCTCACCATTTTTAGTAAAAATTCATCGTCTGCATGGATCACCGTTCCATCAGAAGCTCCAATAACATTGATTAATTTAGTTTGATGAAAATGCTCGAGCTTCCCCGGCAGAATCTTCTGGTCAGCTATGCTTAAAAGCTGTGGAGGCTGTTCATGTGGGTCAACGTCGTTGCTTCCCAGGTTTCGGGAGTCTCAATGTGAGCGGTGAGTGCAGTTCCAGCAAACGAGCAGATGGGTTCTTCTTCTTCTTCTTCTTCTTCCCCCTCCCCCCTCAGTTCTCGGCCGGGCTTTCAAGGACGGACACCGTCGGCGGATCCGCCGCCGCCGTCGTCTCGAGTTTCAGCTTGGACTTCCCTCCCGAGTTGACTCCTGCGTCTACCCATCGAATAAGCCGATACACGATCGATGACCTCCAAGCGTTGACTTTAGATTACAGGTTCATATATAAGCCGATAATCAATCATCGAATAAAGTTCGAGCAGATATTTCAAATAAAGTTTTTCTTTTAATCCATCGAACTTAGGTAAAATAATCAATCATCGAGGACGAACTTTCGACAGATTTGTCGACCATGCAACGATCGACTGGCTATGATTCTACGTGGGTCGATTATGCTTTTCTCAAAATCGCGAACAAATGGCCAAATCATGCCAAGAACGGAAGAACTTCGATAATATATACCAGATCATCTTTTAAATTCCTCAAACTTCTGCATAATATTGTTCAAGGATCGATGTCTGCGGGGATTCATCAGTGATGCAGGAGCGGATCGAGGGGGCTATTATTTCCAAGAATTACATACAAGAACACACACACACACACACAGAGGGAGAGATTAGTCAACGCTGGAGCTCGCCGCATTCTTCCGGCAGCCGTCATGGGAGAAAGGGACGGCGGGTTCATCGTCAGTCAAAGGTTGCAGAGCCCTGATCTTGATCTTGTACTTCCCATGGACGGCGGCGCCGGAGCTTTCCGAGGCGGCGCAACTCGGGTCGTCCTCTTCGTAAGCGACGCCGACGAGGTTCCCACACTTCTGGCAGAGGAGCTTCGTCCGCCGCCGGAAGATCCCCCACGTGCGTTTAGAGATGAAGTAAGGGACGCATCGGCATTCCTCCTTCTTCGAGAACCTGCTCTCGTCAATGGCGAGGAAGGAGATGACGCCCTTCTTGATCGCCTTGCCGTACTTGGAGCCGAAGTTGGACGTGTTCCTGTTCGAGGAGCTCAGATTCAGTTTGTATCCGCACGATCCGCAGCTGCAATGCAGTCCATAGAAGGTTGTGAATCCCTCGAAAAGGCAAACATTCAGAGACCAATGGCGCACAGAATTGAAAGATCTTTATTCAAATCGAGATGATTGATGACTCTCCCCGTGTTGCGCATGGGATGATATGATTCTTGCATCCTCTTCAGGGGTTCGGAGACCTTGGAAGAAGAGAATGGAGCATAAGGTGAACGATTTTTATTGGTTTGATGTCAGATGCGTCAGAAAAGGGAGGAGCTTTGTTCTAGGGTTCTTATGGTCGGCCTGTTGAAGGCGAGAGTGGTGGAGCATCTTCGGAGAACCTCTTCTCTGGATTTCTAGCTCTCCGGTAATTTCGCTAGAACAGCAGAGAGATCATGTTTCTCGGATATAGAAATTAGGTCTCAAAGATGCACCAGGCCGATCATCTGGCATCCCACGTCCGAACTTCGGATTGGACGCCGGTAATTGCGCTATTCTTGATCAATCTGCTTAGAGCAATCTTCTCAAAGATCCAATCACCCGAGGTATAGGACCACTAGCATCTCCATATTCCAAGGAGACAGACAGCAGATCATCGTCATTATCAGAGTTCCTCCTCCTGAGAAGAAGAAGAAGAAGAAGAAGAAGGAATTGGAAAGGAAGAACGACAAATCCAGGCCCTACTACTCCATGATCGAGGGTTTGTGATGGAATACTGACAGGGGCCTTCCATCAGTTTGCCGCGGTAAGGAGTGCTCATTTCAATGCCTAAATTGAAAATTTTCGCTAGGGTTCGATCCCCCCCCCTCCCACCTCGAGTCCCTCCGATCAAAATCCCGTAGTTGAGGAAATCCTCTTCGCGATTTTTCCGCTCGTGGAAGGAATTTCAAAGCGGAACCCCAATAAAACAAGCACGGGAGGGAGATGAACAGCACGGAAGAAGGCAGAAGTAGAGAGCCCGTGGCAGGCAACCTGTAGGAAACTTCTCTCCACGAAGAGAAAAGGCTGCGCTTCGTCACCCCCGCCGCCGCCGCCGTCGTCGTCGTCGTCGTCATCGCCGTCCCCGGCGCCTCCGCGAGGCGGCTGTCGCCGTGTTCGATGAACATCGGATACGCGATCGCGCAGAGAGAGAGAGATACAGAGACTGAAAGATAGAAATAGAGAGAGAGAGAAAGAAAGAGAGAGACAGAGAGACAGAAACAGAGGAACAGAGAGAAACACAGAGAGAGAGAGAGCTGTACGTGGTCGTCGAGGAGGAATTCTGCGTTCCCCAGACGGACGTAGGAAGGAAGTTGAGAAAATGGCAACGGAGGTAATTTCCGGGTTGGCGGGCCCCCGCAAAGGAATCCTTTCGGTTTCTGACCGCGGCCATCGCCACAACACATTCAGTGCTGAGTCGGCGCCGACTCAGATCTTGTAGCGGCTGCCCGAGAACCGTTGTCAAACGGTCACCGGGCTGGATCCCGTCACCTCCTTCTCTTCTCCACCTCTCTCTAAAGAGTGCGGACAACTCATCTCTCTCAAAAGCTGGCTTCCAGGTGCCATCAACGCGGCGCGTTGCGCCACAAGTGGCGGCGGGTCAATGAGCGAACCAGATGAGCCGAAGCGGGGCCCGCTTTGTAAGGCCCCTACAAATGGGCTGCTCTATACGGTCCTTGAGCCCATAGAAATATCTCACTGACCGTCTTAACCTTCACAAAAAGGGACTAAAAAACAGATCACTATATCTATTTATTAAATAAAATCGTTTCATTTATAAGATGTCCGAAGCCCCAAGAAGAAAATTAGGCCCCGGCTGGGCCAGAGCACTAGATACCGACATGGAAACCTAGGAGACTTGAGACACCGGCCCAGTACCAAAACAGGCCCATGGGCTGGGCCCGTAAAGTTAGGATGTACCGGTCCAGCCACAAAAATACTTAGCCATTAGCTAGAAATGGCTAAGTTCATAGCTTTACTAAAAAATTGACACTTTCCTACAGGGTTGTTAAAAGCGGCATTCATAGCTGAAACGTCTGGGCTTCCGTTGACTTACGTTCACAAAACCTTGGTACATCCATCTTAGGGAATTAGTTGCCCTTACAACTCTCGCCGATAAATTTAGCGACGCTTCCATACTGTCTATGTGTTGACTCTCTGATATCTGGGAAGAAGGCGCTGACTCTTCCCCAGTTCGTTGACCCTCGTAAAACATGACAAGTACACCTGCGCCAGTGGTCTCGTCTGTGTGCGCAAGGAAATTGTACTAAAAAAGAGACTTGCCATGGGAATCAATCGGATGATCTTCACCGAACCTTCCTCAGTTGGAAACTGTAGGTTCTTGAGCTGTGATTGTTGTCTCAGTCGTCCCTCCGTCTGCGCTCGAGTTGTCCCTTTCTGGGGGTTGACTTTGATATGTCGGTGGCGGTGCCTGGAGGGGAGGAGGCGGAGGAAGCGGAGGATCAGATACGAGCCCCAGCACTGCCAGCGTAGGCCTGAAACACCAAGTACAGAAGTCAACGTCGATTCTTAGACCAAGCACCCAGGCGACCAAATAGTCGGTTTCCCACATCTAGCTTCCTATTACGAGCGTCCAGAAGACCAAAAAGAAAAGTCAACGACGATTTCCCTCATCAAACTTCTCCGATAGACTACCCAGATGGCCAAGTTGTGAAGTCAGCGTTGACATCCCTCAGTAATTTCCTTACAACGGAGACGTCAAGGTTTTTAGCTCACCCTCATTCAGGCCCTCGTTCAAACCTGACCCCCCGAGTCCAAAGACAAGTCCAGGAGAGTGCCACCCATTCAACCTCACATGAGCGTCAGAAAGAAATATCTAAAAGTCAACGAGCAAACCTGGGCAACGTTGACCGGATGTTGGGTTGACCGGCGTGCTCCACCAAGGGAGACTTAAGCGCAGGGTTTCTGATCAGGGCATTCTCAAGTTGTGCCGCGGGCAACTGAAAGCACAAAAGAGCACAAGTTCCAATCTACAGTCAAAAACTACAATGATCAAATAAAATCAAGAACTTGTGACCGAAAAAAGAAAAAAAGAAAGAAAGAGGCCATGACAGTCGGACCAAAAGTAATTTTTCAAACAAAAAATATAATTTAAAATGCAGAAAAATCACATATTAAATCTATGAAGTTGACTATATCTGATTTCACACAGCTATTCGGGCAGTAAACCAACTTGTTTTGACTTGTTAGGTTCCATCAAGTACATAAGGCATAAGGTGAGCAGTAACCGAGAAAAAAGTTTCCCTGTGGTGAGAAGATCCTGGAGATTTTGTTAACAAGCGAAAAAGCATATGAGAGTCCAGATTCAATCAGTCTGCCGAGTCAACTCAATTATTCGGAGGGGGGAGAAAAACCAAAATCTAGAAAAAAAAAAAAAAATTGGAAGTGAAAAAGTCACCAAGTTTTTTCCACTAAAATTTTGCTAGAACCATGATCAAAGAATTACATCTCTTAAAAATATAGCCTCCGGATCTACTTTGGATTCCCATCATTTAATGCTACGTCAAACAACACAGGATTAGACTGTAACTGCGAATTCCATATTCAAATACCATTTTAAAAAATACTCTAGGTTTTTCAGTTCATGTAAAATAGCATTGGACAAGAATGTTACCGATAAATGCACAATAAATATCATTAAAAATGAACTTTTATAAAAAAAAAAATCCAATTTCTCATCAGAAATACGTTCTCAGCATCATGCCATTTCAATTCTGGAAATAAATAAATAAATTATTAAACCTCCACCATTCAAGAATGTCTACAATGAAAGGCTCCCCAGCTGATTATCAGGCAGGTTCTTAGATACAAGCAATAACAGGGAACATGCCGCTTGCATAATAAACCATTCTAAAAATAATTAACCTGTGCTTCCATCCGACTTAAAAGTCTACGCTGAAATCATAAGAACAGTCCCATCATGGATGTGATCAAGAGAGTTCTTGAATTATAAAGCAAATCCATAAAGACCAACCTGCAGTAAAACACCGAAGGATTGTGGCTTTGTCTGGAGAGTGCACTTTAAAAATCCGACCCATAATTTTGGATATTTCCATATCTGCAGTGATATGTAAAGGGAGAACTAAAATCAGAGTAACGGACAAATATCAAACTGGCAAGGTAATATGACGCTATACTACTAAATAAGGCAATACAACAGACAGAGTATGTAGATAAGAATGAGACCACATAGACCCATACTGGCTATAGGTGCCCAGAAAAACGGAAACCAAAACATATTGAATATTTCATACATCACCTGCTTGTTAACAAGTCGCGAAAGGATCTCCATTATAAAATCAACCTACATCACAGAAAAAAAAAAGTTTAAAATTAAATAACTTTAATGAAAAATGAGTGAATATAAAATGCATTTTCAATCAACGAAAGAGCGAAAGCAAGAGGAAAGCAAGAAGATAATATCTAAAAAAAATAGAACCAAAAAATAGTAGTTCACCAAGAAGCCTTCTCCATGACATGAACATACATGACTGACTCAATTTAATGAAACTCAAAAGCCTTTAAAAATGATGCAGGGGAATGTCAGAACAGAAGAATAGTATGTTTCATTATTTTCCGCATTAAATCTGTTTATGAGGCATGGGTTGACAAACACCATCTTTTTGAGAGGAATGGTCATAACCAGGCACCACATTCTAGTACACTATAGATGCTTGCTCACCAAGGAAGGAAATACGCCAATTGCTTGTATCACGGTACGCATGAACAACAACGGAAGAGGGATTTGTTCAACCTGCAAGCAAGAGTATTCTAAATAAGAAAACATTTAAATGGAACATTTAAATATAGCGAGTAAAAACTTATTCCAGATAGCGTCAGATGCATACTAATTGGTTCAAAGCCTTTGCAAAAACTTGTTGAGTGAACACCTGCCTTAGCTCAAAGCAAGCAGAGCATGCATCCATAACCTGTGAATAGCCATCTTAGTCATTCATTATGTTCCATCCATATTAGACCGGAAAACGTTAAAAGTTAGAGTTCCGTACCTTTTTCAAGGGAATACCATCTTTCTCCGGATCAACCTCATGAATTGCAATTAAAACCTCTGCCGGTGTTAGTAAGGGACCACTGTGTGGTGAACCCTACAATTAAGAAGAATGATAACACTAAACATAACCAACATAAAAAGAAGTACAAATGCACTATAATTGGTTGAAAGAGTGCGTTTTCTATTCACTCTGTTTTTTTATGCCTACGTTGGAGAAAATAGATGGCACGAACGAGAACTTTTAGGTAAATCTATAGATTAATGATAAATTGCACAGTTTCACACAAAAAAGATTATGATACAGTCATACACACTGTCTCAGAAAACACATTACCAAAGACAGGCGAACGAATAAACATCAGTAATGTGAACAAAAGTAAGCCAAGGGTATAAAAGATCTATAAATTTGACCGTGATACGACAGATTTAAAGACTAGAGGGCCAGAGTTCTCGGATAATCTCGTATGTTGACACTAGAAGTTGAAAAAAAAAAGCACATCCGCTTCATTTTCTATGCCAGCCTACAGGATCTGACTTCTCAGGTAACCCCCTCCATCCCACTATATAACTATGTTAGGGGGGTGGTCTACGAATTGTTCTAACCTTAAAATCTCTCTACCATTTTTGACACGTCGCTTTGCTGGGTCTCCAGCATATTGACGAGTTAATTATTAAATTTCCAATAAGTTGCATTCAAAAATCCAAAGTTGCATGTTCATCGTGTTTTCCAAAGAGACCATAATAACTTTATTTCAGGATAATGAAGTGGAAGGCAGGACGGTAGGGATATAGAAGAGTAGACAAATATCAGCACGGAGGGAAAGGAGGAGATGACATTACTCGAGAGTTAAGTAGATACTTTGATCCAGTCAGAGTTTGGATCCGGAGTCATCAATCCAATCATGAGGATAAAGCCCAGACGTACACAGCAGGTGAAATTAAAATAAAATCACTCGATCTCACGTAGATCAGTGGACTGACTTCAGTGGCCTTCCAGGTTCATGGCTACCAAAAGAAGATGATCGAGGAGAAATGGACGGGATCCTCTAAAACCGATTACACATGGGATCTTTATGGCTTACATATTCTTAATTGTTAAAAAAAATCATTTTACCTTTTTAATCAAATGGGTCCCCTATTACATCGGCTAACTTGGCAAATCCGATCTGAATCAGGGATCAGAGATGGCCAAAAAGAGATCCAATCCCAATTCTACGAGCATTGCATCAATTGGGATTAAAGAGGTTCCTGGTTATGGCAGAGCTCCATGTTATGCCCCGTTTCTGCATTTGAAATCCTGACGGGTTGCCTTATACTTGTTCAACTGGAAGTACACAGTTTCCAAATGGCATTTTCCACATTTGCAAAAATTGCTGATCTTTCTGGGAAATATACAAATGAGTACGTGTCCTCTCCAGAGAAATACTAATATAAAATAAGAAAACAGAAATATCATGGGTATTCCCCAATCGAGTGGCTATGCTCATACGGGAAAGTGAACTCCTGGGTCAACAGGTTCACAGCTAGCCAACAGGACTTGAGCTAGCTAGTACACATGTAAGCCACTAGCGATCTGGATCCCCGTTAGCATGGATAATATTCGAGAAGAGTAACAGGAAATATTGTTTTCAGTGCCCCTATAAGAGTTCCTTTCTTCAAGCTTCAAGGTTTTGTCGATTTAACTTTTTTTATCCACCGAGAGTATGGCAGAGGACTTCAGAGCTGATGGAAACGTAATCATCCAATCCAACGTGCAGTTCTCTCCCTTTTTTCCTTTTTGAGACATTTCCCTTTCTACTTTTGGGCCTGATTGTGTACAATTTTCGCCCCATTTTATACCACCATACTTCCTTTATTTTGTACCCATAAAAGACCGAAAATCACATCATCACAGACCATACTTATTCCTCTTAATGTAGTACAATCAACAAAACCGGAAGCCTGGGGGCAAAAACCAGAACAGTTGGACAAAAAAAACTTCAAAAGGGTATAAAATTACACAAATACAATAAGCTAAAAAAAGGGTAGAACTCCTAGCTTCAAAAAGTTTCAGTCAAAAACCCCAATAAACAGTAGAAGCAGAAAAGCAGTAGAAATTTTAATACAACTTAAAAAAAAATGCAAATCAGTATGTCAGGTAAAGAATGATAATATCTATAGATACAAAAAATACAATATAATGGAATGTGACATTTTAACACATTCACAAGTATATGTAAGCTATACCAGATGTATGACAAAAAAGAGAGGGAAAACCCGGCATAAAAGTATGCATTGTACCTGTAACATACGTGCCAGAGCTAGTTGAAACTTATCCAGGGGAAGATTAACAAGTTTGGGGAAAATGGGAAGGACCTATAATCATGAGAAGAAGTACATCCACATCGATTAGCAATATCCAATGAATGCATCTTCTGATAAGTGTAGAAATAACTAATGGAAGAAAACTTCGATCCCAGTGTGCTGGGTTACATAATGCAAACGGCATGACAATTAAACAAAAACTACCGGGTCATCTTTAGTATACTTTTAGGTGTATACACGAACACGTCAACAAAGGAATGATTGAAACACAATATAAATATATTTGGATATATCAATATACATACATATCGAGAGAGACAGACAGACAGAGTAAATGAGTGAGAAAGAGACAGAGAGCATACTTCATGTTTTGATAGAGAAGATATTATTGGAATAAGAATTTCGACATCCTGAAACAAAGTGATCCAAAGTAAGCAACAGAAGGTTCTCATTATGCTTTTTTTTAAAACGCATTTAACCAGGACAACAATAAATTCTACCTTCAGTTTAGATTCATACAACTTTCTGATAGAAGATAACAATTCTGCAGGAGGAGCCATCGCATCTGCTAATGTATTTAGAACCTGCTCATAGAGGAATAAAACCATTATATTCGGCTCATCTTAGATGACAACCAACTAAAGAAAACATATTCACGAAAACCTGAATAAGTAAGCCCTCACAGCCATCAGGTAGTTCTGAAATAATTCTAAGAAGGTCAGGAGAACACCCTACAGTACGAACTAAGATCGGAATATGTCCATGAACAGCCTGTAAAAAAAGACAACAAAGAGAACACATTGATAATGCTACGAAAATTGGCAAAAGATATTTCAACCAAGTCCCATAATGTGGGATATCTTTTAACGACTTTGCAATCAGTCAATGACACCTGTTTCGAAGACCTTGGCATGCTCCGGTAGATAGCAAAGAGTTGCTGAAGAAGGGAATGTTTCTGTACATACCCGCATAGACATATTATTCAATGAGAAATCAAAAGAATAGCATAACTTATTTCACTGGTACCCTCTTGCAAAATGGCACGGGAACACCAGTCAAGGATACATCAGCTGTACTTGATCAGGAACGCAATATGATGCCATACCTTGGTGCAAAGTGCAAAATAGAGTGACATGCGTCTTTGAGCCTCCAAAACTGAAGAGGATGATACAATTTGGGTTCCGGAAGTCTCAATACTAGCAGAAGAAATTTCATTCCTAATCACAGACCCTAGTGGATATCCTTCGTCAATTTCCCTTCCTGAATCAGCATCCTGTTTAAGATATCAATTAACTAAGCAATTAATGGATTGTTTCCTCAAATGATACCATGGCACGTGTTACCTACCATGTTAAACGAAATCAGATCCTTGGGCATACAATGATAATCCAAAGATCCCAAAATGGTTTACATTAAAAAAAGGAGTAAGAAGGCGCGTGATAACAGTAAATCACAATGAAAACACGTCAAATGTTGGTATGAAACACTCATACAAGGTGAACATGCAGACATCTACCAGTGATTTTGCTTTAATGTTCGTGATGCTGTTATCATTATTGATCTTTATCTATTTATACAATTTTTCATCATATCAACACCACAAAAATGTGTAAAAATTGAGTTGAATCATATCGACCCCCTTTAAAGTGCATCATATTGAACCGATTCAATTCCAGCTTATTTGATACAACATTAAAACTAATTAAGTTTTGCTGTAGAACCCAGCATGCACCAGAGAACAAGAATTGTAAAGAGAAAAATTATTTTGAAATACCTTTGGAAGGCCCTCAGAGTCAGGACCCTCTCTTGGAGTAAGCTGATCCACCACTGAGAAAAGCATGTCATTGGCAAAATCTTCAATTTTTTTAGCAATGCTGGGCATAGGAAACAATTTGTTTGCTACCTGCATTGATCAACACAAGAAAGTAATTATTTAAACTATAAGATGTGAAAAACCGTTAGTCAAGATGTCCAAAGGCTCACCAAACGTATTGCTTTCATCCGAACTTCTTCAACATGATGAACCGCGCTCTACTCAAGTGGGAAACAAAATTATTCGTCAATGAAAGAAAAAGAAGCATCTAGGATGCATGCTTGCTCGATACTTCAAGGGGACGCCATCTAATTCTCAATGTAAATAAGCATAGCAGGAAAAGAAAAGGTAGCAGTAATGCTTTCCCAAACATCAGCGTATCAACTAAATTATAAACGTACATGCTAGGAGATAATGTTTTCCATTAAAGTTGTACACAACTAATTGGTTCAACAAGATAAAGCGCAATCAAGCCTGAAGACATGATTCAATCCGTCTGATCCAGTGTCATAGACTGGATATAAAATGGATAGCGAGGTTTTGATGGAATCGCAAGAAATGGAGACCCGTTTCAAAGTAGAAACCTCTAAATTTCATGCACAAGTTTAAATTAATAAAATAAGGAACCCGTAGAGAGAGAAGAAAACAAGAAGCACGGATAAATGCAAATGCTGTCATATTAGAGAATTTTTTCGGAACAATAAAATTTACATTCAGATCATTCAAACACATTTTTTACAACATTACTTCGTTACTTGAAGATCTACCTGATGTTTTGACGAACATTCATACATCCCTCACTCAAAACATCCAGATAAGAAAAAGTATAACAGAAGGAGTTTCAGGAACATCATTGATCTAACAAAGGAATGAGAACAAAGATCAGGAATGCCAGAAAGCTTCATCCTCTTCCAAATTTGAAGGAAATTTCCCCGTTAAACAAAACTAAGACAGTATTCAATCCTCAGAGAAGTGAAAGGACAAGAGAGACGACATCCATTTTTAATTAAATACAAAAAAATGATTGATTTCATGAGGTACATAAATCAAAGACAGAAGTGCAAAAGGAGAATCACAACCTGAAGAGCAATCTTCAAGCAAATATCACGATTAGAAGGCCTTCGTAGAATCAAGCTCCAAACGGTGCTTAGCCCTTGAGTAACACGATCACCGTTTTGAGATTCCCTGCCATCTTTTTCAGTGCTCTCCGGAGAACACATGCACTCTAACAGCTTTATCACAGATTTTGGAAGGTAAGGCACCTCGACAAGTAACCTACTTAGAGACTTATCTGAAGCAGGAAAAGAATCGCGAAGAGCCTCAGCCTACAAAGAAAAAGCAAGTGATAGACTGTCAGATCAGCACATCCATTCAAGTCATAACATGAAAAAGCGATTACGCACCACAGTTAGAAGGAATGTTTCATAAGCTGAGATAGCAGTTGTCGATGAGAAGAAGTCTTTATCCTGTTCTGACTCCCTATACAACCTGTAGAGGACATTTAATGTCAACTCATGTCCCTGAAAAAGAAAAAATATTAGCAAGAGTCACTGAGGCGTGTTACACTTGGAGTGATAAAAAGATCTTTCTCTTCGTTGGGTAGGAAGTTTTCATTTTTACAGGTAAAAACTGTAAAGGAAGAAGAATCAGAACTAGAAGAAATGAAAGCCTTTCCATCTCATTGAAAAGACAGTATAATCTTTCGGTATCAAAACATTTATGCACAGGAAGATTAAACGCTTGAGTTTTACACAATTCTCCAGTCTTATAGGAGCTAGTGTAAGATGGAAGGCTGGTTACGTCAAACTGTAAAGTGGTGACTCCTTCAGCTCGTGCTGTCACTTCTGCCAGTAGATCATTCTTCTACTGCCAGAGTTAGCGGTCCCTTCCTCCCCTTCCAACAGAGCTTCTTCCTCTGTGGTTGTGCCAACTTCTTTCCCAGCTCCCACTGCTGATTTCAGTGGAGCTCGTCAACAATGCAATCAGGAGGGCAACGAGGTCCTATGAATAACATTTCCTCAAAGGCGAGAGAGATGGACCATCTGGCCGTTACCTTCCGACTGGCAGCCAATTTACTATTTTCGTCCTTTTTCAAATAGACATCGTTCCCCGTTCAAATTTCCACTTAAATTTCATCTATTTTTAGCATCATTTTTAAGCCGGTTAATCAAGAGTTTTCTTTCATCAAAGAGATGCAATTAGAATGATTCCAATCAGTGGAAAGGATTCATGTATAAGCCAACCCCAAAAATATCACTACACAAATGAACCTAACAATATAAGAACAAATAATGTCGAGTATAATAAAAACAGAAAAGATAGGGACTTCAGTTTAAATTAAAGGATGTAAAAAGTTACGTTAAAATACCAAACTATATTAATACATTTTAAGTTCACCTTGACGAGAAGGAATCACACCAGCAATGTAGAAACACTTCTCCATGTCCAAAAGGGGCATTGACTCCTTACGTTTAAGATACAGGGCAACATAGTGAATATTACCCTGTTAAACTGTACTCATTCACTATGAGTACCACTTGGTTATTAGAAGAAAATTTGATTAGATACCCAAATCACATGGATTTTCTTTCAAACAAGAAAGCGAAATCCTCTCGGACAAATCAATTGTGCCATCATCTATGGCATACAACAGTACCCGAGCTGGTATATATCAGAAATGTCCTATATGGGACCTGGGAAAAGACCCATACAAATTACAAAAACCTCATTCCTGATGGCAATCCACTTCAGAAAATTCAATCTTAGGATTACTTTAAAAAAAATTCAACTATAGTCAAGCCTAATATCTGTTTAAGAAACTAATCAATCAAGGAATACCAACAGTCATAATGACATACAAAAAGAAGATGTGAAGTTCCTGCGTATGTTAGGAATATGTTAGAAGAATGCGGTGAGTAGATGTCACATAATGTTGCCATATCAGATGAAAAGGTGCAACGCCATAGTTAGTATCGCTATGGCAATTTATAAACCCATAATTGGCTAGAACTTTTTCAGGGAGTGGATAACACATGAAGGTGTAATATCTTAGTTCAGAATAAACTAGAACTGTTTCAGCAAGACCTCAGTGAAAATAAAATTGGTTAAAAGCAGAGATTGAAGGAAACATAATTAAAAGCAGCGAAAGAACTTATCAAAAGCGCTAGATGCTACTCCTGTATCACATCTCGCTTTATGTATACCATGAGATCTGAGACCGAGATCCAGTTTTTAGAGAAATCAATAAAAATGCATTCAGACTAATGAGAGCGACTAAGTGGAATGGGTAAAATGTTGATCGGTCATGGCGCCAACTTTGTTGGTGACTCGCCCTTTTTTTGGTATGCAATATCTTGAATGATACCCCACAATAACTATCTATAGACTGATATCATATTTGTACATCATTATTCACGTTTTTAAATAACTCGAGTTAAGAGCCGTGCAAAAGAGGAGGAAACGATAACTCAGCCACATTTGTGCAATGAAAGAAAAATAAGCCCACATGCAACATATATTATAGTACCATAAGCATGTGTTGGAAATTCTAGGTCGTAGGAAAATAGTGTAATTAGTTGAGGGTGTTTTGGTAAAAGTTGTGTATCATTACTCCCTATATAATGGGGGTTACAGTTGAATGAATCTTGAGGCGGTTTCTGCCGTTCTCCCCTCTGTCCTTCGCGATGAGGTTTTTTTTCTCTATTTTCAACAGCATGCAAGTTAAAAGAAGTTTATAAAAGCACCACAGAATGCAAAAACAAGAATCGCAACAATCAAAGAAAAACCAAGTAGCAGATTAATTAGGCCAACTGATGGATCGTCATTCCATCCTAGAAAATAGCAAAGAAAAAACACAGATGTTGATTGAAAACAAGACATTGACGAGAGATTATAAGGGGTAGGAAAGCATACATCGTGATTCAAATAATCTTCCAGCATATGCTTTTGCAGAGGCCCCCATGCATCTAGTTCTAATGGAAACTGCAAAATGGATAGCTGATCAGATAAGAAAATAAGATAAAATTAGACGAAATCAATCCAAATTCTGAAAACCTAGCATATTCTCCATTTATTTTTTGGTCGGGGGTCAATATTATACTCAGATGCTTACAGGAAAGCCAGGAGAGACTGTATAACAGTTATACAAAGCCATACAAAGTTGGAGAACAAATTTTCACATTTAGATTCCATGCTGGTCCAGCATGCTTCGAGTATAGAATAGAGAAATATCACCGTGATGCGCCAGACCAAGTTTATGCGCTTAGCTTAAAAGGAATGGGAGAAACAAGGGGAAATGATTATTGTCTGGGACTAATGATTTAGATAATTCATCCTCTATCCCGTTCCAGAAAATACCAAATGGGTCGCCCAAATATATGGCCAGTGAAGTCCTCATGGATTGTCCTGCAAAAAGGACATTCCCAGAACCGATTTTGGCGATGCCTGCCATGACTGACAGGACTGCAACAATCATATTTGGTCTTAATGTCAGACCTCTATAAACGGGTAGTTTCAGCTTTCAAAGGAAGGATTTTAGGAAAAACGAAATCTTGAAGAAAAGAGAGGACAATAAAAGACTGAAAAAACGTGTTCAAAAGAAGGAAGAAGTCTGGGTGGCTCCCAGATCACCGATAGTTGGCCAATCAGCCCACCTCCAAGGGTTCCAATCTACAAACAGCAGTACTAACAATAGTATTGATTGTATTACATCAATGAAATGAACTGAAATTTTAATCTTTGGTCAGCCGAATTTAAATTTTGGAATAGATTACGGAAATAATCACTACAAATAATTACAGGAATATTAAGAATAATAAAAACTCGAAAGATATGTAAATAATATTTTTTAATATAAAATTTAACTTGGAGAAATAAAAAACCTAGATTTTTCACCAAAAACCATTTGGTTGCAGATTGGATATAGATCGGGCAATTGATTTAACATGATGTGTCTGTTCAAGCTCCAGAAGCTTTTTTTAGCTCTCCAGCGATTTTCTCACTTTTACAGAACTGTAGGTCATGCTATTAATATAGCACAGATGTTTCCTACAGAATTTTCAGGCAAAACAAAAATTTCCTCAATGTGGCCCAACTGATCAAAAAGAGAATAACTAGACGACAGAGTACAATGGGATCAATTTCACTTTCAGATGGAAAGAAATTTCACGTCTGAAGATGAACGAATATGACTTTGATATGATTTTGATCAGTCGCAGATCAAATTTCAATGCCATTCACGTAAAATTCATCCAAAAAAAGGTCGAAGTTAAGCAATGGAGGAAAATCAGAAGCCAGCTAAACAAATTAAAACATTTACCTCTACTCCTAAGCAGGCGAGCAAAGCAAAACGTAGTTGAATGCCACCAGCAACTGCAATGTGTTTGTATGCCTCAATGATGCGCATATATGCTATTTTTTGCATATGATCTTTTTGTTCATCTGTAAGATTGATGACGGGTGCCACCATCTTTGGAAGGGAATACTGAGATGATACTGGAACAGATGTTGAGTTTGTGGATGCAGGAAAGCCACTGTCTGTAAGAGTTGCACTCGAGCTAGGTGTCTCTGAAACATAAGTTGGCATCGAGCCCGACAAATTAGTCTCAAAAAGCACTTTGCTCTCCGAACTTATGACCATCCCTTGGCTGGATCCCACGAGCTCAGATGTTGACGATTGCGAAATGTTTGCCAGTTCTGACATTTCATTGTGAGCAACGGTCCCCAGACCAGGTATACTACTCTGAGATCCTTCTATACTATGACTAACAGATGGCGGAACATCAGCAGTCCCACAAATATTTGCCGTAGTTGATACACCAGATTGCATAGAATCAACATAAGATATTTTCTTAGCATCATCTTGAACACAAGTAGAAATCGAGGTAGCGTCAACCATGATCTCTATTTTCACTTCCTTCTTCATTTGAAGCTTTGACAAAAATTAAAGAACAAATGAAAATTTTGATATCAACTAAAAAGAAATATGAAAGTGCTTTATTTAAACTAAAATAAAAATGAGATAAATTTATTCGCAGACTCATCTTATGTAAGAAAAGAAAAAGGGACGTACAGAAATATCATCAGTTACAGAAGGAGCCGGAGTTGATGCGCTTGATAGTGACAAAATATCAAGCAAAAATGAAGGCCGAATAAAAGCCTTACCGCCGCCGACCATGCTGGAATCCAAACCAATGTCATTTTCCTCCTGCTCATTGTCAATCTTAGGGCAACTTGGTGGTAGATGTCGCATATTAGTCATCACTACTTCTGCTAACAAGTCGGAGGAAATGCTTGAAATAAGAATATCTAACAACTGCACAGCTTTGTCACCCTGGGCAACCAATGCACCAAACGTGCCCACAAGTTGTTCAATAGGTCCGTTGTCTCCAACACCCATTGAAGCCTTTACATTATTCTGTGGGACATCAGAAACACGATCTTGATTAGGCAGGGCTGATTCTGTCACGGCCTCTTGAGACATGACTGGTGAGGTTCTAGCTCGCTTCCCATATGTAATATCATCATCCATGCAATCCTTAGGTTCTTCTTTTATGCTTCTTTTCCTTGTTGGCTCAACTTGGACCTCATTACTTCTCCCGAACAATACGTTTTCGTCCTAAAAATATTTATTGAATTCAAAGGTAAGACATTAAAACACAATAAGAAAAAATTGAAATTTAACGCAATAGAAGTACCTTAACAGACAATTTATCCTCCATGGTTGCTGACGAAATACTTCCATGGTCCATATCAACACGAACAGGCTGGTTAGTTGATGTTCCAGCATTCAACGCCTTTAAGGCTTCCTCTAAACGGGGACGCCACTACATGGACCATGAGATAACATGATTTCCCCCGCATACAGTGGTTACACAATACAAGCGAAGTCTACATTAAATCCAGTTCATATTAACAAGGCAGAAAAAAAATCAAAATTTTCGAAGGAAAAAAAAACATGGGAAAAGAGTATGCTCCATAAATTTTCGTCACAAGAAAGAAATAAAAGTCAGTTATACCACCTGTGTGGGTGGAAGTGTTTATATGCATGTTTCTATACGAGCATCTATATGGATGTTCCCAAGCACATTTCTCTATTAAAACTTCTATGGATTATATCTAGAAAAATATCGGAAAAGAAAAACTGCAAAACTACTTCAATCGGAAAAAATGCATGCAAAAAGCTCTGGGGGAAAAATATTAGAACGTCATATTAGAAAGACGAGTTCCAAGCTAGATGCAGGATGCACTGAGATTGATTTATAGGACTTAACATAATTTAGGCAATACAATGGAGAAAAGAAATTGGATGCGGCATGTGACCATAGACATATGTTCTTGTATCACATTTCAAAGGAATACTTGACCCGAAGAAAATCAATTTGAAAGGGACTCCACCTATTAATACTCAAACTTGGTCGTTCTCCATGGAAGTTACAGAATAAGACATCGAGAAAATAAGACACGTGTGCAAGTTCATCTCACCATGCATTTGACAAAAACTATCGAAGGCTTATCCTGCCATGTTTAATATCAACCATAGGTTACAGTGGCTCATAGTCAACTTTAACGAAAGGTATTTATTTCTGGCACATTTTTCTATATAGCCTTATACCATTGGAGAAATGAAACGGAAACAACTAATCATTGAGTGGTTGCTCCTTATAGTTAGCTTTTCGAAGTAGGATTTTTTTTAGACGTTGTTCTCTATAAGTTTTATAATACTACAAATTTTAATGGTAACGAACAGTACACTATTCTAGCACAGCCAACACAAAGATCAATATCCAAAGATACCGGCGCTGCAGCAGGATGTGTGCACTGCAAGCAGGTCACAAATGCACTCTTCAAGCCATGATAAGCGCCAGGGCCTTCCACTCCTTTAATAACTGTACTTTCTGGGTTCAAGGCAAGTAAGACAGGCAGTACTCGCCCATAGAAGGAAGGTCTTTTCTTTGCAATAGCTGAAAGACTGAAAGACAAATCAAACACAAAAAAAAATTGATCAGAAAAAATAGACATTAAATCACGCAATGTACAAAATGCAAGAACGACATTTACAATGTACAATACTGCTACATTAAATCACGAGCATGACTTTACCGTGCACAGTTAATATACTATTACAGTACGAGAACATTACCTTTTAGAGAAAATTGCCAAGGTAAAAGAATCAATAAAAAAGAAAAAAAGTAATCCATTCCGACAAGAGACTTGGTTGAAAATATCACTAGACGAATACAACGAAATATTTTTTTACCTGCATACTGGCTTTCTTAACCATACGGTCCAAACAATGGACATACTATTTTTCGTCCAGTCTTTTTTGAGGAAGGTATCAATCAATTCCAATGGTTTCTTGAAAAACTCTATCTATGGGTCTATGTCCACAGAACGTGTTTATGGGTTCATGAAATTTTCCGAAACCTCAATTTCCCCACCTCTGACATCTCACGAATCTCTTATTTCCTTGGCATAGGTATTGTCATTTCCTTTGGCAGCACTTACTACTTTGAAACCCACTTTTAGCCAGGACTCTGATGACAACTAAAGGATGAAAAACCAATCAATAGATGAAATGTTCCATTATAGTTATAAAATGTCGCATCCTAGGTTCCAATACTTCTCATTCTTGTCTTTATCACCAGATTCCAAGACTAGTCACGTCCATCATGTGTGACCCAGGACTCCAAAACAACTTTTCAAAGAATAAAAAGTCTTCAAGTTGAGAATCTAAGAACCCTTACATGAGGATAACTATATTAAAGTAAATAAAAAAATTTAAGGGACTAGCATCTCGGTTGATCGCCTTATGCTTACATGACAGGGCAAGGAGGGTAGGCAACATCTTTTTTCAATTACGTAAGAAGATCATTTTAAAGGGAAACTTTCAAATGTCTGATTGATAAGACGAATACACATGAATTCACTGATCGTAATTGCAAATGCCATAAAAATTATAAATATTCAAAAATCCCTAAACTTATCACGAGTTATATTACTAAAAGTATAAATCCTAACACCATGGGTCTTGTCTTTGCTAGATAATATACTGGATTTTCATAGGTTATTTCACTGTCCTAAATAGTGATATCTTATTCATCATTAATATTGATATCTTCACTAGCATTTAAGTCTACCTCCAAAAAATGAGTGTTTAATTTTCACATTCATCTTACACAGCCCTTAACGAGAAAGAAAGTAAAGAAATAGTAATATTTCTTCCACTTTGACAAAAGCTTGGTTATGTTGGAATGATTGCATCATTCAACTAATTCAGATCCACACATTGCAATATCAATATCAGGTCATCTCAAGTTTAAAGTTAACAAAACCGCCTCCAATAGACTTTCAAGTCATCCGCTCACCACTTAAACTATGTCATCAACAAAATAAATTCACTTTTTGCCCATGAAGAATCTTCCTCTTAGTTGCTTGCTATCTTGGATGCAGATAAGGTCATTGAGAATTTCAGTTCAAGTTTGTTTCCTCAAGTATGCATCTAGATTTACAACAAAATAAAGTGTCGTTCTGTCATCTTAAAAAAGTTTAATAACATAATTCAATTATTTATGCTTACATATTCAAAAGTATTTTATTTTGTTCACAGGTTGAAAAGTAAACTAAAGGGTAAAAATATGCAATGTGAGTCATAAATTTGCCACTACTCTGATAATGGAAAATTTTACGCAGTCTTGTCAAACAACCCTCTAGTACTCGCGCATAACTACATGTGCCAATAATACGGTCTTCAACACCGTTAGTGCCACTTTTGACCTTGGCAACAGATATACTAGGCAACAGATTGTACTACTTATCAGGATATAGGAAAAACCATGATCCATGTAAAGGTCTGTGTATTTCTGGTTATCAATGCCGATCAAGACTAGATATTCTAGGTTTACAATCTTTATTAATAAAACAATCCATACTTTTTCGTTCGTTGCAAGTTTGATTCCTACACTAAACCGTTGATGGTGTTCCTTCTCGAAAAACTAACCTTACAACCTGAACAATAAGTAACGCCATTTTGTTGTCTACATCAGACCCATAAGAATCACATCTTCATTTGTTCGATTTGGCTTCCGAATATAGGTTTGATTTTCACAGAAACTCAATAAATTTCTAGCTTGAAAAATGAATTAGGCATTCTGCACAATCGATATTAATATTCAAAATTACAAGTACAGAACCAAAAGAATAACTTATTATTGCCTAATCAAAGGTTAAAAAAGTACTGCTTCAAGACCAGCACATGGACCATCAAAAATTCTACTAAACAGAAGCTTCAGAATGGGATCCCTAAACTTGTGTAGTTCCCTTCTCGCACAATTTTGTTGACTTCTAAATTGATGTTGCAATGCCCAGTATCAAGGGAATGGCAACATGTTAGAGTCTGGCCATGCATGGCATGGCCACCACGCATTTGCAATCGTATGCAATGGATCATGATACATTGGCTATAATCTGTCAAACATGATGCTGATATCATGCACTTGTGCTCGCAGCAAGCATATCAGAGTCAGACCACCGTGATTCCTGGTAGAACCACATTATGGAGAGCAAAACGTTGGTTCTCGTCATGAACCTGCAAAGTTCTCTGCGGTATGAGACTCTGAAATGTGCCATCTCACGACAAATTTACAGAACCCGTGATGCGTTTTTTGGCCAGTGAGAGTTTCTCAAAAATCCTAGGCACCACCACCCAAATTGCTCAAGCAAACCAAAATCCATGCTAAAAGCCCAGGGCAGTCCAGGCATCCAGGCCACCTTCTCACAAGGGCAATGCCTAAGAAACTGATCAATAAGCACAAGCTAAATCCTCACTTAGCATTATAATGCTCATCAAGTTATTAACTAACTTTCCTCAAGTGCTAATTGTCGCCTCAGATGGAAATTTCACCAAGACAACGGTTCACAATACACGAATCTCGAAAGCCATTTTTTGATGCATTCCGTTGAGAATCATACCAAATGATAAATAAACCACAAAATAAAAGGTCAAGATGACTAATTAAACCTAGAATCTAAGACCCAAGACATTGTACGCGTCAGTACCATCCTATAGACCAATGTTGTCCATCCTATAGCCCAGGACACTGAAACTTCAAGCCTACTGATACGACCTCAAGTTGAGAATCCCCCCCCTGTAGAGTCGAGACTCTCACTAAGCATGACAATAGTACCATAATGCTCATTAGTCATTTTCCATGTGCTTTATATTTGCTGAATTTCCTTCTCCTCACATGAAACTCTACAAGTACAACGTTGCAAAAAACAATGTACAAGTGTGATATTTTTAAGAAGACCTCTCATACTTTGACGAGGGCTTCTCATAAACAATATAAGATTCATAAGTCTCGTTGACTGGGAGAAAGCCAAACAATCCAAAACAGAAAAGTTTGCAGTAGAGCTCAAATCAAAAAAGGATGATTGCAGAATTCATAGGAATTCATTAAGTTAATTCGCAAAGTGGTCATTGTTTTTGTCTCTACCTTTAATCCCCAAAATGAAAGCAAAACACAATGGGGATCAGTCATGCCGTGGTTATAACTGAAATAAGCATCAGTTTAAAGAGAACAAGGTGCAATACATGGAGCTTAATCCATTCAATTTTCCAACCGGGAATGATTTTCTATATTCAGTTGATATTAAATACTATCATCATAAATTATCTACCTTCAGGCCTTTAATAGGACAATACTTATGAATTATCTGGCAGTTGAGCTCCTGATAAGCTTCATTTAAGAAAATACTCAAATGTATACCAATCGTCCTTCCTTGGAATATACTTTTTTCACTTGGGTGGGGGAGGTGGGAAACCAGTACCGACATTCCCAACATTGATACACAGGATTAAAGCACACATGGGATGCAATGGAACCATTCAATAGAAGAATATAATCATAACTGAATAGCTTCCTCAAGAAGGACTTAATTCGTGAATTAATGATAAGAAAGAAAAATATGGCTGTTATGCAGGTTCACAAGAGAGCTGATACATTTGGTTAGATAGGTTGATGAGTTATACACAATTGACTGTATGATTGCAATAGAATTGTCAGCAACTGCGAACCCGCTGGGATTTAGCATACATATATTCCTTATCTTTAAGTTGGCTACTAATGCGACAACAGTCCACAGAGAGACTTAAACAGAATCACCATCTGAAGTAGAGTGAAATGAAAACTATGATTTGTACTTAAAACTTCAATACATTAACTGAAAAAGGAAGGCAAAACAAGTGGGATGATCCACTAACCAGTTAACCAACACAATGATAATAGAATTACTGAGAGATTGTACATGAGGCATTCTAAGCTGGTCAAGTAGCATGCCCAAGCTTTGACTAGATTCAGTGGCCAGGTCACTGACATCAAGCGCTGGATTGCACCCACGCACCCATGATATGCTGAAACCTGATCACAGGCCCAAAAACATTATCCAATTTAAGACGTACTTTATTGGGTCATTGTATAATAATATATGCAGGGTTGTCAATAAATACCGTTGCCAACTTCACCGGGTGGCTCTGACGAAACACTAGGGTCTGGAGTGTACAGAAGAATCATCTTTTCAATAAACTTTATAGCCAACAACCTTACTCCGTCATTGCCAGGCTTGCAGATAAGGTGACAAGTCAGAACCAGAACAGCAGTACAGACTAACGAGCAATTCTCCTCAGAAAAAGTAAAACTACCTGAAAAGCTATTGGAAACACAGAATCCTTAAATGTCAACATTGACTTCCATGACAGATCCAAAGACTGTTCAATTTCACCTGAGTGCAAACCCTGGAAAAGAGAAAAGACAAGAGAAGTGAAGACAAAAGTTCATTTTTCCAAAGGAGAAATAGAAATATGATGTCAGCAAAAGCAGAAAATAGACTCATGTGCCCATGAAAAGAGTTGCACTCGTCAGAATATTTCACCATATTTACACATTCCCATGGATCATATTATCCATTAAAGCGATCGGAAATTATTATCAATGAAAGTAAAACGTTAAAAGAAACCAAAGTGCAGAGCGAGAGAAAGAGAGACTGATGAAACTTGTTTGATACTAAAACATAGATAAACTGAAAGATTATCCCTGTAAAGAATAGTCCATGAACGAAAAAGAAAACTCCAAATAAAAGAAGGAAAATCAGATCCTCAATGGACACCATGGTTGTCCAAGATGTATGCATAGAACATGCAGAAAACTCCATTGATTCAAGGACTCAGCTCTGACACGCAAAAGTCGTGACAATAGAAAAATTGTGTATCAAGGCAGCAAAACTCATCCTTTATAAATTAAGTTGTCTTGATTCCAAAATGAGTCATCTACTTAACAAGAAGTTTATCTACTGACAATCAAGATGAAAAGCATCACAATCTTCCATGAATGAGATCAATATTATTTCTCGTTCAAAGTGGAGAATAAGACAGGGTAGTTTTTGGCATAAGATGCTCACATGTGGGTTACTCAAGTTAGACGCTCAAAGGTCTCAACAGAGAAAAAAATCCTCCATGTTAAATACTGAAGAATAGTATTAATATTCAAAGACAAATCTAAAAAGTGTTCGACCCCTGGAGATGTTGCAAAAGCGGCCAATGGTTTGTGCTTAAAGCTTTTCAACATTTCTTCAGGGAACCATTACCTAAGTGCCTTCATTGAATTTCATACACCTACTGTAAAATCTGTGGAACAATTGCAACTATCTCGAGTAAAGTCGTTCTACATCTAACATCCGCATGCAAGCACGAATTTAACGGGCAAAAGTTAACATACCCAGAAGGTCAAGTATCAGGTATAAGGACAACTAGACCAATAGGGGGACGGCTTTAAAAAGATTCTTCCTAGTAGTATGTGTGTGTGTGTGTGTGTGTGTGTGTGTGTGTGTGTGTGTGTGTGTGTGTGTGTGTGTGTGAGAGAGAGAGAGAGAGAGAGAGAGAGAGAGAGAGAGAGGGAGCGAGAGAGAGCTATAACAGACTATATGATTGGTAAGAATCCCAATTCACAACATTCAATAACAAAGAAATGAGGGAAATCGATTAGAACCAAGTTCAACCTTCAGTATAGTCTTGTCTTTGAGGGTAACGTACAAAAGAGATAAAATAAATTCCACACTGTTCCAAAAAATAACTGTCAAGCTTGGGATAATAATGAAATACGATGGAAATTGCCAGCTTATGCAATCTGACGACCCACCATATATTAGCTTGGCCACACGAAACTCACAAGTGGAATTACTACAAAGAAGGATGTGCTGACTCTTTGAAAGCCGACCAGCTACCAAAAAAAAAGGATGGTATTCTTGAGCAATGGTTGGAAAACTATGAACACAATCCACGATAAAATCTCTCCATTGAGTATAGCGTTTAGGTGATTATGTGCATACCTCTGCATTCCCCCTATGCACATGCCAACTTCCAAGTGCAGAATAGAGAACATAATAATGAGCACAAACAAGCAATTAGAGTTTGGACTCCGAATTTATCATTAAAGATCACTTCCAACTCGAAAGCTTAGCTTTGTTACAGCATCTTAAACACTTGATAAATTATAGTTTTTGAAATCTATTTTTGAGTTTCGGGTAATATGAATTTTATCATCGTACATAAATGAGACATGGATTTTTCCCTTGGCTATTAAAAGGTGTGAACTTATTTCCACAATGCGAGTGTTCGATATTCTAAATAATTACCAAGTTAGAGATCATGATGCCTTTGGAATTTCATAGCAAAAAAGATGACATCTTAAAGCAAAAAGTACATAAAGATATGATCGTATCCACCTTTGAACTATTAATAATCATTCCAAAATCAGGACAACAAATGTACTATTTGCTAAACCTCTCAACCGTTTGAACATGAACACCCGTAATATTAAGTAAACACTGCAACGACTCACAGCATTAAACAACATGTCCTCAACAACAAGACAAGGTTCCATAAAATAGCTGTAAATCCTAGAGAAACTGGCTCTTTGACATGTCTAACAATTTAGCATAGCATGAGATCTCATCTACCTAAAAGCCTGAAGATAAAACATGAACTCTTGAGACAGCAAATGGCAATGCCATTGTCTAGGTGTATATATGACGGTCCAGAACTTGTAACCAAACATGAACCATAGTACTCTGACCTTACTGACTTTTTCATTGAATAGGCAAAAGGGCAAATTTATTGACTCATGTTAGCACCAATCCTGACATCAGACGCACTGAATATAATATAACCGTATGGTTAAGAAAAATCATAAAGTAAAAGGAGAAAAACTTCTGGCATCTTTAATCCCACTAAAATCATAACCGTATGCAGATGTAGACCAATGAAAGTCTACTTTCCCATGCAATCAGTAAGAGGAATCATAAATGAAAAGTAGCTCTTCCCTAGAAACTAAAAAAAGCGAAAAATCTCACAAAAATCATCTTACATTCATGAATGAACGTTTCTTCGCATGATGTACATCCTGTGTCAAAGTATTTCTAAGACAAAGAATGTGATAAATACATTCATTCCTCCTATGTCCGACCATAACTTCAAAGTAGACCAATATCAGTTTCCAAATGAGAGCTCATAATATGTACACAGCATTGAGAGTCCAAAAGAACATAACATCCCAGTCAAACTGTATGTCCTAAAGGTTTAACTGTAGTCTTTGCTAAAAACTACATAAATTTTGAATCCATCATTGAGTTTTCATACGATTATCGATGGGCTCACTATCCATGTGCATCCTTCAATCTTCATCATTTTACTGCCAACCAACACCTTAACACGAGCTCAAGTGAATGCTAGACTTGCTAGTAATAGATAACGTTCATTGTTTCCCCAATTGAGTTCATATTCCATTTTCAATTGTCAACCAAGCATGCTGCAATTATTTTTATTAGATAACCCTGAACTGAAAAAATAAGAGACCAAATGATCCTAATTCATCGTTGATAAATAATAATTATGAAGAAAAGAAAGAAAGAAAGCATTAAATAACAATACTCCGATCATTCAAATGTGAAAATATTAAAATAACATAAGACATGTATTCGCCCAAAAATCTGAATGGCGAAGATATTTTTTAACTTGCCTGCATAACTAGCTTTTCTAGAATACTTTCAAACAAAGAAGTTCCACTAGAAATAGCTTGACGAGCCACAGCTGGAGTGCCATCCTTTAAGAGTTGAATAAGAGTAGGAATCATTTCGGGTAGCAAATCCATATTCTTTCTGCCAATATCATTAATTGCCCTGCGGACAGAAAAGACCTCCCATCAAGAAATATATTGAACTCATGGACTTCAAAAGAGATAATGGAAAAGCTCAGTACAAAGTTAATCGACCCGAAAAAACATGCAGATAGTTTAAAATATTCTTGAAAACCTTGTATTTGGAAGTATCTATATTTTTTACGGTAAATATTTTATTCTATATGAAATCATAGTCAACATATTAATTTATGTCACATTTTTGTTTCCTCATTTTATTCTTCTTATTGTTCACATGCATTGCTTAAAGGAAAAAAATTGGATATTGCTTCAAAGTCCACATATTTTAAGTATGACCAAAATAATAGTGTATTATAGAGATGCCATTTAATTTTTTTAATACAACTCAACTGATAACTAGCCGGTAAAGTTTACATAACATGACAGTAAGAGTAAGTAAACAGCACATTGCACAACTGCATATTCTAATCATAAGCAAAACAATAACAGGATATGAAAATCCGGTTGAGCACCACAAAAAATCTAATAAAACCAAAAAAATAGTTAGAATTGGTGAATTTGAAACATCCTTGCCGACATGGATTTATCTATTTTTGTAGCGAACCCTTCAATGATTTAGGCTTGAAACACAGTAATATGACCATTGACACGCACAGACATTCTCAGTAATATGACCATAGACATTTCACAGATATTATTCCGAATACGGAGTTTGCAATTTTGGTTTATCATCTGCACGAACTACATCCATTATCTACCGTTATTCAATTTTATTGCACTTCTAACGAAGAAGAAAAAAACGAGAGAGACTCGAGAAAGAAGAAAAACACTATGCTTACTCGGCGAGGAACTTGCGGACGGGGCTAGGCTGCCCGGTCTGCAGTTCGGCGAGCTGCGGCACGAAGTCGTGCAGCAAGAGAGGCTCCCTCTGCAACAGCACCTCCTTCAGCTGCCGCAGATGCTCCATCTTCGAAGATATCGCCGACGACTTCCTCACCGCGTCAAGAAAACCGACCGCCCTCTCCCCCCAGCTGACCACCATCAGGTCAGCCATCCCCCTCACCGATCCCCGCTTAAACCCTAAGCCGCCGACGGTCTCCCCGAAGACCTCGCAACAGCCGTGCGGAGACGCGCATCGCGGATGCTACTCCGACCTCCAGAGATCACATCTCCTCCCTCCACACCGAGACCAGCGGCGACCATCCCCCCGCGTTGTAATGCCCCTCGCGCGCCTTCTGAACTGCCTTCCTCTCGAGCAGGAGCCACATGCTTACGGTGTCCCGCGGTAAACCGTTTTACAAGAGACACATCGTGGCATCACGTTACCCCCCTCTCTCTCTCTCTCTCTCTCTCTCTCTCTCTCTCTCTCTCTCTCTCTCTCTCTCTACAGGGGGAGGGGAGGTTGGTAATTAGTAAAACAAAACTGTATATTTTCTTTTAACACTGACAAATGATTAATTATCATCCGCACCCAGTAGATCTCGCTCCCTTCATCTGAAGATCACATCTTTCTAAACAACATCCCCCTGAAAAAAAGAAATTTGAAAGCATATCCCCAATTAAATCAAGGGAAGAGCTTTTCCACCGAAGAATCACATGTTTTCCCATAATTTTCCACTTATTTGGTAAAAAGAAAACTCATGAGCTCCACCAGAAACCATCCAATCAAAGCCCATTCATCCAAGAATCACAGGTTTGATCATCATTCTCTGATAAAAAATAAGTACATTAAAAAAAAAAAAAAATCCCTACAATTCAGGAGACCTAGCTGGCTTGAGCGATCAGCCATTACAGAGGGATTGATCTTCCCATACTGGCGAGAACGATTACTGCCACTGATACATTATCGACAATTACACAAAAAATCAAGCTTGAATCTGATAAATACGTACAAGTATCAGAGCAACCCACCATCAGATGGAAGCACGGGCCAGCCAGGCGCCGCCAAAGCCCACTTGAGCAGCTGAAGCCCATTTGAGCAGCTGAGAAGTGATGAAGATCACAGGGCGAGGATCATGGCGGGATCTCCCCACTTCGGATGGATAGGCCGAGAAGTACAGAATTTCAAGAGGCCATCATGAAGCCAGTTGGGGGGCGGGGATTCCGTGCTTCTCGAACCACTCAGGCATGTGAAACGTCTCATGCAGCACTGGCCGCACGTCCTTCTGGAGAGAGAGAAGCTTCAGAAGAGGCAGGATGACCCCTATGAGCTGAAAATTTCCAGAAATAGACAGTCAGACACATAGATGCCGCCACTATGGGCCAATTTTTTTCCAGAAATGGGATCAGTCCAGAGGTGCACCTGCTCGTCGTGAGGCTGCCCGGCACTGAAAGGAATGCAGGGGATGCCATTCAGCGGTTGCAGCACAAAACTGAATGGATTGTTGTCAACGAGGACAACTCGGCGGAAATCGTCCGCCAGACAAGAAAGATCCTTCACATGGTCTCGGTGTTCACTGAAGAACAGTTCAGAAAGATCAGTGAGTGAGGATTCCAATGCGACAAGCCCGAAAACATAGCTCATGTTGGTATATGAAGCTAATTACCCACAATAATCTGCATATCTACTTATGAGCGTGAATAATAAATGGATAATATAAAAAATATATGAAATTTCGGTGAGTGGTCAACAAAGTGACGATCCAAAAATCAAGGGGCTTTCAATAAGGGGCATTGAATTACCTTTTAAAATTACCATTTTTGGTAAATAAAACCTCGACGGATAATAAAAATAAAAAATTATCAGATTCAACTAATGACAACGAGTAAATATGTCTATTGGATCAGAAACTGGGTTCAAAAGCTTACGTGCTGACTGTCGCAGGCCGATAGAGGCGATGAGTAAATCTGTTCTGAAGATCTATTCTATCAACTAGAGGACTAGCATAACCTGAAAAATGGGGGGAAGAATTTTAATTAAGAAAAGGGAAAAAAAAAAAAAGAGGACAGATGATCATCTGAGACAATTAGCCAAGAACAAGCTGAACCTTCGAGCCCAGCCGTGAAGAGGACTAGATCGGCAAACTCACTGGTCCTCTGCAAGAATTCTTGAAGACCAGGTCGCTCAAACACTGTCACATGGTTGACTTTTTGTATCCCTTCACCTTCCTTCGCATCAGACGTTAAAGAAAAGTAACTCAGCCACGTATGACATGATTGGCAAGGAGAGGTTGACCAGATGAGGGATGGACACTCGGAGATACCTTGTCAACGGACACACATTCCATCTCAAACCACTTTAAACCTGCATCGATGGCTTGGCTACGGATGGCAGCAGGCAAGCTGGATGTCTCATATGCACAGACGAGTGTCTCGTCCAAGTCCAGCACCACCTGCGTATGTCAGTCACGCCGAACTGATAAGGACAGAGTCTAGAAGAAGATCATGGTAAGGAAAACCGACTAATCGTGTACAAAATGCTTCTGTCTAGAATTTCGCTCGATAATATGCGATGCTCGATAAAGAAAGGAACGTCGCGGAAGAAAGAGATCTCTGGTTTAGAGACAGGCCGATTATGGGATGAGACCCGGAGATGTTGGAGCTTGCAGGAAAAAAAATCATATCCAGCGCACTGGACGCGACCACCCTCCTGGTAGGAACTCCTAATTCCCTCGAACCGAATTCGAGGGAAACGATGCGGCATGGAAGCGTGATTCTCTGAAGCTTTTCATGGCTAGGGAACGCGAAAACATCGATTTCATCGGTGGAGTGTGCCTGTAGAGGCCAAAAAAAAATTGATGGGTGGAACGACAGAGAGAGGCGATGATAGCTCCCCGTACCATGAGCTTTTGAAGCGCCTCGTTGGCTGTGGACAGGGAAATTTGCGACGGCGGGGGGGTCTCCGCCGGGAACTCTGCCGAAAGAGGCTTGAAACCCGCGGACGAGGAAGAATAAGAGGACCTGAGGAAGGAGGTGCGGCGAAGGCCCACGCTGGAGACGACCCGCGCCCAGGAAGGCGTCCCCCTGAGGATCTGGAGAAGGATCTGGAACAAGAAGGAAACCCAGTTGAGAAGCGTCTTCCACAGCGGAAACGTCTTGTCCTGCCCGCCCGCCGGCGCGTAGACGTCGGCCTGAGCCAGCTCCGCCATTATTGAACGGCAGAGGGAGAGAAGGGGGGGGGGGGGGTAAAGATGAAGAAGAAGAAGACGGGAGAGGCCAGAGAGAAGGGCGAACCAATGAGAAAGAATGACGACGGCTTTGAAGACTGTGAGAGAACACGAAACATCGCAATCGAGTAGTTGGTCTTGGCGGGCCCCGCGGCGGCTCCGAATGCCACCCCACACATCCGTGGCCTATGCGGCTCCGAATGCCACCCCCCACATCCGTGACGATTTCCTCGAAGAAATCCATCGGTATCCATAGCTGCCGTAGAGAGAGCGCGCACGGGCTTGCTTGGTCCCCAAGGCCTCCGGGCAAAGCCTCTCTTGACCCCGTCGTCTACCTCATTTCTTTTACTGTCTCCACTGCGACACTCTTGAGAGTAGGACTCATAGCCGTTTCATCTGCTACATGGCTTCTGTCTTCTTCTTCTTTTTCTATAATCTAATTTATTGAAATTTTAAAATATAAATAATCTCTTCTTCCGGTTTTTCGTCCACATTTAATCCCTCGTAAAATGATAAAAATACCTATATAGGAAAAAAATGAAATGCTTTAGATTTATTTCCAATTAAATAATTAAAAATATGTCATCTATTTTACAATATTATTTAGTTATAATTTCACTTCGTACCATATTAATTTACGCTATTATATTTATGCAATAAAATGTATTTTAATTTATGTGTGGAGTATTATTTTAGGCCATAACGTACTAATATTCACTATTAATCAGTTAATTCCGCGGAAAATCATACCACGTTTACTTGTGTACCGTCTATGATTGAGCAAGCCGACGGGTGCCTCTCGACGACAAGCCTCGTTAAAAGAGCAGACGAGCATTGATGTCGTCTGGTCCTCCCTTCGTCGATAAGACGTAAGTCAACTAGTCAATTAATTAAAAAAGTTAAATTACTGAGTTCCACATTAAATAAGGCGATAAAATCGGTACGAAAGGCCCACGACGGGGACACTTTCGAACAGACTGGACCGTCTGATCTGAATCGGACGGTCCGCTCTCCTGCTTTATGAGATCTGATCATATCGTCATATTTTTAAATTCGGCAGTCTGCTGCACATAATGACGCAGATCAACCGTCGCGAAATATCTTTCATCAGATCGGATCAGATCGGACGGTCTCGATTGGTGGGTTTTTCCCTAAAACTATTTTCAGGGTCGTAAATGTTAATACTCGGACTGAATGTTCCACAGGTCTACGTAGTGATATGCACGATTAGGGTACGATTGTGATTGAAATCATCTGCCGACTGTCCCGGTCGTGGTCTTCTCTCTTCCGGGTGATGTGTGGCGCGAGACGCACCGGATCCAGACTCGCGGCCGCATCTCTGGTCCCAAGATCGTGAAAAACCCCCAGGAGCTCCCCTCCGTCGTCGTCATCACGACCGGGGACTGAGCAGCAGCAGCCGCAGGTGCTGTGAGCAGAAGCAGAGCAAGAGACGAGGCGAGTGTTGAGAACGTCACCATCGTGGAGGACGCCATCGAGGAGGCGGGTGGAGAAGAGCAGAGAATGCTCGCGGTGGCTGCGGCAGCGGCAGCGGAAGCATGAGGAATCGGAATGTGGATTTAAGAGGAGAAAGTGGTTGAGGAGGAAGAGAGAGGGAGATGGGCGTGGATTACTACAAGTTATTGCAGGCGGAGCGTGGCGCCAAGGACGAAGACCTGAAGAAGGCTTACCGAAAGCTGGCCATGAAATGGCACCCGGACAAGAATCCTAGCCGTAAGAAGGAGGCAGAAGCCAAGTTCAAGGAGATCTCCGAGGCTTACGAGGTATTGTTCATCTTGAAACCCTTGTAAATACATGAACATCTTGTCTCTGAAGCCGATGGTTTAATTGTTCTATCGTCGGATCAGGTGCTCAGCGACCCGCAGAAGCGGGCCATATACGATCAGTACGGGGAGGAGGGACTCAAGGGACAGCCCCCCCCTTCCCCCGGCGGGGGCTCTTCTGGTTTCTCTTCTGGAAATTCTGCTGGATTCCACTTCAGCCCTCGGAGTGCCGATGAAATATTCTCCGAGTTCTTTGGATTCACCAACCCGTTCAGCGGTGGCGGAGGAACGGGTGAAGCCGGTGGTTCCGGGGGGGGAGCACGGTTCTCGAAGGGATTATTCGGGGAGGATATCTTTGGAGCATTCCAGGGCAATGGAGGTGGAGGGGGAGAGGCATCAAGCTATGCTTCCTCTCCCAGGAAGGGACCACCAATCGAACGGAAATTGGTTTGCAGCCTCGAGGATCTGTACAAGGGAACCACAAAGAAAATGAAGATTTCGAGGGATGTCATCAACTCCAATGGGTATGCATGTTACGATTCTTCCCTCCCCCGCCTCACTTGCAGTGTAAATTCGACGTCTCTATCTGCAGAAATGGAGTGACATGCTCTATTTTTTTAATCGGAGTTTATAACAATTGATTGGTTGAGTTCACCGACAGTAATCACTGACGAGGCAATGTGCCAAGAACCCTAGAGCAGAAAAAATAGTCGGTGCAGTCTTACCGATCAAGGAGATTGAGAACTTTCACCTACCATACTCGTGGAAACCCTCTTTAGCCCGATCTAAGCCGCAGTCCAAACTCTTGAGAATTCACTAATCTTAGCTCCTTCGTATTCCTTTCGCACCAGATAATCCACAACATAGAGAAAATCAGGATCCTTCTTTCAGGACGAGCACGAGCAGCGAGGACTGCTGCCGTGTTGTCATCTGTATGATACCTCCCCCAGTGATCACCGCAGTGGGGAATAGCTCTGAACAGGGATCATATCCCGATCATCTCTCCCCGATGTGGTTTTCTGCTCTCAGTTGGGTTCAGTCAATGCTTTGAATATCTCAGATACAATAACTAGAGTTGCAACTATACAATCATTATAATTCTGATCATAGCACAGCTTATAAAGATGGAGGCAGAGCTGGTGGCCAATTGTAAACTTGGCTGTGAGTCTTAATCTGGAAAGTATATCAGTGAATGATGCCAAGGTTGAGACGCCATTCTGAACCATAGCTTGCCCTTTGTCATCTCTATCATTCTGTTTTGTATAATTTTTTCGTATTTAGTTATTCTTCTGGTGTTCTTCTTTTACAGGCGGCCCATTGAAGCAAATTTTCATGCCAAAATTGCCTCTTTTACAGCATTCTCTTTTGTTTTTTAAGGCTGATCTTGAATGCCGATGAACACTGCTGTAATATAGCATTTCAGGTATTTATTTATTTACTGATAAATACAGCGGATGAAAGTGTTTTAAAAAAAAATAGCGCATTTTTAAAAAAAATAATAAAAGTGTTTTCTTCAGAGAAAACCATTTACATTTCCTCGCCGTTTAAACCTGAAGAAAAACTGCTATTTTTTTGCTAATTTTTCTCTGAAAAAGCCAAGAAATTGGTCCCTCGAGCATTCCATGCAGAATTAGTCTCATTGACTCTGGATGGTGCCCAAGTTGAGGGACCCACCGATCATCTTCTATGCTCCAGACAATTTCATTCACTGATCCTCTCGTTCTTCAGGAGGCCGACATCTGTTGAGGAGATCTTGACAATCGACATCAAGCCTGGCTGGAAGAAGGGCACCAAGATCACGTTCCCCGAGAAAGGCAACGAGCAGAGGAATATGATTCCTTCCGACATCATCTTTGTCATCGAGGAGAGGCCTCATGGGATCTTCAAGAGAGATGGCAACGATCTGGTCGTCATCCAGAAGGTCTCCCTCCTCGAAGCTCTGACCGGGTACACTGTTCAGTTGACTTCCCTCGACGGCCGGGCTCTGACCTTTCCTGTCAGCTACATTGTGGGCCCCGACCACGAAGAGGTGGTTCGGGGAGAAGGGATGCCGATCGCTAAGGACCCATCCAGGAAGGGGAATCTGCGGATCAGATTCCAGATCAGATTCCCAACCAGGCTCACCCAGGAGCAGAAGGCCGGCATCAAGAGCTTGCTGGCCTCCTGATCGGGTGAAGAGGCCTGGTTTGAAGCTGATTCTTTTGGTTTGACTTTGCTGTCCCCCTTCAGGCTATAAGATCTGATGTTGTCCCGCGGATCTGCCAGTGTATGGGAATGCTTTGCGAGTCTATTACCACCTAGTGGATGGTGGATTGCTTCCTCGTTGACTTTTTTGTGCCCAGGCCCTTGATCTCTTCTAGCTATCAATTTATTAAAGTACGTATAAGTATATCTCCTTGCATCTAGAGAGGGGCAGAGAGAGAGAGAGAGAGAGAGAGATGGAGAGAGAAGGGGGAGAAGACGCCATCCAGTATTGGACAGTATTGTAGCTCGAACCTCGGTCAACGTGGAACTTAGAATTATTTCAGAGCCCGAATATTGTCGGGCATTTGATCGTGCAATTAATGGCAGACATATTTTGCACGGTTTAAACTTTTATAAAATATAAATTATTTATTTATTGGTTGGTTCAAAATTGTGCCTTTTTATCCCATCAAAATGAGGGCAAAAGGGGAAATAGAGGCGTATCTACGAGACCAATTATAGGCTAATGTCATGATGCTTTTAATGAGAGATGTTTATAAAAAAGGTTTTTTCACAATAAATAACATTTAATGGATAATTTGTCATATGTTCATAATTAATTGTAGTTTTCGAAAAATCTCCAGAATGCCCTTCGTTTCTATTTCTTTTCCGTTCTCTATCTGGTTCATGCCCATTCTCGAATGTTCCTGCATCTCCTCCGATCTCTCCGCTCCGAGATGGGAGTGAAGAAGCGGAATCTGGTGCTTAGATCGCTCCGGCGACCACCGGGAAGGTTGCTTCCGCTCCCCCTTTTGCTACTCTTTCTCTCCATCTGCTCTGCCGTCGCTGGTTCCTACGTTATTGTAATCACGAAGGACGACCTCAAGGATCCCGCCACTGCCCCGTCAGACGGCGGTAAACCCTCGGGAGACTCTGCGGAATGGGAGGAGTTCGGTGATCCCGAGGCCCAGTCCGAGGATGAACTCGATCCGGGATCCTGGCGTCCAATATTTGAAGCCTCCCACGCCGCCTCTAACTCGAATTCATCCTCTGCCGACGACTCTCATGATTTTCCCTACCTCTCCAGCATTAGAAAGGTGCTTTCTGCGGTCTCCTCTGGTGATATGGTGGCCATGGAGGAGGCTGTCAACGACATCGGGGCCGCTGCGACTTCTGGATGTCCCCACGCCCAGTCTACTTTGGGCTTTTTCTACGGTGCCGGAATTATGCGTCCCCACAGCCGCCCCAAAGCCTTCCTCTATCACCAGTTCGCTGCAGATGGAGGCAACATGCAGTCAAAGATGGTCCTCGCTCACACATACCTGCGTCAGGAGGTGAACGCTTTGTTTTAATCGGCCATCGGCACCAACGTCTCCTCGTTGTCTTGTTAAAATTCTTCCGCTCTTGTTTTACAGATGTACGAAAAAGCTGTTAAACTTTACGAAGAGCTGGCAGAGGCTGCTGTGGCAGGCTTCCTGATATCAACGACTTCACCGGTGCTCGAGCCCGTCAGAATCCACTATGGCGCTGAAGAAAATAAGCGGGGACTCCGGAAGTCCCGTGGGGAAGAAGACGACGACTTCCATATCATTGAGTTCCAGGCTCAGAAGGGGAGCGTTCTAGCTATGCTCAGGATCGGCAATCTTTACTACTTTGGATTGCGAGGAGTTAGACGTAACAATTCGAATGCACTGTATTGGTTCACAAGGGCTGCAGAGAAAGGGGAGCCTGAATCGATGGAACTGCTTGGGGAGATCTATGCAAGAGGCGCTGGGGTGGAGAAAGATTACACAAGAGCAATGGAATGGCTTGTACGTGCAGCCCGGCTGGGACATTTTTCAGCATATAACGGTATTGGATATTTATACGTAAAGGGATATGGCGTGAAGAAAGACTATACAAAGGTAAGTTGCTTCTGATATGTCAAATTTCTTCCTTACGGCTTTAAGTCTTGCCATTGCTGAAAGAATGAGTTCAGAATGTTTCCTTTTGGTTACTTGATGTTGTCGTCGAATAAATGCTGAACTTACGGTTTCGTGACCAAACTTTCCCTACATTGGGGTGTCTCAGCATTCTCTGAATAATAACCAGATCTCACCCTGTGTTTGAATCAGCCACACGTTTATGTCTTTATTTATTTATTTATTTTTCCAGAATTCATTTCAAAACAATTCCGTTCCGAAACAGGTTAGAGGTGTTTATCCTGAAAACTTTTGGATCGCATAGAATTGTGGTGGTTATTTTTGGAAACAGATGTATTTTGATGTAAGTAAATATCATTAGTTTAAAAGTTATGATTATTCATTATCCTGAAGGCAGCTATTAGGATATTGGAGCCAATACAAAGAAGATTTGTGTTGGTATGGTATTAGAAATCTAAAGAACGAGATGTTGACGGTTCAGAAATAAGATATGGATACGAACAGACGCCTTGGTGCTGTTAAGTTGTTATGAACAATTGGAATGAATTAGAAATGTGCTGATGATAGGTACCCTTTTTCGCTGATGAATCATACGACAGAATCCCGTTTTAAGGGGACAGGTGATTGGAATTCATCCCCGTAAGAGCTATTTTATAAACTTTGTGGGTAATAGAGGATATTATCTTAATGGTTGATTAGGTGTTTGGTCCCAGAGCAATGGGAGGAGGTTGGGGCCCTTGTTTAGATGAAACATGTGGGAAGACGAGATTGAACAGCTTAAATGATCGGGATCGATGTTGAAGATTTCAGTTACTATTGTATTTTCTACCCTTTCTCAGGAAGGTGAGCTAAGGGCGAGTGTTAGATGGGGAGGTTGGGTGGGTGAGGGAGAAGGGAAGCGATAGAAATGGAGACTAATCATTGGTAGACTTTCATCTCTCTGTTTTCAATAATTGTCATTCTAAAGTTGAGTTATTGATTAATTTCTTAATGGTTGTAATCAGACACTTAAGCTTTTTCTTTCAGGCAAAAGAGTACTTTCAGAAAGCTTCTGATAATAAGGTGGCCGGTGGACATTATAACCTAGGTGTTCTCTACCTCAGAGGAATTGGTGTTGAAAGAAATGTGACGCTCGCATGCCAGTATCTGCTACTGGCTGCTAATGGTGGTCAGCCAAAGGCACTCTATCAAGTTGCCAAGATGTTTCAAATGGACATTGGCTTTAAGAGGAACCTTATAATGGTAAATTTCCAATTTTTAGTAGCTGATTTTAATAGGTTGCCACTGCTATATTTTTATTGATTGCTGCTCGCCCTATTAATTTGATGGGAGGATTTATTTATGCTTCATTTATTCTTTTCTTCAGCAGCAGAGATTACACACATGCATATGTATAGAAATATATGTGCACACATACGTACATGAAAGTGAGGTGGATCTGTCTATAAAATAGGTATTCATAAAGTTCGTTTAGTTGGACAGATCTCCTACATATAGGATCATTACCTTATTTAACAAAAGAAAATGAATATTCTTGTATGCATCATCAGAGCATAAAAATTGTTTGATCCATACAAATCTACCCCAATAGTCCAGTTCTTCTGGTTTGATAATGATGCGATCTTAATTTGAGAAACTGAGAGCACGAAAAAAACACCATGACGAGAAGTATATTCTCCACAAAAAAAAAAAAAAAAAAAACCCTTAACGACAAGTGTCTCACAATGGAGCTTATAATTGCTCTTTGACAGAAAACAAAAGAATTTACTGATGATTACCAGCCTACAAATGTTATTGAACGGTTGATTTTGCCACCTCGCAAATACTGTAAATATTTGATGATTAATTATGAAAACTATTTATTCGCTATATAATGTTGTCCGGACTGATGAAACATTGTGTAAGGTCCTCTTCTAACTCTCTCCGACGCTCTTGGGTCCATGTCCTAAGTTCTGCATTGATCCGGAAGAATTCTGGCTGAATCTACGAGGGACACACTCTGATGAGAAAATTCTTATGATCTGGGTCTTTCCAACGGGTTCTGAAAGCATGCTGGCTACGGCGGAGTCCTCTGTGATATGTCATGTCCAATTTGAAAGCATTCATTTCTGTCCTGGGCATATTTGCATATGTTTATATTTCATCGAGAAAATTCAAGGAAAACAATATCACTCTTTCTTATATTTCCATGTTTAGTCACAAATCAGTGCATTACTATTTCAGGCGACCCTGATATACAAAATAGTTGCCGAGATGGGCCCCTGGAGCTCGCTATCAAGATGGGCCACGGAGTCTTATGTGACGGGCGACGTGGGCAAAGCACTGCTTCTATACTTGAGAATGGCCGAGTTGGGTTACGAAGTGGGCCAAAGCAATGCCGCATGGATTCTAGAAAAATACGGGGAGCACAGCATGTGCATTGGCGAATCCGGGTTTTGTACAGACGAGGAAAGGCATCTCCGTGCGAACTCTCTGTGGTGGCAGGCGTCTGAGGAGGGCAACGAGCACGCCGCGCTGCTCATTGGGGATGCCTACTACTACGGCCGGGTACGTTCCTCCCCAACCTCTCAGAGTCTCTCTCGTCAGTCTCTCTGGGCCATGGGTCAATGGCTTGATCAGAGCAGCTTTCATTTAGTTTTATCAAGCATGATGCGAACTCGGTCAACTTCTTTCCACGATAGAACTTGTTATGACACTGGTTGTCAACTTCTTTAGTTTTATGGTGGGTTTTTGGGACAGGGGACCGAGAAGGACTACGAACGAGCGGCGGAGGCCTACAGACACGCCCAACATCAGATCAACCCTCAGGCAATGTTCAACCTCGGATACATGTACGAGCACGGCCTCGGGCTTCCGTTTGATCCTCATCTGGCGAAGAGATACTACGACCAGGCCGCCGAGGTTGACCCGGCAGCGAAGCTCCCCGTGGCGTTCGCCCTGGCGAGCTTGTGGATCAGAAAGAACTACGCCGGCAGCTTCCTGGTGAGCTTTCTCCACTGCTTCTTTTTTTCCCTTTTTCATTCACTGACTTTTACAAAGAAAACAAAATATTTTTTCCCCCCACCCTGAATCCTACGATCAGCCACGTGTCACCGCCTGCTCAGATGGCTTCCAATGACTGGCTGTTCAGGTCAACGCGATCGATTCCCTTCCGGAGGTCTTCCCCCGGATGGAGGCGTGGGTAGAGGAGGTCGTCCTGGACGAGGCAAACGGCACTATATTGACCCTCTTCGTCTGCCTTCTCACGGTTCTATACCTCCGTGAGCGGCAGCGCCGCCAGGCCGCCGCCACTTTCGCCGCCGCCGCCGCCGCCGCCGCCGTCGCCGCTCCCGAGCAGGTAGATCTCGAACCCATCGAACCCAACTAGCCCAGCCCGCTTGCAGTTTAGAGTAGGAGGAAGGTGGAAGAAAGTAGAAAAGAGGACTTCATGTACTAGTTCCCCTGTACAAAAGGACTCTTATTCTTGGGAGATCACCCGCTAAATGCTACGTCACTGCTCTTCGCCAACTTCCTGGTTCCAGTTACAGGCTCTCTCTCTCTCTCTCTCTTCCTGCCACCTGGCTAAGTAAGAGTCTGTCGATTGCGTAGTTCTCTTCGGTGGAAAATGGTGGTGTTTTGGAAAGCTGGATCTCCAGTGTTTGTATTCTTGGTACGCGACAAAAGGAAAAGGGGTTGTGTTGGTCGGGCTGGTTGGGTGAGGCTCGGACCCTGTAAAGAGCAAGTGGGCGGCTTGGCCCATTTTCTCTCTCTCCTCCGCCAGCAAGTATTAGCAAGGGTACGAGAGCGAGATAGAGAGAGAGAGCAGTGGGGGTGGGACCGAGCTAATATACGTCGGCCCGTGATCCAATAAGAAACGAGGATTTGCTCTGAAAAATGGAGTACATACGCAATTTTTTTATTTATTGGGCGCTAATGGGTATCAGAGGAAATCCTCTCTTCTGTCTTCCTGATCTTTGACGCAGACTCGATCTCTCTCTCTCTCTCTCCCTCTCTCTCTCTCTCTGTGGAATTGGGTGGAGTAGCGGGTCTCTCTGGTTTCCCTCCTTCCCGCCCAAGCTCTCCCCTGGTTGTTTTCTCTGCTGCGCCATCTCTGGTGCAACCGAGAAAAGTTCTACGTGGCGGAGGATCCGTCTCTTTCATTCACCGCTGCCATGGAAATGGCCGCCTCAAATCCCCGGTCGGTCGAGGACATCTTCAAAGACTACAGTGGCCGTAGGAACGGCATCGTCCGCGCTCTGACCTACGGTGACTCCCCCCACCTTCTCTTCCCGCTCTTACGGCTTCTCGATCCTCCTCGAGATCTGTTTTTGTCCGTCTGTTTTCAACCCTTACTATGTTACGCTAACCTCGTTGACGTTTTCCGCCAGATGTGGACGCGTTCTATGCACTCTGCGATCCTGGTGAGATCTCACTCTCAGATCCGTTCGAGTCCAGGTTTTCCCATACTACTATGATATTTCTTTCTTCTCTCATTTCTACTTCCCTGTTCTCAGAGAAAGAGAACCTCTGCTTGTACGGCCATCCAAACGATTCCTGGGAGGTGGAACTTCCCGCGGAGGAGGTGCCTCCCGAGCTGCCAGAGCCGGCCCTGGGAATCAACTTCGCGAGAGATGGCATGAACCGCAAGGACTGGCTCTCTCTTGTAGCCGTGCACAGTGACTCGTGGCTACTGTCAGTGGCTTTCTACCTTGGGGCTCGCTTCAACCGCAACGAGAGGTAACGTTCTTTGTAGATCGGTGCTTCTGCTGTCTAGTGATAGCTACCTCTTGAATGTTATTCTTTTGCGGAAGATAGGTAATTCGGCACGTCGCCTAATTTTGATGGATCAGATGTCTCTGATTTCCATTTTATGCCGTTTAATTCATGAGTATCCATGCTCATGTCTCGTTTATTTGTCACTTACCGTTGTTACGTCATGTCCGTTTGTGAAGCCGTCAACGAATTGACCTCTATGTTCGGAAATCCAGAAGGCCTCCGTTACTAGCATAGTCCTCAACTTCCAGAGGTCTCATATTGCACTTATCGACGAAGATCAGTGACTTCGAAGTGGCTTAAAGCAACGTGATTTGAGCTTTCTCTTCCAGGTGATTGAGAGGATGAGCATAGTATGATGGACGAATAAGTTGGATTCAGTCTTGCATCACTTCTGCAATATTTACTATTTACCTCAATGGTGAATCTTCTACATCCATAACGGGAGAAGATGTTCATAATGTGGCTCCTCCATCCTATGCTGTTCTGTTTGGTGACAACATCCCTCAGTGATATGTGACAGACCGCAGAAGGACTGGAGTAAATCAGAGAATTCGAGTCATGCCAGCAGTGGGACTTGAAGTTATTTGCCCGCCTACAATATGCTGATGATGGTATTTTCTTTTGTTGAGGAAGGTTGTGCTGTCCTGTGATATTGGAGCTCTTCAGAGAAGTCACTAGATTGCTAGTGAAACGAGAGAGGAACTTGGTAGTAGATATGCTTGTTAATTATAGAGAGCTCAGGACGTTGTGTTGTTTCTTGGCTATGAGGTGTGATGTTTTCTAGCTTTCTATTTGGAATTGCTGATCACTGGGTATACTATTCATCAGAGATATTACATGAGGCTATCGGAGAGATTTGAAGATAGGTTCTCATATTGGAAGAGTTGGTTTCTTTCCCATGATTAAAGGTTAGTTTTATTTAAGCTTGTGTGGTGTCCGACTTGATGATCGATTTGTTGGTTATTATTCTTAAACGTGTAGGCTCTGTCAATGGAAGTCTTTTCTGACATGGAGAGGAAATTTTTTGTTGATGTTGATATGATGTCTATTGGTGGAGTGTGTGTGCAGAATAAAAGAGAGTGACAGTCTTGGCGGAATTAATATCATCGGTTTCAACCTGGCTTCGTGTGGCAGGGTGACTGTGGAAATTGGTTAGGGAGTAAGGCAGATAGTGGCTGAGAATTATTTGGCAGGAGTCATGCAAAACAGTAAGATTCTGAGGACTATCGTCTTAAATTTCTACTGATATTTCCTATGAATGGAGAAATATTTTGAATTCTATAAGCGTATGGGTGGAAGGCTTTTGTATCTGTTGAGCAACGGCCAAATGACTTACCTTTGAGAATTTTCCTACAGGGATAGTTCCAGCTACCCGCCAGAACAACAGAAGATCATTGGATGATAGTGGTTGAGGCTTTGATCATAGTGCTGTGAGAGGGTGATCGTTTCCAATCTTGAGGAGATTGGATTACTTGAAGCCAATCTTGATGCTTTTACCTAGTGTTTGCTACGGATGTCAGGGTTGGACTTATGGGCCTGGGGGGAAGGATGTAGTATTCCTATATAAACCAGCATACTTCTTCGTTGTTGTTGAAGGAATCAAGCATCACATGGCACCTTCAATTCGGGGATCCCCATCCCCTTGGAAAGTGCTGATCTGGGAAAGTGTTGAATAACTCGTCATTTCGATAACATTAACCCCTCCTGCAGCCTATCTGGGGAATGAGTGAAGCCCAAATTACTACTCTAACCAGTAACTTTGTTTTTCACCTGTCACCGAACGGATATCTCTCTCATCAACCGGTTATCGTCGTTGTTCTGTGTGCAAAACATGCTTATCGGCCATGCTAGGCTAGTGTCTTCTGATCAAACTAGTAAGGACGTCCTTAATTTTTGGAAATGTCACTCTTGTCTTGGAAAAGAATGATTTCTGGCCTACACAGAGGTCAATTGTGCACATGAAGATAACCATGCCCTTTAGTCGTATGTCCATCAGGGCCTAGTCACTGCAGATGGAAGTGGAAACACTTTTGTTCTTTGGAAGATGATCATAGTGGGTCTTGCCATTTCGGAATTAGCACTCGTCTAGAAAATGAAAGTGGATATTAATCGGGCCTGGTTGTCAATCTATAGGAAATGAGAACAGAATACGTGGAATATCCGTTCTTGAAGAGTAGGGTTGTTTTTTTTTTTACATTTTTGGAAATAAATAAATTGAATGGAGGACTCTGAACAAACACTATGTTGACTCGTGACTATGAGTTCGACAGTCTCCGTTTGACTTCGTTTCCTGCCGGTTTCCATTTCGAGGAAATTTTATATCTGGCGTTGTCCGCAAATGTCGGAGAGTAACTAAAATGGAACATACCCATCATTGCCCACATCTCCTTTACTGCCACCGCTAGTACTTATCATGCATCAAGTCTCTCTTCCATCGCTCTGCCCTCCAAAGTTATTTGACTGGTTTGACCCGCTTTCTGTCAGCATCATGCCATCAGAGTTCCCAGCTCCTTGAAGGTTCTGTCGAATCCTGTGGAGAAAGTTTCCTGGACAAATTATTTCCTACGAAATTTCCATCTTTTCAGTCTGAGAGACGACTTTTAGTTTATTTTTACGAGAACTATCATCATACCGTCAGAAACATCAGGTGGAAAACATCTTGAGAAGGCTTTTTGTTGGGCTGTTTTTCGTAACAGGAAGCGCCTCTTTACCATGATCAATGATCTGCCTACCGTATTTGAAGTGGTCACAGATAGGAAACAAGCCAAGGAGAGATTCAGTGCTGACAACAGCGGGACCAAGTCCAAACTCACAATGAAGGTACGCAACCCCCCCCCCCCTCCCCCACATTACTAAAAGGGGAAAGATATGCCTCCTAGAATAGTCCCACATCGGAAAATGCGATCCCATGGAACCCACACACTCCAATTGAACAGCTCCGCATTATATATTTATACGCATGTTAGAGATCCTTGTGCTTTAATTGGTTTTTGGTTGGAGTTCTTCTACATCAGTTATTTAACATGTTAGAGCTCCTTGTCTTGTGACTGGTTCCTGTGCGTGCGTGCGTGCGAGCGTATTATTCCCACGTGATGAAAGCCCTCCTGCACCTTGCCCTTTTCTCCTTTTCCCCTTGTTGGCTGCCTTCCTAGCGCTCGAGCAATGGGCAGGTGAAGAATGGCGACTTGAAGCCCGGGGAAGAACGCCGCGGGGGAGAAGAAGAGGACGAGCACAGCGAGACGCTCTGCGGGATATGCGGGTCGAACTACAGCGCGGACGAGTTCTGGATCGGCTGCGACGTGTGCGAGAAGTGGTACCACGGCAAGTGCGTGAAGATCACCCCCGCCAAGGCCGACAGCATAAAGCACTACAAGTGCCCCCACTGCAGCAGCTCTTCCAAGAAGGCCAGGTAGCAACCCAGGTAAGATCATAATCGCTTTCTTCTTTCTTTTTACTTTTTATTTTCATGAAAGCTAGTAGATAATAGATAATAATCCCTCCTATTAAAAGCTCTTGATTTGGTTCGCTTCGGTTTGCTTTTTTTAAAATAAGAAAAAAGAAGAAAAATGGGCTGATTTTTTTTTTTCCTTTCCTCCAGCGCTTGAAGTTAGATTCCTAGGCGAGATGACACTCCTCTCTCCTTCCGTGTGGATGGATGGATAGATTAATATGGACCTCTCTTCCGGATATGCCCTTTGACTCGCCGGTCAACGGCTAGCGCCCTGATTTGGACCTTAAAAAAATCCCTCGAAGAGGATCTTTTTATAGTATGAAGAACAGCAATCCCGCTTCATTTTGGTATCCGTATTTAACTGCAGTTATTTTTAGAAAACAAATTTAAAGGATTTTAATAGGCAGAGTCGTACCTTTCTTTTTGTTGAATATCAAGCTCGTGGGGCCCACATACGAGATACCAATCTCGGTGCCAAGTTAATTGGCGATCGGTGCGGTGGAGTTGAGCGAGCCGTCCCTCATCAGCTTGACGCTGAGGCTCTTCAGCCGCCCCCTGGAGTAGTGCCTCGAGGCCTTCCTCCAGTCGGTCCCGGTCTTCATCATCGCCACGAACTCCCCGTAGCCGATCCTCCCGTCCTGCATGGCCCAACACATCTCCCAAGCGTTGACATCGATCGGAGAAGACGAAGACTAGACGGAGGAGAGTTGAAGTTGACCGGCGGTCTTCTTACCTTGTCGGTGTCCACCTCCCGTAGGATGTCCCCCGCCACGTCAGTGCCGTCGTCGGCGCCGTCCTCGGCCAGCGCCTCACGGAGCTCCTCCGCTTCGATGTAGCCGTTGCCGTCCTTGTCGAAGAAGGCAAACGCCTTCCGCAGGTGCTCGTCGTTGGCCGTCCTCTGCAAGTGGAGAGACACCGCCACGAACTCCCCGTAGTCGAGCTCCTCTTTCCCATTGGCGTCCACCTGGCCCCCCTCGTCCGAGATGAGCTGGCGTTCTCAGACATGTTCCCCAAAAAAGTGGGAAGGGTGGAGATGGACGTTTGACTTACGGCGTCGATCAGCATTTGCAGCTCCGATTCCGCCCGCTGGGAGCCGGACTTGGCGAGCTTGTTCTTGAGGTCTTCGCTGGAGACGACGCCGTCGTTGTCCGTGTCCATTAGCTTGAACATTTCCCTAATGCCTTCGACTTCTTCGGCGGATAGGTGATCCGCAATGACCTACCCAGCAGAACATTGGCCATTTAAGAGAGATAGATAGCTAGCTAGATAGATAGAGATAGAGAAAGAGAGAGAGGGACAGAGGGCGAAAGGGAGAGAGGGGGATAGAAATATATATAGATAGATAGATAGATAGCTAGGGAGAGAGGAAGAGAGAGAGATAGAAATATATATATATATAGATAGATAGATAGAGAGAGAGAGAGAGAGAGAGAGAGAGTTAGAGAGTTAGAGATAGAAAGAGGGAGTGAGGGAGAGAGATAGAAATATAGATAGATAAAGATAGAGAGAGGGAGTGAGGGAGAGAGAGAGATAGAAAGATAGAGAGAGAGAGAGAGGGAGAGGGAGAGGGAGAGAGAGCGATAGAAAGATAGAGAGAGAGAGAGGGAGAGAGATAGATAGATAGATAGAGAGTCTGTGAGTGAGAGAGAGAGAGAGAGTGAGGGGGAGAGAGAGAGATAGAAAGATAGATAGATTAAGAGAGAGATAAATAGAGTGAGTGAGAGATGACGAAGACGGAATATGGAAAGACTTGGAGGACTAACCATCAGGGCCCTCTTCTTGAATCTGTTCATCATGGAGAACTGCTTAAGCCTCGAGGTGACGACGTCTCCCAGAGGGACGTTGGGGGCTTTCTTGGCGTTTTGGATCCACGGATGCTCTGCAAGTTTGACCAACCACTAAGAGCTGTTATCAACTGAAGGTCAACGCATGGGACCAGACATCACCTTCATTCCCTTAATCGGGTCTCCGTCTAATCGCAGCAGTCTACTTACTTTACTTCCCCACCGCAGAATAATAATCATAATAAATATAATAATCATCATAATAACACTAACAATAATAATCATGATAACACTAATAATAATCATAATAACAATAATAATAATCATAATAACACTAATAATAATCATAATCATAATAACACTAATAATAATCATAATCATAATAACACTAATAATAATCATAATAACAATAATCATAATCATAATAACACTAATAATAATCACAACTGTGATCAGAATGGAAGAAGAAGTGGAACAAGAGGAGGCCATTTCAGAGTTTAAGCATATAACGCTCTCGGCATAATATCACATTAATTAATCGGAAACCAAGAAGAAAAAGGTACCCACAGAGATGCCATGAACTGAAGTGATGAGGACTCGTGATCATGATCAGATGATCCACTGTGTTTCTCAGACAGAACCCCAATTTGCGTAAAGCATAATAAAATAAAATAAAATAACAAAATTTCCACTTCTGCTTCTTTACTCTTTTTACTCTTCTCCTATTTTTTCCTCTTTTATGCTTTTTTTAAATTTTGGAAAACCCGATCCAATATGCTACATAAATCATGAAAAATAATCTATACTCCTGACGAAGAAATATCATCTTCTGAAGCGGCTAATAGAAAGAGATAATCTTATAAAAGGAATGAGTGTGTCGTACCAAGAACTTGCTTCGCAGTTAATCTGACTTTAGGATCGGATTCCAACATCTGCCGAACCAGATTCTTGGCATTCTCCGAGATACTTGGCCATGGATCGCGTTTGAAATCTATTGCCCCTCGAAGTATGGCTTGCGCAACGCCCTGCTCAGATTCTGGAAATCACACAAAGATCGTTGTTCTTCAGATCGAGCATGCACACCGCAAGGACTCACATCGAGATCCATCAGTGAAAGGAATATCTAGCATAAAAACACCAGTTATTCCACAAATGACAACCGGCCACGCATCTCTCTCTCTCCCTCTCTCTCTCTCTCTCTCTCCCCAGCTGGTAGTGACAGGTGCATCTTTATTTTCTTTTATTGTGAGGGGAAAAATAGAAAAAAAAGGGAATATTCTGAAAGATACTACAAGAGGGTGAGGGAGAGAGAGAGGGGAGTCAGGTAATAACTAATAGCAGTGAAGGGCCCAACTATCTGACGCAATGGGAGAGAAGACAGCATAGATTCACACACAGGAAAGGATCTTACCAGCCCAGAAGGGAGGTACCCCACATAGTAAGATGTAGAGGATGACTCCCGCACTCCATATGTCTATCTCTGGTCCATAGTTCCGCTTGAGTACCTCAGGAGCCATGTAATAAGGGCTTCCAACAATTTCTGAGAACCTGTCACCTAGAAAATGACGAAGGTAAGGTTGGCCTCCAACAACAAGTGGATGGAAACGAGAAAAAAAAAAAAGGCTTCAGCATAACCATAAAGATGAAACCGAAGAAACTAATGCCTCTCTCTCTCTTTCTCTCTCCAGATCCAACAAGCTCGTAAGTCTCTTCCCAAATCATCCTCTCTCTTGCATGCCCATCGGTATCTCTCCTTGCTCTCTCACTCCTGAAACATCCAAGGAACTCACCACCACCCTCTTATCCTTCTCCAACCAGTCAGATCCAAAAATACCATCTTGCTTGTTTTTCCTTGCTGTCATCTCCCACTCTTCAAACTTGGGATAGGCAGATGCATGCTCAGCAAGCTGAGTGGACTTGATGGATGAGGAGGATCTGCCTCTCTGGTACATAATTTTTATAACGAATAGAGGCAATGAAAGATAAAAGAAGGAAGAATTCAAAAACTGAGTTCTCTGCCTCAAGGGGCGATTGATATGGTGACTATAACATTCATACAAATATACAGCAAGACTACATAGCTCCTGTGGATAAAATTTCGATGGTGAAAGAAATGGCACAGCATCACATCAACGGATACCTCCAAACATTCGAAAAAAATGATAATTTCTAAAATGCATGGAAATATGCAACGCATTATCTAGAAAAAATGAGTAGACTTACCAATGTTTTACTCGTAATCGAATCCTCCATCATGAGGAAGGAAATGTTCGAACAAAGCCAAATTGAGTGACCTTTGAAGCGCTCTGGTTACCCCATTTTCTTTCTGTTTGGTCTTTTCCGCCGTCGTTCTCTCCAATATTCATGAACAGTACAAGGTCCCACCATTCAACTGGGTTAGAGAAGAAGGGAAAGCACCAAAGAACTCAATCCTTGCTTCATGAGCTCCTCTCTGAGATCCATGATTCACTTCTCCAGTAATCTGGGACAGATCTCCCCGGGAAGGTACCCTAAGGATCGATTCTTCTATGTTGGAAGCCATTTTCTCATACTCGTGAAAAGGATTGATCTAAAATACAGTGACTTTTCAAGGCAATCGAGAAGGATATTACTTGTCACCCCAGCGGGAAGTATCATCCATTGGAGCCACCATATTTTTGATTTTAGATAGCATAAAAAGTACAAATGTATCATGAAGGGGATGAAACAAAACTTATCTACAGACATTTCCTTAAAACGATTAGTTGATCGTGGACAGAAATAGCTTCTGAAGGAACTTTCTTTTGGAGAATCTCTGTCTCGTGAAAAAAGAATATGGAAGGCATACACCCATGACCCTTGGCTCCCTACAGAGAAAATATACTCCAACTGAAAGCAGTTGTGTATATCTACGTCAATAGTTTTCTCTATCTGGGAGGATCACATGTTCCATATGCATGGCATACACTACACAACCTTCTATAGACGCGATCAAAGAATAACTGACCACGTACACCCAAAAATGGACATGGTTCACGAGGAAAACTCCAGACAATAAATATGGATTGCGGAAGCAAAATAAAGAGAAGGGAGTCCAGCAATGTGGAGAAACAATAGAAAACATGAAGCTTCATAATCCGCGCTAGGCAAGATCCAAAATGAATATGTTGATCCACAAATGCATAGCATAGAAGACATAATTTACCGATGAATTCGATAAGATCCAGAAAGATTCTTAACTGGTACCTACCCTGGTTGAAGAATATTGATAGACCAAAGTCAATCGCCTTCAGAGGGGAGTTCTCCTTCTTGTTGGCGTACAGAAAGTTCTCCGGTTTAAGGTCTCTGTGGATCACGCCATGATTGTGGCAAAGCTGCACTACCTCCACAATGGTGCGCGTAACAGTAGCAGCAGCTCGCTCCGTGTAGTGGCCTCTTGCGACGATCCGGTCGAAAAGTTCACCGCCCTCGCAAAGTTCCATCACCAGGTGAACGGCGTGATCGTCCTCACAGGCTTCTCGCAACCTCACAATGCTAGAGTTTTTAGGCAGGTGACGCATGATGGCCACCTCCCTGCGGACATCTTCTATATCCACCGCCGTCCGGAGCTTCCGCTTGGAGATAGATTTGCAGGCAAAAAGCTCACGGGTCTCCCGGTCCATGCATAGATAGGTGATCCCGAATTCCCCTCTCCCCAGCTCCCTGTCCATCAGGTACTTCTCCTCGATCCCCACTTTGGAGGTGCTGTAACTTCCATCCTTGAGTACCATCAGCCTCTTCTGGCCTCCATTGCGGTCACCACCACCACGAGCACCACCGTAGCCGCGACCGCCACGTGGCCGGTCGCGGCGGTATCTGGACTGGACGTCCTCCTTGGCCACCGCTGCCGGGGAACGGCAACAGTTCCCCATTCCACCGAATAAGCCTGCTGTTCCGACCCCTTGTCCTTCTCTTCAGGTGCGCACAGGCGTAGAGTCCTACAGCTCGAGTCCGTCGATCCCACGGTTTTCAGCGTTACGAATCGCCATGACCGCGGATGAGAACCGCAAGGTGCAGCATTCGGCAATCGACCTCAGGAGGGGTGAGGAACGGGGATGATTTTTATCTCAGAGAAGAGTCAAGTGCCGCAAGCGATCAATCCCTGAGACGGCTGATAAATCGGCGGCAGGGTAAGATAAGGAACGATCTGAGAGGGTGAGGATCGAGGGGGGAGAGAGTACGGAGGCAATGCCGGCCTTTCGTTCTGCAGTAGAGAGGAACTACCGTTGAACCGGGGCATGGACTGGCTATCCCGTCGCCGTGTGACATTGTCTCCGGCACCACCACCGCCACCGCCACCGCCGCCGCCGCCTCCTTCAGGTGCGCCACCGTTGTTCTCCCCTCTGCCGGCCGACCATGGCGCCGCCCCCTGAGAAAGAAGATCCAGGTGCCACACCAGTCCTGAGCAGAGAGTAGAGGAGAGTAAGAAGGACGATACCCGTCGCCCCCACCTTCGGTCTAAAACAGAACGTAGTGGTCTGCAGTGACGGAGCGTGACATTACCGCCCCCCCGCTGACACCGGGTCTCTTCGGCATGGATCGCTGGCTTTTTTAGGGGGTAAACAGTCGGTGCGACCAACTATCGGTGATCGTACCCTCCCCATTTCTTTTCGATACTTTAACCGAATTGACAGCTTGAATTCCCTCCTCGACCGTGTGAGTTACGTGTCAACACCACAGAAAATCGGATCGGGTCCCATAAATAACCAGCGGAAACCCGGAGGGTCAGTTGTGGGCCCACTGTACATGTTAGATTTTAGTGGGCATCTAGCATTCCCTTAATGGGTGTGTTCGGCGGGTATGGCCCACGTGAAACGAGAATATCCAGCCCAGTTGCCCCAAGTGGGTTGGAAAGGGATTCCGTGGAGGAACGACAGAGCGTAGACTATTCAAGAGTCAAGCTGCCCTTTGATTACGTCATCCTAGGTGCTATTTGTTACTTCGTCCACATCTATAACAAAGCCCTCTCTCTCTCTCTCTCTCTCTCTCTCTCTCTCTCTCTCTCTCTCTCTCTCTCTCTCTCTCTCTCTCTCTCTCTCTATCGACCTATCTATCATATTAGATTTGAGTTCGGCATAAGTGAAACCTATTAACTAGATCTGGCCCCTTTCTACCTTTATCTCTTCTCTCTCACAAGTTGACAGTATCACATCGTTAACCAGCAACCGCCGCAGTATCAACATGATATCAGAGTAGTTCAGATGATGTTGTTCTATCTCATTTTTACAATCAATCGAGAGGAGAGAAGTTCGATTTACCCTATACTTGAAATATGTTTTCTTGGTTATTTTTCTTGATGACTTCTAGATGATTGATAGTGTTTGATGCTTTTTGAGTTTTCTTAAGACCAATCTCAACGTTCCTTACCTCCCTTTCAATGCTTAAGGTCGAGATAACGACTTGATATGTTATAAGGATGATTTTTTTTTTAGTTTTTCTTTAAAAAAATCTGTAATTCTTGATTTGACCTCATTTATCCATCTAGAAAGCAGAAGCATAACATTTTCTAGCATATGATAAGATCATTTTATGTTTGAAGTTATTTACATGGTATCATCATCAACACAACTTATGGAATGTTTAAAATGATATATATAATTTTTAATATATGGAATGAATTTAAATTAGATAGAAGAAACTTGCTTCAATGGAGTGAGTTAATTGAAGTTATCTTGTATAGTAGGAAAAAAAATGCTTCATTTATTTACTTGAAAGCGCCTTATTTTCCATAGGAAACGAGAGAGTTGGATTATCTTTAAGAATTCAAGATGCGACCATTTGAATTAATAGATCATTGATTATATGTTTCAAAAGAGTGGTATAATGACTCATAAAGTCAACGAGAATTACTTATTTATTCCTACAGCTAATAATATTTATGAAATAAAAAATAAAACTTATTAAAAAATATTGTGGAGTACAAATATATAGAATCACTACAAAGGCAATAACTATAAAACAAGAGAACATATTAGTGAGAGGTTATGCAAATGAACTTAAATTTCTATGATAGGAAATCGATAGATATTGTAAGAGAGTCAGAAATTTATGGTAGTGCCACAAATAATTGATAGTTCATCATTTATTATTCAATATAAGGAAAATAAAGACACCTCAACAATATGGTCAAGTGAATAAGGATAATTATAGGGGCAACTTATGATATAACTATTATAACTAAGCATGACATATTAGGATCAATAGTATAAGTTTCATGGTAGACTCTAACAAGAGGCTAAGTTATCTCACCACTATGTCAACTTCTAGGGGAGTGTCAATATCAGCAGCAAACACTCTTATAATTTTAGAAGACTAGAATATTGACATTGAGAAGTTGAAATCAATTATGACATTTAGTATATTGAGTCATTCTAGTGAGAATGTTAAAACCACACAATTTTTATCTACTTCATAGATTTTAGATACATGAGCCATTGACCATATGACTAATAATGATGATATCATAATATTTATGATATTTATGGTAAGACAATGAACAAGAACAAGAGGATTATATGTGCTTAAAAGTGCAAAGGTCTTGAGTATCTTAAAACCTCATGATATACCAACACCATAGAATCAACCTTCATCAAGATGTGGAACTGCCAACCCTACTACACTAAAGGATTTTTTATTGTCTCATTGTGATCTTTTAAATCCATCATTTTAAAACTTTGAAAACTATATTTCTAAAGTTATTATTTAATATGAAAGTAGAGAATTTTGAATGCCTAAGCATAGATAGACCTCACTTCCTACAAGTAGTGAACTAAATTCCATGATTTTTATTTATTCATAGTGATGTTTAGGGACCCTCATTTACTTTTATTATCTTGGGAGCTAGATAGTCCATGACCTTCATATATGATAGCTCGTGACCTACGTAGTTTTCTTTAATAGATCATAAATATGAAGCTAGTAAAGTACTTTAATAATTTTATTTATCAATTTAAAAATAATTTGGAATAATAATTACAAAATAAATAAAATAATATATGAGATTATTTTAATAACATAATAACTATTTTTTTTAAAAAAAGAGTAATTATTCATGAATCCTCTTGTAGAATAATCCACAACAAAATAGAGTGACTAAAAAGAAAAATGATCACATACTAAAAGTAACAAGAACACTTATATTCTAAAATAATGTATCCAAATATTTTTAAAGAGAACCATTCTTAATAGTCATTCATCTTATAGATTTTTTATTGACCCAAGTATTGGAATTTAAGAGCCAATTATAGGATTTATTATTTTGTCCATTTAGGGAGTTGATAAGTTGAAAGTGCCCCTATTTTGAATTGGATAACCCTAGAGGGGCAGATCCTGTGTAGCCACATGTTCAATTGAAAACTAACTTAATTTATAAGATTTTTGAACTTATGTCATATGTCTACAATCAAAATCAAGTCAAAAGATAGTTTGATTTGTTAGCACTAAAATGTGCTTTCATTAGATACTTGAACATTAATAAAAGGTATAAGTATTATCATACTCTATAAAAAAACTTTTAATGAACATTAATCTTTCTTTAACACTTAAATTGTCTCTTGAGAGAGCAAAAATATGAGTAAAGGTGATAATAGAGAACCAGAACTTGGTGAGACCAGCATGGAATTTAATTGTCTCTACACGGCCCTCTTCTTCTGACCAAATACTGTGACAATAAATTTAAATTCATATTGATCAAATACTGTGACAATAAATCCATCAAAAAATATTGTGCACAACTCGATTTAATATGAATTAATCAAATACATTGAGATCAATAAACACTTCATCAAAGAGAAGTTCAATATTGACATCATCTATACACGATACTTCTTAACTCATAAGCAATTAACATATTCTCATCAAAATATTAGATGTACAATGTTTTCCATATGCTCACCTATAAATTGGGATGGAATGACATCGATTCACCAATTTCAGGAAGAATGTCTAAGAACTATATGACATTTGTACTAAAATTGTTCACTATTTAGATATATGTTTAATTTATTCTTATTTAAGTACTTTCTTCATTCGTGGGTGTGTTGGATCAGTGTTTATCATAAATAAAACCTCGAATCAACCTACTATGATGAATTTGGTATAAATATATTATCTATTTCGTCATTTAATTAATCATAGAAATTTGGCCTTCTTTTCTCTCTCCTCTCTCAAGAGCCTTCTCTACCGACTAGTGACCACGGCGACATGAACAAGACTCAATAATCCCGTGTCCTCCATAGGCTTATCTCTCGTTGACGACCCAATCACTTAGATACCCCCTAATTAGAAGTCAATTCACGATATTAAATATGTTTCTTGTATTATATAAAATTATGTATTCGGGTATTTTCTACTCATAATACAATATATTGATCTTAATGCAAAAGATTAAAGCACAATAAAATTATTTTCCAATAGTAATTTTAACTAATTATAATAAATTATCTTCGTCGAAGTAGAAAATAAGAAACTCGATCAAACCCAAGAGCGGTCTCCAAGATAGGCTCTAAACTTGGTTTGGACCGGGTACGAAGCCCATTCCGGCTCAAAATCTAAGAGATAGAAAGAGAGAGATGATACCCAGAAACGGGATTTTATTTAGGAGCGTAAATGTGGCCTGGAACTCTCCTAGGTGGGTTAGAATTTAAGAGGGAGCTCTCAGCGTTGCTGAGGGGTGCCGATTCCATGGTCGCCGCCGCCGCCGCCGCCGCCGCCGCCGCCGTCGCCTCCGCCGCCGCCGCCGCCGCCGTCGCCTCCGCCGCCTCCGCCGCCGCTGTCGTCACCGCCGCCGCCGTCGCCTCCGCTCCCTCCGCCGCCGCCGCCGCTGTCGTCACCGCCGCCGCTGCCACCGCCGCCGCCGCCGATGTGGGGGTCGTGCCGTCTGTTAGCCGACGGATCAGCGTAGTCATCGGTTCCGTCGTTGGTCCTCCCTTCCACCGCCGCCGGGCCACCGCTACCTGCGCCAAAACTACCGCGTCAGGTGAATGAAACAGGGGAGGACCGAGGAAATGAAGGCGACGTGTCTCCTCCTACACCACCCGCCGTCTCCGCTGTGAAAATGGCTGCCGGCCACCGGCGGAAGGAGCGGCGGCGGCCCCGGTGGCGGAGCTGGGAGCTTTACCCGGAACAGACACTGCGCGGCTCGCCGAGCAGACCACAGCGCAGACCAGGAAGAAGACCACGAGGAGCCGTACTCCCCCCATCTCTTTCTCTATCTCTATCCCCCTCGTCCTCTCTCTACATTTATGTCCATATTTATATACATATCAGCGCAAAGGGGACGAAGAATGTCTGACGCCTCCGCCTTGGATTATATGTCAACGTGTAAAGTGCCTTTTTTAACAAAATACTGTATGTGGCATGCGACCATTGGTCTTTCACCGACCGAGGATAGAGTAAAGGGCCCACGTCGCCGAGTCCCAGATTATAGGATGGATTTCATTGGGGAGCTCATCCGCCGCCGAATTTTCGAACCTTTTTGGGAAACCAGCGCCGAAAAACGGCCGCTTTACGAGAGGAGGATCTGTCAGTTAAAGAGATGTTTGCACCTGAAATCAAATCCGGAACCGATCGAGGCCGACCTTGAAGCCGACAGCTTGAATATCTTCCTGCACCTTCGCTTTGAAGTCTCTGTAAGTGAATTCTCTGTATCTGGAGCTCCGAATGGGGCGATCTTCAGGGGGAAAGGCGAAGAAGCAGATGGAGATCCTCTCCTCGCCATTGCTGGCCTGCACCCTGTGCTTCACGCTCTTGAACTGGTCATCGCTAATGGCCTGTAGATTCGGAATTAGGGTTTCTCTCCCCTCCCCCTCCAACAAAATCGGACTGAACTGGTTCGATAATTCTACCTGCATCATGTCCCCGAGGTTGACGAGGAGCGAGCCGGGGAGGGGATCGACGGCGAGCCAAGCTCCGCCATGGAGAATCTGGAGCCCCCCCACATCGCCGTCGCTCACCAGAGTGAGGAGGGAGCTGTCGGTGTGGGCGTCCATGCCGAGGTGGCCGCCGGCGAGAGGGGAGAAGGGGTAACGGTGGAGCCGGAGAAGCTTGCCGGCGCCTGAGAAGGAGGAGGCCCTCCGTTCTCCGGCGAGGCCCAGATCCTCCGCCAGGGTTTCGAACAGCTCCCTCGCTACAGCCGATGACTGCGCCCCGAATTCCTCCGCCAAGCCCCTATTTGGGAGATCAGAGGAAGAAGTAGAAGATGACGATGAGAGTAGGGTGCTCTAGAAAATCGAAACGGAAGTTTTCTTTACCTGAAGTAGGAAGAGTCGGCGCCGGCGGCGGAAGTGGGGGGAAGCTCGCCGCCGAGGGGGATGTTGAGGCCCTCGACCCAGTTGACTCCCCGGAGGGGGAGGCTGGCCGCGGGGGTTCCAAAGAAGTAGGTGACAGGGTCGCCGGCGAATCTGGTCTGCTTGAGCTCGAAGGGGAGGGAGATGAGCCGCTTGGCCTCGTCGTGGAGGCGGCGGGAGAGGGAAGGGGGGATCCCATGGTTGACCAACCGGAAGATCCCCCATTCCCTGCAGATCTCCCCGAGCGCCGCCGGCCGCAGGTCCTGGAAGTCCACCACCGGGAGGTCAACGGAAGGGAGGATGGCGCCGCCGCCGCCGTGGGCGGCGGAGCTGTGGCCTCCGATGTGGCGGAACACTGGTGGGTAGGAAGAATACTCCTCTTCCTCCATCGCGTTGCCGTTTGAGTGAACTTGCTCTCTCTCTCTCTCTCAACTCTGCTCTCCCACTCTCTCTCCTCTTACTTCCACGGCGGCGGCGGCGGCGATGGAGGTCACGGGTTTCCCCACCTCGCACTGGCGGCAGTACCACCACCTCGTTCACACCTCAGCAACGGGGGATATTTCAGCTAATGTAAATATTAAAGAAAAATCGGCTAGAAGCCAAGGATATATTTTCCCTTTTTACTTATTTTGGTAAAAAACCATTTTAACACGCTGATTCGTGTCCGAGCTGGAATTAATGGCGTTAATTAGTACTCTATTATGCTTATTTAATTGCATGTTGAATGACGAAATTGCTGGAGGGAAGATAATACGGGTCAGTAAACCTGTGTAACTAATGACGTGGATTAAATAATCATTTTTGCCAAAAATGGAGGCGGTGGAACGGGACGGGCCGAGGCATGCCCAGCCCGTGCCCGGAACCTTTACAGCTGATGGTGAACTTACCTCCCTTGGTAAACTCGCCTTCATTCAATTGCCTTCGTCTCTCTCTCTCTCTCTTTCTCTGAACTCGTCGAGGCTGTTACGGTGACCACCCCTGGCGTGAGATGTCCTTGGACCACTTGAATGGTTTGTTTGAACAGGAAGCGGAAACTCTTCTCAAGGCGGAGCATTTAGTGCCCAACAGGAAGAGAGAGAAAGATAAAGAGAGAGAGAGAGAGTTCAAAATGAGAAAAAGGGCACACTGTTTCTTGCCCAGTCTAGCTCCCTCTCTCTCTCTCTCGCTCTCTCTCTCTCTCTCTAATGGCTCACCGTCGTCCTGCCTCCAATGGAGGGGCATCTACGAGGCCGTCCGAAGTGGTCTTCATCCTTTCCATTCTCATTCTCTTCCTCCTGCAAGCTGAGAAAGGGGGGCATTGCGCGGTGATCATTGGTCTGAGGAGGCACCAGAGCGAGGGGGGGCGGCGGCGGCCATGGCTGGAGGGCAACCAGTCGCTGGGCTGCGACATCTTCTCCGGGGGATGGATAAAGGACGAGTCCTACCCTCTCTACCAGTCCTCCGCCTGCCCCGCCGTCGACGGCCAGTTCAACTGCCAGCTCTACGGACGACCCGATTCCGACTACCAGCGCTACCGCTGGAAGCCCAGCTCCTGCGAGCTCCCCAAGTCCGCCCCCTCCATTCCCATTCCTATTTCCATTTCCTTTCTCTCTCTCTCTCTCCCTAGAGAATCTCTCTCTATGTTTATATACTGACTGTGAAGGTGGGCGCAGGTTCGAGGGGAGGGAGTTTCTGGGGAGGATGAGGGGGAAGACGGTGATGTTCGTCGGCGACTCGCTGGGGAGGAACCAGTGGGAGTCGCTGGTCTGCATGCTGTGGGCGGCGGCGGGGCCTCTGTCGCCGCCGCAGCTTCTCCGGGGGGTCCCTCTCTCCACAGCCAGCTTCCTGGTGCGGCCCCTCTCTCCCTCTCTCTCTCTCTCTCTCTCTCTCTCTCTCTTTAGACAGGCCATTGAGAGCTGTTGTGGGCAGGAGTACGGGGTGACGGTGTCCTTCTACCGGGCGCCGTATCTGGTGGACATTGCGGCGGAGCAGGGGAAGAGGATCCTCCGGCTGGACGCCGTCGCCGGCAACGGCGACGCTTGGAGGGACGCCGACGTCCTCTCCTTCAACACCGGCCACTGGTGGACTCATAATGGCCCCCTTCAGGGGTATACACACTACTCTCTCTCTCTCTCTCTCTCTAGTTCTCTTACTCCTCTCTCTTACTGGGTGGCGTGGGAATGGTGGCGGCGATGCAGATGGGACTACATGGAGGAAGGGGGATCTTATTACGCCGACATGGATCGGCTCGTGGCGCTGAAGAAGGGAATGAGCACATGGGCTAACTGGGTAGAAGCCAACGTCGACAGAACCAAAACCAGGCTCTTCTTCCTCTCCGTCTCCCCCACTCATTACAAGTAACCCCCTCTCTCTCTCTCTCTCTCTCCTCATCAACTTGCTTGTTTCCTGGGGCCCACATCCGGAGGTTATGGCTATGGAAATAGCTAGACTTTATGCGGGGCCAACGAGAAAAACCCCTTTATGGGCCCGAATATTCGGCCCAAAGCAAGTAGTCATCTGGTGGGCCGTTTCAATTCTAGTGGGCAGTTGAAAACTGTGATAGTGTTTTTTATTTATTTGCTGAAATACTTCCCCCACCTTTTTCTGGTGTTGACCGTGGATAAATGGTGGCAGCCCGGCGGAGTGGAGCGACCCGGTGTCGAAGAACTGCTACGGGGAGACGACACCTGTCGGCGGGTGGGCCCATGGTGGGCCCTACCCGGACCAGATGAAGGTCATCGAGGGCGTGGTGGGGGCCATGAGGAACCCCCCGTATTTACTGGACATCACCGCGTTGTCGGCGCTGCGCAAGGACGGGCACCCCTCGGTCTACAGCGGCGATCTCAACCCCGAGCAGCGAGCCAACCCGGATCGATCCGCCGACTGCAGCCACTGGTGCCTGCCGGGCCTGCCTGACACCTGGAACCAGCTGCTCTACACGGCCCTCTTCTTCTGACCACACCGAGTCTCCTCCTTATGATTGATTGATTACCTCCGATTCGACCCGGACTCGCCCGGTGTGCCGAGTCAGGCATCCACCTCTCGGGGGATGGCAGCCTTGCCCAGGTGGACCAGCTTCATCTCCTCTCTCCATATCTGCGACAGTCAACGCAGTTAGACGGCGGCGATTATTAGGCGAGGGGTCAATGCAGTTGAGTACTGACTATGTCGCGGAATTCGACTCGAATGTGGGGGACGTTGGACTTGTGGACGTCGTTGCCGTCGGGTCCCCGCTTGTAGTACATCTTCCCAAGCCAATGCGACTGGCAATTAAATTAAGCGAGAATTAGTCAGAAATTGGTCAACCTTATCGATAAATGGGAGGATCCGAGCTATCCGGCCTCGGTCAACGACCCGGGCATGGTGGTGCTTCTGTTTTCATACCTTGTGGGCGTGTGAGAAGCCGGACTGGTAGACTGAGTTCCGCGCTATCTCGCAGAGGTCACACGAGCTCAGCTTCCACACCTGCAGGCACGACGTAGAAAGGGTGCTTAAAGAGAACTAGAGAGAGAGTGAGAGAGTGACAGAGAGAGAGGGGATTACAGAAGCCGCAATGCTGTATTCTTCCACCAGTGGTTCTTTCGTCAAGTGGATCTGCAAAGGGTCGTCGGTTGAGAGAGAAACATTGAGGCCACGTTGGAAGAACAGCTGAAAAGGGTTCCGATGATAATCCAGGAACAGGGAGTTGTTACTCAGCGGAGACATCGCCAGACCAATCTGTTCAATGTAAGCATCACTTCTGCGACTCAGAACAAGGTAATATTGCGAAAAGAAGGAAATGAAACTTAAAAGGGTCGATCTCCAACAGGATGTCTTGAGCTCAGACATTGCCAAGCTTACCTCTATGACAAACCAGCTCAAGCCTGGACCTCTATGAGAGGGAGAGGGAGAGAGAGAGAGAGAGAGAGAGAGAGAGAGAGAGAGAGAGAGAGAGAGAGAGAGAGAGGTTGGTGGGTTGAACCAAAATTGGGTAAAGATCAAGCGAGGCGGAGAGCTATTTCTCTTACTAGCATTTATCTAGAGGTCTATGGCTGGTAAAAACCAGGTCAAGCCGAACTTACAAGCTCCATTGGCACCGTTGACTACAAGGTCAAGAATGGTGGGAGCTAATTTCGAGAGCAGAGAAAGGAGTCCAGCTTATATACCTGAGCAAGATAATACAGGTACTGCAACACGGGAGATTTCCTTAAATTGATGCCATGGGCGATGTTGTGGGAGGTGAGAAATGTTGCAGCGAGGTGGTCGATGTCGCCAGCCTGTAAAATGGATGCAGTTCCTGGAATAGGAGAGCGAGGAAGGACAAGAACTAGAAAAATCCTCACCAAGGAGGTATAAAGCGACTAACCTCTCCGGAATGTGGACGAAGCTTGATTGTTGTCATGCCTTTTGACTCGCGAAGCTAGCGAAATCAAGAAATAATGGAATAATTAGTGCATACTAATTTAATCATAATTGAATAACACAATTATTTCCACAACTTAGCAGAATGATTACTAGTTTTAGTAATTTGGATGCTACTTAGGCCCAGTAACTGAAAGAAACTCCGTAAGCTAATAGAGCTTGGTAGATTGATACCTTGTTCAATGTGTATAAGTTTGCGTAGCAGTAGTACACATAATATGAGAATGCGGGATTAAAAATATTGGTCCACTGAGCTGGTGTGGGCATGTGCTTCGTTGGTCGTCTCTCAGGCTTGCTTTCATCATCCACCAAGTCAAATCCCACGACCTGCGACAAGTACCGTAGGCTCATGAAAAATAAAATGCATCCATACTGTTCATATAGATCAGGCTGGTTGATATGATGGTGGACAGACAGTAAAATGTAATGTGGGCACCTACTCCCCCCCTCCGGAACACCCGAATAAATCCGTTGACCATCCAATGTCGGAAAGAATGAAGAACATCTACATTTATGGGTCAACGGCAATGCGGCCTTTAATCGGGCAACCAATAATCCAATGTAATATCAGAGATGGTCAACGGTCATGACACATAAGAATTAGATAAAAAATGGCATTACTTGCATCTAAATATGCAAGAAACAGCCAAACTAGATATACAGGTCCCAAATAAGAGATCACGCAAGAGAGAAGATTTTGTTTAGATCTACTTCCTTCAAAGACTATCTCATCATCCATCTGTAAGCTCCATACGAACTGGAAGCATACTCAAGCACGGCCAAATCAACTCCATGCAGAGAAAGAACAGAACCAAGACTAGGCCTCTGCTAGAAATTTACTGGAACAGTCAATGATGACGAGAGAAAGTGGAAAGAGAAAAAGGAAGACGGCAGCCAGACTCACCTGATTCAAGAAAACGTGCAGCTGAGGATGCGAGTCTGGATTAACAGTTACCTCAAAAAGAGGGAGGAAAATGTTGTCAAGAATGTTCTGGAATGATGTTACAATACCCATGTCCTTGTATATATTGTACAATCGAGGAAACTGGAAAAAAGAAGAAGAAGAAGAAGAAGAAGAAGAAGCAAAGTCAGACTCCAAGCCAATCTGAAAACTGAATAGTTTCTTATTCATATGACAATTTTCTATAAATAATATAGCAATCTGATTATGAGAACTAAGACAACGACTTTCTAACAAACCTGTGTGCCAAAAATACCTGTATCAACCAAACTACGTTTTCACTGTATAATTCATTGTTTACAATCCAACTTGCCAGCTGGTCCCACTCACTTTCCTTCCTACCGTAAATGGATATCCTGTACTCAGCCATCTGCAAAACGATAGTGAAAACAGTAATCAAATACACAGCACATTCATCTCCAAAAGCTTCCACAATCGACCCTACGCTACCTTGAATTCCCATGTGCAACGTGTTTCACAGACTGAAGTCTCACGGAGCAAAATGGTTAGGTTACAGAGCCAAATGGAGAACAAATCCCTAGGAAAATGATTATAAAGAATAAGGGGAGAAAAATGGACGCAATTCACGAGTAAAAGATGACTGCTAGGTCTCTCTACAACCCATTAGAGATCCAAAAATGATCTAATTTATAGATCATTAAAACCCAGTAGAAGGTCACATGTATTGCATGTGATTAGAACCCTTGCAGGATCATTTGGAAGGATACCCATGGCTTCCTGTAGTTTAAGTGCACGTCCAAAATCAATCAACCGCTAGTCAAGACTTGAGCCAGATCATGTAGAAAGCAGAAACAGATGAACGAACCAGGAACTTTGATCCTTGGTTCGTTGAATCACTGATTCAGTCTATGTAGATCAGAATCACGGGTCTCCAGACTAGTTACAACGGGGGAAAGCCCGATCTCACCTTAATCTTTTTTTTAAAACAAAATTAGTGCGAAATTGGTTGATTTCTGCTGGATTAGCTGACCCCAGACTGGGCTGAATAGTTTATTCTCTGTCAATCGTCTGCTTCCACCGGTGGAGGGAGAAGAAGAAAAAAGATGGCAGTAACTAGAAAAAAATAGGGAAAGATGGATAAGAACAGAGGAAAGTAACTCCGGCCAGTCTCCTACCACTGCCAACCACTACAGCCTTTTTTGATTCTCCTACACCTGTCCACAACCCCTCCCTCTCCAAACCGCGAAAAAGACAAAAAAAAAATAGTAGGCATTAGGACATGGCGGACAACAAAGGGAAACTTTTTGTAACATGATTCTAACACATTATAATCACACATATCCCTAGTCTTGAAAACTGTTTTCTACCCTTTAATGTTTCTGGACTAATTGCAGTTTCTCCTGGATCAGGTAATTTGCACCATCCCACTTTAGTGTAATGAAAATAATCAAGTTTAGTTCCAAATGATCATGACTGTATAAAGATATTAATTAGACAATGTGGTTCATGATGTGGCCATATCTATTTAATAACGAGAACATTCATCAGAAGCAAGTAACCAAGAAATTGACTGAAAACATTGTAGTTCAGGAGCACAAATGTTTATAACGCAGACCTGATATTTACTTGCAGCAAGATCAGAGAACACTTCTTTTGTCAGCTCAGCAAGAAAGCGACCTAATGGATGGGATCAAAATGATATTATTAAGGGCCAAGGATACTTAAAAACCATATAATTAAACTCGCGCATCCATGGAAAAGGTAAATAGGGAAATCATGATGAATTGGGAAGAACTCAGGCGTCCGAGATAATGCATCAGAGCTTTCAACTTAGCCAACAGCTTAATAGGTACACTAAAAACTTGACATTCATGGCAAGTCATGCTTTCACAGTCTTGAAAATCATACAAACAAGTGCCTTGTCAAATGATAAGAATTCACGGCCACATCTAAACAATCATTTAACCACGATCACATCACTTACGATGCGAACCAAATATCACTGAATCTATACCATAGGTGCATCACTTAAGACCAATAAATCTTCAAGGGGAATGAATACACAATTCCTGGCATCATACTCCTCAATCTTTAAGACCAATTAATTGTGCAACCCTCAATCTGGCCCTTCTATAGTTTATTGCACAGTGTTTCTCAGCATGTACCTTGAAATATAGTTGAAAACATAGGCTAAAATGACTGAACATACATGATGAACTGAAATAAGCACAAGTAGGAAATAACAGGAATCCACAAAAGATTTAGACTGCAAAGCGCACATTACCCTGGATAAGGTTATCCTGCTTAAGAAAGATTTCCCTCAGCCTACTTTGACCGCAAGGGTTATACTTGAGATTGAACTTATCAAAACGATGAAAGGTACTCTTATCCGCATGGACATCTAACAAGTCAACATTTAGATCGTACCTGTTTTGAGGAAAGAAGAATGACAATTACCAACAGAAACTACCCGTTAAGAATATAAAAAGGAAGTTAATGTTACCCAGTCAAATCCAAGCTTTCGAAGACTTCCTTCAATGTTAAATATGTTCCATCTCGAAATATAACAACCTGGGTAAATATCACATGCGTATTATAATTATTAATGAATATCTAAAGAAAATGTATAAATATACTATACTCCAACTGCCAAAGGATCAGCCAAATGCAAATTTCAAAAGAGATTTCGGGAAATCCAATGCAGTGCACTAGAGCCAAACCCAAGAAATTACTTGGACCAAAAAAAAGGATAAACGTCAGCGTCTTTCGTGATTCTACAGAAGGGAATTTCTTATATACGATTTTCGATAATCAACATCTTGCATCCACGCTATCTTCAGTCACTTTGGACTTTAAAATGAGGGTCAAAGATTTTGGTCTTCAAGAGGAGAGAAATCTTTACTCATTTAAGGTTGGTTCACAATTATCCACTTCATTGCATTCACGCCTTATTCGGTGACTTTGGGCACATTGCGATACCCAACACATGGGCCCACGCCAACTCCTTTTCCTTGTATTGTTTGGAGAGGCCAGGTCATTTGAAACAAAGCTGATTTTCAATCTCTGATTGAAAGAGCCCATGGAGATGATCAAATAATTACAAAGATAATCAGGTCAAGACAAGAAAAATACCTCATCAGGTTCCTTCCTCAGCTTTGATTTTATAAACCTGAGGAGATGCTTCTGATTCATGCATGCAGAATGATGAACATGAGTGTCCACCTTTCTGACGTTATAGAAATCACGATGAGGGGCACTTTTCTGAGCAAGAAATTCGGCATCTGCATTAAGCATCAAGTGCATATTGAATTTCTGCCAAAAATAAAACTTGATCAGTACAATGGCCTCAGACCATCGATATCACGTATCAACATGATACCACATCATCACCTGCTCGAGAAGAACCAGTCGCCGATGGCATACTGTTCGGGCATTACCAGCAGCAATTACCCGAAGAATGCGATGTAAATCAGTAAAAAAGGTCGTAGCATCAGCAACAGGGAAAAGCTTCTCTGATGCTGCAATAACACAGATGAACAGGTGACTCACAGAGAATACCGTAAAAACACCCACTAATCAATAGATAGATGGCTCACAGTTTCTATTTGCATAAACGTGAACGACTCCATCCTCCATTTGAAAGTGATGCTGAAAAAATATGTTTTTTTAATACATAGGAGTTTCCAAAAACGGAAACAAAAAATACCATAACGTTAATGAAGAGATATTAACGGGGAAACAGAAGGAATAATGAAAAAAAGGGAATTGGATGTACTGACATCAGTTTTCTCTTCTGCGACATATGCAAATGGGTTTGCATGAGGCCTTGGAGTGCTGGGGTCTGCAATGACTTCCTTTTGCCACGGAGTCACTTCCTCCTTGAACACATAACTTTCCCTCAACTTGAGGCATTCTTGAAGAGACAGAAAAACCTCAGCTTCATCGGCAGATGGTGTTTCTAAACATTACACAAAAAAGATTAAAAAATGTCACTAATATACAGCAGCACATCTGTCCTCGTCAGTGGGATTCTCTAGGACATTCTTTCTCTTACACATTCTCCTTAGGGCAGAAGGGTTACCAGTTGGAGTAATTTTGAGCGTTATGAAGGTCTCTTGTTCTGGCTCCTTCCTAAGAATATCAGCCGCTATCGGGTCAGGTTGGACACCGTGCAGGTCACCAGAAACACTATGAGATCGGATCATATTAGCCGCTGGTAGTGGCTTTGGTTTTCCGTCAGAATCGATGTGATCCGGTAATGGCTGAAACAAACTATTACAATCAGGCCTCCTTTCACATAGGAAATAAAGTTAGCGCACTATCACCTTAAGGTGATATAAGATGTGAAGAGCAAAAGGCTTTCAAACATAACAAGAAAACACCAGAAAAATTCACTAACAACAAAAAGTTGATGGTTTTCACCATAGGAAGAAAATTAATAAATCAGGATAAATTAAAACTATTCATGAAAAGTAATCGACCTTTAAATCTAAATTGCCGAAGCAGGTTTTACAATAATAGTAAGTCTAGTTTAATAGCTAAGATATTGTAAAAAGGAGAAAAAAAAAGAGAAGAGAACTATCATCTGATAGTGCCATGTTTAAGCCTAAAACGAACCACAGAACTCAAAAGGAATAAAATATGGCTGACTGTAACAAGTAAGAAGAATTAGTAAAATATAGGCACATTAATCTGCTGAAGTAGGCCGTCCTATTATATAACTATTTTAACTGTAAGGTTCAGATGTGATATGGATGTCTACTAATTAACATTTTGTCCATCTCAGGAAGTGATCAACAATAATAAGATTATTATGTCTATCTGTTTATCAATATTTAAAGCATGTCATTCCTCTCTGCAAGATTCTGTATGATTATTAAGAAGAAGAGAAACTCTGCATAAGATTACGTCCTGAAGGGGAAGAAAAAAAAAGCAACACGTTCAGCCCCGGTTCAACGAACAAACAATCATATATATACACCGAATGATGGATGTCTTCATAATTGGTTTTTCACCGCAGTCATTTTATGGGAAAAGGAAACATGCACAAGAAAGCACAAGATCCTCTATCATTAATCTCATAGAGAATCACAGCTGAATCACATATTTAATGAAAAATACCGTCTAGTCATTTTGAAAGAAATAAGTGAGTGGAAGGAAACCAGAGGAAAGTCCTCAAAAATCAATATCCGAAAAAGGACATCATATAATGCATAGTAGATCAGTGAATGTTGTGGCAATGAATAAAAAGCAGACTTACAGCATTTCCATTGGGATGCAGATATGTATTATCAAGGTTAGAATCAGTGGGCAAATTTTCTTCCTCGGTTTCATCAAGGCTCTCCAAGGCACTGGCACATGGAGCAGTGGACTTGGGAGAAGCCGATATGATAGCTGACCCGGGCCTCTTAATTGAATTCGCAAAGGGAGCTGGTCTGTTGTCTGATGCACCCAAACAAGCAAAATAAACCAGCACCAAAAAAAAAAACAAACAAAAAACATCATTCAGTACATAACTCGACACGGTATAAAGTTTTGGTCTGTAGCATGTACTACAAACTAAAAATACAATGTTTTATGAACCTCAACCCACTGACACACGATGATTTTTTTCACTGCAATTCTCATTTTTGCATATCTAGGTAAATAGAAAATAGAAGGCTAAATCTTGTTCCCAGACGTATACAGTCCATCGTATCCTCTTCTAGTCGAGGATACTAATTCGACCCGATATTAGGTATCATGACACTGAGAGGTAGAGTTCATTACAAAGATATGATGAGAATATTCAAAGAAGAAAACAAATACAATAGTAGTGCATTTATAGATTACATCATAGAACTGACGCGGTTGTTACTGGTACCAAATCCCAAAGTTTCAATAGGTGAAAACGCGAATCAGTTGGTATCTACGACTAAAATCGCTCATTTCTATCTATACTTTAACATTATTATTCATCCTAAGGAATTTAGCCCGGTCTTTATCTTTTAGGTTCCAAGGAAGGTGTTTTATAGCATATGCTTCAAACATATTCAGTAAGCCTATAAAGCACCGCTACACTTCATATTCAGAAGAAAAGATAAAATTTGCATGAAAGGAACAGTTATATATATTAAGTTATAAATATGCTTTTTACAAGTATAATTAAGCATGGAATGCCAGGTTTTATTTTTCCCTCGAAAATGTACTTCACTCGAGCAGAAATTGTGCTGATCCATTTAGCTTTAATGAGCACAAACTCACAGAATTAGCTAATGCATGCTGACAACAACTGCCACTTTTTTAACGATTCGCTGCAGGGCAAGAGAGATATAATCAGAGAACGGGACACAAAAGCGTTAGCCAATACTTGTCTTTCTATATATTTGAGAAGGAAATTGCGGATAAAAGGAACAAGGAAAACCTCCCGGACAATTGGTAGATACAACATTAGTGAGAGAAGCGACTAAAATATACGGTGCGCATATATACGGAATTCATGAGTTATGGAGCTTTCAACACAAAGGTGTGCAAATAAACGGTGAACTACGGGCATACGGAGATCCCCACTAATCTCTCTCCGAGCAACAAAATACATCAAGAAAGCTCCGCAATTTTGCTCTAATGGATAGGAGAAAAACCAAGAGTATTCCACCGTTCCCACACTCTGCCGTGAAATTGGAAAACTCATGAATACCTTCGGGAAGCGTGTATAGTCGAGGTAACCCAGGTGGAATACCCGGGATACGGTGATCCACCTCCGACTTCGTAGCACTAAACGCTGAGAACGGGCCATTCATCTCCGCCCGCCGCTCCACCTCCTCGTTGAGATCATCATCCTGGCCATGGATCACTGCCGTCACGTCCGACATAGAGGCAGATCCCCGCCGGCTGTACCCGGCAACCTTGCGGCGAGAGTAGCGTTGCTGATGGCTCCTCCTCCTATAATGCTCAGGAACAAACTCCTCTCCACCATCGCGGATCCCTTCCTCCTCGAGGACGCCCCCGAACCTACCCCTCTCCCGCTCTCGTTCGCGCTCCGCTCGTGCAAATTCCAGCGCCTGAGCCAGTGTCTTGCGATGCGCGAAGTAGGCCGAGAAGGCGACGATGGAGGCTCCCACCAGCGCCGCCATCGCAAGGTGAGCGGCGTACACATCCATTGGCTCCGCTCCGACTCCTCCGTCCTCTGTCACACACTCTGGTTCAGTCTGTAGAACCGAGCGGGGAGGAAAATGAACGGCGTATTTACGTAGACAGATGTGCGGGAGGAGAGAGAAGCGGTTGCTGTTCCATCCAATTTGCCCACTGGACAAAATATTCCCCTGGAATTTAGGAACATTCAAATAATCGACACGGGGCTAATTTTTCCAGAAATAAGCGTAAAAACAAAAATTAACGGATAATGATTTTTTCGAAAGCCGAAGTGGAAGCCTCAGTGGAGGCCCTCAATGTGGAAATGCCACGTGTCCAACTTGTCGCATTCGTTCCACGGGAGATGGGAATCAGAATAAGAATAGCCGCTAGGATAGAACCGGGATCTTCGTGAGATCTAATTCGTTCGCCGCGTGTCGGAATCATCGAATAAAAATATTCGCATGCAGTGGCGTGTGGCGTGGCTCCACGTGCTCTTTTTCTAAATGAATAAAGAGAAGTGGATATATCTAGAGGGAGAGAGAGAGAGAGAGAGAGAAAGAGATGGCATAATGGGGGCATCCACCTAAACTCTCTCTCATTTATTTTTTAAATAACTGATAAAGGTCCGATCTTTTTAAGAAAATATACAACTGCGGGGCAGGGCAGATGAGCCCTCGTAGATTCAATTTGGTTGTTGACCCCCATCAACTGCACTCTCCTATTCCTCTTCTCTTTTCCATTGATGCTCAGTTCTCCAGCAAAGAAGCGGCGATGTTGTGGCAGCTCCGCTGACATCGCCGCTCGCCAAGAAGAAAGGGGTTGCAGCCCTGGTCAATGATGACTCCTGACGTAACGGAAATTTGAAGAATTGATAACTTGATCACATTTCAACTTTGACTGTGTATTCTAAAAGTAAAATCACGACCTTAGAATTTAAAAGGAACGTGTTTTAGTTGAATCTACAAAACGAAGAGATTTTACTCCTTCAAGTTGATCATGAGTCCACAAGATCGAAAATGACTCCTTGAGTCCACAAGATACTAAAAATCACTAGTAGAAATGAAAAACCTCCAAAAAGAAAGGGAACTCGAAAATTAATTCATAAAAACGTGTCTTTATAGGCCGAAAATTAATTATAACTAACCTATAAGGGGAAATTTTGTTATGATCCTAGAAATTAGGGAGAAGAAAATAGATGAAACCTTCTAATGAAAAAGGAAGATTATATTAGAAGGCCCCCAAGAAATAAATAAAAACGCCTTAAATAGAATAGAAAGATTATTTTACATGAATAAAATGTGTGAATTTTAAAATTTAAGGTCACTAAACATGTGACCAAATCTCTTAGTGGGCCATTTGAAGTTGAATTTAGACAAAAGATAGTCTTCACGTCTCTTGAGTTTCTAATTCACTTAAGTTGGTCTAAAACTTCATTGCACTTGATTCTATTACTTTTTAACCTTTTCGACATAGATCTTATTAATTCCTTCACTTAGGTTAAAATTTTACATTTCTCATTTTTTATAGTAGTTTTTGGGCTACATCAATCTCTCCTACTTGCAATAAACTCGTCATTGAGTACGTATTGAGAAACATATTTATTAGTTTAATATTTGAACTATATAAGAGTTGAAACTTTGACTTTGCCTTCATGTAATACTTCTCTATCTATAGTTGTAACTACTTATACGCATAAAAACATAATTGAATATTTTGTTGAACCTCAACTTTGGTGGCAATACTTAATTTTCATAAATAAATGGAACAAAAATTCTAGATAACCACTCTTTATGCTGAAATTCATTCCACCAACCTCAAATACATCATTTATCTTTGTAAATTCATGGGATTATTTTGTTGATGCTATCAATTGCTCTAGTAGAGAAAATAATTACTTTTCTTCATTACATAAAATATTCAACATAATTCGACTATCAATATAGTCAATATATTCAAATATAGAGTTGGGAGGTACTACTGAGCCCACTAGATTAGCTAGCAACACCGTGTACACAATGTTATCACTCATTTTCTTTAAAGTAAAATTTGCTTCTTCTCAATTAAAAATTTTCGAATTTTATTCCACTTTTATTTTTTCAATCTTTTCCTTTTTCTGTCTTTTTTGTGTCTGAAAAGCTTTTGAGAGATTGAAATGTGAACTTTTGAGCATCTCTATGAAATACATATTGATTTTTTCTAGAATTATATGTTACACTTACTTGAAATTGCCAAGGTCCTCCTAACAATATATGATAAAAATTCATATCAATTACATCACATTATATTTTTATCAAAATATATCCCATTACATGAAACTTTCACCAAATAGGTTTCTATAATATCTACATCAAAATCCTTCTTTATCTAATCACACTTTTATGGATCAAGGTGTTTCTTAGTCTTTAACCCTAATTTCTCAATCACATAGGATGAAATATAATTTACATCAATGCTATTATGAATAATAACATTAACAACTTTTTTGTAAACACTGAATCTTATTTTAAAATTTTTGTGACATTCTGACTAGTTATATTCAGTACCCATAAATGAAAAATTCGTCCAAAAATTACTACCTCAAGTAGATTTCTATATGTTGATCAAACTTTAGAGAAAATTGACAAAGTAATGTACTGTACTAATAATGTCAAACATCAATAAAAAGTGAGCAAAAGTGAAAATAAAATTGACCTAGCGAAAATTTGAAGAATAAATAACTCGATCACGTTTTAACTTTGGTTGTATATTCTGAAAGCAAAGTCATGACCTTAAATCTAAAAGGAACGTGTCTTAGTTGAAAACTCCTTACTGTGAATTCATAAAATGAAGAAATTTGCCTTTGAATCCATAAGGGGTTGTTGATCTTGAGTCCACAAGATCGAAAATAGCTCCCTAAGTCCACAAAGATATTGAAATCCACTAGTAGAAAAGAGAGAACCTCTAAAAAAGAAAGGAACTCAAAAATTGATTCATAAAAATGTGTCTTCTTAGGACTACAAAAGGGGACCTATTTATAGGCTGCAAATTAGTTATAAATAACTTATAAAAGGAAAAATCTGTTATGATCCTAAAAAATAGGGAGAAAAAAAAATAGATTAAATCTTTATATAAAAAAGAAGGATTATGTTAGAAGGCCCCTAAGGAATAAAAACGCCCTAAATAGAATAGGAAGATTATTGTACATGAATAAAATGTGTGAATAGTAAGATTTAGGCTCACTAAACATGTGACCAAATCTCTTGATGGGCCATTTGAAACTGAATTTGAGCAAAAAATAATCTTCACTGATGAGCCTGAACTGAAGAAATAAAGAGTGTTAAAAGCTCTGTGTTCTGCTCTTGTAATAACAATGAGAATATAATTCTATTACTTTTTACCTTTTTCGACACAGATCTTATTGGTTTCTCCACCTGGGTCAAAAACCTTCCATTCCTCTAGACTACATCAACTCCTCGCCGTCTATGAAATGAAAGCCCAAAGCCCAAGAAGACAGACGTCGAGACGACGAAGAGGGAGACCTGTGCTCAAGGAGAGTTTGACCCTCTGCAAATCAAAGAGGGAGAACGAGTGGTGATAGCCAAAGGGGGAGGTGTGATGGTATCTCACAAAACCACGAAAGTGGAAAGAAAATTACTGAAGAAAACAGGTTCTGCACTTAGATTACAGAGACATTTTCGAAACACCAGAAACAAAGATCTCCACGGAGCGACAGGTGGAGAGGTGCACACTCAGACACGGTCAGACCTATAAGACAACAACACGATGTGGAAAAAGAACCCTAAAGAGTTGACCTTTCAGTTTCTGGTCGGAAACTGGGACTCATCGAAGAAGAACCCATATAGAGTTGACCTTTCAGGTACTGGTCCGAAACTTAGACTCGTCGATGTCGATCCCCTCCTGCTCTGCGCGCTCCCCGCCGGACTGCTCCGTAGTGCTCAGCCCGCCCTTCCTCCCCATCTCCTTGTAACCCTCAGTCCCCAGCTGTTCCTTCCTGGTCTGCCCTCCACGGCTTCCCATCTCCTGGTAACCTTTCGTGCCCAGCTGCTCACTCCTGGTCTGCCCTCCATGGCTTCCCATCTCCTGGTAGCCCTCCGTGCCCAGCTGCTCACTCCTGGTCTGCCCTCCGCGACTACCCATCTCCTGGTAACCCTCTGTCCCCAGCTGCTCCCTCCTGGTTTGCCCTCCGCGGGATCTCCCTGGGCAGCAGAGAGGTGGAAGTCAACGCAATAACTCGACGAAGAGGAAGAAGAAGAAGACAAAGAAGACTCGGAAGGACGAAGACGACGAAGGACGCGAAGTCAAATCAATAACTCCACGAAGAGGAGGAAGAAGACGGAGAAGAATCGTAAGGACGAAGACGACGAAGAACGGAGGGAGAATGAAGGAGGGACCTTCTGCGAGGTGCTCCTGCGCCTCCAGGCTCCTGCCCCCAGTGCCGCCGGGTACGACGGTCTCCCCCTGCCTCGCTCTTGCGTCCAGCTCCTCTCTCTCCTGCGCAGACGCCATCGCTCTCCTCGCCTCTACTGGTGAGACCGCTGTGGGAGATTGAGATATTCATAGGCGACTGGAGGCGGCGGAGGGTCGCCGGGGACGATCACACGTGTCGGGAGTTTCTGACTAACTCAGCCTAGTATCGACACGAAACCTGATTCACGGAGAATACAACAGCTGGAAAGCTTCGCCGAGCTGAAGGCGGTCGTCGCAGAGCCTCTCTCTCTCTCTCGCTCTCTCTTTTGATAACAGCATCAAATTTAGAATAATATCGAAAAATAAAATAATTTTAAATTAAAATGTACAGGAAAAAATAATACTTTTAAGAATAAAAATCTGTTAAATTTATCACATTAGAATACATAATCTGGTACGCGTTTCTTATAAAATTTAAATTGTTATGTAAATATTTAAATGCAAGATTTGCTCTTCTTATTGGGGTTGAGTTGGACACAATCCTCCTCCTTGGATGGCCCAATAAATTTGGGTCATTCAGCCTAGCCCAACTACGCTCAGCGAGGACCAAATGTTTGAGTTGTAATTTTGAACCGGCCGGTCTGAACCGGGCAGGGACTGACCGCGACCCGTTCACCGGCTCTCTATATATACGCTCGGAGGAAGTGAGACGAGAGACGGTGAGGTGCCCTAATAAGTCTCCAGCTCTTTCATCGTCGTCTGTGGCTTGTCCGTCTCATCTGCTGCGTCTGCCGTCTACCTGCGGAGCTAAACCTCCTACGTCCCGATAGCCCGCAATAGATAATCTCCTACGTCGACCTTGAGGAGGTAAGAATCCGTCATCTTCTTTCTTTCCGCCGATATGTTTTTTCGATTTTCTTTCTGTTTCGGTTTTTTTGCTTGTTTCTCAAGTTTCTGATAACATGAGGGCGCGTTAGGGTTTTACAGATTGTAAGATGTCGGACGACGAGGTCCAAGAGGAGAAGGAGTTGGATCTCTCATCCCCAGACGTCGTCACAAAGTACAAGAGCGCCGCTGAGATTGTTAACAGTAATGTTCTCTCTTCCCGTTGAATTTTTTCCCCACGTCCTATTCATCCATATGGCCTTCCATGCACTCTTTTCACAGCTTTTATGGATATTCAGTCTTGGCCTATTTCTCTTTATCGTCAATGCAGAGGCTCTTCAACTGGTTATTTCTGAATGTAAGCCGAAGGCCAAAATTGTTGACCTATGTGAGAAGGGTGATTCCTTCATTAGAGAGTAAGTTTTGTCAACAATTTTTTGCTTTTATTGTTTCAAGGTTTTTTTGGTGTTTTTTGAATGTGTTTTTGTTTGTGGGGAATTATGAATAATTCATGCTTTGACGTAGGCAAGCTGGCAACATGTATAAGAACGTGAAGGAAAAGAACGTGAAGAAAAAGATCGAGAGGGGTGTTGCGTTTCCTACATGCATATCCGTCAACAATACCGTGTGCCACTTCTCACCTCTTGGCAGTGATGAGAGTGTCCTGGAAGAAAATGATGTCGTTAAGATGTTAGTCACTTGATTTCGGTTTGCTACTCGTTTGATGCCCTTTGGTATATGTCTATTCGGTGTATATAAAACCTGTATGCCTATGCAGAGATATGGGATGCCATATAGATGGCTTTATTGCTGTAGTGGCACATACTCACGTGCTACAGGAGGGACCTGTAACAGGGAGAGCTGCTGACGTGATTGCTGCCGCTAACACTGCAGCAGAGGTCGCTTTAAGGCTTGTTAGACCTGGGAAAAAGGTAATTGTTTGGCATCTGTGTATCATAAAGCTTGCTGCATTTGTTCTGCAAGGTTATAGGTATGTATGTGTATATATATACCTTTTGTGTTTAGATCAAAATAATTAAAAATTATCCACGGTAGCAATCACATTGGATTGGCGTGCATCTCATGGACAGAGATGGTTGTCCTTTCCAGAGTTTTTTCTGTCATGGATACATCAAAAGATAAAGTTATAATTACATTTACCAATATATTGATGTAGATCATATGGTTAGGTAGGCAATTTCTGTCCCCGAACTGTTACGATATTGATTAATACTTTGGATTTATTCCTAGATTTCCATGGTTTGATGCTATCACCATAATTTCTATTGCCTTGCTAGAAAATCAGACTCTGACTATTTTAATTTTTTCCCGATGCAAAAACATTGCTCTATGTTTTGTGATTAACATTCGTGTTTTAAAATTTTTTGCTTTAATATTTCTACAACATGTATTATTAAAAAATGTTCTTTTACCTGTTCAATGCTATTGATTTTAGTTTATCCCGTGAAAAAATGCTGTCAACACTGCTCATCATTGTTCTTTTCTTGACGTTTTCTTTGAAAGGAAACACGGATGTGATTTACTTGTGAATATCAATCAAAATTTAGTTTGTTTGAGGAAGACTTTATTTTTTTAGTTTTCTAATGTCTCTCTGATTATGTAATATTCCTGCTACGCATTTAATTGTACCCTATTTTGCTTCAGATGCCTCACATCTGTCCCTAGGAGTAGATAATTGACCAGTAAGTATGTGGTCACGTTATCATTTAATATACTGGGATACTTTTGAATTTCAGTGTATTAAACACGTAAACTTACGATGTTTTGTCAAGGCCGTAGTGGGTCTGGACAGGCACCAAAATTTACCCACGACTATAACACTGGCAGAGTGTACTGTTGTCCACTTTTTCAAACGCTGGGAGGTTTGAAGGTGGCCCTAAGTCTTCAATGCCATCAGTGTAGCGACACTGAACTCTTTAATCTATCTACCATAAGAGTCAAACTCTTCTGCTGAAATATTTTCCTGAACTTTATGGATTCCATTCTCCATAACCCATTTCTTTAATAAGCGAAATTGGCGATTGAACGAGGAACTATGTATTGTTTCCAGTTTTTATGCACCCGCCCGGAGAGTAAGTTATGTTTTCCTGTTTCAGAACAAGGATGTTACAGAGGCTATTCAGAAAGTCGCGGCCGCGTATGATTGCAAAATTGTCGAAGGCGTGCTTAGTCACCAGCTCAAGCAATTTGTGATCGATGGAAACAAGGTTGTATTGAGTGTCGCCAGCCCTGACGTGAGAGTTGATGATGCAGAATTCGAGGAGAATGAGATTTATGCGATTGATATTGTTACTAGCACGGGCGAAGGCAAGGTAACGAGATCCATCTGAAGCCGGACATGCAATACTAGGGTCACTAGATGGATTCGCTATATCTGATATGAGGCTATACAAACTGCAGCCCAGGATGCTGGATGAGAGGCAGACGACCATTTACAAGAGAGCTGTGGACAAGAACTATCATCTGAAGATGAAGTCCTCGAGGTTTATCTTCAGCGAAATCAGTCAGAAATTCCCAATCATGCCTTTCAGCGCAAGGTCTGCCTCCACTCCCTTCATCTCCATCTTTACAGATCCCTAATGGTGATGAGAACACGTCTTTTCTTCCCCTTACTAGGGTGCTCGAAGAGAAGCGAGCTCGGCTTGGGCTAGTGGAGTGCGTGAACCATGATCTTCTGCAGCCGTATCCTGTTCTTCACGAGAAACCTGGTATGGTATGCTTGCTCAAACGGGGGGGATATGTGTTGGCGTTTGAATGCCCGAGTGAATGTGTTTGTGTGTGCATGCAGGGGATCTGGTTGCCCACATCAAGTTCACCGTCCTGTTGATGCCGAATGGATCGGATAGAGTCACCTCCCACCCGCTGCAAGAGTTGCAGCCCAATAAGACCGTCGACGACGACCCTGAAATCAAAGCCTGGTTGGCTCTCGGTACAAAGACGAAGAAGAAGGGCGGAGGGAAGAAGAAGAAAAGTACGTGCTCCCGCTCCCTCTCCCTCTCCCTCTCCCTCTCCTCGTTTTGTTTATTCATGAAAATATGAATAATTCTGCTCTTTTTTCTTCTCTCGAGTGCGATTTCCCGGCTATGATAATTCACAGAAAATAAATAAAGTAAAGTGGAGGGAAATAAATAGAGAAATAGAGCAGCTCCTCCATATCAATCAGGAATTCAGCATCATCTAAGTGACCCACCATCTTTTTTTATATTTTTTAATCTCTCTTTCTCTCTCTATTACTCTCAGATAAGAAAGCTGATGCCAAAGACGAGCCCGAGGCCATGGACACCACGGGTGCAGACGCCACCCCGGCTCAAGAATGATGGCACCGGAGAAACAGGCCTTCTTCCCTACTCCGACAGCTCTCGACGGGCCCATGGAGAGAGAGAGAGAGAGAGAGAGAGAGAGAGACCGCTCCCGGCGGATTTAACATCCTCACAAGTCGCCCCCGCCCTTCGCCGAGAAGCGGTGTCTCCTCCACAGGTGCGGAGTAGATAATTCCGAGGGTTTTTCCTGAATTGTTGTCGGTTAAGTCCCAGGCTCTGAGCTGATGTACTAGTCTAGTAATCATGCCGAAGTCACAAGGCAGAAGGCGTATTTATTGGTGACGCCCCAACCAACCCCTCTTGGGAGGGTTTTTTTCCGTTTCAATCGCGATATGAAGCTTTTTTGTTCTGTCGGTTGGACGCTTTGGGGAGCGCCTCGTTGTCGAGACTTTTCTCTCTTCATGGAACTCGGTTTTGTTCTGCTCACTCTCCCCCCCCCCCCCCCCCCGCCACCAACCGCCGTTTACGTTTAAATTTATTTATTTATTTATTTAATAAAGTCCCTCCCCTCTTTATTTATATAATAAATTTACTTCGAAGTTCTCGTTTTATTTTTTTTATTTATGTACATCGAATAAGCCGTTTTATTTACTTCTGGTTTCTGGGGGAATTTCTCGCTGTCATCCCTCTGCACTCTGGGCCGGGTGATGGGCCATGGTTCTTGTTTGGGGCTGGATCTTACGGGCCACGGTCCCTCTTTGCGAATAGCACGTGAGGAATGACGGGATGGACCTAGACCGGGGAGGTGATCATGTGACTCAGGAGCTCTCTCTGGGGTAAGAGAGCAACCCCTCGCTGTAGTTTAGTTCCCCAATTTTCAGGAGCCGGTAGACTGAGACAATCATCACTGGCGGCTGTCCCATTTGCTTTCTCCTCTCTCTCTCTCGCTCTCTCTCGCGTTGAAGGTTTGAACTTTTTTCTATATATGGATATATGTATATACGTTTTAGAGAGAGAGAGGGAGCTCAAAAGGTGTTCCTTAGTATTCATTGTTTTGGGCACAATAGACAAGAAGCGGGGGTGGGAGATAACATAGACTGGGTGGTGTTTCGTATACAACCTCTGGGGTCCTCTGTACAGCATTCCGCAGGAGCAACGCGAATCAGCATCAGCTTTGCATAATAAAAACAAAAAGCCTGAAGCCGAGTAGGAGCCTGGGAGGAGAACACTATAAATGAGAGACAGAGAGCGGGTGCGTGATTTAGAATGCTGCGGTAGATGAGGGGGGTGGGGGGGGTGGTCAGGCCATCTTGAGAGCTCGCTGCAGCTGGGCGAGCGCCGAGGGATGAATCCTGTTGATGGCCGCGTTGAACGCCTCCTGGCCGTGGAGAGCCGCGCACGCTTGCAGATTCTCCCTCAGAATGTTCTCCAACGACAGCTGCTTGATCGGGTCCGACGCCCTGATCTGCTCTCATGGCCACGATCCCAAATCATGACACACAAACACACACAGATGCTAGAGAGAGAGAGAGAGAGAGAGAGAGAGAGATGTGCCCTTCACCTGTCTCTTCCTCAGCTCTTTGCTCGGTATGCCATTGTACTCGAAGCCCTCACTCAGGGGCCCAGAAGAGCTGGTGGTGTCACTGCGCCAAAAACAGAAAAAAAAAAGATCTTTAGCTGGGGATGAACACAAGAATTTGCTCCGGATGGTCGAAGAATCACCTGGAGTCTTCTTCGCTTGCTTCTTCGGATCCCCCTAAGATGACGCTGGTGCAGACACTGGATCAGAGAGAGAGAGAGAGAGAAAGAGAACGGGCCTGAGTTCTTGGTCTGGAGAGAGAAAGAACGGGTCCGAAGACACCTCGCGAGGGTGAATCTGAGCGTACCTGAGGATCTCGTCGAGTTTATCCATAACTTCGGGCAATCTGAGCGTCAAAATAATCGTCAGCGCCAGGGCATACGTCTTCCGTTGGACCGCAGTAACGCTGTCGATCTGCGATGGGGAGGTTTCAGCACAGAAGAATGGATCAGATCCATGAAATGTGTGAACCCACGATCATATAAAATGGTCCCTCGGAGGTGGATCACAGTGAGACCATCACCCAGAAATCTGAAGTCCGTTGGTCTATCACATCAGAAGCACAATCATTTATAGCAGTAGTAGCCCGCCCATCAAAATAATTAACACCAGACAAAAAAAAAAAAAAACTGAAGCTTTACCGAGAATTCTGGTAGCCACGTTGTCGAAGGATAATGGAAACATAAAGAATAATAGACGAGAGGCCGAGGCAAGCACAGTAGGATCATAATCAAGGAATTATAGGAGAAAGTCAAAGGAACCAGCTTGGTTAAATGATTACCCATAAAAGTAATAAGCACCAGAAAGGTAAGTTTTTACAGAGATTTGCATGAAAGAGAAGGGGGGGTTCTTGCAGGGTTACGAAACGGAGTCTTACCCTATCCAGCCATAAGTCAACGAGACAAAGGAGGACGTTCTGATCGATAGAGAGCCCTGCCTGCTGAAGCACAAAGCCGAGGGAGGGTTCGGAAGCCAAATGGGCGAGATAGCTGGTATTCAATATCAGAAGCCTCGCTATAATGGCCCCACAGGATGCCCGAACTGATACTGTAGAAGGATTAAGGTCATTCCCCCCACTCAAGCATATGGCAATTAACTTCTACAGAAACAAACCATACGCCAGATGCATTGGATCAGAATGCAGCAAACTTCATGGGTGTAGACCCAAAATAATAAAATAAATGGTGAAAAAGGAAAGGAGAAGTGTGCACGTCAAGCCCCAGTTACCTGAAGAGTTCCATAGATCATCGGTGGTGCTTCCATGGGAAAGCACTGCAAGAAGAAGAAGAAGAAGAAGAAGAAGAAGAAGAAGAAGAAGAAAATATATAATTTCCAACTGCTTGGAGTTACATAAACGCAAAATTATCATCATTATCATTATCTCTCATAATCCCAAATTTTTTTTTATCATGCAAGTTGTTGGAGATATTCCAAACTATGTAACACGAATGATTTGAGAATTATTCTCTCCAAATCATCACTAAGCCCGGCACAAAACAAAAGTATATTTATCTTATAAAATTTGGACAATGCTGGATTATATTTAAAAGAACAGTGAAAAATACGATTGGCTTAAACTCCATCCAGGTTTTTCTTTAGCGTAAAAAACTGAAAAAATAAATGACCTTATGGCACAGCGCTATATCAAGTGAGTAGCCTGTAAAGGGCCTAGTGTCTCCTTTGATCGTGTTTCCTTAGAGAGTATCCATCCTCCCCCCCCGAAAATAAAGAAAAAATAAAAAATTGATCGATCTCCACCACAGCTTGGAAGGCTAAACTTCCCGAATTTAGCTTCGCCTTCCGCCACGAACTCAGATCCATGCACTGTAGCCTTCCCCGTCCTTCAGAATGCAAAAGAACATACCAGAAAAAAAAGACTGACTCGCCTTAATCCTAGTCAGAGATTGGCATGAGTTCGCTGTCTACATGAATAGTTGAATGTTCAATGTGCGTATATGAGGCTTGGTATGAAAACAGATAAAACATAGAGCTACGGATGTAGATGGCAATCATTAATCAAAATTTTCAGCGAAAAAGGAAGTAACAACATGACAGTTAGCGAGTAATCAAATCTCTCAGAGAACAAGTATCATGATCTCATGAATCGCAGAAATAAGTGCCAGAGATCATAACAAAAGCTGACAGCGTGAATAGAATGTTCGTCTCTTGGGACACATTTTTTTGGTATTTGTATCTGCGTGTTCCTCTGTTTTACACGGAATTTTTAGACAACACGCTTAAAAACGATCATTAAAGTAGATAATTCATAATTCTTCCTCGAGCCATAATCAATCTGCTAAAATAAAGCTCAGATTTCAAAGGCATTCCAAGTAAAGTACCTGGACTAGAAGATCAATTATAGGTAGTGTTGAGAGCAGGCCCTTGTCATTAACAGTGCCAACAATGCCTTCAAGAAGTTTAGCTAAACTTGAAGAGTGCCTGTTCAGGAACTCAGATCCAGCAGATATTATGTAGTCCTCGATGATAATGATGGCTACCTGCACAGTGAAATATAGAAATGAATCATATATGATGAAAAGAGAAGAAAATTAACATATAAAGCAAAAAAAAAAAACAGATATAAACGCTGTTAAACATTAGATAACGCCGAAAAAAGATCCCTCTAAAAGCTTTCGTCTAGTTGCTCTCAAAGCCTCTTATCTCTCTCTTCACTCCGGTTCTCCTCCTCATTCGGAGATGTTTTCCCACAAGGTTCTGGTTGTCAAAAGAACTTTCATTAGACTCTTATTTTCATTCTTAACAAGGAGGAATCTTGGCGCCTTAATGGACGAGAGGAAGACCATTATATTACAAGATTTTATCCCACAGTAATCGACATTCAAGTCTCGAGTTCTAAGACTGAAACATTTTGTATGCGGCTTTACAGGGCTCGTAACCACAGTAGGTGAACGCGAAGATTGTATTTGGATTGAACTACGAGATTCGTGGCACCCTGGTTCTTTGCTTGTGGAACTAACAAAATTATATTTTTAATCTGGCACAGGAAAAAGACGAGATCAAGAGATGAACAGTTTCCATGGACCTTGAAGAATTACAGACCTGGATTATGATAACAGGATGATTCATCTAGAGCTGTGTTAAAATAATAAAGGTGGGAATCCTGGCTAGATTATCTCAAATGACTTTTTTTTCACGCTCCAAAATATACATGGATTTAAAGATACAGTTGTTGAGTGGAGTAATGAAGAGGCAAGTACCATTATAGTGAAATTCATCAGAAAACCGAAAACACCTCAGACTGCTCTCTTTCATATACACTAAGGCACTTTCTGGTCAAAGTACTGATCATCCACCACCACCACCACAGGATCTTAATTTCGGGGATCTTGGCAGCAAAAACTAGAAAGTATCATCAATTAATATAGACATTATATGGAGAGAATTTCCCAATTTTAGAAAATTTATGTTTCGATTAAATATTCCTCTTCATCTTTTATTTCCATTACATTCCCCGTTTTTCTTCAGATTACAAAAGTTTGTGTAATTTAATATTCTCAACGCTGACTATTTACAAAAGTGACCAAAGAACATAACAATCAGAGGAAGAGCGAAGTAACCAAGAATGGCTTATTCCCTGGCAATGCATCAAGAGATAACACGTAATATACTGAAAAAGGATGACAAGCATAAGAATTAATATTCAAATTCATAATCTTTAGATGAGTGAAAGAGCAATCCCAGAAGAAGAATCCGACCTGTAAATGATCAAAGTTCCGTTCCATAATGCCTAATAAATAGGGAAAGAAATCTAGTAGTTGAGGAATCAACGACGGTGCATGAGAGAGAGTGGCTTCCCATAGCTGCAAAAAAACCATATCCAATTGGATAAATCTAAGCAGGTAGACTTAACCAATAATTGGAAAGGACTAAAAGGTTGTATACTGACCAATACACTGTCTTCCAAAAGGTTGAGTTCATCTGGATTATTTATGTCAATTCCCTTTTGAAGAATAGGTAATAGCATGTCATAACAAATGGGTGACTGATAACCAAGAGAGTACACAAAATTCCGCAGTGCAGCTAGAAGTTGAATTTGGAGTAAGCTTTCACCAGTAGACTCCTCCCAAATCTTTAAAAAGAAAGGCACCCAACACAAATTCATTTACCATAAAGGTTATATATACACAGGAGAGAGTTCCCTTCTGTGAATGACAATATGTAAATGGCCAAGACCTTTGAACAAGATAATTCAACACTTTCTGTTAAAACAGATAAGCACTGAGACAGATAATTGATGACAAGTTGCTGAATAATAGACTAAATAAGCAGTAATCAGAACCTAAAAAATGGAGCTATTGACTTGTAAAGTGAACATAGATTTGTATCAATATCCCAAAAGGAACCAGACAGTATGACAGATTGAACCGAAAAACCACTTGGCATAACCATTCAACTAGAGGTTTGACCGATTAAAATCCCCAAATAGCACTCAAGTTGGTGAATATCTTGCTCAAAAGTTGAACGGCCCGTTTCTGATATGGTAAATGAAGCAGTTTTCACAGATTATGCTTTATGTCTTCACAATCATACAGGAAAATGGAAGAAATTCTCTGAATAGGAGGAACACGCCTCTGATTTTAAAGCAGATGGCTATGAACATGTAAGATGGTGCCAACAACTAAGCCTTGAATCAAAACAGAAACCAGATCACATAAGATGATGTTTAACAAACAATCCCTCACGGCCCAGAAATACAACACCCGAGATAAACTTAAAACTAGATTGAAATCCAGTGTGTTACAAATCTGTCCAAGAGATATGCACCTTTAATAACCCACTGTGTTCAATTAATAAAAGAACATGATCTCTTGATCTTGTTGACTACATATCACCCCAGATCAAATTATGTCTTTGAACACCCTTCCATGCACTTAATATCCATTTCCTCAGCTTACAGCCAGTTTACAGGCTGAACAAAGTGGTCAATCTTACGCCACATAATGCACAACATCCTCGAATTTCAAGGTAGTGCCTGAGATTACAGCATCAAGGAAAATAATCTCTTCCATCTTCTGATATAACAGGGGTTACTTACTGATGTTCCTTCACCAGCGCATTAACATTGCTTTTTTTTATTTTTATCTACATAAGTCGATCTACAATATTTCGTCATTTTGGGAACAGGGAGAAGAAAATATATCGTTACATCAATTTGTGATCATCTTTCAGAAAACAAAAATCAGATTACTTTTCACCGAGCAATTTGCCAAAAAAGAGGGAAAAGTGGGAACGGGTTTTTAGTATAGTAAAATAATAAAATAGCTTGAAATAATACATCCAAATCTCACAGCGCATCTACACTATATCCAGACAGATAATAAGACCATACATTATTTGACCATGAAGGTTATATTGATTCTCAGCAGGAACATTAAATCTCAATTAAATCGAAATAAACTATGTATGCTTTGGCATGTTTCATGACTATGATTGAGCAAATAGTGACTTTGCGTAAGGTCATCGACAACAAATGTCAAGTAAGCTTGATGGTCAACTAGCATAATAATTTATCGACCACAATTGCACAGGCAACCACATAATGCTACGTCTGCAAACTAAACAATCATAAATGCAAAAAAAAGCATACTTTCTGGAAGAATTCTGCCAAATGCTTTGCAAATGGAGTTATCTTCTCACCAGCATGTTCCATAGACACCGAAATCAAATTCAAAACCTGAACCTGACAGTTTGAAAAAAGTTACTCAATTTCAGAACGCATAGCATATGGTAGAATCAACAATAAGGAACTCAGTAATAGCACAATACTGATTCCGAAGCACAATGGCAGAATGTAAAAGCAGAGATCAGACAGCATTTAATCAAATAAACGCCATCACAAATACAAAATGAACATTTCAAAGAAACTTTTCAGACGAAGAAAAGGTAATAGCATCAAGACAGATGAATGCCTTATTTAGTGAGACCTTTGTATGCTTCTTAAGTGAAGACCAATCACAGTGATTACTTGCGTCCTAGAATGAGGACTTTTGAGGCTCCACTTTGAAGAAGACCAAACAAAGATTATTGTGATGAAGCCCACTGAGGCCAGCATAACTCCATTTCTTTAAGCAAGTCTTCTTTGAAATAAAAAAATCTCTTACTAGTAAGCACATACTTTTCAAATTTCTGGATGAAAAGCCTTCAGATCATCAGGAAGAGAGGCTCCTAGGACTCCTGCAGTAGATGCCTCCTTTCATGAATATCCGATTTAGTTTATTGATGGCTTTGGTGTTCGCTCAATGATCTTAATGGAGCTAGCTCAAATTTCCAGATGAAGAGATACCTCCATGAATTAGTAAGAATGCCACGCAGAGACAAAAAATGTAAAAATCTTCGTGTATAAGTTCTGTTATGGCTTCTAAATGATTGCTTTGTACCATTGTTTTTAGGTTCTTATCCTCATGCATAATGCCTTCTTTTCTTGATAACGTTCTACATCCCATTTATTGCTAAGAATTAATGATGTTTACCACAATGAACTCATTCCTGCTTTATTACAAAATATAATGAGGTTTCCAAATGCATATAGCACGCGGATGTGCGTCATCAATGCAATGAGCCCCCAACAAGAAGGTACAGATAAATAGGTCAGGTAAAAATCCCAAACATTGATGTCACTGAGACATGTGACAGTTAAATCGATATTTATTGACATCATGCACAAAGGACAGATGAAAGTCAGACAAACCAACCTTTGAGTCAAACTCTTGAACATCCTCCATTAACTTAAAACATGCACCCCAGCAAGTAGGCAGAAGCTCATTAAAACCTTCTTCAGAAATATTACAATCCCCAATAAGAAAGCATAACGAGCGACATGATGCCAGCTGAATGGGAGGGCACACCCATCATGTTAGTGAAAAATCAATATTCAAGATTTCTACAAGGGAACTTGCATAATACAAAATTCAAGATATGAGACTGGCAGGCATACCCTAACAGCAACATCGGAGTCTTGAAGCAATCTAATCAAAGCACATGAAACCATTTTTCGGGTGTCCCCTTTAATCTGCAAGAAAGAAAACACAAATTTTGAAATATTTCATAGAAGAATTCAAAGTTCAAAGCTTACATACACGAAATAATCACAAGCATCAAAATGCACAGTTCACCAACAAAAAAAACCACACAGAGCACTTAAAAAATGAATAAAGCAAATAAAAAAAGGAGCAGCGAAAATTGACAACTAAACATAAGATGAAATAGAGGCAAATACACATGAAACTTCAACCTGTAGACATTCCACATCTATCATCCACACGATTTCAAATGAAGATTTAACGATCGCCAAGGATTTCCAACATATTGTTGAAAGATATACTGATATCTACAGTAAGATTCATTTTCTGATTTTAGAGGCATGGTTTTACAGCTAAGATCATGTTCATTTGCACCTCTCTAAATCCTTCAATGTGGAAGCTATAAGAATGGCAACGCAATCACAACAGAACCAAAGCTATAAGAGTGAAAGGCTATGACATTTCGTAAATCTATTGTCGACAGAACTCGCTGGCCAGAACCATGAGTACCCAACATAATAAAATAGGTTGGAAACCAACTCAATGGAGCACAGCTGTCAATTAGGGTAGAATTGAGTGTATTTTATTGGTTACACAGTTATAACCCAACGGTTCAGGCTCATTAAGTGTGGATCCCATTTTCATTCTTTTTCTATTTGACCTTTTCAAACTCCTTTTGGTAATTTCACCCTATTTTTCAGATTTCCAAATGTAAAATCTCACTGGTCTCTAGATCTCTTTTTCTGTATTTTCAGATAACTTGACTTCTGGATTATGTACTTAACCTAACCCTGTCCCATGCTCCCAAGTCCTGATAGAGGAATGCAAAGTGAGATCTATACAATGGCTATCACACCCATACTCCATGCCAGTTAAAAATTTAAATGCAAAGCTTGCTCTAACACATTTCGCTCTTTGCATGAAATAAAGCCAAGGAAGCGGAGAAAACGCAGATTTTTAATTTAACAGACAAAGTGACTGTAGTAGGTAAAACTCTTGCACTCTATATTAAAAGTGACTGCGACCATTTAACAGAACTGATTTTTATAGATATACGTGTTAACGTGTTTAATAATATATGAATGTAGAAGGTAATAGGCTCACTACCATTGTGTATGAGTCATCTACATTTTAGGGCCATAAGGCAGGCATATATTAGGTCACAGTGTGTAATGCGCATTCCCTTCTTTACACATAAATAGGTGAAAAGAGGGGGCAACATACTGTAACCCTAATATTTTACGTTTATTTCAACACAAGATAAGAGCCTAGAGTTAAGGTTCCCTAAGGTTTCTCATGCTGCCATTGCCGTGACCACTGCTGCTGACCTCAACCTCTCCATCTTTGATGAGAGAGAGGCAGTGATGGCAGCTCACCCATGCACTATAGTTCTGTGGACCTCATCACCGAACTGCCAACAGAATGTGAAGGAGATGCCCACAAAATCACACATTGCAGCATCTGCTCGCAGGCAGAGTCATGAATGACACCTCCTGCACCATCAGGGGAAGCCAGCTGCCACCCGTGCTGCTCACCGTATCTGTGTCCATCTTCTCCTTCCTCATCGGAAACAGTACACCAGTTTGAACGATGAGGCTGCCCTCTTCCTTGATCTATTCTGTAGATTCTTCTTGAGTTGAAACTCTCCTACTCGGTCTATATGTACTCTCTTAGCCTTCTTCCAGTTCTGTTTTTCCCTTTTCCGTAGCAAGTAGTACAGGACCTTAAGATCATCCACCTTGTCCACCACCCCATCTGCCACAGGCATTTTCAGCTTTGTTTGCTTCGCCAGCTCTAAACTTCTTGTATGCAACCCTAGAAATGTCAATTCCTCCCCAACTTCCGTCTGGACTCAGCATTGAAGCTTCTACTGCTTCCTTTGTCCTCTCTACTGTAGCATTTGTGTTATTGAGGCTGCTCAGTCCGCCTTGGCAGGAACATCTTCCACAACACCTACTACTACCCCTTAGGCTGCCTCTTTGTTCTCTCTGCAGCCACAATCTTCTGCAGCTTCTGCCCCATCTCGCGGGTACTGAAATGCCAGCAGCATCAGGAGCATTACCAGCATCTTTTTCTCCAAATTAAGCTTCGATTTATCTTCCGCACATGTTCCTTGTTTTTTCGGTTCTTTACAAGTAGTAGTCTTCCATATGCGGGAAAAAAACGTATAATTAAGTGTCAGGTTGTTGGTTAGTTTCCTAATTTGGCTGAGTATCCTATAAATCGTGGGATTCAACCTAGGTAGTTTTCCTTTTCAGAGGAGGGGTAATTGTACGCAACTAGCAATTGTTCAATGAATTGATATGACAGGCATTTTCCCCAGTGTTTACTCTTGTTTGGTTTGCGTCACCAGACGTCACCATATCCTCTGTAACAATCTAGAGGAGGAATTTATATATTTGCTCCAGCTTGGGGGAGTTTTAGATAGTCTATCAGAATACATGTATAATAGGCCACCTATTATCGTATATTTGTGAGTCATTTTGAATACAGGCCCAGTAGGCTGGTCCATGTTCGGTCTTGTGATGTAATGTACACTCTCTTCTCCGTGTATAAATAAATGCTTTGATGACTATGCATTGAAACCCAAATATTATCCTTCTGTTCCAACAGTACATCCATTTGAAAAGATGTACATGCCTTCAAAATCAATATAGAAAGAAAAAAAAAGCAAAAGCAAATAATACTGAGTGAATGCAACATTGGAAGAAATACAAAATGTACAAGAGAAAATGCTGACCTCAGAAACCCATTGTCCAAGTACCAATGCAATTTTTCGATGAATAATACGCATATTTGGATGGGAGTTTGAAAGTTCAACTGACAGAGTACCATTAAACCTACATTCAACAACCTTAGATAAGTGATTACGTGCTACTTAGAAATAACATCATTCCAGTTAGCAGAATTGAACAAAGAAATTCTGTGATTCTAAAAAAGAGAGCCATCCACTAATACTCTACGCCTATAGAAAGTATGAATGAGCATGGACATGCAGGCAAAATCTAACACAAATATCACCTCAGTACACATTTTGGAAAGCACATATGCTAACGGATGCATAACTGTTTTGTATATTGCCAACATCTTCATTAAGAATGCATCAATGATAGAAGAAATCGAGTGGAGAAAAATAGCCCAGCCGCTTCTCACACAATTTGACCTGAGAGCAATACCGTTGCTTCATATTTTATTGTCACAAAGTTTCCTGTTGAATGAACTAGAGATAATACTAGACGTTAATTTTAGGTCTTTTAAAGAAGAAATCAGCATGCGTAGCACAAAACGTTGAATTTCAATGAGATGACAAATGCAGTATTATAAATGAAAGAAAAAATCAATGGTGTTTTATTGTTTGGAGCATACATGACATTTAAGTTACTGTACTAATGAATACTTGCCTATGGAATACAGACAGCACTTCCCTATAAGTAGTCACTATCAGTAAATTGGGACGTTTTAACCTGACTGGTAAATGGAATGACGATTTTCCTCCTTTAGTGGAATATTTTGGAACTGGAAGGGTGAACAGTAGATGTCTTTGTAAGAGTTAGTCACTTAAATAGGGACTCTGTGCAGAGCAATCCCTCTCTTCTAGAATTTAGTGGTTAGAAGTTTACTATCTCATCAGACCAGCATCCAAAAGATTTGTTCATACATGAGAACAACTTAGAACTAGATGCAAATAAGCCTATGACAATATTACTTGACAGGGGTATCCCTAATGGAAAACTGTAACTAATGAATACTTTCAGATACAGTTTATGTGGTTCGGATACCTCCATAATTTGGTTCTAGGAGCCAAGTTTGTTTGAATTACAGGAATGGAAACTATATGGAAAATCCTTTTTCTTTAATAAGATTATAGTGGATAATCTAAAGATAAGTAAATATAGCTCTAGCTAGAATCAATAAGATAATATTTTCAGTAAACTCCCTGTGCGAACTCAACCTATTCCGTGGATTTTATAGTTTCATGGGGATTCAGCAGACATCATGGCTCAATTTGCACAATATATGAAAGAAAAATAAAACATTTTCTCAAAACTCAATTATGCGTAAATGTGCACAGACAATCCCTTTAATAGAATAGAACCTCGTCACATTCCTTACCACCTGAATATATTTTATCCACACAAGAAATCTACGTGCAAGACTTCAGTAATTGCATACTTCGCTTGTTGTAGATGGCCTTGATATTAAGAACGCCACAACTACTAAAAGAATTTCACCTACAGTATTCCTGACTTAGAGTAAACACGGAGTGAACTGAAATTTAGAGATATCAGAGACTAAAAATCGCCGTTTATGCCACAGAACAGCTAAGCACAAACAATGAGTGAACTACAATTATCAGAGTCCAGGGTGGTCAATTGTTAAAGGAAATCGAGAGATGTGATTCAGGGTCCAAACTGTGATTTTAAGAATGTGACAAATGAACAATAGCGAACAAGAAATATTTTCAGGATCCACGTCTCAGACAGATATGCTACCATTTTTTTCTTTTGAAAGTGGATAGTGCAATATAGTCACTAAATAAAGATGGAAACTATGTGCATATTATACCAGTCACTCAAGCTAAAATAGCCCGAGAGCTCATAGTACACATGTCCAGCGGCAGTGTATGCAGCATCCTTCAGGAGCATTCGAGGAGTAATCTCAATTTCTACAGCAGGGCAGCTATCCATTGCCTCCCGAAGGAGAGAGACAATCACAGGAGAAAGCAGCTGCACGTAATATAAACATAAAATAATTTTAGCCAAAGTTCATGACAATGACAAATCATTGGCAAAGTGGAATACTAACTTGTCTATAGTTTTCAAAAAGAACAATGTATAATGCTTCAGCGCACGGCCTAACTTTTTCAGTCCACTGAATCATGTCCTGTTCATGGTGAAATGACTCTGGACTCTGGTGCCACGCTTCTAAATCGTTTGCAGTAAGAATGACGTACCTGTAGAGTAGGCAAATTGTAAAACCTCAGGAACAAAATTAAAAATGTCTGAAATGAATGATTAGGGACTCCATTCAGGGAAGATACATCATATTTACGTGCGTTAAAAAGCATGCAATTGAAAGCATACCTTGCGAGTAGAATCAACAAATTAAACAATCGGGTACAGAAAGGAATAGACAGAAAATAAGACCAAAAAAATCACCAAACAATAAATTCTTTCCCTAATCAAAAGGAGCAAAAGATGAAAATAATCATGAGAAAAATATGTAGCATATTTCCCACATCAAGCAGGGGCAATGCACCTAATCGCATCTAAATGACTAGTCCTGCCTGTGGTACACATAATAGGAGACAAATTGTGATTTGAACCTACCTACAGGCCATCGAGCATGACCATTCATTCATAACTAACAACTAACAGACTAGGAGACAAAGTGTGATTAGAATCTACCTACATCCCTGAGAATCTAAAAACAAAACCAAGATCAAATTCACATAAAGAATGAAAGGATAGGCTGGGAGAGAGAAGAATGAAAATTGGTCCACGTTGAATATAATAGACCACCAAGGGAATAGTATAGACCAGGAAGATACTCCCAAGTGGAAGTGATCAGCAAAATGTGACTCGCACTTTCCTCTTCCACTAATAAAAGAAATGACTATGAACGATTAGAAATGGAGGATAAACTACCTTCTGATCAGAACATTACACAGCAATGTAATCCTTTCATTGGGCAAAATTTTGGCAAGTATATCTGCGACTGAACTGGATATACTCTTCTTCCTCTCTTCCCACTTTGTAGCAGTTTCATTAATTACGCGACCAGTGAGGACTGCTTTGTACTCTTTACATTCTAGTATCGACTTCACCATGACCATGCATTGAATCAGAAATCTTTCATACGACATGATCTCTCGCTCAGGACTTGTAATTTTGTTCAGACAGAGATCAAGGACAAGAGGAAGGACATGTCCATCTCCAAAAGAATAAGGATGTCTTTCCTGTATTCTGATTAAGATCTTCATCAGCTTTGTGCATACTTGTTTTACGAACTCCCAGAGTCGGTCATTCCCTTCCTGGAAAGAGGAGTCTGCATTGTAAAAATCATGTCGTGAAAAAACTGCAAAAAGTAGACAGAAATCTATATCTTTAAGCCAATTCACATTAAAATAATTATTGATTCCTTTTCTTTGTTTACACTCCAAAGGAATCAAACCATGATGAAGAAAACAAAGCGTACTTGAATTACAACTATACTTCATTTCCCGGTGAAATGGAAAGTGTCAGGGCAAGGACGTCAGTTTTGCTTTGGTTAGAGTATAAAATTCACAACTGAATGACACAAAAATGTCTTTACTAGATCAACATTGATTTGTTATGGAGCACTGACAACTGTAGCACTTAAACCATGAACTAATGCACATTCATACTTTTGACATAATTGATGAACAACCTTGAGCAAAGCCCCACATCTCACATGATTATGAATGAAATAACATAAATGAATTATGTTACATCATTTCAGATTGGGATGTAGAACACTTTTATTTCTAGGGAAACCAGTGCTGTCTGTTAAGTTATCTGTTGACAGGGGGAAATCCATCCCGCAGGCTATGATGCATTCAGTAGCAATTAAAAAAACCTCATGATTTAGACTTCTTCAACTTTTATATCAAGTTGACATAAAAGATGGTCAGGACGATGATAGAATGCGGTTTTCAGTCAGCCAAAGCTATTTTAATTAGAAATTTTTCATGAAGATTTGTGAGAACGAGATGTAATGTAGTGCGTGGACAAATAGCCACAGATGTCCACTTTGATAGTTGAATTCATTGTCCACTTTGATAGTTGAAGGGTTACAAAAAGGGAAAAGGGGCACATGGATGAACAATGTAAGAGAATTCCATCCATCATGATAATGATGGTTTCTAGCTCCTTATCTGAAGACAGATGTTCCCAACCATGAGCTGCATGGAGGACAAGTCTTTTAACCTTGAAATTGCATACTCCCTGTTTGCAGGAGAAACATGTAATAGGACCTATGAACAAACATTCCTGTTTTGATAAGTTATGAACAAAAGGATTGTCAAAGTGACTAATGCTATCTGAGGATAGCGTATTGCCAGGATCAATACAGCCTAGGTTTGTTAAGGTGATCCAGCGTGAAAGATTTGGAAGCATTCAGGTGGGATCATTGAATTGGCTGTGTGGGTGGAGGTCCACTTGGACCAGCCTAAATACATAATAGGCCATACCCTCTTGTAGTGAACGCACGCTCGCTCCGAAGTCAAAAGATTTTCCAGCTATGTCAGGTTGAGTATAACCAGACAAATTATGAACATATTCATACTAAGGTGCCGGTAATATATAGAATTCACGGTACTCGAATTTTAAAGCAAAAATGAATACTCCATGCCCGAGCAATAGAGGTATAAGCACAAGATGAAAGATTACGTCCAGAAGATCAACAGTAGAACTTACAGAATGGAAGAAATGACTGGATGGCATTCAAAATTAACGGACAGACTTCCTTGACAGTGCAGACATCCTGGAAAGAGAAATCAATTAAATACAATGACCATAAAACAAATGGCATATCTAAGTAAATGATGGAAAGACTGAACTTCGTAAACTTTTACATTTACCTCGAGAGATGTAGCGTCACTTGGATATCCAGAAATTATCAGCTGTCTTATTATCTTTGAACAAAGTAACCATCTCTCACATATTAGAAGTAGATTGTCTTGTTGTAAAACCAAGGAGTTGGAAGGAAGGCATTGAGAGAGGCCACTGAGGTCTTGGAGTATTTTCTGAACATCAGTCTTCCAAAGGTTCCAACTATATTCGAACAAATGTGAAGCTATCTGACAAAACAGATGCATGGAAATGGCAAGTTACATATAAAACAAAATTGGACTCTGAACAAAATTCGACGAACTATTTCTGCAATAAATGTTGCAAACTTGAAAAAAATCATATAAAGTGCACCAAGTAGACTACATTGATCTGAGGTGACCCAGCTCAGTAAGAAATTGTTTCCCAGCTGACGATAGCTCACATATGTATTATGAACCTTTTCCTTGATGAAACAGCCTGACAGAGGTGACTTAGTAAAGGCTAAACACTGAATCAAAGGAATTATTTTCCAAACTTGACAGATCAGTTCCAAACGATTGGTTCTACGATTCATATAGTCCTCCCCTCGTATAGTCTACCAACTGATCGTCACAATATACTATCTCGGTGTTGGAATTGAATTTATAAAAACATAATGCGAAACCATTACGCGATTTTGGATTTTGCATCATAGACTCTTACATGGGTTTCTGATTTTCTCTAGTGGTATCAACATGGATCAACATATTTGTTTACCTTACTTTTGACATAGACTAACCAGAATATCCCCCAGATGGCAATAGATATATAGAGCACAATTACTTCATTATCTCTCCATAAAATAGCAAGGGAAATGGAAAAGCATATTAACTTCATTTACACCGCCACTATCCATATCATATTTATGTTAGGCCGCAGTCCACATTACACGCTCCAGGAAGGGTAAAGGGCAAAATCCCACATGTCAGGTACTTATATGTAAACTCCGGAGGGAAGCCTACCGTAGAAGTGGGGCGGAGAGAACAGTGTGGAGGGTAAAGAGGGTTATCACTGGTGCTTGCTTGGAGGGTTCCCATTCGGAAACCCTTTCTTGACTTTCTTGTTCCTGTTCTTACTGAATTCCACTGGCACTCTTAAGGGGTTGGTAGGATACCACAAACCAAGAAACGAACAAGAGTGCTAGTGAAATTTAGTAAAACTAGAAACAAGAAAATCAAGAAGAGGATTCCGAATTGGAACCCTCCTAACACTACTGATAACCTTTCGCGAAGGTTATCTCTCTCCCGAGTCCCACTGCAAATCCAGACCACCTCTTTACACTCCACAGCGTTCTTAAGCCCCATCCCCACTGCCACCACTTCTAGTGGTAGGCTTCCCTCCGGAATTTACATATAAATCTCTAATGTGTTGGATTTTTCTCTTTTAACCTACCCGGAGTACATAATGTGGACTGGGGACCTTCACACTTTACAAGGCTAATAATGCAGACTACAATAAAAAAACCAACCTTGGAGGATCAGTAGTACCTATAATCAAACGTTTGTAGAATATTAATCACAACTACGTGATAGTATAGTGAGTGTAACTACATTTCAATTAATTATGCAGTAAATACCTTCAATAAGTTAACCTGGTGCCCAAGCTGACAAAATTATTTAGCGACAATATGCAAAAAAACTTAATGCCCCGCTACAATGAATAAAACTAACACAAAAGGCATCACTACCTCTCGGAAATTCCTCTGATCAGAACTAAGACGTTTTGATGACAACTCTTTCAGAATTTGAAACAGGACCATAAATAGTCTCTGAGACCCAAGAGTATCTGCAGATTCGAGTTGTTGAGCCAAAGTGGGGAAGAGCTCCGGCCTGAATGGTCATCACTTTTTGCAAGGTTACCGATCAACATATAGGGCAAAAGGGAGAGTTGCATTGATACAAACATTATTATGAGTATAAAAACCAAACTCTACATCAAAATAGTCTACAATAATGCACCACAGAACACCCGCCTTAAACATCAATATGACGGGTGTTAATGAAAGTCATGTGATCAATAATATCACCTGTTTAAGCACTTCTACTGGATGTTGTCAGTTTACTCAGTAATAAAGTTCCCAAACTATTTTTAAGCAGAAAAATATTCGAATGTCCTGAATTTCACACACAGAGAAGAAGAAAATGGACCAGCACAGATATCCGCCTGCAAAACATGTTATTATACCAGTTACTAACTCGGAATTCCTACAAATTTGGAGTTAAGGAATGGTTTCATGGGATAAGTTAAGGTGGACCTTGACCTTGAACTTCAATCCCTATTACGTTTGACTAATAATCAAAAACACCAAGTAAATTTATCATGATTTAGTGACTTGGATTGAATGCTCAATTTAAAGTACGCGTACACAAATCATGGAGATGTTGTCCTGACAAGACATCTTCGTGTTTTTTTTTGTTCATCATACTCAAATCTGTGAACCACTTATTTCTTGGCGACCAAAAAAAATCCATGACTGCTAAATGCCTGCCAAGAAGATACCTTATCCACATGGGAACTTCATGTGGAGGGTAGAGAGGAAGTGAGACCAAACTAGATGATACCTTATCCCATACAAATGATTTATGCAACCTAAAAACAAAGGAAACTCCTTCAACTAAAAACCTTTCCTCAGTTGAGGACTACCACAAAATTAAATAGCTGGCACCTTGGTATGTAGAATGTCACTGTCCTGGTATAGATCCAAGAACACTCCTAGGTCTGTTCAGTCACCAATTAACGTAGGGCTCACTCCCTTGTATATAGATAGTGCTGGTCCATGAAAGTAATCTTGAACTTCACAGCGGATTTCAGCAGATGGTTCTCTTAATGTATGCCCCTACCGCATTCTTTCCTCATTGGAGGTCATCCCATCCATTAAGTGATCACATGCTCCCACTATCATTTACACGTGAGAAATAACCTCATTCATCACATTCAGTTTCGGTATTATCTGCCTTTGTTTGAGGTAACGGATCAGTCACTCTGCTTCTAACAAAGGCAGCACAACATTCCAAGGTTTTGTTGATACATATCTAAATGGCAACATCGACACAACAGGATGCATAATTGTAAGCTATGTTTGTCAAAAGCACAAGATTGTATCGCTCTCTACGATTGACACCAAGTATGCTTGCTAACACTGAAGCAGGCAAAGAAATCATTGGGTTGAAAAACCTACAGGGAAAGTCAGGAAGAAAGAAAGGTAGGTATGTTCTTTCTATAATAGTCATAAACGCGATTCATATCGGGAAGACTTTAATATCCAATTCAAAAACATAGCACATACAGTTGGCAAATCACTTTATCAATAATTTGTAAGCTGTTGGGACACTATTACTTTAAAAGAAACGAGTGATATAAATCCAGGGACAGGTTGAATAAGCAATCACCAGAGAGAAATTGGGTTTACACATAGCCTGAATTACCCTCCACGGGTAGCTAATGATGAGGCGCCGCACCAAGCTACTGAAGTTCATAAGCTGAGTTACTTGAGGCGAACTATTGCTTTTCTTTGGAATAGTTTCCAAGTGGAAGGTTGTTGTATGGTACATATTTCCTCATAAAGCACACCCTATTTCACAAATATTTTGGGAAGTTAAAGTAACCTTTAATCATTACTCGCAGCCTTACCTTGTATTTATTTGAAAGAGCTGCTCTTCTCTAGTATGTTGTGTCACGTTTTTCATGGTGAACTTACATCAGCCGTGGATTATTCAGTATCATTGCATCTCCCTTTCATCTTTTATTCCTCAACCCTATATTTCTTCGTCACCTCCTACTACAAGCAGATAGTATATAGCATTTGCATGTGAATAGGACAACGACTCGTGATCTAGATGGCACTGTCTGAAACGGTGGGAAGTAGGTAACACAGGTGAATCCGAACGGTAGCGTATTGACAAAGGCCATTGGCAGTGATGATGAAACGATGAAAATGATGAGAAAAAAAGTGAGCCGAGATGGTGGAAGAAGAAGGTAGCTGCCAAAATGGCAATGAAAAACAATGGTCTTAACCCCTTTTCCTTATACTTTGCCATAAACCATTGATGACCCAAGTAAAAGACATGCAAAGATTTCTCTGACATGTGATCGATTTCAACTTCCTTCTTTCAGCAAACAAAAAAATTAACTTAAATAATGATATCACGATTGGACTCAGCATGAGAGAACAGGCCTTCATATATTTTTACTATTTACAAAGAAAAGAACGCATTGAATCACATTTCTAAAAATTCCTCACTTCCTCCAGGACATTAAAATGAAAACGTTGAAGGCATTAGAAAAATGAGAATCCTACTATTCTATGAGCATTAGCCTCATCAAAACATATCTATTACAGTAATAAATTGAATTTCAAACACTATCAAGGAATAGTGGCTCATCATTTACAAGAGCACTTTTTGTTATAATCATCCGTCTTCCCACAGAACAAATCCTCTTCTTTGCCTGCAGATATGTAGAATAGCTTATCTCGATCATTTTCAAGGCATTTAACAATAAACCTTTCAGAGATAATCAATTTATCTCATGTCTATCCTCGATAGTGTGACATAACAAAATTGAGAGAATTCTGATGAAGCGTCACATATTGAATAACAATAAAAATCTCATAAATGTCGCAGAGTTTTGGATAAGCTTAGATAGTGGACGAATAGAATACCATTCTTTTGGATAATCTATACGAGCAATTTTGGAGGTAAGGACGGCCAGCTGCAGTGCTATCTGCCAACCCACACAAATAATTAGATATGGTAAACGAGCATAGTGATACCATAGAAAGCAAACATAAATAGAAACTCGATCAATCCTTAAATGATAAAACCAACAGAAAATGATGTATTTAAAGAGAATCCAGACGTGCCAGTGACAATAAAAGCCCGTCGATAAAAAAGTATACTGTCTTCATTTATTGATCATTTTTATATAACTAGATGTGAGATTGTATTCCGGTCAGTCATCACCCACGATGATATTACCAAAACAAGAGCAGAAAGGCTACCTGAAAGTTCTTCTCTTCTCTCAAGTGCAGCAGCAGTTTTTTTCGAAGATGGCTCTTTTCGTCATTGACAATCCCTCTGCATTCAGAGTGGACAACATGTAACTAACAAAAAAGAATTATAGAAAGGAACAAAGAAATATGACATTTGAAAGAAAGAACGGCAACGCCTATCAGGCATAGAAATATCCCTTTGAATTCTCATGCTTTGACACATGCATGAGGCGTCCGTCGTTGATTCTCGTGAATAAAAAATATATAACAAATTATAACATCTGAGGACGCAAGGGGCAACATACGTCGAATCACGTCGATGCCTCCAGTAGCGAGTAATGCTGTTCTTAAAGTAAACGGAAGCCATGAGACGGACATCCACTTGAGAAGCCAAATCCTTCGCACTTATAACCTCCTGCAGTTAACGCACGACCGTGAAACAGGTGTCTACTCCGTCAAGGCCGTGGAAATGCCAATCAAACATCCGAGAAAATTGGGCATGTGAGTTAACTAATAAGAAGGACATTGGAATAAGGAAGAAGGGAAATAAGGGAGGTGGGGGGATGGACGAGACTTACGAGGAGACAGGAGCAAAAACCATGGCGGCTCTCGCACTGCGCTAGGGTAGACTCCGCGGGCTTTCTAACGGACTCGTCAGCGCTCAACGAGCTGACGAGCAGCGAATAGACTGTCTGGAGGTCCGATGCGGAAAGGGCCATTGCTCCCTCTGACCCGATCCTTGTGGAGAAGGACGGACTATACAGCTTCGCAGCGCCGTCGAAGGTGGTGCGCCGCCACGAACTCTGGGACGCCGGAGGTGGCCGGCGATGCCCGCCGGAGCAGCGCCACGCAATGCCGCTGAGGGCTGAAGGAGGACGAGAGGGTTCCCGGCAGCTTGGTGTCACATACCCAGCAGGTCCGTCTCTCTGATTCTGTGATAAATAATCAGCTCATTTCCTCTCTCTCTCTCTCTCTCTTTCTCTGTCATTAGGTGTGTAGAGAGAGACTTTCATCCTCGGGGGTCATTGGGCTCTCTGTTGAGTTCTGGCCAGGCCCGTATAGGCCCAATAAGGAGGAAGAAGTGACAGAAATTCTCATGAGCGAGGTTCGGTGTTCAGCGAACGCGCGGCATTAATTCTTATCACAGGGGGCCCTGAACGCGGATCCAATACTCGATTCCTATTGGTCGGCTTCGTTGGAGGCAACGTGAGTCGCCACGTGTACTTTTGAAACTTCTGGACTTCTTAGTACGCGTCGAGAAGACTCTCCCGAGTGCTCTCTCACGCGAACTGCAGGCGAGGTTGCAGGAAGATCTTGTGGGAGGGTGATGGCGCGGCTGATGATTTCGACGTTTGTCATATCGCTGGCGATCTTCTCCGTGCTGTCGGAGGCGAAGTCCCGGGATCCTTACAAGGTATGCTCGGGGTTTAAGGATGATCCCCTCCCGCTTGATTTATCGTCGTTTTCAGCAAATTTTTGCGTCCCAATTCCTTCTGTAGCTCAGAAGGATGAAAGAGTTTATCATTCAATCGGATCGACGCGGTTGTCAATTGTTGCTCCTGCGGATATCGTGGCGCCTCGAATTTTTTTTTACACTCGTTTATCGGAGCTCTCTTGCGTTAGGATTTAGCTTATTATTGAACTTTCTTCGTAGCTGTGGGCGAATACGGATATTTGTCGCGACTCTAATGCTGCCGCTTCTTTCCTAGTTTTTAGGTTACAGTAGTGATGTTCAAGATGCGTTTAGGTTGTTGGACTTGTGTAATTTCATCTCTGTTAATTGTATTGACAAAATAGAAAACTGCATTTGAGGATGAGGGAAGGATAATGAGAAGCTTTCACGATTACCTTGACGGCTAGACGGTCTTCTCGTTTGCTTAGGATTGACGCTTTTCGCAGACATGCTCTAGTGGCTTTAACCTTGCAAACTGTTTGGAATTCGCCTTCGACATCGGTGGTTTTTCCACCACCATACCGTATGGTTTAAATTTAGTAATCCTTTCCGTGGAAAAAATGGAGCTACTGTGCAAATGTGGATCAAAGTTTTCGAAACGGTAAAACAAAATTATCCTGGGAAATAGGCATGATGCCAATCGAGACCCAGAAAACTGCGTTATTCAAAATCTTAGATTTATTATCTACGCAATTTGTAGCTTTCTCATTCAGTTTGGTTCATTTCATCGTCCCTACTCTCACAAATTCTACATTTTGTATTTGCTCTTGTTTTTGTCCACGAGAGAAGTGAATTGGTGTTCTTATCATTATTTTATCCCATATGTATAGGCGTAAGGCGTTGATAGCAGTGAGTTCAGAAGGGAACCTGATTATGATTCCAAACACTGATTGATTTAACATTCTGTTGCATGTTTTGGACGTTTCATGAAAATTTATCACGCCAAGCTTTTGTTTGTATTAGTTGTGTTGTTCCAATGCCTATAACATTGAAGTGTTGACAGGTCCTCGGAGTCTCCAGAGATGCTAATCAACGTGATATCCAAAAGGCTTTCCACAGGTGTGAATTGTTAAATAATCAGTTTTTTTTTCACCTATGAATTATAGGTTATTATACGTACTAGGCCTTGAAAAGTTTTGAGAAGCTTCATGCTCCCTTTTTTAATGCCAATTAAAGATTCAATCCGTATTTTTTGTTTTCCATTTCTTTGTCCATCTATTCACAGGCTCTCTCTTCAATATCACCCTGATAAAAACAAAAATAAGGGTGCACAAGAGAAATTTGCAGATATAAACAATGGTATGCATTATGTGTTATCTTTTTAGTTATCTTGTTGCTTTTACGAGCGAAAGTACCACCTGGGCTTGCTAAATTTTAAATATATACGCTGCAGCATATGAAATTCTGTCTGACGAAGAGAAGAGGAAGAATTATGACCTCTATGGAGATGAGAAAGGGGCACCAGGGTTTGATGCGGGGAACTTTGGTGGTGGGAACTATGGAAATCATGAAGGCTACACATACTTCACTAGTGGTGGTCCTGGAGACACTCGATTCAACTTTAGACCGGATGGATGGGAAATGGGTGGGCAGCATAATCCCCATTCTTTCTCGTTCTCCTTTGGTGGTAACCCTAGTGGAGATAGTGGTTCATTTGATTTTGGCCTCAACGACCTTTTCTCCAATTTCTTTGGCGGTAACTCAAAAAGTGGGAGCCAGTTTGGGGGCTTCAGCAGTTCATCCAGTGCTGATACTGGTACCACTTCTCCTGGAAGTATATCGGACATCAACTCTCAGACTTTCAAGAAAGAAATAGTAGATCAGGGTTTGACCTGGCTTTTACTGTTCTACTCACCCACAGCGAAGGGCTATCGCATGTCTGAATCCATCATACAGGATATCGCCAATTCACTACAAGGAGCTCTCAAGGTACATAACATACTGCGTGGCTTTCAAAGTGATGCTTCATTTGTTTCAACAAGAATGAACTAAACAGACGATGCTTAATTTTTTTTCAAAATTTTGAGTACTTGCCGTTTATCCATCCCCCCCCCCCCGTTTTCCAGGCTGGCAGAGTAAATTGTCAAAAAGAGCAGGCTCTTTGCAACGAGCTTGGCGTGTGGCCTTCCAAAGCTGTCAGAGTTTTTGTTTATTCTTACAGAACTGCTGAAAAGGGCGAATTGACTGAGTACTCTGGCGAATTAAATTCCAAATATTTGAAAACTTTCTGCCACGATCAATTACCAAGGTTCTCAACGCGGCATACCTTGAGTGGGTTTGACTTCTTTTCGACCTCAAGAGAAAAACTACCGCAGGTGTTGCTACTTTCAACCAAGAAAGAAACACCCATAATTTGGCGCGTCATTACTGGCCTGTACCGCAAAAGATTTAAATTTCATGATGCACAGGTTGGTCAAGGATCATGTTTTCAGCTGTTTTGTATTAATTTTCTTAGTATTTTAGGATGACCATTTTCTCGTACACGTTTGCAGGTGTTAGACGTCACTGACGAGAGGGTGAAAAGATTTAAGGTCGATGCACTTCCAGCTATCGTTGGGAGGTTTTCTAACGGAGAAGAGTATGTTCTGAAGGCAGGAATCACCATAAAAGATCTGAGCACAGGAATTGGTGAGATGAAAGCATTGCTCAATAAATTTGAGAGGCAGAATAAAAACAAAGCTTCAGGTCCGGGGAAGGAATCATCTCAAACTGAGGCACACGATATGTCCATACCTCATCTAACAAGCTTAAATATGGAGATGATGTGCGGTGAGAGCACACCCCTTTGCATAATCGGTGCATTCAGGTCATCCAAGGCAAAGGATAAGATAGAACCCATTCTCTCTCTTGTAAGCCCTCTCTCTCTCTCTCTCTCTCTCTCTCTCTCTCTCTCTCTCCAGGACATTATTATATCTACCTATCTCTCACACACTCACTTTTATCCATCATGGTGAATCATTGCGTCATTAGTCAATATTCCAGTTGACTCTCCATACCTTTCTAGTCTTCATTAATCAGAACGAGGCTCACTTCCTCTGCAACTACATTCTTGCACCAGATCTCCCAGAAGACTTTGACGAGGAGACGGAATCAACCTCAAGCTTTGAGGGACTCAATCTCTTACTCCCTGTTAGATGCCACAAAGCAGAGAAAGTTCCTCGAGTCCTTCGATGATTCTGGCTACAGAAGCTCAGACAAGCTCTTGCTGGCCTACAAACCCCGCAAGGGAAAGTTTGCTGTTCTACTGACTAGCGAATTGACGTTGGAAGAAGCGGAGGAGTTCATCGGCTCTGCTCTGAACGGAGATATCCAATTTTCAAAGATCAGACGCAGGCCCACTGTCCAATGATGCAGAATCCACACCAAACTGACGGAGTTTAGTATTCTTCTCTTTTCTCTGCTGATCACGGAGCTCAACCAGGTCCACACATGGCCGCTCAACCAGGTACACCCAAGTTTTGTCGAGGCCGCTGGTGAGCCTTTCTATATCTGTATGTGTACATGGAGATTGGATACAGCAAGGATGCTGTGCGAAAATGTGCATCTTCTCCCCATATGCTCATATTCCTGAGGGGTAAATGTATAAAAATAGGAAATATCTCAGAGGGTGTATGAGTAAAAGTCAGAACTATCTTTTTATGTGACGATTATTATTTATTTTCCAAAGTGTTATAATACCGGCCCGTTTAAGTACTCAGGACCATGGGCCCATAAGAGAGCTAGCTAAGGGTCAAGATCGGGCCGGGGCAGCCCTCTGAGCTTACCCCGGCCGTTTACACGACACGGTATTTTATCGCACAGCCCACAGTTGGACTTTATTTGTAATTCTTTTCCTTTCTTTATGATTCGTTTCTTCTTCCCGTGGATGATATCAAACGCTAGCAATTCAATTCCTAACGGGGAGCTTTGTAAAAAAAACCACACGGATATATATATAAAGAGAGAGAGAGAGAGAGAGAGATGAGCTAACAGTGAATGGGCTTTGGGCTTTACCCAAAAGGTAATGGTGAAGCCCAATTGGGGCTATTCTCTTTCCTGGGCTTGGCTTCAAGAGGCGACGGTGAAATTATTGGACGACAAGGGCGAGCCAAATCTTGGGTGTTCTCATTTCATCCACACGGGGGGGATGTGGAGGAATTAGGGGACCATTGTGCGCCCTTTCCTAGGAGTTAGTCTCTTCGTTCCTTCCAGGACCACCCTTTGACCGTACGCAGTAAATAAGCTCGCCTCTCTCTCTCTCTCTCTCTCTCTCTCTCTCTCTCTCTACCTATCTTTATCGATATCTCTATCACACATACGACGTAGATGTCGATATTGCTTTCCGTTCAATTACTTTACCCGGCATTATATCCTGTTTTTATCTGAAGTGATGGTTTTTTTTTCTTATATAATATTTGTTTATATTTAAAGCCGATCGTTGGTGAGAGAGAAATAAACTGGCTCTCGTGTTAGCCAGGTACCTTGTTTGTTCACGACGATCTATCCTCGAAATCACCTGGTTCTGGGAGGGACTGTACAATCATGAGGCTTCCACTTCACGACTACAATGTCACTATCTTCCCCGCAGATTGTTGACTAGTCAGCATGCACAAACCTTCAATTCACCACTCATCTCTCTCTCTCTCGCTAGCTCACATTTTAAGTTAGTACGATGTTGTTCGTGCCTGTCGACGATCGATCTTCTAGACAGAATAGTTGATCCATTGGAATTCACGAGGATGATGAGCATCTCATGGGTTAGTCGTGATTCAGACCGGTCTACGAATAGTGAGAGAAAGGGGTGATCGTTCACGAGGAGCCACTGGGAGATGGGATTATCCTGGTCAACGCCGCGACAACGGATCGTTCGCCGCACGCCAGTTGAACCCACGGGTTGGAATGAAAGCTCTGAGAGTCAGGGCCTCTCTCTCTCTCTGTATATATGACTGGGTATAAATATATGTATGCAAGTGCTGATCATGAAAAATGGCACGGTTTCTAGAGAGGGAGGGAGGGAGGGAAAGAGTGAGGGAGAGAGAGAGAGAGAGAGAGAGAGAGAGAGAGAGAGAGAGCCGAAAGATTATTTTTTCTAGACATACCCAGCACGAGAAGCCAAGAAGCCAATCCAGCGAGCCGAAGGAGAGCAGCCCCGACATGGGGGAGGCTCCTCCGCCGCCCTCCCTACTCCGCCGAAGAACCCGCCGCCGCCGCAGCAAACTCGTAGCTCATCACGGCTCCTCGAACCCCAAATCCGGGTACTCCACCGCCCCCATCCTCATGAATTAGCGTTCTTCCTCTCTTTTCTCTGCTGATCACGGAGCTCAACCAGGTACGCACAGGGCCGCTTATGGAAGTTTTGTCGAGGCCGCTGGTTAGCCTTTCCATATCTGTATGTGTACATGGAGATGGAATACAGCGAGGATGCTGTGGGTGCATCTTCTCCCCATGTGCTCATATTCCCGGAGGGGTAAATGTATAAAAATAGGAAGGATTTCAGGGGGTGTATGACTAAAAGTGCGTAACTATCTTTTTTTGTGACGATTATTCTTTATTTCCAAAGTGTTATAATACATGGCCGTTTAAGTATTCAGGAAGATGGGCCCATAAGAGAGGTAAGTATCTGTCACCTTTGGATCTCAAGCAAGATCGGCCCGGGCCAGCCCTCGTACCTGAACCCAGCCTATTTACATGACACTGAAAAGAAGTTAGCCACATTGTGTGTGTGCGAGAGAGAGAGAGAGACATACACACACACACACACATTTATATGGGCTGACAATGAATGGACTTTGGGCTTTACCCAAATGGTAATGGTAAAGCCCAATTGGTGATCGGGCTTCGGGCTTCCTCACAAGGAACCATTGAAGCCCAATTGGGCTTATTTTCTTTCCTGGGCTCGGGTTCAGGAGCCGACACTGAAAATTAATAGGTGAGCGCAAGGCGCCGAATTACCTGACACTGACACTTGTGATAAATAATAGGACGACAAGATGGAACCAAATCTGGGCTGTTCTTATTTCATCCACACGCGGGGGATGTGATGGAATTATGAGACCGTTGTGTGGCTTCTCTCTCTCTCTCTCTCTCTCCCTCTCTCTCTCTCTACCTATCTTTGTCGGGCTCTCTATCACACACAGGACGTAGATGTCGCTATTGCTTCCCGTTCATCATCGGCTTTACCCGGAATTATATCCTCTTTTAATTAGAAGTAATGGGTTTTATTTTCTCATATAATCTTGTTAATGCTTTAAACCGATCGTTGGTGAGGGAGAAAAAAACTGGCTTTCGTGTTAGCCTGGAGATTATCGGGGGCCCACGGGCCCGCTTCTTCCTACGTCAATAGGTCGATGCTGATAACCTAGCGTGATATTTTCACAAGTACACCTTGTTGTCTTTTATTTAAATAAATCACCATAATTTGAAGATAATATTATGCAATCATAAATACAAAAAATAATATATATTTTTTAACAGTTGTTTATGTCTGTACCTTGTTCACGACGATCTGTCCCCGAAATCACCTGGTTCTGGGAGGGACTGTACAATCACGAGGCTTCCACTCCGTGACTGCCGTGCCACATGCATAAGCCTTCCATTTACCACTCATCTCTCTCTCTCTCTCTCCCTCTCTCTCTCTCTATGTCAGAATAGAAGAAGGCCAGAACTGTGGGGATCGTGGGGTTTCTTATCAGGGTCGGCAAACATCGTTCTTGCAGTAGGAGGCCTACTCCAAAGCTTTTTCCTCAACGCAGAACGCCGGCGAGGGCAGAGGCGCTGCCGCCCTCTCCGGCGGCGGGTGAAGGTTCCGCTGGCTGACTCCCTATCCTTCATGGATCCCCACCTTCCCCTTATGGTTTATTAGAGAGGACCCTCCTCGGAGAAGGAACCCTCTCCGTGTTTCATATTTTACCTGCCAGATTTGTTTCTTTCGGAGAAAGATGAAGGCTCTCTCTCTCTCTCTCTCTCTCTCTCTCTCTCTCTCTCTCTCTCTCTCTCTCTCTCTCTCTCTCTCTATGTAAATAAGAATGTGTGTATAAATATATGCACGTAAGTGCTGATCATGAAAAGATGGCACGGTTTCTAGAGAGGGTGGGGGACAGAGAGAGAGTGAGAGGCTCAGGTATTGGAAAGAGCAAAGAACCAACTAATCTTTGCTAGCCACATGATCACGGGATCACGAGAGAGAGAGAGAGAGAGAGAGAGAGAGAGAAGAAAAATTACTTTTTTTAGACATGCCCAGCACGAGAAGCCAATCGAGAGAGCCGAAGGAGAGCAACCCCGACATTGGGGAGGAGGCTCCTCTAACGCCCTGCCTACTCCGCCGAAGAACCCGCCGCTGCAGCAATCTCGGAGCTCCTCACGGCTCCTCGAACCCCAACTCCGGGTACTCCACTACCCCCATACCGCCGCCGTTGGAGGCCCTCCCTGCGGCACCGCCACCCTCGTGCGGCGCGTACACCGTCACAGGGCTCTGCGGGAGTCCCGGCTCTGCGTGATCGTGCTGCTCCTCGTTGTCTTCAACCGAGCCTTCTCCCCCGTAGAAAATCATGCGCAGAGAGAGAGAGAGAGAGAGAGAGAGATCACGACCCACGACACAGGAAATTTAAATGGAATCAGTCCTTCGAAGAATTCAATAAAAGGGATGATCTGGGTGAAGGAAAATAATGGGACGGAAACTTGGAGAGAATATGTCGATTTTGTGTAAAGAATGGTCGGAGGAAGAGAGAAGAAAATAGATTTTGCGCACACCTAAATCTTAGAAAGTACGAAATGTTGTAACTGATATTCATAACACTTAACGACCTCATAGTCCCCTCTTTTTTTTTACATTAAATACTAACACTCCCCCTTAATATAAAAATCATTTACTAGTGACTTGGTAAAATCATCTACCACTTGATTTATTGTTGAGTCAAATTTCATCTCTATATAATTTGCAGCAACTAAATCACGAATAAAATGATGTAATATTTCAATGTGTTTTATTAGTTTATGAAAAACTGATTTTTTATTAGAGAAATAGTTGACATGTTGTCGTAATAAATTATTGTAAGTGTTGATTGTGAATGATTGACGTCATGTAAGATTCTCCATATCCATATCACTTGTTATGTAGCCATTGAAACAACAATATACTCAGCTTCTGAATATGATAATAAAATATATTCTTACTTTTTAGAATCCCATGAGATTTCACTTGAAGCAAATCTGAAAACAAAATCACTTGTATTTTTTTTTGTCATTAACATAACCTGCACATCACTATCTAAATATCTAGATAAATTAAATTTAGAAGTATGTTGATATAAAATTCCATAATTAATAGTCCCACAAATATATCAAAGTATTCCCTTTGTTGCTCCAAGATGATGAACTGATGGTGAATACATAAATCTTAAAATCATATTAATTGAAAATAATATATTTGGTTAAATATAAGTCAAATACATAAAACCACCAACCATACTTCTATAAAAATGTTTATTCATTTTTACAGTCTCATCATCAAAACATAATTGATCATTTATATTTATAGGAGTAGAACAAATCTTGTAATGAAACATATTAAATTTCATGAGTAAGTTACATGCATATTTTTCTTATGAAATAAATATACCATGATCCTTTTGAATGATTTGAAGTCCAAGATAGTAATGAATCAATCCGAAATCTCTCATATCAAATTCAGCCATCATACAATTCTTGAAATCTGAAATTAATAACAAAGATGATTCAATATATATAATATCATCAATGTAAACATATACAATCAAAATATCTTTATCTTGAATCTTGTTATAAAGTGTTGACTAATTATCACTTATATGAAAATGATACTTATGAAAATATGAATCAAGTTGACTATATTATGCTTTAGATGCTTACTTAAGATCATAAAGTGACTTCTTCAATTTATAAACTTTGTTATCTCTCTCTTCAATGATAAAACCTTATGACTGCTCAATATACATATCTTCATTCAAATAACTATTCAAAAATACTGATTTAACATCAAATTGAATTATCCTCCATTTCATTTGTGCTGCCAAAGTCAAAATAATACATATTATTTCAATTCTTGTTATTGGAGATTTCTTGTAAAAATAATCAAATACCTTATGTGCATATTCATTTACCACTAATCTTGTTGTGAATTTTTGAACATTATCTTCGGGTTTATACTTAACCTTATAAACCCATTTGACTCTAATTACTTTAGTCTTTGACGGTAAATCCACAAACTCCTATGTGTCATTCTTTTCAATTACTGTAATTTCTTCTTGTATTGTTTTCTCTTACTCATCTTTGTCTTGTGCTGCCTTATAGTTCATCGGCTCTATAATCATAAGAGCAAAAATACAAGATTCAGAAATATCACTTAAGAATCTCATCCTCAGAGGACTTGACAATTTTGGACTTAAATTGTTGTAGTCATTAGGACCACTTGAATCACTTAGAGAAGGTCTCAAAAGTGAGATAGATGATGTAGATGCTTCACTCATTGAATTTTGACTAATTCTCATAATTTTCTGCTCATGTTCACAAAAAATATTTGACATATTAGATTTGTATTCTAATTACAGCAAGCATATTCATCAAACATAACATCACGACGAATCAACAACTTCTTTGTTTCAAGATTATATGAATGATAACTTTTATTTCTATCACTATAACTACGAAAACTATATTTCTAACTCTTTTTACCCATCTTACTATGATCATCAATACCAATTAAAGCACATGAAATACAACTAATTTTTTTCAAATGACTAACATTAGGTTTTCAATGATATCAAGCTTCATAATGAGTCATATTTAATGCTACCTTTGTAGGATAAATATTCAATAGAAAAATAAATGTTGCAACAACTTCAGCCCAAAAATTATTAGAAAGATATTTCTCACTAAAATGACTCAAATTCATGAGAAATAAACTCTCCTGCTCTATCCATTCAAAGAGTTTTAATAAAATGTCAACTTGAATTTTCAGTTAAAACTTTTAAATAAATAAATTTCCCAAATACTTCAGATTTATGAGAAATAAAATACTTCTGACTCATGCATATAAAGTCATTAATTATCAATAAGAAATATTGATTATCATTTAAATATGGTGTCCTCATTTGACCACATAAATCAATATGTAATAACTCAAGAGTAAACTTATTATCCAAGATTTTCTTATTGAAAAAGATAGTCAGTGTTGCTTACCATAAACACATCATTCACATACTTTGTTATTTGCTGAAATAGAAGGTAAATTGAAAACCATATACTTATGTTGTAATAAATTTCAATGTATTAAAATATAAATGTCCATAATGCAAATGCTGAAGTAAAGATGAATCATTCTTTTTTGTAATCATGTCAAAATCAATGAGTCTTGAAATATCAAGAGAAAATATTCTTTTTTTCAACGTTAAGAATCACCATAGGAGACATGCCACTCTTCTTATGCTTGATAACATATGTATCATCTTCAAAATACACAATAAAGTCACATTCCAATAATTGACCTACACTAAGTAAGTTATGTGACAACTTTGGAACAAAATTAACATCATGAATTAATGTATTTGCACTTGATTTTATATAAAAAATAATAGTACTAATGCCGTTAATTATCATACTATTTTCATCACTAATAGTAACATCACATATTGTAAAAGTATTAATATTCTGAAATAAATTTCTTTCACCTAGCATTTGATTGTTGCAACCACTATCAATATACTATATATTTAATTTACTTAAGTTTAAAAAAATATAAGTGATAAATAATTTATTTTAATAATTGTTTTTAATAATATTAGTTTGTTCTCTTTTCTTGTTCCAATAATTTTGCTTCAATAGGATCATACTTCTTGTAAAAATTGCGCATTAGTTTATAACTTCTTTCTCTCATATTTTCTTGTTGTATTACTTTGTCTCAATAATATGTTTTAATATGACCATATTTCTTACAAAAATGATATTATATAACTTTATAATTTGGTTTCTAATTTTGTTGATTTCTATCATCATTTATTTGATGCTCATAATGTGATCTACCATGTCATCTTCCTTCACCTCTAATTTGATAGTGTCTTCTACCATGACCTCGTTGATTGTATATGCTTTCATTATTTTTTTCCTTCTTTGAAATTTCAGCTTTAGTTTAAAAATTGTGTTCAAGTGATTTTTCTGTTGGTCTATTCATCCATTTGTCATGTGCTAATAGTGTTCCAATTAATTCATTTTACGTATAAATAGATAAATCTTTAGATTGTTTAATGACAACAACAATATGATCAAATTTAGAAGACAAACTTAAAATATTTTATGTAATTCTCCTTTCTGAAATATGTTCTCTAAATATTCTCATGATTTATAATACAAATATTTGAGAAAAGAAATCACGAATTGATTCATTAGATTTCATGGAAAAAATTCAAACTCTACAAAATATTTGAAGTTTCACATTCATAAATCTACTGTCTCCATGGAATTCATCTTTCAAGATTTTTCATGCTTCAAAAGAACTAGTGACATTAACAATATGTGAAAATATTGTTTATGAAACAAAGTGCTATAAAACTCATAATATCTTAGCATCATTTTTTAAAATTTTTTATTTTTCTATTTAAAACTTTGTCTTTCTTTATTACCATTCTCAACCAACTCTCATAAATCTTATAAAATAAAAATATCTTCATTTTAACATTGCAAAAATCATACTTCTCTCAAACTTTGAGGGGGTTACCATTTGCCATTCTCAAGGTCAATGGTAATATCTCTTCACATAACCTTTGATTTGAAACTTTAAACTCTTTTCTACAACAAGAACTCCTTAAAACTCCCAAAAAACTTCACCAACCTTAAATTTTTATCTCCTTAGATGTTGTTTTGCTCTTCACAGAAGGCCAATGCCCAATCCACGAACTTGGCTCTAATAAAATTTTAGTTCTATGTTGTTCTTGCCTGTTGACCATGGGTCTTCTAGACAGAATAATTGATCCATTGGAATTCACGAGGAAGATGAGGATCTCGCGTGTACGTCGTGAGAGAAAGGGGAGATCGTTCGCAAGGGATCAGGAGATGGGATTATCCTGGTTAACGCCACGATAACGGATTATTCGCCACACCCAAGATGAACCGACGGTTTGGAATGAATGCTCCGAGAGTCAGGGCATGTCTGTCTCTGTCCCTCTCTCTCTCTCTATCTATATATGAATGTGTGTATAAATATATGCACATAAGTGCTGATCATGAAAAGATGGCACGGTTCCTAGAGAGGGAGAGGGAGAGAGAGAGAGGGAGTTGCTCAGGTATTGGAAAGAGGCAAAGAACTAACTAATCTTTGCGAGCCACCTCATCAGAGGGGAGAGAGAGAGAGAGAGAGAGAGCCGAAAGATTATTTTTTCTAGACATACCCAGCACGAGAAGCCAATCGAACGAGCCGAGGGAGAGCATCCCCGACATGGGGGAGGCTCCTCCGCCGAAGAACCCACCGCCACCGCAGCAAACTCGCAGCTCCTCACGGCTCCTCGAACCCCAACTCCGGGTACTCCACCGCCCCCATCCCGCCGCCGTTGGAGACCCTCCCGGCGGCGCCGCCACCCGCGTGTGGCGCGTACACCGTCACAGGGCTGCCGCGGGAATGCCGGCTCTGCGTGATCGTGCTGCTCCTCGTCGTCTTCAGGCGAGCCTTCCTCCCCTGCAGCATATCATGCGCAGAGAGAGAGAGAGATCACGACCCACGACACAGGATACTAAAAATGGAATCCGTTCTTCGAAGAATTCAATAAAAGGGACGATCTGGGCATGCACCGATGAACAGTCGCTTAGATTTCCTCTCTCTCTCTCTCTCTCTCTCTCTCTCTCTCTCTCTCTCTCTCTCTCTCTCTCTCTCTCTCTCTCTCTCTCTCTATCTATCTTTTAGAGGTCGCCGCCAAGAATTATAACGGGATTCCAAAGAGCGGAAGGAAGATAAATGTTACCTTTCCCATGCATTTCTCCAGGTGAGGAGCGAATCGGCCGGCGATGACCGACCGGCTACAGTTCATGCACTCGAAGATCTCGTTGGCGACGGCGGGGTGGGTCTGCCCGAAGATGTCGACCACGTACTTGCTGTTCGTCTCGCCGCCACCGCCGCCGGTGGCGGCGCCACCTCCACTGCTGCTTGGGTCCGCCACCCGGGCCTGCTTCGACAGCCTCAGCTCTTCCTCCTCCTCCTCCAAGTTCCGATCGAGGCCCAGCCTCGCAATGCGGTGGCACTCCGACGCCACGTCCACGATTATAGAATCGAGGAGTTCTCCCAGGAAATGGGACGATAACTGCACCTCGAACAGGGAGAGTTGACTAACTATGTCAAGATGATAAAGGAAATAATAAACCCGCGTTGAGATGAAGATCTAATAGAGTTCATCTCCTGGATCTTCATGAAATGAAAAGCTGTAGATGCTAGAAGGAAATGAAGATTCTCCGTCCTTGGGTGGATTGAAATGGAGAATCTCTATTTCCTTTTTCGAAAGGTCGGATCTCTGGATCATGGTCCAGAATTCTGGTTTTCAGCCATGAAGCTTCAAAGCTTTATGATTTATAGATAAATGTAAACGGAAAAACCTAGATCTATGTATGAATCGAGCTACACCTGGATACATATTTCCTCTCCAGATCTTATTCCCCGATTTTTCGGATCATTTGAGACAACAACCAGAGGAATTCCAGTAAGATGGGATGACGCTACTAAATGGCTGCTGCCATTGGCGACTGGGCAAATGGCCGAGAAGGAATCGTGACATTGATCCAGACTCCCGTTGGAACACAGAGAAAAGCAAGAAAAAGGCGATTATACTTTCGGCTGAACACAAATCATGCAAGAGATTACCGACCTGAGATCGAGGAGACGAACCGCCGTCATTTGGAGCGGACATTTGATCCTTCGGGTGCACAGTGAGGTCCGCTTGAAGATTTATCCCTCTCTCTGTCCAGACAAGAAAATGGCGCAACATCAGGGGAGGAATTTCATTTTATGTAGCCAGTAATCAGAAGAGAAAAAAATACTGAATGCCATCACTGAAGTATCTGATCACGGAAAATATCAATATCGCGTGTAAGATCGACCGATGATGCTTTCAAACCAGATTTGGCAAGTTTCTTTCCGTAAAAGATGAGTTCTAGGGATCTAGCCGCAGGCAAAGACCAGAAAGATCAAGCGGCATACAAATCTGAGATTCTCCGGACGAGGCTCTGATTTGGAATTCGGCTTTCCACAAGGCATGGGAAAACGTGGTGGGAGGCGTGCCGCGATGGAACCACGGAAGCCGACGAAGAACGACGGCGAAGGTATGAGGCGACGGCGACGATCCACAGATTTCCAAGGTTCGAATAACGTTCGCAGTCGCGTTCTTCAACCGAAGACCTGTTCTCTTCCCTCGGGCAGCGGAGCCGGCGCGACCATCGCCATTGCCGTCGCACCGGAAGGCATTATCGAGAAAGAGGTGTTCGGATTGAAGGAAAAACGATCCCCCGGCCCCAATTAAAGGGGAGAAATCAACCAAAAACCTCCGTTCAGCAAGCAAAGATGGCCGATAATCAAAACACCATCGGATTCGGTCGCCCCTTCCAAGATCATGGGAAATCTCCCTTCCCAGGCAGGGCGGCGAACTGCGAGACGAGAAATCTGAAGAAGAAATGAAGAACGAGGGCATCCGCCGACCTGAAGAGTCGTCTTCAGGGAGCTCTTACTCCCGTGGGGGTGTAGATCCCCAACACCACTACCACTGCGCTGGGCGGCGGCGAACAGGCGGTGAGACGAGGAAGACGATGGCACAAGGAGCAGCCGACCGGCGAAAGCAGAGAGAGGAAGAAAGCGTCTGGACTCTCCTCTGCCTGCTTCGGCTGGCCCATCTTTCCTTTATGGGTCCATTTTTATTCAGCCCAACTAACAAAATGGGCAAAATACTGGCCCATGACTAGAACACATAGGCCCATTATAGCCCATACAAACCCAGCCTTCTCTACAATCGGCCCGGCCCAAGTTTAGGGCCTGCCACGTCGGAAAATCGAAAATTGAAGTTTAAATTATTTATATAAATAAAAAACATTGTTCTAAAAATCCAACATTTATGTGGATAATCTCCATTTTTCAGGAACTCGGTTACTATAAGGACCGACTATACATAATCCCATGAATAATTGGAACTATTGAAAATAATCTTCGTTTAATGATCGGTAAGTTGTGCCTCTGTAACACAGAAAGGGGGTGAAAAAGTTGTTCTGCTGCCCGGGGTCGTTGGACCAGGATAAGGAGCTTATTCTGCACCCCTAAACTAGGAGCTCTCAGCCATGTCCTCCTTGGTCGTGCCGGAGGAGGAGGCCTTGCCCGTGGAGTTGGGAGAGGCCGCGGCTGTGGATGGCGGGTTCTTCTTTAAGGTGGAACGCATTCCAGAGATTTCCTGCACACCAAACGATTTTGAGAAATCCACGGAAAGAAATACGTGCAGTCAACAGGCTGGGCTCCGTCTGAACCCAGAAGAGCTCAGAAAAAGGGCCTTGGGCCAGATCCCTTTAAAGCCCCGAGTCAATTCTACACATGAACTTAAGAGAGAGAGAGAGAGAGAGAGAGAGAGAGAGAGAGAGAGAGAGAGAGAGAGAGAGAGAGAGTTGCCCTCTACCAACACTACTATGAGGAGTTTTGAATAAACTATGTTAAATTATACCAATTTAGGCATAAATAAATGGAGAACATAAACAAGAAAAGGCATTTATTTACCTTCATCAAGTGCAGCCTCAAGTCACAGGGACGGACTTCCTCACCGATGCATACCATAGCAAACTGGGAATAATTGTTCAGGACATCTGCGGCAGCCTGTTTTTGCTCTTCCACCTGCAACAATATTTGAATCACCAAGCTAAGAGAAGCCCTTCAACAGTGCAGTTCATATGGAATAGAGACGAGAAATAGAACAGTAATTTCCGTAAAGAGACTATTGCTTAGTAGCTTATTGAATAATTCATTATGGTCGAACGTCGAAGAGATTTTCACAAGGTGTCAATGAACCAGAAAAATATATGCATCTATGTTTTATGATGCCGAATCAAAGTCACCAATAATCTATCAGAATCCTCAATGTACTAGGAGAATGAATACACGTGATTCATTGGCCATTCTGAATGCACATTTGATGTTCCACTCACTGGAAGTTTTTCTTTTATCGCCAGGAAAAGGGATTATGCTAACAAGAAGCTCGGACTAAGCTGCACCTGCAATTGGGTTTGACATCTATTAATTCATAAATTATTCATAATTTATCTAGGGTAACTAGTTTAAATGGTGAAGGGATAATTACAGACGGCATCTGATGAGAACCAGCAGTTGCTGCGCTCCATACTTGTGGCAATTATGAATACATTACAGATGAGGGAATGGGGACGGCATTACAACGTCGCAACACATGGAAATATGCGACTTAAGAAGATGATTGATCATAGGAGTTGTGTCCAGCATAGGAACGGGATCATACGGAAAACTGTGACTCAGGATTCATCAAAAGTCAATCAGAGGAGAAAGCAAATCAATTGTGACTTGGTTGGAAATCGTTTTCCTATAGAAAGATATCGTTTTCGGTGCTAAAGCACGGAAAATGTATATATCCATTGTATGAGTCCCTGCTGATGCAATGGGTAAGTGCTGGAGACTGTCCATAAAGCAAATGGGCCTTTTTTCTTGAACAGAGGATGAGAAATTATCCACGACCTTGATTGTCGACGAAATCATATTCCCTTTAAAATAAAGTAGATAGTGGGAATTATCCCCATTAACCTTGATTGGTATGGTCGGAAGTTTACAAGTAAATAAATTGTGGAGTTATTATAAATTTCGGGGGCCAGAATACGCTATATGTCATTCTAAATACACAAGTGAACAGAAGGACGTGTGATGAGAAGCCACAACGATACTGACCATCCCAAAGGAGAATCGTGTTTCTGTATGAAAACAAACTAGGAAAGGCAGATCCCTACATTAAGGAAACGATGATCAGAGACACACATGTAGAAAAAAGCGCTGATATGAAATATGATATCCATTCGTGGAATAGGTAAGGTAGGTGTTCTAAATGACTTGCGAACGAAAATTTAAAAGCGATATCATAGATTCAAACGACTAGAGGCCACCACTTGCATCTCAAAAAAATCTCGGGGAATCTTAGAATTATCATTCGCTAAGAACAACATTCTACAGTGACAATATCGTACATAATTTACCTGAATATCACAAACCTTAACATGTAAATAAGCCTAACGAGACAAAAATAGAGCGGAATACGTCACCGCTTCGAAAAATTACCCCGCGAAACACTGAGCCGGGGATCACACAGTTCTCATGAATTATACGGCCAACACAACTTTTTCAAGCGTAAATACAGCAAAATCGCTTGGTTCGCTGTTGCGCGATGAATAGTCGGTACCATTCAGACGCAGATGACGTTTATTCCAAAATCGCGCTTATGCTCGAGCCAGAACAACTTCAGGCACGAGGGTTCCTGTTCCCCTTTATCATTCGAAGCCAAAAAACGAAACCCGAACGATCACCCCCATCCAATCGACGATAATTCCATTCCATCGGTTACTGATGCGCAAAAACAAGAAAGAAAATGGGAATGAAAGAAATACGAATCAGGACGCCGAGGATTTTACCTCGTAATCATCCTCCGGCAGTGGCGTCGTTCGTCCCATCGTCTCCCTCCTCCCTCCTCTCTGTCTGTCTGTCTGTCTGTCTGTCTGTCTGTCTCTCTCTCCACACGAGAAAGCACGGACCGACCAATATATACGGTTCCCTGGGGCGGGAAGATTTATGCCACGTGGATCTGAATTGGAGCGTGGTTTCCGTACTAAGGGGTTTATGATTGTGGAAATTTTCAATTTTAAACCTTATCAGACTATACACTTTCCGATCACCCGCTACTAAATATCATTTATTCAAATAGCGGTAATAATAGCTTTTAGTAACAAAGTTATTTACTAAATATTTTCGATATGCCTCAACCGGCGCGGAGTCGGCCGCATCTTCGACTTAAAACCCATGGACACCGCCGTCTCCTTCACCGAGCCGTACTCTCCGCTTCCAGTGGCCCGCGGTGTATTTTATGTGATCCAACAGCATCCTGAAAACCGTTGGATTGTGAATCCTCTCGTTAACCGGTGCGGGAACGAAGAATCTTAAGCTACGCCCGAGGAACAAGTGTGTACCGAGGAAGATCCATCGGAGGCAATCCGACCGACAGGGGACGGCGTGGTGTGACGGTATCATCTGGCATGGACACGCTGACGGAAGGCGGCTGCCAAAGCCTGCCCCGCACCGACGGTGAGAGAATCTGACTATTCCCCTCCCCGGTCTCTTATCCTCCGTCCCGCCGCTTCGTCTCTCCGGTGTTCTTCACAAGTTCTTGTTCATCGCTGGTTCAGGGAGGAAGCCGTAGAGAGACGATGGAAGGAGAGCCCTAACCCTAATTTCTGCGCCTCCGATGAGATGGAGCATCTTCAGCGCGGTCAGCATCACGCGTCGTACGCCGGCGGCGGTGGTGGGAGGGAGGACTGCTGGACGGAGGAGGCGACGGAGGCGCTGATCGAAGTGTGGGGGGAGCGGTTTGTGGAGCTGAACAGGGGGAACCTCCGGCAGAAGGACTGGAAGGATGTGGCCATGGCGGTGAATGAGCATCTGGTGGCCGTGGGGAAGCCCCGGAAGACGGATATCCAGTGTAAAAACCGGATCGACACGCTGAAGAAGAAGTTCAAGCTCGAGAAGAGTAAGCCGGGGTCCTCCCGGTGGGCCTTCTACCCCCGCCTCGAAGAGCTCATCTGTCCCGACACCTCCAGCCCCGCGGGCGACGGTGGCGGCAAGAAGCCACAGGGATCCGTGGGGACGTCCACCAGATCTCAACGCGACTCGCCGCTCAGCTTCACCATCAAACGTAGGTCTCCCTCGAATGCGAACCCTAACGCCGGTGCGTTCTCGGAAGGGTCCTCCTCTAGGTCTAAAATGAACTCATCGCCCGTCTCTAGCGAGAGTTCCCGGGGAGACGACGGCAGGGTGAATAACGATGGGGATGGTGACGAGGAGGAGGGTAACGGTTCGTTCCACGGCAGGAAAGTTTTATTAGGCAGGAGACGGCAGTGGGGGAGCTCGTTGGATATAGATCGTCTGGTCGGTGGTGGAGGTGGCAACAGAGCCAGTGGAGGCAGTGGAGGAGTTGGAATGGATGGGGCGTTCGGGGAGCTGGCAAAGGCAATTGTGAAATTTGGCGAGATTTATGAAAGGGTAGAGAACTCGAAGCAGCAGCAGATGCTGGAGTTAGAAAGGCAGAGGATGGAGTTTGCGAAGGAGCTCGAGTTCCAGCGAATGCAGATGTTCATGGAGGCACAGCTTGAGCTGGAAAAGATGAAGCGCCCAAAATATTCTTCTGGTGCTGGTGAGGACACTGATGTTACTTCTGCATCCTTGTTTGGAATACCCATTTTTATATGCTTCCCTCACAATATTTCTCCTCTTTTGGTGATTATTGACTGTTGAGTGTATGTTGTCCATCATTCTCACCCATGTATCAAAATAGATCTCCATTTTGCAGTGAAATAATAATTTTTAATTGAACTTGTGTCCCCATGGCGATCAGTTGCAATATCATGCTAAAGACGTAATGGTAAATCCACATTTCATTTCTTCAGTGTTCATAAGGAGTAGATGTCAGATACTTTCTTGCATTTTATAAGTGTTGATCATTTGCATTGTTCACATGGCTATTTAAATGGCTACGCAGTTTTCAAAGCCTATTAAAACCGAAATGTTTACAGATATTCGATGCTTATCCTAGTTCATCTCTTGTTGGAAGTGAAAAGTTTTTTAAGTTTGGATTATATCCTCGGATTGCCCAATCTTGGGAACAATGGTTGACTCAAGATCTGTCATGAACTAATCTGAAGAACTAGAATATTATGATTAAAGAAGAGCTTTATCGGCAAGCAATATGATCATATGGCTTTTGTTTTTCAAAACACTTATCCCATTTTTCTTAAAATGCCTAATTTTTCCGCTGAGCTATTGTTCTTTTTGCCATTGAGGAAGTTCCTCATATTTGAAGTTTTTTTATGCAACTATTAATGTTTTTTTATCTGTGGACTGTGATGAAAAGTTTTATTTTTGACGTCAAAATGTCTGAGAGTTGTTAACACATTGCTTTATACTGTTATTGATTTTTTTCTTGTTTTCTATCTTGTCGTTGTTTCCATTGCTGTCTGTTTGTTATGTATGTGTTGTGTGCAATCTAGTTGATTCGGTTGTTGGTGTGTATTTGAAACTTCCTAGAAGAAGAAGGGTTTGTGCCACAGCAAGTACAATTAAATAAAGAGTAAATGAGAGAAAAGAGAGAATTTCAGCTGAATTTGTTTTTGGGCTTCATGAATGATTTCAAGTCCATATGGGCTACTGTGAACGTCTAGGAGTCCCTTATACATGACATGAATCTTAACGAGTAAGATCCAGGAAGATCGAGCAGTTGTCTGAACCATCCTTAGTTAGGAAATTCAAAGAATTCTTCAGATACTCAGAGGTATAGGAAAAGGTGGGTTCATCTTATGGCGGTTTTCACCTCATTGAAAACAGTATACAGATGTTGAGCCTAATGAATTCAATGGGAATTCTGCAACAATTACTTGGGTTCGAATCCACTATGATGTAGAAGATGGGAAGCGAAAGGGAGCTATGCATCAAGGTAAAAAACGTAGCATCGGTTCTAGATTTTCCCTCATGAGATATGATTCTTGTCATTGGAAAAAGGTAGTTTTTAAACTTTCCACCTTCGATGGATATGAAAGTTTATGCCCATTGTGAAGGCTGAAACGTCGCTATATGCCTGTCAGTCAAACATAGTGGATTATGTATTTATTCACTGTGGCGTTTTGTGGGACATGCAATGTCTGTGTATTGTAGGGCTTTTGAAGTTCTTCAGTTGTGCCAGATAAATGGTGTTATTAGGAGATTGCTTGAATATGTGCTATTATTACTTCACTGCCTTCTGTTCAGTGAGCCATCCTGAGGAGGATGGCGGCATGTTCTAGATCTCTCAGTTCTCACCCGTCGTATGTAAGCTTGAGATTGACTTGGGGTTGGGGAAGAGGAACAGGAGTGGGGGTTATTAGACGTCTTTCATTTTCTCAAAAGCATATTAAAAAATGCATGTTAAATATGTTTAAATATTTTTAATACATTAAAAATATGGAGATTATTTATTATTTATTTTGTAATACTATATCTATTCCTATTACATAGCAGTTACTCTCACGAGGAAAGCAGAGTGGTTATTGATTCTTCCCATTTAGTCTGGAATCTGATCATCCATCCATTGAATGCTCGAATTGCCAAGTGAATCTAAGCAAGCAATTTGGAGAGGGTGATCCTTTCTTGATAATTGTCCAGTTTTTTCGACAAATTTCTGTAAATAATTTATTTACTGTTACATTAATTTTGATTGTAGAATATAATTGGGCAATTAGCACATTCTATGATTTGTTTCTGACCCTATGGTGCATTGGCGCTTTAGCACATAAGAGGTCTTTCACATCTTCCTTTCCTTTGGTGCCTATTCTTGCGAACTCTGTTCATAAATACCCGAATAACTTCCAGTGCTAAATTCATGTGGCTAAAGAAATCGGTCAACGCCACTTATCCTCTCGCTTTTTTAGTATTCTTTTCCTAATTAGGTCATTCAGTAAATCATGCGGGTGTAATCAGTTTGCTTTTATCCGCTAGATCCTGTTATGAATTTATTTTTTATAGACAAAAATAACTGTTGGAGCCAAGACAAGCTGGTTTCCAGCGTTAATAAGTTACATAAATTCCCCGCTGTTGTTTGATAAATTAAATAATCGTATATTCGCCATTAAATAATCACATTTTCCGATTTATCAGGGAAACGAATGTGATAGCAACGAGGACCTTGGGAGCCGGATGCCCTTGCTCGAGAAGGCGCATTAGGACCCTAACCTGCTATCTATACGGATAGTGGTTTATGTGTACAGAGAGGTAGATGGAACGCCGTAGCTTGCATATTTTCTTCTCTTTTTTTTTTTGTGTAATCTTTTTCCTTTTCCTCGCTCGTGTTGATCAAGCCGGCTGTTGGAGATTTAGCTTCGAATTTTTATTATTTTTATTTCTCCCTCCTCTCCGTGGGCTGATTTTCTTTTGAAAGAAAACCCTTCTATGTTGGATGTGGTGAAGAATGGAAAATGGGAGTGTGAAGAACCAAGAAGAGGCTCGTATAGGAGGGGTTGACCTTGACCTTTCTTCGGGCCCTGGCCCCGAAGTCAAACCCGAGGGAGGGATCTGGGTGGGATCCCATTTGGGGGCTGCCCCCTGCCCTGGAAGCAGACCTTCTCTCCCGTCGGGACCGCCCTTTGCTCTAACAAGCCCACTTTCTAGATCCTTCGCCTGATTTGGGCCGCTACTGGGCCTTTGGAGTTAGCTGATTCGGTCAAACCTTGTTGGTCCCAAACAGGATACATTAGCAATTCGCGACTTTCAGAATGGCGTCTCGCCCGACATGTAAAAGAGGAGGAGATTTCGAGGAAATATCCAGTTGACCTGCCGCTCCGTTACGTCCTCCGCCGTATTTATTTTACTGATTTTTTATTGATTTACTTATTTATTACCTGCCAGGACGGCAGCGAGTCTGCGACCGAGTCGACCACCGATCGGCCCACAGAGGAGACCGTTTCAGATCGAGTATTTTTTAAAAAAGGCGGGGAGCTGGGTTTGACTTCGCGCCGCCATCTAGACAGCCGCCAGGAATCTCGGCTCACCGTTTTCAGACAAGAAGATATCAGAGGGGGGCGGGAGGGGGGAGAATCTCGGCCCGCTGTTTCTATGTACATTTCTCACTCCACTACACCAGACACATAAACATAAAGAAAATCGAGAGAGACAGAGAAAATATATATAGCGAGAAAGAGAGAGAGAGAGAGAGAGGAGTTCTTAGGAGTCTGAGGAGACGATTTCGAGCTCGGCCCACCAGAGAGGGGAGCCCTTGGGGGTGGCGGCTTCGGGGGCCAGACCGGTGATCGTCCTCAACCGGGCGACGACCTCCGCCATCGCCGGCCGCGCCGCCGGCATCGGGTTGCAACAGCCGACGACCACCTCGCATATGGCCGCGACTTCCTCCTCCTTGAAGCTCTTGAGGTTCCCGTCGACCAGGTCAATGGCGGGTTTGACCCCCTTAAGGTAATCGGAAGCCCACGTCAGCACCGGCGGCCTCCCGGAGATGATCTCCAGCAGCAGCATCCCGAACTTGAAGACAACCTCCTCGGGGTGCACATCCGGCCGGCGAGCGAGCTCCCCCAGCGGGCCGGAGGTCGACGCCGGTGGCGGCGCCGCCGCAGCTGTCTCGCTCCAGAATTCGAAGTCGGAGACCTTGGCGGCGAAGTCGTCGGTGAGGTAGATAGAGCTCGAGGTCAGATTCCCGAGGACGACGGGAGATGTCAGCTGGTGCATGTAGTCGAGGCAGTAGGCGATGCCCATCATGACCCGCAACCTCTTGGCCCAGTCGAGATCCTCCGCTTCTCTCACTGTAAATCGGACGTTGACAGAGAGAGAAATTGTTAAAATGGGGATACCATTCGGAGCATCATTTCGATCTTGAGTGTTAACGCCGCCCGTTGACGAGAGATTTCAAGCTCGCGAGAAGGACAGCTCACCGTGGAGAAGTTCGTGGAGGGTGCCGTTGGGGGCGTACTCGAAGACCATCATCCGCGTGAAGGGTTCCTCTTCCTCGCAGTACCCGAGCAGATTCGAGAAGTTCTTGTGGTTGACCTTGGACAACGCACTGATCTGAAACCAGGGCGGCGGCGCTCCGATCAGGAACAGAGACCGGGCAAAAAGAAGAAAGAAAAATAAAGGGATGGAAAAAAAGACAACCCTCACCTTCTTCCGGAACTGGGCTTCGTAGAGCTCCGACCAGTCCTTGGCGGAGTTGACCACGGTGGAGGCGACGGCGATCTCCACCCCGCTGGACAGCGTCCCCTTGTACAGCGTGCTATCAGACAAGGTCCCGATGATGTTGCTGAAGTCCTCGCACGCCGCCTCCAGCTCCGGCCGCCCCAGCTGGGTCACGCCTGCACGAGCGACGCCACCCGAAGTCAACGCCAACCGCGCCGGCAAAAAACCCATCGACAAGAACCAACCAGTAAAAGCCGGCGCTGGGGATCTCAAGCTGTTACCCGTCACGAACGCCTTCTGCAGCTGCCCGCTCAACCCCGTCGCCCACGGCTTGACGGTGACGACCTTATTTGACCGGTAGCAGAAAATGCCGACCGCCACCAGCACGGCGCTGCCGACCGCCGCCCCCACCAGGCCAAATATCAAAGCTTTGCTAATCTTTCTCGGGGGCCTTTTTCTAGACGAAGAGGGATCTGAGCTGGGAGCGAGTGCAGGAGAGGGAACAGACGTCCGACCCTCATTCGGCGGTACTGAGCCTGAGATCTTGGGGTTGCGCGGTGGCACCGGTGTCGGTGTCGCTGCCGGTGCCGCTGCTGGTGTCGGTATCGCTGCCGGTGTCGCTGCCACTGCCCCTTTCGTAGGCGATGGCGAAGTAGAATCGCCGCCCGAGGAACTATCTTGGGTAACCCTCCTACATCGCAGCATCAACACAGAATCTCGTTAAATGCGCCCATTAGATCGAGCGATTCTTCGTCGCCCCGGAGCCCACCATCACCTAGATAAGAAAAATGAAAAAATAATCGGATTAACGCTTGGTTTCAGGGGGGGGGGGGGGGTTACCTCGGGATTGATCCGGCTTTGTGGCGCTCTGGTTCGCAGTTGACCTCGACCTCGGATAGAGCGAACAGGTTGTGGAGCTCCGGTGGCGAGTTACCGAGGAGCGGGTTCCCGCCTACCAATCTTCCGATAAATATTGAAAGATTTTCAAGTCAGCGGCCGTGCCGGGGACATTTTATCCCATTAGGAAATTAATTCGCACCGTCATGGCTATCCAAGGGTTGACTTACAGGAGTTCCAAGGACGGGATGTTTCCAAGACTGGAGGGGATGACCCCGCTGAAGTTGTTGTGCGCCAGGTCCAGCACCTCCAGATTCCGGAGCTCCTCCATCTCCCTGGGGACGACCCCGTGGAAAGAATTATTGCGTAAAATTCTGCAGGAAAAAAGTCAACCGATGAGAGCCAGGTCCGAAGAAAAAACGTTGAAAAAATGCCCTTTAAGAGACTTCAACAAACGAATGAGCTGGATGCTTACAGATATCTCAGGTGAGAGAGCTGTCCGAGCTCAGGCACCAGCGTTCCCTTCAGGTGAAGATCTTTCAGGTTCCTAGAAGAAGAAAATGGCAGTTCTGGTGAAAAAATTGTAGTGGGAAAAAGGTCAGCGGGAGGGTTTTTCTCCCCTAAAGTCAGAGGCGAATCGACAACATGAGCCGACAAGCTTCCCCGGGGGATCCTCAAATATTCTCAAGAATAATCGAACTAAAAATAAGAATTTGAACATGATCGACATGAAAAATCGGATTCACAGCCACACAAGATTGGCTTCAATGCTAAATTTATCAGGTGAATTTCAGGGGATAAACTACTAAAAAAGAGTTAAAAAAAAATCAAAGAACAGAAATTAGGATGAAATAATCGGTAAAAAGGTTGAAGATTATTCTACGATCAATTATTTGACCTGTTCATATCAGCCAACGACTATGGCAATTGACTAACTAAACACAACGATTCACCAAATTATCCGCCCATTAAAGGAGATCCCTGAATTTTTCAGATTATCAGCGGAAGAACCCAGCCTCGAAATTACTTTCAGATGAATTTATCGGAATTATTCTTGTTCTGCGAGTTCTTCTTTTTGTGGAAGTTCTGGAAACTAAGATCATGGGAATCAGTCAACGATAGGTTGCATCCTGTTCTGGGTGCTCGTAGAAGACTACTGCCGCGATTTTCCTCGGTTATCTTCATCGCATGGACAGAAAGGCCGACCGAGTCAACGGCCTGGTGATGATCCTCGAAGGCAGTTCCGGTACACATGGTGAATCGAACCCTAGAATCAAGATGTAGAAAATTCCGATCCGATGAAGAAGAAAGCGGAGAACTTACAGAGAGACGACCTTCCCATCTTCGCAGTTGACCCCCCGCCAACCGCAGGGATCTTCCACGTGCTCCTCCGTGACCCAATCCGACAGAGCCGCGTATGGATCGACTTCGATTCCTTTCCTGAATCTCAAGAGCGCCGTCCCTGCAGATTTAGCGCGACTATGGTCAATTAGGAGGGGGACGGCTCGACGAAGTCGATCAAACCGTTCATAGAAACAAACGGCCTCGTTCTCGAGAAACTTTCGGCGCAAGAAACCCTGCCTTCGTCTCCGAGGGAGGAGCAGAAGTCGAAGCTCCGCAGCAGCAGAAACAGCAGCAGCGGAAGCCATGCGGCTGGGCCCCGACGCCTGAGCCCCTCCATGAGTTCCTTCCCCTGGAAACTCCTTCCTCTGTCCTTCCAACTTTTCCTCAGGAAATTGAATCCACGAAAGAGAATTCGAGGAGATCTAAGCGGCAGCGGCAAACGACGGCGACGGCGATGGCAGCGGCGGCGGCGGCAACGCGGAGGCGAAGTGCGGGAGGCGTCACGGGGGAGCTTTCTACCGTCGAGTGAAATGGATGAGGTTCTACCTTCGTCTGGTCTTCAGCGGGAAGAAGACCCGCCAGGGAAGACGCGTTTTCAGGTCGCACCTTGGCAGATTGGAATTATTTTCTCTAGAGAGAAAGAAGAAGTAAACGAGGTGACGGGGTGGAGTAGCCCTACCTGCATCCTCCCTCTCCCTCTCCCCCTCCCTCTCTGTCTGGGAGCCGGAAGTCGTCCCCACGGAAAAGACCTCCTTGCCGGCGCAACCAACGACGACCGATTCCATGCACAAGCGAGTGCGACGTCCAATCACGGATTGCCACACGAACAATCTTTGAAGAAAAACCAGCTATATTTTAATAAACCAGTTGTATGCGTCTCGTACTAAGTCAGGTGGGCCCATTTGTGACGACGCCATAGGCATGGGTGGGCCCCAGGACCGACTTTGCTGGCTCGCTCGCGCTACAAAACGAGAGCCTTGGGCCCATGAAATCAACAGTCCGCCGTCTGCTAGCGGCCCAGTCGTGAGCCCAGCGGCCCGTCGACATGACCTGGCAGCCGCTCGCTCTGCCTTCACGTGATCTACGTTAATACGTTATTGGGCCGGATCGCTTTACCGTTAATGATCCGGCAACGTTGCCCTTCACATGATGGGGACGTGGACGTGTACAATCTGTCCTAGACACGGCCAGGGCCCGACAGTGTCTTACCGAGTCCGCGTTTACTGGTCAACAGGTATTTTGAAGCATTACGGAATATTGCCTTTGCGTGCTCCGTTCAATTAATGTTAAATAAAATAATTAACACGTGGCATATTGAGGACAAGAAGGGAAACTTTGGGAAGTGGGTGGGTAGTTTTTTGGGCGAACTTTGGGTAATTTCTAAAATATTCAAAATCACTGTCCCCTCCCTCACAAGATAAATATAAATATTTTAAAGGAAAAATTACAAGACCAATGGAATCGGTTATGAAGATCCAAATGCAGCCCGCAGTCGGAAACCGCTTGGATTCTTCCGCCGAATCTTTCAGTGGAAGCGGATTCCCGAGGTCTCGAAGCTGGAGTTGCCCTCTAGGAAGGGCTTCTCTGGCGGCACTGATTGCCCGGGCGCTTTTCGTCGAATCCTAGCCGTTGATCTTCTTATCTGTTTCGAGATCCACCGTTGGATCGTCCTGATCGGCCTTTTTTTCGCGAACAGTTCGACCCATCTAAAGACAGCATAACCGATCTGACGGCAGAACGTTTTTTCTCATACGCCCGTCGTTATTCTATCTAGTATTTTTCATGTATAACCTACATATAACTTGACATATGTACCAAAGCGTACACTCTGGTAAGGGCTAGCCATTTGTCGACACGTTGCTTCTCACTCTCTCTTTGTGTATCGACAAAAGGCATCAGTCCCCAGATTGTAAACATCCCGTGACCTGCTGTGGCCGGCTTTAATCAGGAATTCCCCGGTCTCTCTAGAACCCTTTTAGCTTTATCGAGAAGCTCGAAACGAATGAGGGGAGAGACCAGGAAGGAGAAGGAACGGCGATGGCGCAAGCGGAGGATTCGTCGTCATCATCGCCACCGGAGGGAAAAAGAAGACCATCAAAAGCCGCGCGCGTCGATGGCAAGCAACAGGAGGATTATTATACCTTACGATCTACAACAACGCCAGATCTTTCTATTGGATGGAGTACGAGAAAAGCCAAAAATGGAAGACAAGGTGTGGCAGGAACACAGGCGGCGGAGGAAGGAGGCGGAGATTCACGCGGAAGGCTTGCGGACGAAGTACCTGTAGGCTGCGACCTTCTTCCTGCGGGATCCGGTGTTGTCGATGGAGATCACCATCTTCCCCGCTTCCCTGGAGGTATAGGAGTTGTGGATCGGCTCGTCGGCAGCGTTCATCCGCCTAGTCTTCTCGATAACAACCGTGTAGCTGCTCTCCGCCGCAGGGATGTACTCAGCGCCGTAGTCCAGCTCCCAGCCGCCGACGACTATGTCCCAGGTTATCGTGGCACCGACCTGGCAGCAGCAATGGCCAATCCGTATGAGTATTTCCATTCTCAAGGCGAAACACCGGGCAGCGACAGAGAAAACGGATCTCTCTCTCTCTTCCTAAATGGAGAATTTCTTCAAGATGAATGAGGAGCACCTCGATCCCGTCAATTTCGAGGTTCACCCTCTCGCCGCCTTTGACGGCGAACTCCGACGCCGGCTTTGGTTGGCCGTTCTCCAAGTCCCCAGGTCGGCTCAGGCCGCCGTACTGGACGGGCACGTATTCGGGTCTGATGAACCTGGAAGGACCAGACGTGCTCAGGACAACTGGGAAGAAAACGGAGAAGAGGGAGAACAATTGATCCCTAACAAATCCGGGAGAGGATTGATGAAATTAGCCTCTCACTTGTAAAGGATCTCGGCGACATTCCCCTCCTTGGCGATCACAAACTTGCTCTTAGTTCGTTGCGTTAGAAAGGGGCTGAACATCGAGTACAGCATGCTGAAATACCAGGGCACGTTGATGAACACCTGCACGGCGGCATCCACACGGAATGGGGAAAAGTCCGATGAGAACTCGGTGAATCAGGACCAAGAGCGAAGAATGAAAGCTAGAATCAGATCTACGACACCTTCCGTGCCACCATTTCCGGATAGTTGTCCTGGAACAGAGAGAGGATCTGGTTAGATGCCATCCGGAGCTCCCTCTTCGGCATGTCCTTGAGATCAGTGACCTGAATGATCGAGTTCACGCCGCCCGGCTTGAACTGGAGCATCCTGACGCCGCGTTCCATCACCTGCACTCGCCACCGGAGGAAGCGCTTCAGCTTGTCGTCGTCGCCGAACACCCGATCGTACATCTCCCGGTCCTTGAAAACTCCATACGCATTGTAGCAGACTGGGTGCCCCAATCGATCGGATCCATGCATAAAGGCGACCACCCCTTCCAGCTCCTTAAACCCTAGATCGTCTTCCAGCACATTCTCCACCGCGAAATCGCTCCGCCATGCGATGCAGCGGAGGAGCATGGTGTGCGCCTGTGACACGCTGAAGTCTCTCGCCCGGAGGAACTTGAGGAGGATCACGTCGGCTCTCTCGTCTCCTTCAAGCAAGGGGATCCCCCACATGGACAACGGAGGAGAGGAACCATCGGTGGCGGAGGACGAAGCCAGAAGACCCTTGAGCTCCTGCAGCGCCCTCTGCTCTGAATGCCTGAGCCGCTGGAAGAAGTAGGTGTCCTCCCTGAAGGATGGGGACTGGAGAAGGCTTGTGGCGGCGACGTCCATTAGCGAGCTCACCAGGCTCCTCCTGTGGGGCTTGGACGCTTCTGCGAGCGGCGGCACCGCCGGAGATTCGTCCATATCTACCCTAGAGACCGCGAGGAAGGAAGTCTACAGGTGAAGCAGAGTAGGGGATGACCTTCGTGACCTTCCTGGCTGCAGCGAAGCTACGAGTACTTATCAATCTCTGCTACTCCCCCATGGGACAACCATGGCTCGGGGGAAGAGAGAGAGAGAGAGAGGAAGAAGTATGGGGAAGCGAATGATTGTGATGGTGAGCGTGGTATGCGCCGATGCAAGGCGGCGCACACGTTGAGCGCTGGGAGATCGTGAACCCCACTTTCCCGGTTTAAATTTTGAACTCGCACGATGCTCCTCGGCGGGAACATCGCGCAGTTTTAAATCAGACGGACGAGAAGATCCCCCCGCTCCTGGCGACCTCTGCATCTCCGATCCCAAGGCTCACAATCTGGCACGTGGCATTCAGTTTCTCTCTCCCCTATCCTTGTAAAATCACCGCCTCCCGAGGCCCATGAAATGGGAGACAAACCACGTGGCAGGAATCGAGGGGCCCTCACTTATGGTTCTTATTCGGCTCGGCAGCCGGGCCGCGCTGTGCTCGACGATGGCCCGCCGAGCCATCGGCAGCCGGGGCTCGTAATACACTGCACACAGAAGGTCGTATAAATTACCTTTTGATATTCTTTAAATAATATTCTTTCCATTTATTTATCATACAGGTTGACTTTTAGAGGATCTAAAGGTGCTAACGGACTGAGCCGATCCAGGGCTATTTACCGGCGACATGAATGTCGCTTAGTTAATGGCATTTATTGTAATTTTGCAGTATTATATTACTCTTATTATTTTATAGTCGTCGTTGACGTTCTTACGGCGACTCAGTTTACTTCCAGCTTGCTGTCGGGACGAACGGCCATCGTTAACACGCTGCGGAGCGCTAGATCATTCTGACCGTACGATCTTGCGGGCCTACCGTGACGATGTGTCCATCGGCTATGGTATTAACTATTAAAATAAACAGATGAAATTTATTTTAATGCGTAAATTAATTAAAAAAATATAAGTCACTGTATTTTTATTAATTAATAACTAATTTAGCAGCGGGCATAAACGAGAATTTTTGTTAGCCATCATTGGGCCCAGTTTGGCTATCTAAGATGGGCCTGGCCCAAACCGTCTGGGTACAGACCAAACGTCCAGATGGGAAGGGGAGGGTAAATGAGTAATTATGTTCAAGAACGAAAGGTACTTAGGTCACTTAGGGTGCTACAAGTATGTTCGCCAAGAATGTAGTAGACTCGGGAACTTTCGATATATAAACAGGTAGCCTCTTTCCTACTTTCCCGCTCGATCAGAAAGTCCCGGTTGCCATCAGCGAGCCGGTCCTCTTCCCAGAGCTTCTGCCGTTGCAGGTGCTGCTGCTGCTTGTGTGTGTGTCCTCTTTGCTCCCTCTCCCCACCGGTTAGAAATCGTTGATCGTTTTGCTCTCTCATTGTTTTCGGCTCGAAACTGTTGTCTCGAAGAATCTTTTTCGTCCGGTCTGGTGATCGCGTTAATAATGTTTGCGTGTGACCGTGTGGCTTGTCTTCTTCGTACACCCCCAAGGGTCGCCTATGATTTGTGATATTTTAAGAATAGGATTTGTGGCATTCTTTACAGTCGGAATGAGATTCTGTGGACACACACTCCGGATATGCTCCCAAACTTTCTTTGCTTTCTTTTTCGAAGCTCATGTTGCCTTAAAAATAGTTGCCTAAAATTTCTGAAGGAAGGAGCTCTTCGTTGCTGTCGAGAAGAAGATGTGGCCTGTAGACAGTGACAACGTGGGGAATTCCAGTGTCCCTGCGAGGAATCTTTCAAAGCCGAATCTCGGCGGGGTTATTTTCGGCTGCAAGCACCACACTATATCTGAATGCCTCACCAATCAGTTATTTGGTCTGTTTGCTTCCTAAATGTTTACAATTATGCTTACTTATTATTAAGTTGTGATGATTTACGTACAAAGTCCATATCGTCTGACATCATAATTATTTCATCCACTTCTTCTATTGTATGCTTCATCTCTTTGTGCTTACGCGCAAAGAAATGTTAAACAAATATAACTGCCCTACGGATTCTTACTCGACCTCTGTTTGATTGGATAGCGTTTTCGATATTTTTGATGTGAGCCTTGCATCTTTTCTATGTGACATGCTTTTTGATGCACAGCGCTTTAATACTTTTATTTAAAAAGCCACTTGAGGTAGGATGGAACCTTTGTTCCGATATTGTTTTTGTGATCTTGAAATAGCACTTTTAAGTGTTTTGTTATATTTTAAGAAATGGTTTATGTTTTTCCTTGAATGTTTTGCCACGTCCCAGAACTATGACTTTGTTTTTCTAATTTATTTCGCGTTACCACTTTTCTAGTTATCTAGTTTATTCGAAATTGTACATACAATTTTTTATTAAATTTTTGTTTCACTTCTATTTATGTTTTTCTAAACTATCTTCGTAAGGCATTTACGACCCCCTATGAATTGAAAATGTTGTGACACCTTATAGCTATCAGCATATTTTGGTTTATCGGCTAATGCTGATTCAGGGCTGTCTCTCTCACTGGCTGGGGTTTTTAGGCTTGCCGGGGGCACACATTTCCTATGTTAGGAAGATCGAGCCAGGTCTCCCATTGTTCTTGTTCAATTACAGTGATAGGAAACTGCATGGAATCTTCGAAGCTGCTAGCCATGGTCGGATGAACATTGATCCGTACGGGTGGACTGAGGATGGAAAAGAAAGGAGTCCATATCCCGCTCAGGTACCAGGGTTTTTCATGCTCCCACTCCATCCGTAACTGCTGTATCATTCTCTAAATGATTTGTTTCTTCTTTCAATTTTGGCTTCAAAATTTTGATTAGGTTCGGTTTTTTATCAAGACGAACTGTCAGCCTATTGGAGAAGATATGTTCCGGCCAATAATTTCTGATAATTACTACAATACCCGCCATTTTTACTTTGAGTTAGATCACGCACAAGTCAGGGGCTTGCTATCTCTGTTCACACGTAACCAACTCAAAGATAATGCTAGATCACCATTTGTTACCTCGAAGGGTAAAAATGTTTTTGCAGCTATGCCAACAACAAGAAAAGGAAATGAAGGATTTAATGAAACCAGGATTCCTGGAGAACGTGAGGACACAGCTACAGAGTTTGGAGGAGGACGAAAGTCGGCTGTTGTTTTTCGTACAGAAAATAGTTATGCCTCTTTAATTTTGGTTGAAAGCGGTGGTAATGGCCTTTCCAGTCTGAATAATACATCCAATAGTTCTTCTGAAGACAGAGCGCAAAAGCAATTCATATCAGATCAGGAGGAAGTGGTTTATGATATGATGAAAGCACATATTCCTTCAACCAGTGGTCACGGTTTGAGCAAAGAGGGAGAAGACTCAACTGTGGATCTTCCTGTGAATGAGTATGGACTGAACCCTGAGGAAAGGGTGTTGCTGAAGCTCAAGATGCTGGCACTTGAGCGAAACTCATCGAATCAATTATCAAAAAGCGCTGCTGACGAGGGTGCTCCCACGTTTGTGTCCAAAGTACTGGCCGAGGACGATAAACAGATTCCAGAAGGTCCCTCTTCGTCATCACAAGATACCACGGAAGTGACTGAATCGGTTCCAGATAGTGGTGTGGTAATCAATATTGCACATTACTTGAACATTTCTTTTCATTTATCATTGATGTCCTTTTTTCGTTGGTATGATAATATTTTTGTTATCAAGATGACCGTTTCTGAATTTTTTCAGTTGGTCCAAATGATTAAGGAGCTCAAAGAGAGAATGACATTTTTAGAGAAGAAACAGGTATTGATAATGTCTTCCATGTCGTCATCTGCAATGATTTTTTTCCCAATCTATTGGGTCTGGTGCTTTATGGAGTTTTATTTGCTTTGTGGCTGCGTCTATTCTGACGTCCTGTTTCATTTTTTCTTTAATTATAAAATATTAGATATTTTAGATATCGATTTTCATAGTTCTTGAAAAATGTTTCTGGAGAATAAACGCTTAGATTTTCATCGGCCCACTTTTTTATGTTAATTGAGTATGCCAATGACCTTCGAAGGACGTTGTTTGTGTTTCTGACTGTCCTACGCCCGATCTCTTGACCTTTAGAGGATTTTTTTTTTTTTTTGGGTCCATTGAGCATGCCAATGACCTACACGGCAAAGCCTAAGTTTGTCACAGAATCAACCGAACCGTATGAAGTCGGCCGATCTCAGTCTTTAGGTTTTGTTATTCTTCAATCAGACTACCAGGATATCGTATGAAAATAGGTACCAATTATATCATATGAGAATAAGTGTGCCATGGTGCACCATCAAATGGCCCAGATGAGGAATTCGTGCTTAGAAACTCCTCAGTCATGCAATGGACTGAAATCTCCAATAACTTACGTACGAAAAAAAAATCAACTACATTTTCTGACCGTGTTATTTACGCCCCTAAGACTCTGTAAGGAAGATCTGCGCTGGAGTTTCAGGTTGAGTCGGAGAAGGAAGTCCAAGGGCTGAGGAAGGTCGCAAGAGAATGCTGCCGGGCAGCTCAGGGGCTGGCAAAGCACGCGAAGGAACTGGAAAGCAAATTAGGCTCATCCATGTCGCCTGCTGGGGAGTCCTCGAAAAAATCATCCGTGGATTTTCGTTTGACTTCTGAAGAGCTAGTTTACATAATAGGCGGTTTCGACGGAGATTCGTGGCTGTCAGCCCTGGACTCGTATTCTCTCTCCTTAGATTTGATGACTTCCCTTCGCCCTATGAGCTCCGCCCGTTCCTATGCCTCTGCAGCAGCACTGGACGGCCGCCTCTACGTTTTTGGTGGAGGAGATGGAAGCTTGTGGTACAACACAGGTAATTTCACTTCTTATTTTACTCTTATCTTATTCCCATGTTATGTCTCTCTCTCTCTCTCTCTCTCTCTCTCTCTCACCCGTGCTCTTCCTGTGTGGAGCCGAATGCTACGACCCGAGAAGGGACGAATGGGGGAATTTCCCTCCGTTGGTTCGGGGAAAAGGAAGCCTGGCGGGGGTGACCTTGAACGGAAAGGTCTTTGCAATCGGAGGTGGTAATGGGGTCGAGAGTTTCTCGGACGTAGAGATGATCGACCCAATCCTCGGAAGGTGGATCAAACACCAGTCGATGATCCAGAAGGTACGCTCTAGGATGGCATCGTCCTCTTCTTTTCCAGATTTGCAGAGTTAATCATATGGAGGAGTAGCCCCTCTCACACCTATACACACGCACACATGCTTCCTTCCTCTGTGCACTAATTGTTCTCCAATGCCCATGAAGCAGGACGCCATTTCTCATCTGCAATTTTCAATGCGAGAGTGCCTGACATCACTTCCCTTCCCTCTATATATAGCCTATGGATACAATGCTCATATCCACGTACATAAATTTATATATGTATATATAGATATATATATATATATATTCGCTGACTGGTGGAAGTGGATAGAAGAAGGAGAAGAAGTGACGTTGAGCTGTGTCTTGTCCTGCAGCGATTTGCCCTCGCGGCGGCGGAGCTGGGCGGGGCCATCTATTCCGTCGGAGGGTTCGACGGAGAAGCTTATCTCAGGTAAGATCCCAACCACAGCTGGACGAAATTATCTCCATTATTTCTTCTTCGCAACCTCGTCCATTGAATAATTATTCACATTCCCCGCCACCCCACATTTTCATCTCGTCTTTTTTCCTTTATCTTTTTTTTGTTTGGTCGCCTCTGAACCGGTTTTGGGGTGATGGCAGGTCGGGGGAGAGGTTCGACCCCAGGGAAGGCTTCTGGGCGAGGATACCGGGCATGAAGACGGCGAGGGGCTGCCATTCCATGGCCGTCCTCGACGGCAAACTGTAAGAAGCACTCCGTTCTTGTCTCCCCCCCCTCCACCCTCCCTCCCTCTATTCGTACCTACCGGGGGATGGATCGATCAGTCATTCTAGATAGAGAGAAAGAGAAAGAGAAAGAGAGCGAGAGAGAGAATATGTGTGGGTGTTTGTGTGTTTGTGTTTTTCAGGCACGTGGTCGGAGGGTACGACGGGAGCGGGCTGTCTTCCGGCGTCGAGGTATTCGACCCACGCGCTTCCTCCTGGTACGCCGGCGCCGTCTTGAACATGGCCAGGGGATACGCTGCCGCCGCCGTCGTCGGAGGCTCTCTGTACGCCATCGGCGGCGTCACCGTTGACAACGTCGTCGTTGATGTCGTAAGCTCTCTCTCTCTCTCTCTCTCTCTTTATCTCTCTCCACGCTCTCTCTGTGACTGATCTCTGGTCGATGAATGTGACGGCAGGTGGAGCGTTACAGCGAAAGGACGGGGTGGGCGGTGACTGACCGGACGGCTGTGGGGCAAAGGTCCTTTTTTTCGGCCATTGTTATGTGAGAGGCAAAAGGCTTGAACTCCGGGAAATGACTCACTCTCTCTCTCATATTCTTACAAGAGTGACACGGCTCACTGCTATCATTTCCCACCTTCACCGACCCCCACACGACTTGAGGCGGGAGACTTTATGCACTTAGCCCAGAAAAAAAAGGAAATTGAAGAGCATCTGTCACTGATACGAAGGGCACAGGAAAATCTCAGAGGTCAACACAAAAAGTACAAAATTAGCAGGTTCCGCGCAAAAAATAAAGGAGAAAATCAGCCGCTTCTCCGCCAAGAATTGCCGCCCAAATGACAAGCGAAGCAGATGGGGAAAGAAAGAAAGAGAAGGAAGAAAAGAACAAAAGAAAATTACTTTCTGTACCCCACTCTAATCTTATCCGGTTCCTCACAGGCCCTGGACCGACGCTCTGAGGGAGTCCAAAAATCTCAACTTCAACCCGCACATCTGGTGAAACTCGGTCAACGCCTTGCGCCGCCCCTGAACAAACTTCCTCAACACGTCGGCAGAATCCCATGACCGCAAGGCTCGGGAGATCCTCTCCCCTGCTTCGGGGTCTCCACCCGAAGCGAACTCCTCCACCAGCTGGAAGACCGGGCCGGGTCCCACCGGGCCTCCACCCCGGACAAGGGCTAGCAGGGCGTCCACGCTGTCGTCCAGCGGAGCGCTAAGCTGGAGTTCCAGCCACCGCCTGATCTCGTCCACAGCAGCGCTCAGAGAGTCGATTGAGGCCCGGAGCGGGATGGCGCGGGATGCCGAGGTGGCGGTCGGTGGGTCCACTGCGCCGGTCTTCTTTTTCTTCTTACCGGAAGAGGGGAGCAACGACCTCAGGCAGGCCTGGATTATGAGGGCATGCCAAGAACAAGCTTCCGTGATGAGCTGCACCAGTAGCGGCAGGTCAAAGGCCGGGCAGGTCAACGGAGATGTCGCCTCCTCGGAGGAAGCCAAAGCCAGGCTCTCTCTGACACATTTCCGAATCAGATTATCGACGGTGGTCCACGTCACCCCGCCGCCGATGAATTCTTCCTGGGGAGAGCGGCGGCAGAGATTCTGCGCGTTGAGGAAGACGGCGAAGGTCAACCAGCTGGGCACTTCCGAAGCCAGAACCTGCTCCCCATGGGAATAAATCGGAAAACTCATCAATTACTACTGGAGATAATCGAAAGGGCTCGGAAAGAAAAAAAACAAATTTCTCATCAATTTCATGGGGGGAGGGGCTGTTTGTTGGACTACCAACCTCAAGGGAGGGGGAGCTCTGATCCTCTGAAACTGCGGCGATCGCTTTGGCCGCCTCCCTGAAACTGGGATAACCGAGGGTGGCCGAGTACTGCTCTAACAGGGATTCCAGCTCCGAGGAGTTGTGCTCTTTGTCATCGCCGTGGGAGGAGCCATTGGCGTCGGCGTTTTCTTTGAACGATGCTGAGGTGGCGGCCTGGATGGACAGATATAGCAGCCGAGGGAGCAGCGACCTCCTCTTGATGGCTTCCCGGTCGATGGCCTGCTTATCTCCAGCCTGGTGATTTTCATGGAACAAGATGGGTGGGTTATGCGGTAAGAGACCCAGCAGCTCTCCTCTCTGACTCCTGACGACTGGCGCTATGCTACCATGAAAAGAAGAATGTCTCCAAGATAAAAAGACCCCTTGCTATCGAGCCAGAGATGTATTGAGTATTTTCTCCATCGTTAGAAGGGGGGGGGGGGGGGATCTATTTCTTCCTGTCAAAAAAAAAAGGGAAAAAAGGAACAAAAAGAGACCTTTTTGAAGGTGCCCTCCCCAGTAGGACTCCCTGGAGTATACTTACTATGCATTGGTTTGAGTAGAGTATTTCCTCCTTTGGTAGAAAGAAAGAGAGTGCCTGTTTCTTCTAATAAGAAAAGGGAAGAGACCATCTCCCTGGAGGCTGGCATAAAACAACTGGATGATGCATCATCACTTTTTACCCTTTAGGGCAGGCTGGGATTAAAAAATGGAAGGATTCAGTGGCTGTCAGGCAATTGAAAAACGTTTGAAAACCCGACATCCACTGGGGTGGAATGAGAGAATGGGTGGGTTCTGGGATGAGTGAGTGAGTGAGAGAGAGAGAGAGAGAGAGAGAGAGAGAGAGAGAGAGAGAGAGAGAGAGAGAGAGAGAGAGAGAGAGAGAGAGAGAGAGAGAGGTATCGAAGCCGGGGGTGGTGCGAGTCCAAGACGAGACAATGGAGAGAGAAATAAAGGAACAAATGAGAGAACAAGGTCTGGATAATAAATCGAGTATGATCAATCCATAAGAACGAGATAAATAGCAACTCAGCAGTTTCTCGCTGGGGCAGATATTATTACAGAATGAAATATCCGTACCGATTTCTTGCTGGGGCAGTAATTCCCATCACAAGGTTCTGCGAGAATTGTTAAAAAAAGGAGAAAAAAAAAAGTCAGAATTTCTCCAATATGATAGAGGTGTTATAGGCGAGAATTGCTTGGGGATGATGGTTCCACCCCAAACGAGGTATCTCAAGCAATTGAAAGATTGGGCTACGAGGAAGTCCATAAAGGGGAACCATATGCATGCATACATACATCGCGCGCTGACCACATGAGAGGAGAGGAATAACTGACCGAGAAGGAGGTTGACTTCTGGGGACGGGGACCACCAAGGTCGCGACCCCAAATCTTCATTGAATGTCAAGGACTTGAGTTTCTCCTCACAAGACAGTTGAAGAAGCTTGACTCCGAATCCAGAGTTCTCAAGAGTACTCTGGAAGATGGCATAGAACGATGGATCGATGATCTCAGTTTGAGGAATAAATAAGAGCATAAGGAAGATGAGTGTGCTTCACCTCCACTTCTTCGAGATTATCTGCCTTCTGCTTCAGCTGTAGAATGGAGGTTTCGATCTTCACCGTCAGATACTGGGCGGAGTTTTGCAACTTCTCCTTGAAGAGAACGAACTCAACTGCCTGAAATAATTCCGCACATTACAAGGAAAAATCTGTAATCCAGTAATATACTCCCCGTATTTTTAAAGAAAAATAGCACTAGGAATTTGTCAACCCATAAAATAGTTGCTGTGTAGAGCTTTTACGTATTTTTGCCTAAAAAACTTGAGGCAATTGCGTATGAAATGAAAGGCCTAAAGGCGATTAGAGCTGTCTGACCAGGTTTTTTTTTTTTTTTTTTTTTTTTTTCCTACTAGGACAAATCCAGCCAGCGTTTACCTTTGAATAATTACGATGACGGTAAGCAACAAAGGTAAGATCGGCAGCCTCCCTCATATAGTCGTCCATAAACTTGAGATACTCCCTCATGAGAACGGATAGTTCAGGCCAAAGGGACGACTTCAACATCTGTGGTAAAATATGGTGGGAGACTGTTTCCAGTAGGATATTCTTTATCTCGAGAGCCCCATACCTTGAAAAGAAAGCAACCCCTTAGAGCAGTAAAGGAGACACAAAAAATGAAGTTATGTCTAAAAAATGGTAGAAATAAATAGCGAAAATCCCCATACCGCTCATATGCCAAGGGTAAAGCTCCCAAGTAAGAATATAGGTGCAGCAAAAGGATCTTGTACTGCCAGACATGTCTGCCAAACAGAAATGGGCTCGTAAGAAATAGCATTTACAATTCAGTAAAAGGGCAGAAATATAGACCCCGTTAATCTTTCATCTGAAAGTAAAACAATTGTGGAAATGTTTAAAAAACACAAATATTTAGGGATATATGGTCAATTTAACACCTCGGCCATTTAGTCCGGGTAGAGAGTTTTCCTCCATCTCATTTAGTCCGGCATGCCATTTAGATACCCGAGGACAGCTCATTCAGCAGCTCCACCAATGTTCCTAAGATCCGGGTCTTTCTCCACGGAGGACCACCTCCCCCCCCCCCTTTCCTCAGTGGAACCATTGTACCAATGGTTGGCTTAAACATACCACCAAAGACGAACTTTCATGATAGTCCATCTGCTGGTCTCATCAGCAGTACTGAAAGGATATTTCTTTGATGAATCTCATGCCTATGATCAACATTAATGAAGCACCATGCTGATAAAGTAACCTTGTGCAGGACTTGAAAGACTAAGCCCCAACCAAAAATTACATGTTAGCAAGCTGATTGGACAGTTAAAAAATACAATTGATACTGCAATGAATCATCAGTGTCATCATTAATTAAGCGACATTGGATTCTTGGCTTTCAGCAAAAAGGTTGTTTCCCATGTCGACAGTAATCCCAACCCCCCCCCCACATTCTCCCGCCAAAAAAGGAGAAGAAAAAGACAAAAACCAGAGCTATTCTCAGAGAAACGCCATGACACCTCCTATATATTATAATGCCGACAATAAACCCTCAAGCTCCACAGTAAAAAGTAAATCACAAGTTATTTGCACAGTTGAGTCGTGGTGGGAAATTCTTTTTTTTAAAATAAATCTCGCCTGCAAAATTTCATTGCCTGTTGCCTACCTAACGGCAATCTCACATCATCATGATTACTGACAGTGAAATTACTGAGACGGGGGCTGCTGAACACGGCATCGGCTTCTTTAGAAAAATCATAAATATAAGCACAAAATCTTTATTGCGAGAGGCCGAGGATGAATAACAGATTATACCAAAACTAGAAATTATGCATGTCCGTAGTCAAGTAAAAAAGATGATGGAATTGGTTTCTGGGCTGACCTTCGGATGGTTAAGCCAAATTCCAAAACCATGATGGCCTCCAGCAAGTAACCTCTGTGCCCAGTGCGCCAGAATAACTATAGGCAATCAGAAGGGAAAGTCAACAAGCCAAGACTTTATCGTGAAATTATGACCTAACGGATTTGCCAATATACCTCAAAAATTATGTAAGACCGAGACAAACCAGATTAATACGAAAGGTAAAAGTTCCTAAAAGGTTAAAATATATAGGTCGCATTGCATATGATACTGACAACAGCATATGGAATAGAAATGGCGCTACAAAAACACATTCACCCTTACTGCTTTCACTATACGGAACTAAAAGACGTGCAACTATACAAAACAGACAGCAAACCGTTCTGGTCAAGACCAACGGCCTGATTATTATCAGAGGGGGGAAGAAATCAACATGGGCTGTAAACCATCATAAATCAGTTACTCATAAAATGAATAAAAGAGATAGTTCACTTACCTATTTTGCAAGGATCAACGACATCGCAGTCATACCCGCGAGGAGAACACAAAATCAATGGTCCATAGTGCTAAAACGTTTCAAGCATCAACGGGCTAGATGAGTTTTAATCTTTACGAACATATCTTTCATAAATAGAGGAAAGTCCTCTTTTCTGGATCTTACAATGTCAAAGATTTCTGCAGCCCCTGTCAAGTTAGAGTACCCTCTATATTACACCTACGCAAAACTACAGCTCTTTGCTTCATTTTTCGAAATTGCTAGACGTGTAGTGTAATCTGACGAAGAACACATAAATGTTACTGTCTGGGTATCCCTTAACTTCTTTCAACCTAGGCAAATAATCGCTGAAAATTGCCAAAACCTTGGAGCCCCTCAAGAAGAGCATCCGTTATACAAGCTTAGTTTGCCAAAACTAAGGACCTTCGACAGTCTCTAGTATTATCCTAACGTTAGCGTTTCTGTTGTCCACTAGGAGCCTAAAAAATTTGCTTGGTTCTTTCATATTTCACTGAATAAGCGACATTCTTTTAAAGTTACAACAGGAAATAGATATAAAATCTTGAAATACATTTCTTTGATACTCCAATGAAAATTTCAAATTATTGTAGCTAAAATAGCGCGTTTTTTGCGTACAGAATTCAAAACTTCATACTGACGAGATGATATGAAAAATACTATGCATAATACAAAACAAACTTAAAGGACACCTCAACAAACTAAAAAACTGGCGAATAATGCACAATGAACAATTCGCAACTGTACATTGAAATATCGGAAAAAAAAATGATTTCTTTTGTTGGTATGATGTCAACTTCAATGAAGAATTCTACATGACTATATCATGGAAAACCTCTTGCTCAACATTAAGAATTTGAACATAGACAAAGGGCCTAAAGTTGAAAAATCGATCAGTTGAAAACACGAAAGTATATTTCTAATTGTTGCCTTTCTTGGCAATATTTCACAACTCAAACAGAGTACATCAACTACATGAGGCACCCGGTGGATACAGGACATGCTCATATTTCATAGTCCCACGAATATCATATGATGGGAATCCATATTTTTGGTAACCAAGAGGTGACATTGCACTAAAATTTAAATCCTCTGAAAAAAATAAAATTGCTAGAGAGTCAGCAACAGTCATCAGACAATGAACTAATAAATCAAATTAATAACACAATAAGATACCTGAACGAGTGCATTGGATGCCATCGACAGAAATTCCTCACCATGTACATTTTCCTGAGGATCTAGGTCCTTGGAAAAATAAAGCTTTTTGCAATACATGTCCACCAAATGTAAGGAAGCATCTTTGAGTTCTGCAAAAAAATAGTGCTGTGTAAGCAAGCCACATTAAACTAAGTGAGAATAAATAACATAAAATAAAGAGAAACTCTATGTCGACTAAAATGAGAAAATGGACCATCTTCTAGTTCTCAGAAGCCAAAATAGAGTAAATGACAGATGGCAATCTTGTCTTTCCAGACAATATAACAGCTCAAACAAGCAACGAGACCATATCTACTTTCAAATTCTAAAAAATATAGTATTTTGAGTTATGTTATGGCTTCTGGCCAATTAGATGGAGCCATTCAGATCAAAGGAACAGCTAAAATGAAAATGGTAATAGTTATATTTTTGAAGGAAATGAAGATAGTGCGTCTCAAACGTCTCTATCAGAGAATTTAAAGGAAAAACAGTAACAAGGTACAAAAGCCCTTCAAAGGTGCCGGGGAAGACTATGACACGTCCATAGATGACTCAAATGAGCGCTTGCTAACGGGCATTATTATCTTCCAGTGTTTCAAAAGAGGAATATGATGTTTACAAGCTCAAATGGAAGCAGGTGATAGGGAGTCTATAAATTCAACTCTGAAAAAATGAGATGCTACTTTATATAACGAAATCTTACCGCTAACTGTGAGCTTGAAAGTTAAGCCGAAAAGTTCTTTGATTCGAAAAATGGTCACAGCTTGGCCCAATGTTTGTAAGGGTGTAACTGACAGAGAATCAATAATTTTCATGAACTTTTCCAACAGTTCCTTTCTTTCTTCATGAGTTAAGACATCCAAGAATATTTCCACATCTGATGCGAAGCAAGACAAGTGACTGAACCTGTTGGGCAGGGGAAAAATCAGACTTGACACCAGATATTGTAACGTTCCAAGATGATGCATGAAAGAGAGATCCCCACGCTGATATCTAGACAAATAATATGCATACAAAAATAGCTGATCATACTAAAATCTGTATAGAGAAAAAAAAAAGATGTTTATATCAGTGAAATCTCAAAATATGCAGTAAATCATTCCAAGCAATTGCAGAGAGAAGAGAAATCTAAAATGAAGTAGAGAGGGAAAAAAAATAGCTCATTTTCCAAAGTTATCTGAAAAAATGTAATTTCAATTCTAATGCCGCTTGAAAGTTAGCAATCAGAACTCAGGGAAGGTGTATTGATTGTTGGATTGTCTGGACATGGGTAGAATACATGGATGCTAACCATGGATATTGATAACTACTTGCTATAGTCGAATAAAAGAATAGAGACGCATTAAGCGAATGCCTAAAAAGAAAGCATCGCTTTCTCTCATCAAAATGATGTTATAATATGAGATATTGATCATAATACCTCCCAGAGCTCTCCGTCTTCATAGGAGATAAGAATATGACAGTAACGATGTTTGCTGGAGTGGCACATCAAGAATCAATTTTTCAAGCATTACCGCATTACCACATAACCGTGAAAATAAGAGTGCTTCAAAGAACAAAAGTGCGGCCCAACAACGTTATCTCTTAAAGATAAGAGCGCCGTTACTCAAGTTTGAAGGAGACAATGTGACCTTTAGTTTCCAAAGGGATGGGGGGGTGTTCTTGCATACATAAGAAAAGAAGAGAACCACATGATCTGGGGGAAGTCTTCTAAGGAAAAAATCTTCGCAGATGGTTAGGATAACGAACTTGAAACAATGAGCCTGAGCAGCCAGCGAGCGAGTAGTTAGTGGCAAGTAGCGCCCAATATAAATATATATTTAATATTAAGTGAGACGTATTCATTAAGCATTTCATAAAAAAGATAAAAAACGAATCTGAAGGCACTTTCTTTCAAGGACATTTTCGAACAAAGTAGGTGAGTCCAGTTCAGAGTAAAATTACAAAACCTGCAAAAGTATTCCAGTAAAGCATGCATTAATCTTCCATTGTCTGCTCTTCCATATAAACGCCGGCGTTTTTCAATTTCAATATCTGCCAAGTATGGGCATCTTACAGAGTCACCATCCACCTCCCTCTGCAACTTCTGTACAAAGGACAATGCACTCGATACACGTTCTTCAAACTGTAAATCAATTTGATAGTGTCAACCTTCACTGGAACATGACAACAGAACTTTTACAAGTGCTTATCAAATAAAACTTACCAAATCCTCAGGAAAATGACAGTGCTTGCGAACGTCAGTGCCTTTAAAGCCAACTGGGCCAGTGATAGTCTCTGTGAGACTACTCATGTCTTGCTCCTCCAGCAAACAGGCTAAGTAATGGAGGAACGACTCCCAATCATCAGGACTGCCCAAGCAAAAAACTAGGATTCTTTATAAAGATAAACAGAGTAAAAGACAACACAAGTGACAGAGGACATAAGTTTAAACACCACATTATGCTAGACTATATCATATAGAGGACATAGTCGTCATCTCTAACACAAGTCCTCAGGTATTCCCTTCAAAGGATAGATGATACAGACTCGGGCAATTTTATATCTAATGCTGAAATAACCGTTCTGGAGAACCTGTTGCACCTATCAGAATAAGCATAACAAAAATTGAAGGCTTTAAAAAGCACGTAGATCCAAATATATTTTATTCTGGAACAAGGACAGCACCAAAAAATGGAACAGATTTGCAGCTTAATGCTCCATAGGGTGTGCAACATCAAATTTACTTAATCAAACATAAAAAGAACAGGAAACACCACAATGTTGTGTTCAAGGTTCAATAGATGAAACCAAAGACTGGTGATCAGCAGTGACGGAGTTCCACCCCGCCACATTACAACCATATATCTATTATGCCAAAGACAATAAAATGATAACCAGGTGAAAAGGTGACAAGGAAGACAGATAAGAGTTCCATCACGTGCTTAGTGGAATTTGGTGAATAACAACAAATCAGCATCATCAATCTCAAAAACAAATAATAAAGCGGATAATTCCACTTTCATATTTCCCGTTAAAATCCAGAAGTGCATGGCATCTACGCACAGACGGATATGTCATTAGATGCAAAAGGGACAAAAAACACCTAAAGCATTACCATAGTTCTAAGACCTTACGGAAGATATCCACAGCAGCAACATAGTCACCAGCACGTGCAAGAAGTCTCCCCTGTCAACTTGGAGTCAACAGACGAGATAAGCGAAAAAATCAGCAACAATTAGAGCCAAAAATAACAAAATTAACTCGGGGATTTCTCAAAAAATAGAAATGTTAAGTATGCTTCAAGAAACAAGTGTGCAACATGTACAAACTTAATTGGTTGCTTTATCAGAAAAGACTATCTTCGCTCATAATTGTGCACTAGGTAGCTAAAATAAATGTAGACCAACTTTAAACATATCCGGCTCAAAATATTCTAACCAAAACACATGCCTTAAAAGTGAACAGAAAATAAAAAAAAGAAGTTCTACCTGTATCCGATATTTATCAACTTCAATGGGTAGAAGAGACCCTAAACTTCCAGAAAGAACCTCTAAAGCAGCCCCATATTTAGCTTGTTGCTCCAAAATAGAAATGTACACGAGAAGTGCTGCACCATGTTTTTAATAAATTTACTGAACATTAAAAATCACATGCAATTTTCTTTCACATTAAAATACAATGAGGTCGCAAGGGTAAAAAATTGGAAGAAAATATACCTTCTGGTTCATGCAAACCGTAGGTGGCAGCATGCTTCTTGAGTAAAGCTTCTGCAAGGGGAAGCAGTTTGTCACCTGCATCACTGCAAGACACCTAACAGAAGTAGAGAGCGAAATATTAACTACCAGTTCACAATAAACTGCTTCTGAAAGAAAATCATCGGGAAAAGAGATATCTAAATATATAAGAATGAATGACGAGAAAATGGTATGTCTGCAGAACCTGCAACTGAATGCTGCAAACAGCCCAAAGCAAAAACCTTTCTTCACCCACAGTTTTGTACATTTTAATGGCTATCTGCCACAACCACAACAAACAAATGAAATGTAGGAGTAACCACAACCCGCAGTCTCATGTAAAAAAAAAAATATTGGAGAAAAAGGGAAATTCTTATAATTTCTCAGATATTCGCAAACCTGTTGTTGCTTCACATAGGAGTATTCACGAACATAACAATTGAAGAGCCCCATCATGAGTTCCAAATTATTTGTGTATTTCCCACATGCATGTTCATAGCAAGAAGTTGCCAAGTCCACTGCCAGAACGTGAACTTTTATGAAAATAGAACAACTGAAAGGAAAAATGACTAAATCAATAGTGTGACATTAATTGAACATTGAAAAGGGTACCGACAGCGATTGAGTCGTTGAAGGACCATTTGTAAGGTGCTGAGAGTGAGATCGTCCATGTAGACTATGCCACTAGAAAATAATTGTTCTCTCGCATTTAAGCAAACATTTAGCGCTTCATCAGGCTTCCCCATCCGCTCCAAAACAAGAGCCTTAAGTGCCTATTATAAATACGTAATTGTAACTAAGCAGTGGCGACATGAACACACAAATTAAAGACTGGGTATAACTTGATGACAATATAAATTCATTGATATATTGAAAATGCAGGACGCTTGTACAAAAAAAAATTGGTGACTGATTCAAAGATGCAAATCATTACACATGGAAAGAACCTTTAAATTGATATGGAAAAAATTCAGCCACAAAATACCAGAAAAATATTTCGACGACTTTAATAGCAGCTGTAAATTGTACAGGTATATTTTGCATCTTCATTTATGACTAACGTTCGAAAAAATAATTATTACAGAAAAATACATGAGAATGCTCACCAGCAAACGCACCAATGATATAATGCCAGGGAAAAAGAAAATACCAAATAAGTACGGCAACTCTTGATACTCTTCTCTGCTCCTCGGACTATCTACATTTGTGGCTAAGATGAACAGCGACAGAACGTACAAACAAATGTCCCCCCATCAACGCTGCTCGTGGCATTAGGCAGTTTTTAAAAATCGTTTGTCTATTCTAATCAAACACAAATCCGATCACGTAAAAGGCCAATATAACAAGAGCAGATCGATCAATAGCCCCGCACCAACGGCCATAGTTCTGGTAGTAAATAAAGGAAGAAAACAGAAGCGCTTACAAGAGCGTAGGGACTGTTGGGATATTTCGGGAGAAGTGCGGTGCAAAGCTTTAGAGCAGCCTTGTACTGGCGTGAGTCGACTGCATCCCATATCGGCCGCACTCGTCGCTCCGGAATTCCTCCAGCCAATCCCAACTTGGACGCCATCGGCGATCCCTCAGAGCCACCCCGCGCCGGGGACGGGTTGAAGAGATGCTAGGGTTTTGAATCGTTCTTGTTTCCGGCCTTCTTCTTGTCGAGGGAGAAGACGACCAGCGAGCGAGCGGGCGGTCTGCGCAGCGACGCCTGGAAGAAGAAGCAAGGAGGGTTTATGAGATCAGCTACGCACGTTAGCAGGGGGCAGCGCTATCCGTGGGCGTAAATGTCAAGAAAATAATTTCGTTTCATTGCATTTATTTGTATATCACTTATAAAATAAATATATGAAGTAATGAGGTTTTTTTGCATTTTTTATGAAAAATTTCATATTTAAAGTAATTATTTCATACTTAGAAAATAATAACTCACGTGTATAACATATTCTATTTAAAAAACCCATTTTGAACGACGGCCGGTGGAGGAGACGGACCAGATCGAGCGCGGGAGCATTGGAGACGGGTGATCGTGAACCGTTGATTATATCTGGTATTTACCCCGCAAATCGTACGGCTGTAGACGCGCTAGTTTTCAAAACTGCATCTCCACATAGCTGGGGAGGAGGACACCGGTTAATCTAAAACGTCCAACGTGCACACCAGAATAGTCCACGGTCACCTGTTCTGGGGAGTGTCAGTCCTCTGCTGGAGGAATTGAGGAAGGCGGAGAAGCTAGGCGTGGCGGAGATTACCAAGTACAGAGCGGAGCAAACCCTCTTAGATCCGTCAGAGCACCTCCACTGATCGACAGATTTCCTTTAGCCGCACAGTTGTTCGCATCTCCTCTCATTTCTTCTTTCCGGGCTCTTGGCTTCTGCAGATTCCACTCATATGGAGGGCGTCTCCATCATCCGATCTTTCCAAGGTGTTTCCTTCTCTGGCTTCCTCTTCCTAATTCTCAGCATTTAGCGTTGAGCCGTTTCAGTGTCCATGAAAATATGTTCATGCTTTTTTCCTTAGATCGTTTCTCCTTGCCAAATGATTCATTGTACGACTGTGCTGTTGGATGTTAAAGAGAACTGCACTGTACTGCGAGATCCATTAGGCAGTAGTCGTAATCACTTCCCTTTTTACGGAAAATCCTTTTATCTCCCTTGTTCCTGCGAAAGGATAGGCGAGGACCGGGTTGTTTGCTGAGGATCGAGTTGTGGTATTTATCGGCAGAATAGTCCCATCGTATTATTCGTATGGTCGGACAGATTAGATATGCTTGGATTCTTCGTGCAAAGTCGTTAGTCATTTTCTCCATAGTGCATGGGGGTGGTAGTTGCTTTGTTTGGTGAAGCTCGACTATGCTGCTTTTCGCAAGACTGGACAAAATCTTTGCTGAGTAGTCGTTCCAAGATTGTAAGTTCCGACTAGTCTTTGTGTAAAATTGGTGGTTGAGTGTGACGAGAGCCGTAGACGGAAAATTGCAGGGATTAAAAGGCGGCCAAATACTTTATTTAATGTCTTCTGAGATGGTTTGTGCTGGGATTATTCATCTTGCTGTAGACAGTATCAGGCCAGATTACCCTGAATATTTCGTACAAAGATGGGTTTACGATCCTTGAGTTGGTTGAAGATCTTAATAATTCCTTGGAATGACCAGATGTGTCTGCGAGCGGGGGAAATTTGCGGGTATTGCCCATTCATTTGATGCATCCAGTTGGAATGTGTGTGAGTTCGTGTGAGAAGCAGTCTTATGACCTCTGAGAAGAAATTTTAGTTGGATTCATAATGAAATTCGCTGATTCGTGTACTTCAAATTCTATTACTTGGCAAGATGGAGGAGCACAGGATGAAGCATCCGAAGTTTTTTTTTTAACGATCATTTTTCAAAGGAAGAAATATGTGATTAAAAGTCATAAAGTTTCCCTTAGAAAAATCAGGTCATTTCTTGTAGGTTTCATTTATAGTAATTCAACTGATAAGAAGCTGACAGGTGGACAGATATGAATGTAAATCTATTTAGGAGCGTTGATGTCCAATGAAGTTAACTGCACCCTCTTTGTGGGAAACTTAAAATTTTGTGGTAAATAATTTGCTACAGGTGTGGACAATGATTACCAAGGGTATTTTTAGATAGGAAGAAAATACAACGCCTATGCACCCTTTTTCATATAGAAAGCGTTTGGAAAAACTTCTTCTTTCCTTTCAGACTATTACATTGGAGAATTATCCAGACCGTTTGTGTCCCAGAGCAGCTTGAAATAACTATGGATCCACCAAGTGTTCAGATTTCCAACTTCGAAGGATACACCAGGCTTAATCAAAATTTCTCTCCCCAGACAAAGCACTTAGGCAAAAGGTCAATATGAGCGATACTTATGTTCTATGCATGCTATCATTTCTATAGGAATGCTCAATGGATGAGATGATGGACTGAATATTTCGTTTTGTATTTGGCGGCTTCCATGTTTTAGTTGATGTTTTAGCCATGAACAACTGATTAGGCAATTTCTTCTAGTGTGTGGCGGATTATATTGGGCTTTGAGTAGCATCAACTGTTTACAACTAGTCTGATTGTACTGGATGATTGTGCAGTGGGGACTAATGCACGTGGCCAGGCTTTCCTGGAGAAGCCCCTATCACGGAATGCATCGTTGTACAACCTCGCTTTTCCTCTGGCTTCAGGCGCTGGTGGTAGATTGATTTACTCATTAAGGATTCATAATAGATCGCTCATTTCTTGTGTAAAGGCCTCAGAAGGTACTGTTACTGCAACATCTGGCCGAGTTTTCTTTCACACTTAGTATTTTCCTTTGGGTTTTCTATCATGCTACGAATTTGGTTATAAGTCGATGAATATTTTGACTTCATACTGTTTCTCTGATAGCGTTTTTGGAGGTGTCAATCATCTGCTGCGTTTCACTGCTATAAGTCATGGATCTCGCTGTTGTCACATTGCTTGTAACTAGCTGCAGATAGTTCTGGGATTATATTCTAGTATATAACCGAATTCGAACTAAATGCTCAAGTGTCAGGGAGTTTAATTCTCCTCAGCTCCTCGGGTGGTTTTTAGGAGTGCAGAGTAGATAGTTTAAGTTATCATTTATTTGGAAACCATGCAGCGGCATGTACCGGAAAATTCAGGCAAAAAGAAAAATTTGGAAAACATGGGCGTAAAGGGGATCGCGATAATGCTTTATCCTAATTTATAGATTTTATTCATATATATATAGCTCCAATATGGGTTTCATTGCCAATAAATATTTTATTACAGTGGAACTAAATTAAGGTAAGCTTGATAAAACAATAAAAAAATCGATGGTTATTACAGCACATGATGGCTATTACAGCACTTTTGCTTTGAGTCATGGATTTCATGCTCAATGGTTATTACAGCATGTGCTTTGGGTCAGAAAAGTTATGGATTTCGTATTCCTTTCTTGGGAGCACGGAATGCATATGCTTTGAGCATTTGTATTAGGTAACCCTTCCATTATAGCTCTTTCCTGAGAGGAATTTTAGTTGGTCGATATAAGTTATCTGGATTATGGTTTCACCTTTTGTTTTGGGTCTCCTTTTATTTAGTGAGTTCCACAACCATGTTAGTGGGCTTTCTGGTTTATTGGTCTAGTGCACTTTCGGGCTCTTTCTGTTTGCTTTCTTGTTTTCAGGTGGCATACAAGGGAGAAATACAATGAAATGGGTCATAACTTTTGCCTTCTTCCTCGTTTTCAAATCATTACATACTGCATATCGTCATTAAAAACAAAGAAGCTATGTTTCAATTGTGTTATGAACCTCTTGAGATTTGGGGCGAAATCTTCACCCTAATCTTACCTTATACGTGGATCACTTAGGGAATCAACTCTCTGTTGTTTAGAAGAACCAGATTGAACAATTGAAAATGGAAATTGGAAATTGGAAAGACAATAGAGGTTCGCAGACAGTAGGGTGAGCCCGAATCGATCCTCAGGAACAGGAGAGCCCGAATCGGACATCTCCAGGGACAGATCTCCCTCTCCACTCTCTCTTTTCTCCTCCCCCTTCTTATTTCGGCCTCTTCTATATTTATAGGCCTCAGTACATTATTCTGTTGTGGTCCCCCCTCATCGTGGGGGTCTAGGTCGTCTTGTGTAGACGACGATTGGCTTCGTAACAAATTGACTCTTCTCTAAATTCCCACAAAAATGCAATCCATCATAAGATGGTGGCGTGCACTACAAAGACCGATAAGAACATCACCAAAGCGCAATAGAACATGTCCAGTAGTGCACCTTAGAATCTCCTGCAAGAGGAGAGGGCCCAGCACAAACACATGTTATAATAATTCTTTTGATGACGTTCACAGCTCATAGATTCAAGGATTTTCTTCCGGCTTAATGCAATTTATCTTTTTGATTTGGCAGATGCTTCGGAGAAAATTACAGGTTCAGTGAAGAAAAACACAAAGAATTCGACTTTTCCAAATGGATTTGAGGTTAAACCTATTTTTCTTTTTTGGTTTAATAAATTTCTTCATGTGACAAAATACCAAGGAAACAATGCATATTTCTCTCGTTTTAGGGAAGAACATTTCTCCGCATACACCCTAACGTTGCAATATTCAGTAACCTTCTTGTTAATTTTTTTAATTATAAGATGTATGAGTTTCTTTGTGTCGTCTATCTAAATATCTTTCGCATCTTTGCACTTGATGGCGAACGCAAGATAGCGCCTTCATTTTCTTGCCAACAATCTCATGGCTTTTTCTTGTTGTTCTTTCATCTTCAAAAGATGGGTTTTATATATCATGGACCATGCTGGGGAACAGTAATTTTACTTTCACTCTTGTCGATTGGGTTGTACTTGGTGCACAAAATTCACAATCTCGCAAGGGTTTTTTCGTCTTTCTTAACTTGTTGTCGCTTGGACTCCCTAGTTGGACTAAACCCTCAGAGGCCTATACTTAAGAAAAATCAGTGTTTAGAATATTTCAATCTGTGTGCATTTTTTCTTCTTATGATACGGTGACAACCCTTTTAAAACGTAAAAACAGAGCAGGTATAGAAAGCTTCCAGACATCGAGCAATATCACAATCTGGTTAGAGGAGAAAGCAATCCGTCAGCTTACCTGCTTGTTGTCGGTGTCACAATTCTATATCTTCAACCGTTCAGAAGATGGCATACGTGCCTTTTCTTCAGTCAAATAGGAGGCTTATTTTTGTCCTGTAATCTTCTCTGGGCGTCCTTCTCTCACTTCTCTGTTTTTTTTAGAAAGTAGTTGATTCCATGGTTACCCTCGGTGTAGGCTGAGAATCACTGGTGAACTGAAATCTTTGTGTTCGCTCACCTGTCAACAGTCTTAAGGCCCGCCTCTTCGGAAGCTGAAGTGGGAGAACAGAGTGAGAGGATGTAGGGGAGCTAAGAATGGGCCATTTGACCAATTTATTGGGGCAAAAGAAAACATAGTCCAGTCACGTTGACCCCTTTTAGATCAGCATTCGAAGCAGCTACTAACATGATCGCATTATTTTTATACATTTCAGACGTTGGTGTTGGATGTGTGCGATGAGACAGATATCGCAGAGCTCAAACTCAAGGTATGATTTGTGACCAGATGAATTCGATAGCAGCTTCTTATTGCCTCATTTGGTAGTGTGAAAATGACGGCCTTTTTCAAAGAAAAATCCTGTCAAATTCCTGCATGAACAATGTGGTTTTCTATGTAGAAACTATATTGATTGTTATTGAATAAATGATTGCACTATTGCGTTAACTTTTTCTCAGGTGGGAGGCTTCGAAATGCATCTAAGAAGGAATGTAGGGGCTCCAAGATCTCCACCTCATATTGTGTCGCCAACGACGGCGCCGCCAATTCCTAGCGAGCCGATGGCCCAATCAATCCCTGCAGCACCCTCGGGCACACCTCAGAGGCCCCCTCAGGTGCCCACCAGTCCGTTCTCCAACGCCTCGTCAGTGAAGGCGACGAAGCTAGCTGCTCTGGAGGCTTCTGGAATAAAGACATATGCCCTCGTGTCGTCTCCAACGGTAGGGAAAGGCCCCGGCTCTGTGTCTTCTCTCCATTTGTGTTGATTATCCTGCCCACACGCCAAGATCTTAGCCCACCGAATGCTCGCAGGTGGGATCATTCAGAAGCGGGAGAACGATTAAAGGGAGGAAACAGCCGCCGAGCTTTAAGGAGGTATTGCCGAAACTTGGTCTGTTATCTTTCGTTTTTCCTTTCCACGATTTTAACAAGATCAAGAAGTGATAAACTAGCGAGCGAGGAGAGAGAGAGAGAGGAACCCAGAAATGAGCTCCAGGCGAGATATAGAGAGAGAGAGGAAGCTAGAAATGGCTTGATCAGGCCCTTATGAAAACATGGTAGAGAGAGAGAGAGAGAGCAACCCAGAAATGAGCTAGGCAAGATAGAGAGAGAGGGAGCTAGAAACGGGCTGTGTCAGACCCTTACGAAAACCGCGAGAGAGAGAGAGAGAGAGAGAGAGGAAGACAAATGGGCTTCAAGCGAAATAGAGAGAGATGAACCTAGAAATGGGCTTTGATCAGGCCCTTATGAAAACCGGGCAGAGAGAGTGAGACCCAGAAATGAGCTCCAGGCGAGATAGAGAGAGAGGAACCTAGAAATGGGCTACGTCAGACCCTTATGAAAACCGGTTAGAGAGAGACAGGGAGAGACACAGGTAGGCTTCAATTTCCCAGAAAAGAAAGATTATCTATTGGAGCAGCGTTTTCCCCTCATGCTTCTGCGATGTGTCGCAAAAACCAGGGCGATCTGATCGACGAGGGGCAGATTATCGGATATTTAGATCAATTCGGCAACGAACTCCCTGTCAAAGTGAGTATTCTTCCTAACTCCCCTCCCCAGCTCTCAAGCTCAGCTCTTCCGAACTACAACGAATCCCTTTCTCTTCTGTGTAGTCTGATGTAGCCGGAGAAGTCCTAAAGATTCTCTGCAAGGATGGAGGTACTCTCTCTCTCTCTCTCTCGCTAGCCCTACAAATCCTTTCTTTTTTTGGTCATTCCTCGCTGATGATCGCCACATTTGACATAATCCAACATGCAGATGCTGTCGGCTACGGCGACCCGCTCGTAGCCGTCCTGCCTTCATTCCACAGCACCATCCTGTGATTAAGAGATGTTAGCTAACCCTCTCTGTACTCTTCTTCCCTCATGGATCTGAGCTGAGAGCTTTTGGTGCCCGAGTTTCAATCTTTGAACTTTTTCTAATTGTAGCAGATCCCTTCTCTTTCATGGGGCTCTTAGTTTCTGTTCCTCTGTCTGAGAAAAATGAAGAACACTAGAAGAGATCTTCTCTCCGGCGATCGTCGTCGTCGTCGTCGTCGCCGCCGTGCTCCGGCGGGTCGCAGACGACCATCCCGGGGAAGAGGACCAGGAAGTCGTCCTTCACCTTGGTACGTAGCTCCGGGTGGCGGAGGAGCCCCTTGAGGATGACCCGAAATGGCAAAGACAGCGGCGGATCAGGGGACCTTCGCATCTCGCCGTAGAATTCCATGCCCAAATCCGGCAACCCGCCGTCGCAGAAGGCCCTCACCAGGTCCCCGTAGGTGTGCTGGTCGAAGAGGACCTCCTCCTTCCTCGAGTCCCCCCAAACCCTCTTCGCCGCCTCTGCGTCCCCGTTCCTCGCCAGCATCACCAGCATGTCCCTGTAGAAGAACATGTCCGGCCTGTACCAGATCTCCTTCCTCACCACCTCGTAAATCTGCCAAGAATTAGGGCTCGGGTTAAAGTTAGGGATGGATTATTTTTCAGAGGGAGGGGGAGATCGTGAGAGGGACCTTCAAGGAGAGGGGGACGAGGTTCTGGCGCTGGAGCTCGGCGAGGACGGCGAGGAGGTCGGAGCGGAGGAGGCGGCACACGTGGGACTTCACGAAGGCCTCCAGCCGCGCGCCGCCGAACCCCCTGGATTTTTGGAGGCGTTTGAGCTCGTGGACGACGAAGAGGCCTTCCTTGCCCATCTCCTTCTTCCGCCGCCAGATGGACAGGCTGGGGCTCGACGCCGCCGCCGCACCCCGGTGGCCGCCGCCCCCGTTCTCGGTTACGAATCCCCTCACTCCGCCGCCGCCGCCGCCTCTCTTCACTGCCGCCGCGATCCTCCGCCACAACATGCTCAGTCTCGCCGTTGCCTCCCACCTGGTGGTAACTCTCATGGGTATAATATATCACTACCCAGAGAAAGGTCTCTCATTTTTCAAACTTCTTGAGAGAGAGAGAGAGAGTTAGAGAGAGAATCTTATGCTTACCGACGAGACCCATCTCCATGATCATCCTTCTCCGACCTTGTTTATAATTTCAGAATCTATTCCTGATTATTCATGTTCGAAATCATCATCATGACGATTAATCTGCATCCCTAATCAAGATAATTTCATTGAGATTATATCAACAACCCAAGAATTTTATTTATCAATTTATTTGTTCGTGGGGACCAGTGGGTAGAGCCCAGCAGAAACAATGGGAAGAATATATACCCGGAATAGATAACCCTAAGTCCGTGGTAAAATGTACATCAATAATCATCTATCTAACAGCTGTGGTGAACGGATCTACAGCTCTGTGGTGCCCAACCTGCCAAAAAAAAAATGCTCTAGAGGCCCTGCAAGCCCTGCCAGAGCATGTCGGGCGAGGAACCCAGCTCGAAGAGGCTACGTTCGTCCAGAAGGCTGAAAGTCAGAGCCTCCTCAGAGAAGGGCTTCATGAAGTAGTAGTCGGCGTACTGGTCATCCCCAGGGAGGGGCTGCTGCTGCAGGGCCCAAGAGCCCGCTGACTCGTCGTCGTCGTCGAACGGGAACGGCGGCGTCGCGAACTTCTGCTCCGGAGCTCCGCCACCGTTGCCGCCGTTCATCGGGTCGGCCTCCATCAGCCGCAGCATCTCGTCAATGTCCAGCATCCGGTCGGTGATGTCGATCATCCCTCCTGGGTAGTGGTGTTCCTCCGCCGCCGAGGATGGGCCTCCCACGGCAGTCACGGCCGGCGGCTCCGCCGCTTCGGTCTTCGGGGGGGAGAAGAAGCCGCCCTCCTCTGCAGGTCCTCGTCCTTCGAGCGGCTCCTCCTTCATCGGCGGCGCCCCCGGCCGCCGCTCATCGGAGGCAGCGTCGTCGGCGTTGTCAGCCCTCGGAACAGCGGAGCATGTGTAAGTGACGGAAGAGTCGTCGGAGTTGGCTGCGCGGTGGCCGAGATTGAGGCGGGCGGAGGAGCCATAGATGGCGATGGCCGCTTCGTCGTAGGCCAGGGCGGCGGCGAGCGCCGTCGGGTAGGTTCCCAGCCACAGGCGGCTGCCGCCGCTGGGTTCTCTGATCTCGGCAACCCACTTCCCCCACGTCCTTTGCCTTACGCCCCTGTATCTGCAGCTAGGGTTTTCAGGGCCACCCTTCCCTTTCATGCAACCCTTCTTGGAACCCTTGGCCGGAACCTTCCTGATCCCTAACGGCTTTTCGCTCCCTCTGGCGGCGCCGATGAGTAGCTGCCCATCGTTGATCTCCTTCCACCGGGCTAGGGTTTCGGCTATGGAGTTGGGGCCATTCCGCCTTCTTCTCGGTCTCCTCTTCCTGCCGGATTCCAGGGTTAGAAACCGTTCGCCCCCCATGTAGCAACCAGAAGCCAGAAACCAAATGAATTCGCCCTAATTCGCCCAGTTCGAACAGAGGAAGAGCAGAGGAGAGGAGGAAGAAGAAGCCCGACGAAGAGGAGAGGATCAGAGGACCAACCTTTCAGCTTGCAACATGGGAGGAAGAGCTTCTCCGGGGATAGCCACGGTGATCGATCCTCCCTCTCTCGCTCTCTTTGGGCTCTGCTGTCTGAGGGCTCACTCCTCGGTCTTCTTCTTTGTCGTTCGTTCAGTGACTTCGGTTCCAAGAAATCTCTCTCGAAGTTGGTCGGGGAGGATATATATGGACATCCTACGGAGTCTAGATATTTCTAGAGCTGGATATTCCTCCCATCGCCACGTGTATTGCGATCCCATACTCTCGCCACGCGTCCTTAAGAATGTTCCAGACACGGCAGGGACGCGGCCGCCGTCCTTATCGCTTGGTACGGAGGCAAACTCGGGCTTTCGGCGATTCTTCTTTCTATAGGGGGGGTGGCTGGGATGTGACGTAAGATGACATCCGAATCCGATGCTCTAGAGAGAGAGAGAGAGAGATGGTGTTTCGTACGTGGTCAAAGAGAGAGACAAAGAGAGAAAGAGAGGCAGAGAGAGAGAGCTTTGGACTTACAGCGACAATGGGAGGTTAGAGAGATTTTCCGTCACGGGTCCTTAGAGGAACCGAAAGAGAGCTTTGAGACTGGAATGACGTAGATCTGGTAGTCTCGAAACGGATTGACGGATAAGGGCCGATGCAAATCCTCAATAAGAGGGAGAAAGCTAGAGAGAGAGAGAGAGAGAATAGACAGTGTCTCGAGACAAATCTTCGATACCGGGCCATGCAAATCCACAACGAGAGAAAGGGAGAGAGAGAGAGAGAGAGAGGGGGAGAGGGAAATGGAGAGGGAGAGGACGGTCGTCATGTAATCCAGAATCACGAATAAAGAAAATGAAAGAAAGAGCTAGAGAGAGAGAGAGCGAGAGAGAGAGATTATCACGTAGAAAAGGAAAATAATAAATAAAAAAATGACGGCTTCAAGAGCAATCTGACCCGCGCAGCGCTCCCTCTACGGCTAGCTGCTACACGAAAAAAGAAGAAAAAAACAGGTTCTTCACAGAGCTCACGGGAAAATCCTCAGGCGGTCTGGTTGACCTCCTGGAAGAAGGCCTTGGCGCCCTCGTAGGTTGACCAGCAGACGGCGGCGGCGGGGGCGTGGAACAGCATCCGCAGCCTCCACCCCCTCGCCAGCCCCACGTAGCCGTCTCTTCTCACGATGCTCCTCACCTCCTCCAAAATCGACCCGCCGGAGAATCTCTCGCAGCCGCAGACCCCCTGTTGGTCAACCCCAAAATGAACAGAAAAGTTAGCGCCCCACTCACAGTCTCCTTCTTGCCTCCCGGGTCCTTCCCAGGCTAGGGTTTCAGAGGATGAATCCACGAGCCATCATCCGATTCATTGATCCCAATGTCAGCGAGACGATGAAAATGAGGAACAGAAATTCCATCTATCGACGTTTTTTTTCTTCGAAGAAAAAAATCAATACTCTGGATATCCCTTGATGGAGCTTCATGATCCTTCAAACAGGAGGAATTCTAGTGCTGTCGGGAATTCAGCGGAAAGGTGTAGCAGACAATCATCAGATGACGGATTCGAGGATCAAGATCCTTTCTTGTTCAATCGATATATACTAGTTGATCAAGTAGAATTTCATGGAGTTCCTTGTAGATGGAGGGAGGGAGAAATAGTACCTGGCACTGAAGCTGGGTCTTCACCACATCCAGAGGTGTAGTGACGAAGGCGGCCAACGCGCCAGCGGCGGCGCCGGCGGTGGCGTGGACCACCAGCCTCTCCTCGTCGCCCGCGGCGGTCGCCAGCGACACCTCCGTCAGTGCCCTCTTCGCGGCCTCGTAGGTGGAGAAGTGGACGGCGGTGAAGGGGGCGTTCATCACAACGGTGGTCCTGTAGGAGACCAAGAAGGCCCTCGTCCCCTCCTCTCGCAGAAGCTTGCGCACACAGTCCATGGCCCCTCTGTAGCGGCTCCCCCTCAGCTGCAGCCGCTGGTTCACCGTATCCTACAGGATGGGCGGGGTTCCCCACGCTGTTAGGGTTCCCCCCGGTGAGGAACTCCTTGGAGGCCTCGTAGACGGAGAAGTAGACGGCATGGGCGGGGACGGCACCGAGCCCCATGGCGCTGATGCCTCTGTAAAGAGAGAGGGGGGCCTCGAGCTTGAGGATGCCGGACAGGACCCGCCGGAGACTCGCCGGCTGCCGGCAGGGGGGCCTCTGCGCCTGCATCCTGGTTTTGAGGGTGTCCACCGGGAACATGGCCGTGTGCTCCACCACACCGGCGACGGAGCCCGCCACCATGAACTGCCAGAACTGGAGGCCGTCGTAGGAGACGGCGAGCTCCGCCAGTTCCGGCGGGCGGAACTTGGGGAATGCGTCGGCCATGGCGGAGATCAGCCAAGTTAGGGTTTCTTCTTCGCTCGGCTCAGGTTATGGTGGCCCAGTCGGGGAAGGAATTAGGGTTCCGACGGACAACCGCGCCGCAGCCATGCACCGACAAGAAGATGTCTTCCGATGATTGGGAGATCGACAGCAATGGCATAGACTACTGGAAGAAAAAGGGATCTAGAAGCTTTCCTAATGTAGCCTCATTCGATCATTCTCTCCGCCGACTGGAGATAAACCACCCTTTCCGGCTCTATCTAATTCTCAGACAGATGCTCTTCTCCGGCCGTAGATCCAACGGGAGACACCACCAGAGCGAAGAGGAAGGGAGGGAAGAGGGGCGGCGCCCTTCTGCCGGCGGCGGATGTAGAATGGGAGAACAAGAACCTGGTGACCTACCTTGACAGACAAAACACATCCCTTGTTAAGTTTCTTGGCGGAATTCGATCGAAGATTAGGGTTTTTAAAAAAACGACCGAAGATCGGTGAGGATCATTTTTTTTTTTGTTGTTGCAGAAATTAATCCGAGAGAACAATTTTTTATTCTAATTTATTGACGATGATTCAAACCCGAATGAAAGATTGCGACTTTATAAAAGTTTATGAAAAAAAGGAAATAGTCGAATAAGATAATTTCCTTCTCACTTTTTCCAAAACATGAACAAATTCATAAAATTTATTCGTGATATTCGATCAAAGATCTGGCACACAATTCATCCAACGATCATATATTTATATGGAAGAGAAAGAATTTCCAAATCATGCGCAAATATCAGGGGGTTTACAAGATCTGATGGAGATCAAAATTTTCTAAAAATATTAATAAAAAACAACAATCTTATGCTCACTTTTTGGCAAATTATTTATGAAAAATCTAGATTCCACATGATTTAATCAGTTATCTAAATTTGATATAGAATTCAGACATCTTCAGAAGTAATAATTATATTTCCCCATTTATCTAAATATATTATTCCTTCATATTTCCATTTTTTATGTTGATTTAAGTAGTCTAGCGAGTAATTCATGAAAAACCCGATTTCCTAAGACGGGCCAATTTTTTTCATAATATATCCGAAAAATAATTACACACCCACTTCTTCTTTTTTTTTCCTATTCTTGAGCAATATTAACAACAGCCATCCGCCTCATGAATTGCTTCCACCCGCCTTCCTAACAATCAGAAATAAACCTATAAACCTCGGTGATTAATATTAATCAGAAATTCATTGGCGCATAAGAGCTCTGACTGCCTCGGCGTTGAGCTCTCATCCTCCTCACTAAAGAGCCAAGAGAAACCTGGAATCGACGGTGGATGATATCAGGAGACAGGATTGAAAAACCCAACAGCATGATTCAGAAGAAGAAAAAAAAAATCAAAGAAAAATTCTCAATGAACCAACTCGGCTACAGACAATGGGCAAAGGTAAAGATAACAATAACGGGATTTTTAAGGAATTAAACAAGACCAAAAAAATAAAATTGAATTATTTTTAATTTAAGCGCCGAGAAAATATACAGAAAGAGATCTGGAGTGAATGCCTTGAAATAATTGCCAAATGCAGCAAACATTAAAACATTATGATTCTTATAAAATTCTGGGTTCTGACCATGTTTCTCCCTTTGATGACTTCGCTTATTATTATTGAGAAAATCTGGCTCATCTTCGTAATCTACTTATTTCTCTGGCTCTGTGAGGAGCCCTGTTGTGTCTGACCTTCACAAGCAGCAGTTATTATTATTGCGTGTGGGTGAGATTCGAGTATCTTGCTGTGATTTGGTAGGTATTGAGGAGATAAAGCAGCAACTGAAGAAGAACGGATTTCATGAAGAAAACCAGGAACAGGAATCTCTTCGGCGAACTGGTACATTAAATCATTATTGAACTAGAATTTACCCTTGATGATGGGGGAGTAGCAAAGTTTCAAGATATGTAAAGAATTCTACTAGGAGAAGTCTCTGGTTTGTGTCGGTGCAGAGATCTGGTAATCTGGTATAATCTCAAAGTAAGAAGATGACAATGAACTTTGGTATAATCTGGTATAATCTGGTATAATCTGGTTTGGAATCGATTGCCACGATCGAATGACTATTAACTTTGATGATAAAATTCATACCTTCACCACAAACCATAAAATCTTCTGCGAGAGAATTTTATGCATCATGACGTAGGATAAGAAAATTTCAGTCCTCTTACAAGATTCAAAGAACAAACTATATGTATATGAATATTCTTAAAATCATTTATCCATCAATCTTGCTTTTCTGAAATTATATGTGTGACCAATAATTTTGTCCACTTCAATTAAATCAAAATATTTGGACCCTAATAGAGATCACATGGTAACCCAGTGGATGGATGTTACGAAAGAAATATTTTTTTCAAAGTGATATAGATATCACAGATCATGTGCATGAAAACCCATTACTAAGATAAGAACGAATTTCACAGCATGAGAGAGTGGATGGAAACATGCTAGCAGAACGAATTCACGTCAATGGTCAACCACAAGGCCTGAAAAGGGATCTTACTGACTTCACCATCAGAGCATATGATGCGAAGGCAGGTAGGTAAGAATGTGACACTTAATTCAACTGAATACATACCCGGAGCCTTTGTGGTGCGCTTGACCAAAACTCCAGATTAGGAATAACCTGAAATGCAGGGACAAGCATCATAATATGGGAACAATATGCGTGAAACAGGGTCAATATTTATAATCATATGCCTATTTCTATAACAATATGAGGAACAACTGAAACAATGATGGCCGCCCCTTTTAAGTCAGCTTGTGTTCGTCCATCGTCCAGGCAGAGCCAATATCATGGACAGATGTGATTGCTCGATTTTCACACTGTTTACATTATTATTCTCATTATTATTATTATTACCTGCTGATTCAATGGCTGACCAGTATGAGATTGCCTTTTTGGCTATACATGATATCAGGATGATCGGACAGTTTTGGGATGAATCAGTAATTTATCACGAAAATTCCAGGCGAATGTGGCGTGCAATCTTTCAACTTTTCAATTTCCAGTAAATAATAATTCTTCTCGCATTATTTCACGACCAAATGAAAACTTATATATATATATATATATATATAGAAATAAGACTGAAAAACGTTGTGACGTTTGATTCCTCTAGAGAGTCAGCTAAAATATGGAAAAATGAATCCCATGTCTGATGCACCAGAAGACTATAAGAAACGCAGTGTTTAATCGTGGGTTGACTTTATGTCACCAAAGATTATGAGAATCATCAACGCCCAGGTCGACTTTAAGCACATATGTCGGCATATGGAAAAGCTTATAAAATTTTATATTTCCTAATTGAGGTGGGAAAGTATTAAAAAAAAAAAATGTACGCAATGAGGAGTTCCTAAAGCAGTAACAATGGAAAGATATGAATAAGGTGTCAAAGCGTACGTCAGCACCACGAACTTTGAGGAAGAAAAACCTATAAATTATACCAGCTGAGAAGTATGTCCCCATTAAGCAGAGTATTCTGAAAGGCAGACAAGCAACTAGTTAAAGACAAAAGCTACAAGAATATGATAAATTGAACTACCTATCTATTTAGAAGAGAAGCTACATGGAAATGTGCACACTGCAACATGGTGACTAATAACTGCGATTAGGAGACATACATAACCAAGAGAGTGCCAAACCAGCCCAACCCTTTTCCATCAATGGATATGATCGCTGGACAGCCGGATGGATGCCTTAGCACCAGACCCTGTTAGGGACAAATCACAAAGAAAGTTCGTAGAATGTCTGGCACAAGATCTAGTCTTTGAGGAGCATAAACTCATATAAAGAAGCTAAGAGAAGGACAGAAATAAATAAGGCCGTTCAGAGGAAATTTTCACTGCAGAAAATTTGAAAAAATAGGCCACCACTGAATAATATCAAAAAAATGTTTAAAATATTAATAAAAAAATTATAGAGCAATAAAACGATGACAAACAGGACGGCAATCGATGTACTCACATAGTCACATGAGCCCCGTACTTCCAATAATTCAGGTTCCTGAAAGAGATTCACTGAAGGATGATTAGGAGATGGAAAAAGTAAAACCGAGGGGGAGTAATGGAAACAGGCTCACACTAGAAAAAAAGTTCACGGAATACTCACTTCTACACCTTTCATATCACAGAATATAGAAACAGAAAGCGAACAATTTCTCTTGGGGCCACTAGCCACCATCTTAACAGTAACACCTTTGCTAGGATTTCTGCTTTCTGCAGTAGAAATTCAATACATATCTGTCAATAAACAGCAAACATCCCCTAAATAATAGAAAGGATTAGTCCAAAAGTCCCCACAAAAGACCTCATCCTGAAGGTAGGTGATGGAAAAAATAACTCAGAATAGTTAGAAAAAACAAATTAAGATACAGGAAAATAACACAACTGTACCTATTAGTTCAACATCCAGACTAGAGGTTTGTCCTATCGTAGTGCACACAGCATAGCCTGCAAATAATACAAACCAATTAGCGTACCTTATCTAGTCTCCATTGACTAAATAAATTCAATATTTTTGTCAATATTAAAATTTGGAAATTAGCTAAAGAATGAATTAGGATATTGAAGAAGTTCAATGAGATATATAAAATGATGTCTAATGTGCATAAAAGCTAAAGATGCGTGAAATAATGAAAACTTGTGATTCATTTACCTGTGATCCAAAAGTCTCATTTATAAATAATGAAAACAAGAAATGAAGTGGCATCAGTGAAGGGTGTAATTTACTGGAAAAATTCAGGTGGTTCTTGAGCTAGATGAGGAACAAAACGTCATAAAGCTCTTCAAAATTTATGCGCGTAGACTGGGACAACATGGCCCGAAATAAGGCAATGGAATCTTAGTCAGTGAAAGCATAAAGAGTTCTTTTACCTCCGATATTATTCTCAACGAGTGCGCTACATTTCATGCCACAGTGTGATGGACCGCCACAGTCCTACATTCGCAATCACAAAACTTAAGCAATTCATGAGTTCACGAACGTAAAAACCAATGAACAAGCCTTTCACGCAAAACACCCTTGTTGCATATGCAGAAATGAACTCTATTTAATCTAAAATTACCAAAACTCATAAATGCAGAATATTTGCATTTCCTTTTAACTAGAAAAATGCAGTGAAAAGCAACCAGAACCATAAAATCAGTGGAAGACTAATTCTTAGAGAAGGAAATCCATAATACCAAATACGAAATTAGTAAAAAAACAATGTCTGGGCATGCATCAATTAAATGAGGCAAACCTGTGAAGATATTTACATTTATTTAATGCAGAGTAAGTAAGAAGAGAAAACATTAGAAACTTGGCTATTGAAAACCAACAACATAGCTGCAATATTGAAGATATTTAAAACCTGCAATATCAGTGCTGTAAAAAACTAAGAGTTGTTCTTTTTTTTATTATATAGGTGCTGCAGATTGCTATCAAAATTGCAAACATATGTTCAAGTTTGGAAGTAGAGCATTTGAGAGCCCTTGAGAGAATCCCGAAAAGTTAGGGCAGGCGTGGAAACAGCTGGAGATTGGAAGTTTCCAGAGCTAGGTAGATTCACAGTGTTGCTCAGAATTGTCTGGCGAAAAACTGGTCTAGCAGGATGCTTGACGAGGCTATGATATGGAAGACGTACCCATCCCCACTTGGATATCAAATGCAGGAAAAACAGTTTTACAAAATATGGTATGACGTCAATTGGGGATGATTTTTAGGTTCAGAGAGATCAAAAGACTTAGCGTCCCAAACGGTAGGAACTTACCTAGCTTTGCACAGCAAAAGATGTAGAAGCAGTCAAACAACAATGTATTAGAAGGTGATGCTTAAGATGTACAAAATGAGCATCATTAATAACTTTTTAAGATCCATAGCAGCATTCCTCTGGCAAGTGATGTGGTGACGGCTGAGGTTGAGCTTTATCTTACAAAGTTTCGTACTCCAGGTGAATAAATAGTGTGTGGGGTTCATCACTACGAGAGAAATTGTGGCACTTTCAAAGGAAAAAGGGGACACAAAGGCTACGTCAATAGAGATTTTTGACTTCTTAGAGATGGGAAAAGAACAAAGCCTATTAGAAGAAACTCTGTGGAATAACGTATCATGCAAGCCGGCATTGAAAAAAGCCAAATTGCATACAGAACAGGAAGAATGAAAGAAGAGGATGCATTAATGGAGATGGAATAGAAATTGAAAGTTCACCTACCATACAGTCTCATCTGGAGGGAATCTACAACTCTTCTTATATGGGGTTCAGGTTCTCCTTTGGTTACTACTTTATTATCGCATGAATCATGAGAATATTGTTCTTAGGAAAATCATTTTCATTAGAAACCTGGGAATTATTTCTGACAAACCGGGTGTTAGAGAATCTATAAGAATGTAAATCTAATAGACCAATTGTCTCATGTTCGTGCGTTAGCAAATGATTTTGAAATTAAGACTGTTACGCCCATATTAGGTCATGTTGTACAGCCCCGTAATTTCATTATATATAATTGGTAAAGAAGGGACCACGAATGCAACCTAGATTTCCTCCTGTTTTGACATGGTATCAAAGCCTAGGTTAGGGTTGAACCCTCTACATATTTGAGGATGAGAAGTTCTATAACAGCAGCCCAACTACTTGCTCCTCTGATCTTGTGGGCCTCTGCTACCAATGTCCATCATTGCCGACATCCTTATTTTTTCCATCTACCTTTCATCCCCCGCCCCCCCTCCCAGCCGCCGGTCAGAAGTCAGCTCAACTACTCCCATTGTTGGAAGGCAGCTGTCTATCGCCATCCGTGCATCCTTCCATTGATACCAGAGGTTGCCCGTGCCCTGGCCGTGAAGCCTTTGCAGACCATGGATCGTCATGGGGCATTACCAACTATCTACCCAACAATCGTGATCAGCCATGAACAATATGATGTGAGCCATTGAGAGACTTGAGGCATCACGGGTTCATCTTGAGCCATTGGCTCTTGTATTCAACAGATGTGCCCTCTTCTTTGAGAGTTCCCATTCTTCAAGAAACTTGGGGGAGAAGAAGACGCACTGAAGTTCTTCATCTGAGCTTTTTCTACCGAAACTTCTGAAGTGTTACCTAGTCTATTATCTTTGTGGCAACAATCCAGTGGTCATCAGTCCATTTAGTTCCGCCTTTTCTATGCCACTAATTACAAGGTGCAAGCAACCAGTCAACGTGAGCAAAATAATCTACCGTTGCCTTGAGACTTGTGACAGGCATGAGACCCAGGTCAGTGGGTGCAATCTCCTCTTAAGAACCAGTTGGGTAAGGTACGCAAATCCACTAAATTCCATACAAATCCAGGCTCATCTTTTACCCTTACCTAAGTGTGATAAGGATGCTGTATGGCTTTCAATATAACAACAAGGAATGTTAATGAGATTTTCTCGTATGAATGCAGGTATGAGTCAAAGGAGAATGGGCAGTATCAGATTCCACGGTTAACGGCTGGAAATAGTGTGCCCCTAAAGCTCTGGCTTTCACATTGTCTTGAAGACTCGTATTATGTTTGACAATTAGATGTGATTTGGATTCTATGCTATTATAGGTTGAGATAATTTCACTCATGTGAATCTATAAATATCCGAGCGCGGTAATATTGCTATTACTAGTGTGCCACAATGGTATTAATGTCACGATTTGACTCACGTTGTATATTTTGTCAACGAAGTGGCGAAATAAAATGGCCGAAGGACTCGTCCCCTTCATCCGGGTCTAGAAGTGGCTTAGCTGGCGTGGCTGGCAGGGTCTTAATCTTGCGGTTCTAAGCTATCCCACTAATGTACGTGGGAACTTCTCACACATTTTAATGAATGTAAATGGATATCATGGTCCGAATGTTGTAACACCTAAATTTATACCGTCTCCAATATAATTAATGTATCTCCATCTCTGTATTTCCCATGGCTACATGACTTTGTCAAGTGATTGGGTACCTCCATCATCTGCAATTTTTTCTGCATTGCATCCTTGCTGGTGCTGCCTATGACAGTGCCACCACCAGTGTGGCCTTGAGTGCCAAAACTGGGTGAAGCCATGACAAGACAGACTGCATTGCCACACCTTGCTTAGATGTACTACCGAAAAATTACACAGAAAGATAAGTTTCCAAAGTAATTATTTAAGGATTTGGATTTTTTCAACTCTTTGTATATTCCTAGCATTTCTCTAGTTTATTCAGCACGCAGTTTTCTTCAATATGAATGATCGATAGATAAGCATCACCAAATCAGTGAAGCACAATCTGGTTCAATTGGTTGGCATCCGGATTTTGGACTTCCAACATCAATTTGATCGAGGAAAACACGAAAAAAAGGGTCCAGCCTCCATACAGTATAATGCAGCTAGCAAATATAGTGATCGATCAGTAGTTGGGGATTATCTTTCCTTCTTATCTTCCATTGAACGCGATTTTGGATAAAAAGGGAAAAAGAAGACAAGCCTGCCACCAGCATTGCAATTTGAGGGGCATGGATTGACACCTTTGAAACTAGCCGAGATGGGGTTGGCTACTTTTTCTGAAATTAGTTTATCCGATCAAGCCCAATATGATCTTGATTGGGACTGGCCAGGGCAGATCTACATGGTCGATCAGATTCAGCCTTCTATGATGGTTAATCGTGAAATTTGGATTAAATTAGAAAAACATAGCAATTATCTGGTTTAATGAGTTCCATCAGCTAAATTGGCAAACTACGTTCTCAAAGCTAGATGTGCATAAGATTACTGAATCTCAATCACTTTCAGAGAACTAATATAACTCTATACTCCTCCATATTATTCTGCCTTTTTCTCATTCCTGGAGAGCCAATTAAATCCCGAATCCACTTTGTTGGTACTCAATCTAATCC